ACTGTCCCAAGTCTAGAGGAACACCAACTTCAGCACAGCAACTCGAGGAATGCTCTGTGTATCCCAAATCGTCTCGAGATGAGAGCTGATTCCCTGGCTTAGGCTCAAGACGTATACCACCTTTCCAGAAGCACCTCAGGAGGAGGCTTCTCTCAGTAATAGGTATGTGGGAGGGACCCCGAGTTTGCTGCCTCAAGGGGAATATACAGCGAGAAGCCCTAACTTGAAAGGAGGCCGGATTTCCATGCAGTGGCTTGAATACAGGGTCGTCTTTCATCTCACAACATGAAGGGATGTCTGATTCCCCTGTGGAGACCTTAGAGAAAGCCCTAGGTCCCTGCCTCATTTTGACGGAATCCTCACATCCCGCTGACACGTCGAGAGGCACGCGGAGTTCATTGCTTCAAAAGGTGACGATGCATCACTCCTCTTGATTACTTATACTAATCCCAAAATCCCTGTGGCTACTGGAAAGGGTCCTTGGGTGCCCTGGCTCACCTCGAGAAGCGTCCCTTTTGCCCTGCCAAGCCTCGAAGAGATTGCTGAGGTGTCCCTCGTTACTAGACAGGAGTCCTGACGTCACGGAAGAAACTCGTGTTTTGAAGGGCCATCCCCGCCGTAAGTCGAGAACATACCCCAGGTCCCCGCCGCAACTCGAGAAAAACCATGAGACTTCCCCCTATAGGCGAGATGAGGCCCCATTCCCCTGCAGTTCATGCAGAGCTATTCCGTGATCCCATTCAAACAAGTCAGGAGCTTCGACTTGCTTAATGGATCTCGAGACAGTCCCCAAGAACACTGTCACCAGTCTAGACGGACCCTGAGGTCACCCCAGCAACGCAAAGCAGCTCCATGTGCCCCAAATCAACTCGAGATGAGGCCCGATTCCCCTGCATTGACTCCAGAGCCATTCCCCGTTCCCCGTTCAACACGAACGGTGGCTCGCCTTCCTTCAGGCAACTCCAGAGATGCCCCGAGAACACTGTCTCAAGTCTAGAGGAACACCAACTTCAGCACAGCAACTCGAGGAATGCTCTGTGTACCCCAAATCGTCTCGAGATGAGAGCTGATTCCCTGGCTTAGGCTCAAGACGTATGCCAAATTTCCAGAAGCACCTCAGGAGGAGGCTTCTCAGAAATAGGTATGTGGGAGGGACTCCGACTATGCTGCCTCAAGGGGAATATACAGCGAGAAGCCCTAACTTGAAAGGAGGCCAGATTTCCTTGCAGTAGCTTGAATACAGGCTTGTCTTTCATCTCACAACATGAAGGGATGTCTGAATCCCCTGTGGAGACCTTAGAGAAAGCCCTAGGTCCCTGCCTCATTTTGACGGAATGCCTCACATCTCGCTGATACCTCGAGAGGCACACGGAGTTCATTGCTTCAAAAGGTGACGATGCCTGACTCCTCTTGAATACTGATAGGAATCCCAAAATCCCTGTGGCTACTGGAAAGGGTCCTTGGGTTCCCTGGCTCACCTCGAGAAGCGTCCCTTTTGCCCTGCCAAGCCTCGAAGAGATTGCTGAGGTGTCCCTCGTTACTAGACAGGAGTCCTGACGTCACTGAAGAAACTCGTGTTTTGAAGGGCCATCCCCGCCGTAAGTCGAGAACATACCCCAGGTCTCCGCCGCAACTCGAGAAAAACCATGAGACTTCCCCCTAGAGGCGAGATGAGGCCCCATTCCCCTGCAGTGCATGCAGAGCTATTCCGTGATCCCATTCAAACAAGTCAGGAGCTTCGACTTGCTTAATGGATCTCGAGACAGTCCCCAAGAACACTGTCACCAGTCTAGACGGACCCTGAGGTCACCCAGCAATGCAAAGCAGTTCCATGTGCCCCAAATCAACTCGAGATGAGGCCGGATTCCCCTGCATTGACTCCAGAGCCATTCCTTGTTCCCCATTCAACACGACCGGTGGCTCGACTTCCTTCAGGCAACTCCAGAGATGCCCCGAGAACACTGTCCCAAGTCTAGAGGACCACCAACTTCAGCACAGCAACTCGAGGAATGCTCTGTGTACCCCAAATCATCTCGAGATGAGAGCTGATTCCCTGGCTTAGGCTCAAGACGTATGCCAACTTTCCAGAAGCACCTCAGGAGGAGGCTTCTCAGCAATAGGTATGTGGGAGGGACTCCGAGTTTGCTGCCTCAAGGGCAATATACAGCGAGAAGCCCTAACTTGAAAGGAGGCCGGATTTCCTTGCAGTAGCTTGAATACAGGCTTGTCTTTCATCTCACAACATGAAGGGATGTCTGAATCCCCTGTGGAGACCTTAGAGAAAGCCCTAGGTCCCTGCCTCATTTTGACGGAATCCTCACATCCCACTGACACCTCGAGAGGCACGCGGAGTTCATTGCTTCAAAAGGTGAGGATGCCTGACTCCTCTTGAATACTGATAGGAATCCCAAAATCCCTGTGGCTACTGGAAAGGGTCCTTGGGTGCCCTGCGTCACCTCGAGAAGCGTCCCTTTTGCCCTGCCAAGCCTCGAAGAGATTCCTGAGGTGTCCCTCGTTACTATGCCGGAGTCCTGACGTCACTGAAGAAACTCGTGTTTTGAAGGGCCATCCCCGCCGTAAGTTGAGAACATACCCCAGGTCCCCGCCGCAACTCGAGAAAAACCATGAGACTTCCCCCTAGAGGCGAGATGAGGCCCCATTCCCCTGCAGTGCATGCAGAGCTATTCCGTGATCCCATTCAAACAAGTCAGGAGCTTCGACTTGCTTAATGGATCTCGAGGCAGTCCCCAAGAACACTGTCAACAGTCTAGACGGAACCTGAGGTCACCCCAGCAACGCAAAGCAGCTCCAGGTGCCACAAATCAACTCGAGATGAGGCCCGATTCCCCTGCATTGACTCCAGAGCCATTCCCCATTCCCCATTTAACACGACCGGTGGCTCGCCTTCCTTCAGGCAACTCCAGAGATGCCCCGAGAACACTGTCCCAAGTCTAGAGGAACACCAACTTCAGCACAGCAACTCGAGGAATGATCTGTGTACCCCAAATCGTCTCGAGATGAGAGCTGATTCCCTGGCTTAGGCTCAAGACGTATGCCAACTTTCCAGAAGCACCTCAGGAGGAGGCTTCTCAGCAATAGGTATGTGGGAGGGACTCCGAGTTTGCTGCCTCAAGGGCAATATACAGCGAGAAGCCCTAACTTGAAAGGAGGCCGGATTTCCTTGCAGTAGCTTGAATACAGGCTTGTCTTTCATCTCACAACATGAAGGGATGTCTGAATCCCCTGTGGAGACCTTAGAGAAAGCCCTAGGTCCCTGCCTCATTTTGACGGAATGCCTCACATCCCGCTGACACCTCGAGAGGCACGCGGAGTACATTGCTTCAAAAGGTGACGATGCATGACTCCTCTTGATTACTTATAGGAATCCCAAAATCCCTGTGGCTACTGGCAAGGGTCCTTGGGTGCCCTGGCTCACCTCAAGAAGCGTCCCTTTTGCCCTGCCAAGCCTCGAAGAGATTCCTGAGGTGTCCCTCGTTACTAGACAGGAGTCCTGACGTCACTGAAGAAACTCGTATTTTGAAGGGCCATCCCCGCCGTAATTCGAGAACATACCCCAGGTCCCCGCCGCAACTCGAGAAAAACCATGAGACTTCCCCCTAGAGGCGAGATGAGGCCCCATTCCTCTGCAGTGCATGCAGAGCTATTCCGTGATCCCATTCAAACAAGTCAGGAGCTTCGACTTGCTTAATGGATCTCGACACAGTCCCCAAGAACACTGTTACCAGTCTAGACGGACCCTGAGGTCACCCAGCAATGCAAAGCAGCTCCATGTGCCCCAAATCAACTCGAGATGAGGCCGGATTCCCCTGCATTGACTCCAGAGCCATTCCTTGTTCCCCATTCAACACGACCGGTGGCTCGACTTCCTTCAGGCAACTCCAGAGATGCCCCGAGAACACTGTCCCAAGTCTAGAGGACCACCAACTTCAGCACAGCAACTCGAGGAATGCTCTGTGTACCCCAAATCGTCTCGAGATGAGAGCTGATTCCCTGGCTTAGGCTCAAGACGTATGCCACCTTTCCAGAAGCACCTCAGGAGGAGGCTTCTCTCAGTAATAGGTATGTGGGAGGGACCCCGAGTTTGCTGCCTCAAGGGGAATATACAGCGAGAAGCCCTAACTTGAAAGGAGGCCGGATTTCCATGCAGTGGCTTGAATACAGGCTCGTCTTTCATCTCACAACATGAAGGGATGTCTGAATCCCCTGTGGAGACCTTAGAGAAAGCCCTAGGTCCCTGCCTCATTTTGACGGAATACTCACATCCCGCTGACACGTCGAGAGGCACGCGGAGTTCATTGCTTCAAAAGGTGACGATGCATGACTCCTCTTGATTACTTATAGGAATCCCAAAATCCCTGTGGCTACTGGAAAGGGTCCTTGGGTGCCCTGGCTCACCTCGAGAAGCGTCGCTTTTGCCCTGCCAAGCCTCGAAGAGATTGCTGAGGTGTCCCTCGTTACTAGACAGGAGTCCTGACGTCACTGAAGAAACTCGTGTTTTGAAGGGCCATCCCCGCCGTAAGTCGAGAATATACCCCAGGTCCCCGCCGCAACTCGAGAAAAACCATGAGACTTCCCCCTAGAGGCGAGATGAGGCCCCATTCCCCTGCAGTGCATGCAGAGCTATTCCCTGATCCCATTCAAACAAGTCAGGAGCTTCGACTTGCTTAATGGATCTCGAGACAGTCCCCAAGAACACTGTCACCAGTCTAGACGGACCCTGAGGTCAACCAGCAATGCAAAGCAGCTCCATGTGCCCCAAATCAACTCGAGATGAGGCCGGATTCCCCTGCATTGACTCCAAAGCCATTCCTTGTTCCCCATTCAACACGACCGGTGGCTCGACTTCCTTCAGGCAACTCCAGAGATGACCCGAGAACACTGTCCCAAGTCTAGAGGACCACCAACTTCGGCACAGCAACTCGAGGAATGCTCCGTGTACCCCAAATCGTCTCGAGATGAGAGCTGATTCCCTGGCTTAGGCTCAAGACGTATGCCACCTTTCCAGAAGCACCTCAGGAGGAGGCTTCTCTCAGCAATAGGTATGTGGGAGGGACTCCGAGTTTGCTGCCTCAAGGGGAATATACAGCGAGAAGCCCTAACTTGAAAGGAGGACGGATTTCCTTGCAGTGGCTTGAATACAGGCTCGTCTTTCATCTCACAACATGAAGGGATGTCTGAATCCCCTGTGGAGACCTTATAGAAAGACCTAGGTCCCTGCCTCATTTTGACGGAATCCTCACATCCCGCTGACACCTCGAGAGGCACCCGGAGTTCATTGCTTCAAAAGGTGACGATGCCTGACTCCTCTTGAATACTGATAGGAATCCCAAAATCCCTGTGGCTACTGGAAAGGGTCCTTGGGTGCCCTGGCTCACCTCGAGAAGCGTCCCTTTTGCCCTGCCAAGCCTCGAAGAGTTTGCTGAGGTGTCCCTCGTTACTAGACAGGAGTCCTGACGTCAGGGAAGAAACTCGTGTTTTGAAGGGCCATCCCCGCCGTAAGTCGAGAACATACCCCAGGTCCCCGCCGCAACTCGAGAAAAACCATGAGACTTCCCCCTAGAGGCGAGATGAGGCCCCATTCCCCTGCAGTGCATGCAGAGCTATTCCGTGATCCCATTCAAACAAGTCAGGAGCTTCGACTTGCTTAATGGATCTCGAGACAGTCCCCAAGAACACTGTCACCAGTCTAGACGGACCCTGAGGTCACCCAGCAATGCAAAGCAGCTCCATGTGCCCCAAATCAACTCGAGATGAGGCCGGATTCCCCTGCATTGACTCCAGAGCCATTCCTTGTTCCCCATTCAACACGACCGGTGGCTCGACTTCCTTCAGGCAACTCCAGAGATGCCCCGAGAACACTGTCCCAAGTCTAGAGGACCACCAACTTCAGCACAGCAACTCAAGGAATGCTCTGTGTATCCCAAATCGTCTCGAGATGAGAGCTGATTCCCTGGCTTAGGCTCAAGACGTATGCCACCTTTCCAGAAGCACCTCAGGAGGAGGCTTCTCTCAGTAATAGGTATGTGGGAGGGACCCCGAGTTTGCTGCCTCAAGGGGAATATACAGCGAGAAGCCCTAACTTGAAAGGAGGCCGGATTTCCATGCAGTGGCTTGAATACAGGCTCGTCTTTCATCTCACAACATGAAGGGATGTCTGATTCCCCTGTGGAGACCTTAGAGAAAGCCCTAGGTCCCTGCCTCATTTTGATGGAATCCTCACATCCCGCTGACACGTCGAGAGGCACGCGGAGTTCATTGCTTCAAAAGGTGACGATGCATCACTCCTCTTGATTACTTATACTAATCCCAAAATCCCTGTGGCTACTGGAAAGGGTCCTTGGGTGCCCTGGCTCACCTCGAGAAGCGTCCCTTTTGCCCTGCCAAGCCTCGAAGAGATTGCTGAGGTGTCCCTCGTTTCTAGACAGGAGGCCTGACGTCACGGAAGAAACTCGTGTTTTGAAGGGCCATCCCCGCCGTAAGTCTAGAACATACCCCAGGTCCCCGCCGCAACTCGAGAAAAACCATGAGACTTCCCCCTATAGGCGAGATGAGGCCCCATTCCCCTGCAGTGCATGCAGAGCTATTCCCTGATCCCATTCAAACAAGTCAGGAGCTTCGACTTGCTTAATGGATCTCGAGACAGTCCCCAAGAACACTGTCACCAGTCTAGACGGACCCTGAGGTCACCTCAGCAACGCAAAGCAGCTCCATGTGCCCCAAATCAACTCGAGATGAGGCCCGATTCCCCTGCATTGACTCCAGAGCCATTCCCCGTTCCCCGTTCAACACGAACGGTGGCTCGCCTTCCTTCAGGCAACTCCAGAGATGCCCCGAGAACACTGTCTCAAGTCTAGAGGAACACCAACTTCAGCACAGCAACTCGAGGAATGCTCTGTGTACCCCAAATCGTCTCGAGATGAGAGCTGATTCCCTGGCTTAGGCTCAAGACGTATGCCAAATTTCCAGAAGCACCTCAGGAGGAGGCTTCTCAGAAATAGGTATGTGGGAGGGACTCCGACTATGCTGCCTCAAGGGGAATATACAGCGAGAAGCCCTAACTTGAAAGGAGGCCAGATTTCCTTGCAGTAGCTTGAATACAGGCTTGTCTTTCATCTCACAACATGAAGGGATGTCTGAATCCCCTGTGGAGACCTTAGAGAAAGCCCTAGGTCCCTGCCTCCTTTTGACGGAATGCCTCACATCTCGCTGATACCTCGAGAGGCACGCGGAGTTCATTGCTTCAAAAGGTGACGATGCCTGACTCCTCTTGAATACTGATAGGAATCCCAAAATCCCTGTGGCTACTGGAAAGGGTCCTTGGGTTCCCTGGCTCACCTCGAGAAGCGTCCCTTTTGCCCTGCCAAGACTCGAAGAGATTGCTGATGTGTCCCTCGTTACTAGACAGGAGTCCTGACGTCACTGAAGAAACTCGTGTTTTGAAGGGCCATCCCCGCCGTAAGTCGAGAACATACCCCAGGTCTCCGCCGCAACTCGAGAAGAACCATGAGACTTCCCCCTAGAGGCGAGATGAGGCCCCATTCCCCTGCAGTGCATGCAGAGCTATTCCCTGATCCCATTCAAACAAGTCAGGAGCTTCGACTTGCTTAATGGATCTCGAGACAGTCCCCAAGAACACTGTCACCAGTCTAGACGGACCCTGAGGTCACCCAGCAATGCAAAGCAGTTCCATGTGCCCCAAATCAACTCGAGATGAGGCCGGATTCCCCTGCATTGACTCCAGAGCCATTCCTTGTTCCCCATTCAACACGACCGGTGGCTCGACTTCCTTCAGGCAACTCCAGAGATGCCCCGAGAACACTGTCCCAAGTCTAGAGGACCACCAACTTCAGCACAGCAACTCGAGGAATGCTCTGTGTACCCCAAATCATCTCGAGATGAGAGCTGATTCCCTGGCTTAGGCTCAAGACGTATGCCAACTTTCCAGAAGCACCTCAGGAGGAGGCTTCTCAGCAATAGGTATGTGGGAGGGACTCCGAGTTTGCTGCCTCAAGGGCAATATACAGCGAGAAGCCCTAACTTGAAAGGAGGCCGGATTTCCTTGCAGTAGCTTGAATACAGGCTTGTCTTTCATCTCACAACATGAAGGGATGTCTGAATCCCCTGTGGAGACCTTAGAGAAAGCCCTAGGTCCCTGCCTCATTTTGACGGAATCCTCACATCCCACTGACACCTCGAGAGGCACGCGGAGTTCATTGCTTCAAAAGGTGAGGATGCCTGACTCCTCTTGAATACTGATAGGAATCCCAAAATCCCTGTGGCTACTGGAAAGGGTCCTTGGGTGCCCTGCGTCACCTCGAGAAGCGTCCCTTTTGCCCTGCCAAGACTCGAAGAGATTGCTGATGTGTCCCTCGTTACTAGACAGGAGTCCTGACGTCACTGAAGAAACTCGTGTTTTGAAGGGCCATCCCCGCCGTAAGTTGAGAACATACCCCAGGTCCCCGCCGCAACTCGAGAAAAACCATGAGACTTCCCCCTAGAGGCGAGATGAGGCCCCATTCCCCTGCAGTGCATGCAGAGCTATTCCCTGATCCCATTCAAACAAGTCAGGAGCTTCGACTTGCTTAATGGATCTCGAGACAGTCCCCAAGAACACTGTCACCAGTCTAGACGGACCCTGAGGTCAACCAGCAAAGCAAAGCAGCTCCATGTGCCCCAAATCAACTCGAGATGAGGCCGGATTCCCCTGCATTGACTCCAGAGCCATTCCTTGTTCCCCATTCAACACGACCGGTGGCTCGACTTCCTTCAGGCAACTCCAGAGATGACCCGAGAACACTGTCCCAAGTCTAGAGGACCACCAACTTCGGCACAGCAACTCGAGGAATGCTCCGTGTACCCCAAATCGTCTCGAGATGAGAGCTGATTCCCTGGCTTAGGCTCAAGACGTATGCCACCTTTCCAGAAGCACCTCAGGAGGAGGCTTCTCTCAGCAATAGGTATGTGGGAGGGACTCCGAGTTTGCTGCCTCAAGGGGAATATACAGCGAGAAGCCCTAACTTGAAAGGAGGACGGATTTCCTTGCAGTGGCTTGAATACAGGCTCGTCTTTCATCTCACAACATGAAGGGATGTCTGAATCCCCTGTGGAGACCTTATAGAAAGCCCTAGGTCCCTGCCTCATTTTGACGGAATCCTCACATCCCGCTGACACCTCGAGAGGCACGCGGAGTTCATTGCTTCAAAAGGTGACGATGCCTGACTCCTCTTGAATACTGATAGGAATCCCAAAATCCCTGTTGCTACTGGAAAGGGTCCTTGGGTGCCCTGGCTCACCTCGAGAAGCGTCCCTTTTGCCCTGCCAAGCCTCGAAGAGATTGCTGAGGTGTCCCTCGTTACTAGACAGGAGTCCTGACGTCACGGAAGAAACTCGTGTTTTGAAGGGCCATCCCCGCCGTAAGTCGAGAACATACCCCAGGTCCCCGCCGCAACTCGAGAAAAACCATGAGACTTCCCCCTAGAGGCTAGATGAGTCCCCATTCCCCTGCAGTGCATGCAGAGCTATTCCGTGATCCCATTCAAACAAGTCAGGAGCTTCGACTTGCTTAATGGATCTCGAGGCAGTCCCCAAGAACACTGTCACCAGTCTAGACGGACCCTGAGGTCACCCAGCAATGCAAAGCAGCTCCATGTGCCCCAAATCAACTCGAGATGAGGCCGGATTCCCCTTCATTGACTCCAGAGCCATTCCTTGTTCCCCATTCAACACGACCGGTGGCTCGACTTCCTTCAGGCAACTCCAGAGATGACCCGAGAACACTGTCCCAAGTCTAGAGGACCACCAACTTCAGCACAGCAACTCGAGGAATGCTCAGTGTACCCCAAATCGTCTCGAGATGAGAGCTGATTCCCTGGCTTAGGCTCAAGACGTATGCCACCTTTCCAGAAGCACCTCAGGAGGAGGCTTCTCTCAGCAATAGGTATGTGGGAGGGACCCCGAGTTTGCTGCCTCAACGGCAATATACAGCGAGAAGCCCTAACTTGAAAGGAGGCCGGATTTCCTTGCAGTGGCTTGAATACAGGCTCGTCTTTCATCTCACAACATGAAGGGATGTCTGAATCCCCTGTGGAGACCTTAGAGAAAGCCCTAGGTCCCTGCCTCATTTTGACGGAATCCTCACATCCCGCTGACACCTCGAGAGGCACGCGGTGTTCATTGCTTCAAAAGGTGACGATGCCTGACTCCTCTTGAATACTTATAGGAATCCCAAAATCCCTGTGGCTACTGGAAAGGGTCCTTGGGTGCCCTGGCTCACCTCGAGAAGCGTCCCTTTTGCCCTGCCAAGCCTCGAAGAGATTGCTGAGGTGTCCCTCGTTACTAGGCAGGAGTCCTGACGTCACTGAAGAAACTCGTGTTTTGAAGGGCCATCCCCGCCGTAAGTCGAGAACATACCCCAGGTCCCCGCCGCAACTCGAGAAAAACCATGAGACTTCCCCCTAGAGGCGAGATGAGGCCCCATTCCCCTGCAGTGCATGCAGAGCTATTCCGTGATCCCATTCAAACAAGTCAGGAGCTTCGACTTGCTTAATGGATCTCGAGGCAGTCCCCAAGAACACTGTCACCAGTCTAGATGGACCCTGAGGTCACCCCAGCAACGCAAAGCAGCTCCAGTTGCCACAAATCAAATCGAGATGAGGCCCGATTCCCCTGCATTGACTCCAGAGCCATTCCCCGTTCCCCATTCAACACGACCGGTGGCTCGACTTCCTTCATGCAACTCTGGAGATGCCCAGAGAACACTGTCCCAAGTCTAGAGGAACACCAACTTCAGCACAGCAACTCGAGGAATGCTCTGTGTACCCCAAATCGTCTCGAGATGAGAGCTGATTCCCTGGCTTAGGCTCAAGACGTATGCCAACTTTCCAGAAGCACCTCAGGAGGAGGCTTCTCTCAACAATAGGTATGTGGGAGGGACTCCGAGTTTGCTGCCTCAAGGGGAATATACAGCGAGAAGCCCTAACTTGAAAGGAGGCCGGATTTCCTTGCAGTGGCTTGAATATAGGCTCGTCTTTCATCTCACAACATGAAGGGATGTCTGAATCCCCTGTGGAGACCTTAGAGAAAGCCCTAGGTCCCTGCCTCATTTTGACGGAATCCTCACATCCCGCTGACACCTCGAGAGGCACGCGGAGTTCATTGCTTCAAAAGGTGACGATGCCTGACTCCTCTTGAATACTGATAGGAATCCCAAAATCCCTGTTGCTACTGGAAAGGGTCCTTGGGTGCCCTGGCTCACCTCGAGAAGCGTCCCTTTTGCCCTGCCAAGCCTCGAAGAGATTGCTGAGGTGTCCCTCGTTACTAGACAGGAGTCCTGACGTCACGGAAGAAACTCGTGTTTTGAAGGGCCATCCCCGCGGTAAGTCGAGAACATACCCCAGGTCCCCGCCGCAACTCGAGAAAAACCATGAGACTTCCCCCTAGAGGCGAGATGAGGCCCCATTCCCCTGCAGTGCATGCAGAGCTATTCCGTGATCCCATTCAAACAAGTCAGGAGCTTCGACTTGCTTAATGGATATCGAGACAGTCCCCAAGAACACTGTCACCAGTCTAGTCGGACCCTGAGGTCAACCAGCAATGCAAAGCAGCTCCATGTGCCCCAAATCAACTCGAGATGAGGCCGGATTCCCCTGCATTGACACCAGAGCCATTCCTTGTTCCCCATTCAACATGACCGGTGGCTCGACTTCCTTCAGGCAACTCCAGAGATGACCGGAGAACACTGTCCCAAGTCTAGAGGACCACCAACTTCGGCACAGCAACTCGAGGAATGCTCCGTGTACCCCAAATCGTCTCGAGATGAGAGCTGATTCCCTGGCTTAGGCTCAAGACGTATGCCACCTTTCCAGAAGCACCTCAGGAGGAGGCTTCTCTCAGCAATAGGTATGTGGGAGGGACTCCGAGTTTGCTGCCTCAAGGGGAATATACAGCGAGAAGCCCTAACTTGAAAGGAGGCCGGATTTCCTTGCAGTGGCTTGAATACAGGCTCGTCTTTCATCTCACAACATGAAGGGATGTCTGAATCCCCTGTGGAGACCTTAGAGAAAGCCCTAGGTCCCTGCCTCATTTTGACGGAATCCTCACATCCCGCTGACACCTCGAGAGGCACCCGGAGTTCATTGCTTCAAAAGGTGACGATGCCTGACTCCTCTTGAATACTGATAGGAATCCCAAAATCCCTGTGGCTACTGGAAAGGGTCCTTGGGTGCCCTGGCTCACCTCGAGAAGCGTCCCTTTTGCCCTGCCAAGCCTCGAAGAGTTTGCTGAGGTGTCCCTCGTTACTAGACAGGAGTCCTGACATCACGGAAGAAACTCGTGTTTTGAAGGGCCATCCCCGCCGTAAGTCGAGAACATACCCCAGGTCCCCGCCGCAACTCGAGAAAAACCATGAGACTTCCCCCTAGAGGCGAGATGAGGCCCCATTCCCCTGCAGTGCATGCAGAGCTATTCCGTGATCCCATTCAAACAAGTCAGGAGCTTCGACTTGCTTAATGGATATCGAGACAGTCCCCAAGAACACTGTCACCAGTCTAGTCGGACCCTGAGGTCACCCAGCAATGCAAAGCAGCTCCATGTGCCCCAAATCAACTCGAGATGAGGCCGGATTCCCCTGCATTGACTCCAGAGCCATTCCTTGTTCCCCATTCAACACGACCGGTGGCTCGACTTCCTTCAGGCAACTCCAGAGATGCCCCGAGAACACTGTCCCAAGTCTAGAGGACCACCAACTTCAGCACAGCAACTCGAGGAATGATCTGTGTACCCCAAATCGTCTCGAGATGAGAGCTGATTCCCTGGCTTAGGCTCAAGACGTATGCCACCTTTCCAGAAGCACCTCAGGAGGAGGCTTCTCTCAGTAATAGGTATGTGGGAGGGACCCCGAGTTTGCTGCCTCAAGGGGAATATACAGCGAGAAGCCCTAACTTGAAAGGAGGCCGGATTTCCATGCAGTGGCTTGAATACAGGCTCGTCTTTCATCTCACAACATGAAGGGATGTCTGATTCCCCTGTGGAGACCTTAGAGAAAGCCCTAGGTCCCTGCCTCATTTTGATGGAATCCTCACATCCCGCTGACACGTCGAGAGGCACGCGGAGTTCATTGCTTCAAAAGGTGACGATGCATGACTCCTCTTGATTACTTATAGGAATCCCAAAATCCCTGTGGCTACTGGAAAGGGTCCTTGGGTGCCCTGGCTCACCTCGAGAAGCGTCCCTTTTGCCCTGCCAAGCCTCGAAGAGATTGCTGAGGTGTCCCTCGTTACTAGACAGGAGTCCTGACGTCACGGAAGAAACTCGTGTTTTGAAGGGCCATCCCCGCCGTAAGTCGAGAACATACCCCAGGTCCCCGCCGCAACTCGAGAAAAACCATGAGACTTCCCCCTAGAGGCGAGATGAGGCCCCATTCCCCTGCAGTGCATGCAGAGCTATTCCGTGATCCCATTCAAACAAGTCAGGAGCTTCGACTTGCTTAATGGATCTCGAGACAGTCCCCAAGAACACTGTCACCAGTCTAGACGGACCCTGAGGTCACCCAGCAATGCAAAGCAGCTCCATGTGCCCCAAATCAACTCGAGATGAGGCCGGATTCCCCTGCATTGACTCCAGAGCCATTCCTTGTTCCCCATTCAACACGACCGGTGGCTCGACTTCCTTCAGGCAACTCCAGAGATGCCCCGAGAACACTGTCCCAAGTCTAGAGGACCACCAACTTCAGCACAGCAACTCGAGGAATGCTCTGTGTATCCCAAATCGTCTCGAGATGAGAGCTGATTCCCTGGCTTAGGCTCAAGACGTATACCACCTTTCCAGAAGCACCTCAGGAGGAGGCTTCTCTCAGTAAAAGGTATGTGGGAGGGACCCCGAGTTTGCTGCCTCAAGGGGAATATACAGCAAGAAGCCCTAACTTGAAAGGAGGCCGGATTTCCATGCAGTGGCTTGAATACAGGCTCGTCTTTCATCTCACAACATGAAGGGATGTCTGATTCCCCTGTGGAGACCTTAGAGAAAGCCCTAGGTCCCTGCCTCATTTTGATGGAATCCTCACATCCCGCTGACACGTCGAGAGGCACGCGGAGTTCATTGCTTCAAAAGGTGACGATGCATCACTCCTCTTGATTACTTATACTAATCCCAAAATCCCTGTGGCTACTGGAAAGGGTCCTTGGGTGCCCTGGCTCACCTCGAGAAGCGTCCCTTTTGCCCTGCCAAGCCTCGAAGAGTTTGCTGAGGTGTCCCTCGTTACTAGACAGGAGTCCTGACGTCACGGAAGAAACTCGTGTTTTGAAGGGCCATCCCCGCCGTAAGTCGAGAACATACCCCAGGTCCCCGCCGCAACTCGAGAAAAACCATGAGACTTCCCCCTAGAGGCGAGATGAGGCCCCATTCCCCTGCAGTGCATGCAGAGCTATTCCGTGATCCCATTCAAACAAGTCAGGAGCTTCGACTTGCTTAATGGATATCGAGACAGTCCCCAAGAACACTGTCACCAGTCTAGTCGGACCCTGAGGTCACCCAGCAATGCAAAGCAGCTCCATGTGCCCCAAATCAACTCGAGATGAGGCCGGATTCCCCTGCATTGACTCCAGAGCCATTCCTTGTTCCCCATTCAACACGACCGGTGGCTCGACTTCCTTCAGGCAACTCCAGAGATGCCCCGAGAACACTGTCCCAAGTCTAGAGGACCACCAACTTCAGCACAGCAACTCGAGGAATGATCTGTGTACCCCAAATCGTCTCGAGATGAGAGCTGATTCCCTGGCTTAGGCTAAAGACGTATGCCACCTTTCCAGAAGCACCTCAGGAGGAGGCTTCTCTCAGTAATAGGTATGTGGGAGGGACCCCGAGTTTGCTGCCTCAAGGGGAATATACAGCGAGAAGCCCTAACTTGAAAGGAGGCCGGATTTCCATGCAGTGGCTTGAATACAGGCTCGTCTTTCATCTCACAACATGAAGGGATGTCTGATTCCCCTGTGGAGACCTTAGAGAAAGCCCTAGGTCCCTGCCTCATTTTGATGGAATCCTCACATCCCGCTGACACGTCGAGAGGCACGCGGAGTTCATTGCTTCAAAAGGTGACGATGCATGACTCCTCTTGATTACTTATAGGAATCCCAAAATCCCTGTGGCTACTGGAAAGGGTCCTTGGGTGCCCTGGCTCACCTCGAGAAGCGTCCCTTTTGCCCTGCCAAGCCTCGAAGAGATTGCTGAGGTGTCCCTCGTTACTAGACAGGAGTCCTGACGTCACGGAAGAAACTCGTGTTTTGAAGGGCCATCCCCGCCGTAAGTCGAGAACATACCCCAGGTCCCCGCCGCAACTCGAGAAAAACCATGAGACTTCCCCCTAGAGGCGAGATGAGGCCCCATTCCCCTGCAGTGCATGCAGAGCTATTCCGTGATCCCATTCAAACAAGTCAGGAGCTTCGACTTGCTTAATGGATCTCGAGACAGTCCCCAAGAACACTGTCACCAGTCTAGACGGACCCTGAGGTCACCCAGCAATGCAAAGCAGCTCCATGTGCCCCAAATCAACTCGAGATGAGGCCGGATTCCCCTGCATTGACTCCAGAGCCATTCCTTGTTCCCCATTCAACACGACCGGTGGCTCGACTTCCTTCAGGCAACTCCAGAGATGCCCCGAGAACACTGTCCCAAGTCTAGAGGACCACCAACTTCAGCACAGCAACTCGAGGAATGCTCTGTGTATCCCAAATCGTCTCGAGATGAGAGCTGATTCCCTGGCTTAGGCTCAAGACGTATACCACCTTTCCAGAAGCACCTCAGGAGGAGGCTTCTCTCAGTAATAGGTATGTGGGAGGGACCCCGAGTTTGCTGCCTCAAGGGGAATATACAGCAAGAAGCCCTAACTTGAAAGGAGGCCGGATTTCCATGCAGTGGCTTGAATACAGGCTCGTCTTTCATCTCACAACATGAAGGGATGTCTGATTCCCCTGTGGAGACCTTAGAGAAAGCCCTAGGTCCCTGCCTCATTTTGATGGAATCCTCACATCCCGCTGACACGTCGAGAGGCACGCGGAGTTCATTGCTTCAAAAGGTGACGATGCATCACTCCTCTTGATTACTTATACTAATCCCAAAATCCCTGTGGCTACTGGAAAGGGTCCTTGGGTGCCCTGGCTCACCTCGAGAAGCGTCCCTTTTGCCCTGCCAAGCCTCGAAGAGATTGCTGAGGTGTCCCTCGTTTCTAGACAGGAGTCCTGACGTCACGGAAGAAACTCGTGTTTTGAAGGGCCATCCCCGCCGTAAGTCGAGAACATACCCCAGGTCCCCTCCGCAACTCGAGAAAAACCATGAGACTTCCCCCTATAGGCGAGATGAGGCCCCATTCCCCTGCAGTGCATGCAGAGCTATTCCGTGATCCCATTCAAACAAGTCAGGAGCTTCGACTTGCTTAATGGATCTCGAGACAGTCCCCAAGAACACTGTCACCAGTCTAGACGGACCCTGAGGTCACCTCAGCAACGCAAAGCAGCTCCATGTGCCCCAAATCAACTCGAGATGAGGCCCGATTCCCCTGCATTGACTCCAGAGCCATTCCCCGTTCCCCGTTCAACACGAACGGTGGCTCGCCTTCCTTCAGGCAACTCCAGAGATGCCCCGAGAACACTGTCTCAAGTCTAGAGGAACACCAACTTCAGCACAGCAACTCGAGGAATGCTCTGTGTACCCCAAATCGTCTCGAGATGAGAGCTGATTCCCTGGCTTAGGCTCAAGACGTATGCCAAATTTCCAGAAGCACCTCAGGAGGAGGCTTCTCAGAAATAGGTATGTGGGAGGGACTCCGACTATGCTGCCTCAAGGGGAATATACAGCGAGAAGCCCTAACTTGAAAGGAGGCCAGATTTCCTTGCAGTAGCTTGAATACAGGCTTGTCTTTCATCTCACAACATGAAGGGATGTCTGAATCCCCTGTGGAGACCTTAGAGAAAGCCCTAGGTCCCTGCCTCATTTTGACGGAATGCCTCACATCTCGCTGATACCTCGAGAGGCACACGGAGTTCATTGCTTCAAAAGGTGACGATGCCTGACTCCTCTTGAATACTGATAGGAATCCCAAAATCCCTGTGGCTACTGGAAAGGGTCCTTGGGTTCCCTGGCTCACCTCGAGAAGCGTCCCTTTTGCCCTGCCAAGCCTCGAAGAGATTGCTGATGTGTCCCTTGTTACTAGACAGGAGTCCTGACGTCACTGAAGAAACTCGTGTTTTGAAGGGCCATCCCCGCCGTAAGTCGAGAACATACCCCAGGTCTCCGCCGCAACTCGAGAAAAACCATGAGACTTCCCCCTAGAGGCGAGATGAGGCCCCATTCCCCTGCAGTGCATGCAGAGCTATTCCGTGATCCCATTCAAACAAGTCAGGAGCTTCGACTTGCTTAATGGATCTCGAGACAGTCCCCAAGAACACTGTCACCAGTCTAGACGGACCCTGAGGTCACCCAGCAATGCAAAGCAGTTCCATGTGCCCCAAATCAACTCGAGATGAGGCCGGATTCCCCTGCATTGACTCCAGAGCCATTCCTTGTTCCCCATTCAACACGACCGGTGGCTCGACTTCCTTCAGGCAACTCCAGAGATGCCCCGAGAACACTCTCCCAAGTCTAGAGGACCACCAACTTCAGCACAGCAACTCGAGGAATGCTCTGTGTACCCCAAATCATCTCGAGATGAGAGCTGATTCCCTGGCTTAGGCTCAAGACGTATGCCAACTTTCCAGAAGCACCTCAGGAGGAGGCTTCTCAGCAATAGGTATGTGGGAGGGACTCCGAGTTTGCTGCCTCAAGGGCAATATACAGCGAGAAGCCCTAACTTGAAAGGAGGCCGGATTTCCTTGCAGTAGCTTGAATACAGGCTTGTCTTTCATCTCACAACATGAAGGGATGTCTGAATCCCCTGTGGAGACTTTAGAGAAAGCCCTAGGTCCCTGCCTCATTTTGACGGAATCCTCACATCCCACTGACACCTCGAGAGGCACGCGGAGTTCATTGCTTCAAAAGGTGAGGATGCCTGACTCCTCTTGAATACTGATAGGAATCCCAAAATCCCTGTGGCTACTGGAAAGGGTCCTTGGGTGCCCTGCGTCACCTCGAGAAGCGTCCCTTTTGCCCTGCCAAGCCTCGAAGAGATTCCTGAGGTGTCCCTCGTTACTATGCCGGAGTCCTGACGTCACTGAAGAAACTCGTGTTTTGAAGGGCCATCCCCGCCGTAAGTTGAGAACATACCCCAGGTCCCCGCCGCAACTCGAGAAAAACCATGAGACTTCCCCCTAGAGGCGAGATGAGGCCCCATTCCCCTGCAGTGCATGCAGAGCTATTCCGTGATCCCATTCAAACAAGTCAGGAGCTTCGACTTGCTTAATGGATCTCGAGGCAGTCCCCAAGAACACTGTCAACAGTCTAGACGGAACCTGAGGTCACCCCAGCAACGCAAAGCAGCTCCAGGTGCCACAAATCAACTCGAGATGAGGCCCGATTCCCCTGCATTGACTCCAGAGCCATTCCCCATTCCCCATTTAACACGACCGGTGGCTCGCCTTCCTTCAGGCAACTCCAGAGATGCCCCGAGAACACTGTCCCAAGTCTAGAGGAACACCAACTTCAGCACAGCAACTCGAGGAATGATCTGTGTACCCCAAATCGTCTCGAGATGAGAGCTGATTCCCTGGCTTAGGCTCAAGACGTATGCCAACTTTCCAGAAGCACCTCAGGAGGAGGCTTCTCAGCAATAGGTATGTGGGAGGGACTCCGAGTTTGCTGCCTCAAGGGCAATATACAGCGAGAAGCCCTAACTTGAAAGGAGGCCGGATTTCCTTGCAGTAGCTTGAATACAGGCTTGTCTTTCATCTCACAACATGAAGGGATGTCTGAATCCCCTGTGGAGACCTTAGAGAAAGCCCTAGGTCCCTGCCTCATTTTGACGGAATGCCTCACATCCCGCTGACACCTCGAGAGGCACGCGGAGTACATTGTTTCAAAAGGTGACGATGCATGACTCCTCTTGATTACTTATAGGAATCCCAAAATCCCTGTGGCTACTGGCAAGGGTCCTTGGGTGCCCTGGCTCACCTCAAGAAGCGTCCCTTTTGCCCTGCCAAGCCTCGAAGAGATTCCTGAGGTGTCCCTCGTTACTAGACAGGAGTCCTGACGTCACTGAAGAAACTCGTATTTTGAAGGGCCATCCCCGCCGTAAGTCGAGAACATACCCCAGGTCCCCGCCGCAACTCGAGAAAAACCATGAGACTTCCCCCTAGAGGCGAGATGACGCCCCATTCCTCTGCAGTGCATGCAGAGCTATTCCGTGATCCCATTCAAACAAGTCAGGAGCTTCGACTTGCTTAATGGATCTCGACACAGTCCCCAAGAACACTTTTACCAGTCTAGACGGACCCTGAGGTCACCCAGCAATGCAAAGCAGCTCCATGTGCCCCAAATCAACTCGAGATGAGGCCGGATTCCCCTGCATTGACTCCAGAGCCATTCCTTGTTCCCCATTCAACACGACCGGTGGCTCGACTTCCTTCAGGCAACTCCAGAGATGCCCCGAGAACACTGTCCCAAGTCTAGAGGACCACCAACTTCAGCACAGCAACTCGAGGAATGCTCTGTGTACCCCAAATCGTCTCGAGATGAGAGCTGATTCCCTGGCTTAGGCTCAAGACGTATGCCACCTTTCCAGAAGCACCTCAGGAGGAGGCTTCTCTCAGTAATAGGTATGTGGGAGGGACCCCGAGTTTGCTGCCTCAAGGGGAATATACAGCGAGAAGCCCTAACTTGAAAGGAGGCCGGATTTCCATGCAGTGGCTTGAATACAGGCTCGTCTTTCATCTCACAACATGAAGGGATGTCTGAATCCCCTGTGGAGACCTTAGAGAAAGCCCTAGGTCCCTGCCTCATTTTGACGGAATACTCACATCCCGCTGACACGTCGAGAGGCACGCGGAGTTCATTGCTTCAAAAGGTGACGATGCATGACTCCTCTTGATTACTTATAGGAATCCCAAAATCCCTGTGGCTACTGGAAAGGGTCCTTGGGTGCCCTGGCTCACCTCGAGAAGCGTCCCTTTTGCCCTGCCAAGCCTCGAAGAGATTGCTGAGGTGTCCCTCGTTACTAGACAGGAGTCCTGACGTCACTGAAGAAACTCGTGTTTTGAAGGGCCATCCCCGCCGTAAGTCGAGAATATACCCCAGGTCCCCGCCGCAACTCGAGAAAAACCATGAGACTTCCCCCTAGAGGCGAGATGAGGCCCCATTCCCCTGCAGTGCATGCAGAGCTATTCCCTGATCCCATTCAAACAAGTCAGGAGCTTCGACTTGCTTAATGGATCTCGAGACAGTCCCCAAGAACACTGTCACCAGTCTAGACGGACCCTGAGGTCAACCAGCAATGCAAAGCAGCTCCATGTGCCCCAAATCAACTCGAGATGAGGCCGGATTCCCCTGCATTGACTCCAAAGCCATTCCTTGTTCCCCATTCAACACGACCGGTGGCTCGACTTCCTTCAGGCAACTCCAGAGATGACCCGAGAACACTGTCCCAAGTCTAGAGGACCACCAACTTCGGCACAGCAACTCGAGGAATGCTCCGTGTACCCCAAATCGTCTCGAGATGAGAGCTGATTCCCTGGCTTAGGCTCAAGACGTATGCCACCTTTCCAGAAGCACCTCAGGAGGAGGCTTCTCTCAGCAATAGGTATGTGGGAGGGACTCCGAGTTTGCTGCCTCAAGGGGAATATACAGCGAGAAGCCCTAACTTGAAAGGAGGACGGATTTCCTTGCAGTGGCTTGAATACAGGCTCGTCTTTCATCTCACAACATGAAGGGATGTCTGAATCCCCTGTGGAGACCTTATAGAAAGCCCTAGGTCCCTGCCTCATTTTGACGGAATCCTCACATCCCGCTGACACCTCGAGAGGCACCCGGAGTTCATTGCTTCAAAAGGTGACGATGCCTGACTCCTCTTGAATACTGATAGGAATCCCAAAATCCCTGTGGCTACTGGAAAGGGTCCTTGGGTGCCCTGGCTCACCTCGAGAAGCGTTCCTTTTGCCCTGCCAAGCCTCGAAGAGTTTGCTGAGGTGTCCCTCGTTACTAGACAGGAGTCCTGACGTCACGGAAGAAACTCGTGTTTTGAAGGGCCATCCCCGCCGTAAGTCGAGAACATACCCCAGGTCCCCGCCGCAACTCGAGAAAAACCATGAGACTTCCCCCTAGAGGCGAGATGAGGCCCCATTCCCCTGCAGTGCATGCAGAGCTATTCCGTGATCCCATTCAAACAAGTCAGGAGCTTCGACTTGCTTAATGGATATCGAGACAGTCCCCAAGAACACTGTCACCAGTCTAGTCGGACCCTGAGGTCACCCAGCAATGCAAAGCAGCTCCATGTGCCCCAAATCAACTCGAGATGAGGCCGGATTCCCCTGCATTGACTCCAGAGCCATTCCTTGTTCCCCATTCAACACGACCGGTGGCTCGACTTCCTTCAGGCAACTCCAGAGATGCCCCGAGAACACTGTCCCAAGTCTAGAGGACCACCAACTTCAGCACAGCAACTCGAGGAATGATCTGTGTACCCCAAATCGTCTCGAGATGAGAGCTGATTCCCTGGCTTAGGCTCAAGACGTATGCCACCTTTCCAGAAGCACCTCAGGAGGAGGCTTCTCTCAGTAATAGGTATGTGGGAGGGACCCCGAGTTTGCTGCCTCAAGGGGAATATACAGCGAGAAGCCCTAACTTGAAAGGAGGCCGGATTTCCATGCAGTGGCTTGAATACAGGCTCGTCTTTCATCTCACAACATGAAGGGATGTCTGATTCCCCTGTGGAGACCTTAGAGAAAGCCCTAGGTCCCTGCCTCATTTTGATGGAATCCTCACATCCCGCTGACACGTCGAGAGGCACGCGGAGTTCATTGCTTCAAAAGGTGACGATGCATGACTCCTCTTGATTACTTATAGGAATCCCAAAATCCCTGTGGCTACTGGAAAGGGTCCTTGGGTGCCCTGGCTCACCTCGAGAAGCGTCCCTTTTGCCCTGCCAAGCCTCGAAGAGATTGCTGAGGTGTCCCTCGTTACTAGACAGGAGTCCTGACGTCACGGAAGAAACTCGTGTTTTGAAGGGCCATCCCCGCCGTAAGTCGAGAACATACCCCAGGTCCCCGCCGCAACTCGAGAAAAACCATGAGACTTCCCCCTAGAGGCGAGATGAGGCCCCATTCCCCTGCAGTGCATGCAGAGCTATTCCGTGATCCCATTCAAACAAGTCAGGAGCTTCGACTTGCTTAATGGATCTCGAGACAGTCCCCAAGAACACTGTCACCAGTCTAGACGGACCCTGAGGTCACCCAGCAATGCAAAGCAGCTCCATGTGCCCCAAATCAACTCGAGATGAGGCCGGATTCCCCTGCATTGACTCCAGAGCCATTCCTTGTTCCCCATTCAACACGACCGGTGGCTCGACTTCCTTCAGGCAACTCCAGAGATGCCCCGAGAACACTGTCCCAAGTCTAGAGGACCACCAACTTCAGCACAGCAACTCGAGGAATGCTCTGTGTATCCCAAATCGTCTCGAGATGAGAGCTGATTCCCTGGCTTAGGCTCAAGACGTATACCACCTTTCCAGAAGCACCTCAGGAGGAGGCTTCTCTCAGTAATAGGTATGTGGGAGGGACCCCGAGTTTGCTGCCTCAAGGGGAATATACAGCAAGAAGCCCTAACTTGAAAGGAGGCCGGATTTCCATGCAGTGGCTTGAATACAGGCTCGTCTTTCATCTCACAACATGAAGGGATGTCTGATTCCCCTGTGGAGACCTTAGAGAAAGCCCTAGGTCCCTGCCTCATTTTGATGGAATCCTCACATCCCGCTGACACGTCGAGAGGCACGCGGAGTTCATTGCTTCAAAAGGTGACGATGCATCACTCCTCTTGATTACTTATACTAATCCCAAAATCCCTGTGGCTACTGGAAAGGGTCCTTGGGTGCCCTGGCTCACCTCGAGAAGCGTCCCTTTTGCCCTGCCAAGCCTCGAAGAGATTGCTGAGGTGTCCCTCGTTTCTAGACAGGAGTCCTGACGTCACGGAAGAAACTCGTGTTTTGAAGGGCCATCCCCGCCGTAAGTCGAGAACATACCCCAGGTCCCCGCCGCAACTCGAGAAAAACCATGAGACTTCCCCCTATAGGCGAGATGAGGCCCCATTCCCCTGCAGTGCATGCAGAGCTATTCCGTGATCCCATTCAAACAAGTCAGGAGCTTCGACTTGCTTAATGGATCTCGAGACAGTCCCCAAGAACACTGTCACCAGTCTAGACGGACCCTGAGGTCACCTCAGCAACGCAAAGCAGCTCCATGTGCCCCAAATCAACTCGAGATGCGGCCCGATTCCCCTGCATTGACTCCAGAGCCATTCCCCGTTCCCCGTTCAACACGAACGGTGGCTCGCCTTCCTTCAGGCAACTCCAGAGATGCCCCGAGAACACTGTCTCAAGTCTAGAGGAACACCAACTTCAGCACAGCAACTCGAGGAATGCTCTGTGTACCCCAAATCGTCTCGAGATGAGAGCTGATTCCCTGGCTTAGGCTCAAGACGTATGCCAAATTTCCAGAAGCACCTCAGGAGGAGGCTTCTCAGAAATAGGTATGTGGGAGGGACTCCGACTATGCTGCCTCAAGGGGAATATACAGCGAGAAGCCCTAACTTGAAAGGAGGCCAGATTTCCTTGCAGTAGCTTGAATACAGGCTTGTCTTTCATCTCACAACATGAAGGGATGTCTGAATCCCCTGTGGAGACCTTAGAGAAAGCCCTAGGTCCCTGCCTCATTTTGACGTAATGCCTCACATCTCGCTGATACCTCGAGAGGCACACGGAGTTCATTGCTTCAAAAGGTGACGATGCCTGACTCCTCTTGAATACTGATAGGAATCCCAAAATCCCTGTGGCTACTGGAAAGGGTCCTTGGGTTCCCTGGCTCACCTCGAGAAGCGTCCCTTTTGCCCTGCCAAGCCTCGAAGAGATTGCTGATGTGTCCCTCGTTACTAGACAGGAGTCCTGACGTCACTGAAGAAACTCGTGTTTTGAAGGGCCATCCCCGCCGTAAGTCGAGAATATACCCCAGGTCTCCGCCGCAACTCGAGAAAAACCATGAGACTTCCCCCTAGAGGCGAGATGAGGCCCCATTCCCCTGCAGTGCATGCAGAGCTATTCCCTGATCCCATTCAAACAAGTCAGGAGCTTCGACTTGCTTAATGGATCTCGAGACAGTCCCCAAGAACACTGTCACCAGTCTAGACGGACCCTGAGGTCAACCAGCAATGCAAAGCAGCTCCATGTGCCCCAAATCAACTCGAGATGAGGCCGGATTCCCCTGCATTGACACCAGAGCCATTCTTGTTCCCCATTCAACACGACCGGTGGCTCGACTTCCTTCAGGCAACTCCAGAGATGACCGGAGAACACTGTCCCAAGTCTAGAGGACCACCAACTTCGGCACAGCAACTCGAGGAATGCTCCGTGTACCCCAAATCGTCTCGAGATGAGAGCTGATTCCCTGGCTTAGGCTCAAGACGTATGCCACCTTTCCAGAAGCACCTCAGGAGGAGGCTTCTCTCAGCAATAGGTATGTGGGAGGGACTCCGAGTTTGCTGCCTCAAGGGGAATATACAGCGAGAAGCCCTAACTTGAAAGGAGGCCGGATTTCCTTGCAGTGGCTTGAATACAGGCTCGTCTTTCATCTCACAACATGAAGGGATGTCTGAATCCCCTGTGGAGACCTTAGAGAAAGCCCTAGGTCCCTGCCTCATTTTGACGGAATCCTCACATCCCGCTGACACCTCGAGAGGCACGCGGAGTTCATTGCTTCAAAAGGTGACGATGCCTGACTCCTCTTGAATACTGATAGGAATCCCAAAATCCCTGTGGCTACTGGAAAGGGTCCTTGGGTGCCCTGGCTCACCTCGAGAAGCGTCCCTTTTGCCCTGCCAAGCCTCGAAGAGATTGCTGAGGTGTCCCTCGTTACTAGACAGGAGTCCTGACGTCACGGAAGAAACTCGTGTTTTGAAGGGCCATCCCCGCCGTAAGTCGAGAACATACCCCAGGTCCCCGCCGCAACTCGAGAAAAACCATGAGACTTCCCCCTAGAGGCGAGATGAGGCCCCATTCCCCTGCAGTGCATGCAGAGCTATTCCGTGATCCCATTCAAACAAGTCAGGAGCTTCGACTTGCTTAATGGATCTCGAGACAGTCCCCAAGAACACTGTCACCAGTCTAGACGGACCCTGAGGTCACCCAGCAATGCAAAGCAGCTCCATGTGCCCCAAATCAACTCGAGATGAGGCCGGATTCCCCTGCATTGACTCCAGAGCCATTCCTTGTTCCCCATTCAACACGACCGGTGGCTCGACTTCCTTCAGGCAACTCCAGAGATGCCCCGAGAACACTGTCCCAAGTCTAGAGGACCACCAACTTCAGCACAGCAACTCGAGGAATGCTCTGTGTATCCCAAATCGTCTCGAGATGAGAGCTGATTCCCTGGCTTAGGCTCAAGACGTATGCCACCTTTCCAGAAGCACCTCAGGAGGAGGCTTCTCTCAGTAATAGGTATGTGGGAGGGACCCCGAGTTTGCTGCCTCAAGGGGAATATACAGCGAGAAGCCCTAACTTGAAAGGAGGCCGGATTTCCATGCAGTGGCTTGAATACAGGCTCGTCTTTCATCTCACAACATGAAGGGATGTCTGATTCCCCTGTGGAGACCTTAGAGAAAGCCCTAGGTCCCTGCCTCATTTTGATGGAATCCTCACATCCCGCTGACACGTCGAGAGGCACGCGGAGTTCATTGCTTCAAAAGGTGACGATGCATCACTCCTCTTGATTACTTATACTAATCCCAAAATCCCTGTGGCTACTGGAAAAGGTCCTTGGGTGCCCTGGCTCACCTCGAGAAGCGTCCCTTTTGCCCTGCCAAGCCTCGAAGAGATTGCTGAGGTGTCCCTCGTTTCTAGACAGGAGTCCTGACGTCACGGAAGAAACTCGTGTTTTGAAGGGCCATCCCCGCCGTAAGTCGAGAACATACCCCAGGTCCCCGCCGCAACTCGAGAAAAACCATGAGACTTCCCCCTATAGGCGAGATGAGGCCCCATTCCCCTGCAGTGCATGCAGAGCTATTCCGTGATCCCATTCAAACAAGTCAGGAGCTTCGACTTGCTTAATGGATCTCGAGACAGTCCCCAAGAACACTGTCACCAGTCTAGACGGACCCTGAGGTCACCTCAGCAACGCAAAGCAGCTCCATGTGCCCCAAATCAACTCGAGATGAGGCCCGATTCCCCTGCATTGACTCCAGAGCCATTCCCCGTTCCCCGTTCAACACGAACGGTGGCTCGCCTTCCTTCAGGCAACTCCAGAGATGCCCCGAGAACACTGTCTCAAGTCTAGAGGAACAGCAACTTCAGCACAGCAACTCGAGGAATGCTCTGTGTACCCCAAATCGTCTCGAGATGAGAGCTGATTCCCTGGCTTAGGCTCAAGACGTATGCCAAATTTCCAGAAGCACCTCAGGAGGAGGCTTCTCAGAAATAGGTATGTGGGAGGGACTCCGACTATGCTGCCTCAAGGGGAATATACAGCGAGAAGCCCTAACTTGAAAGGAGGCCAGATTTCCTTGCAGTAGCTTGAATACAGGCTTGTCTTTCATCTCACAACATGAAGGGATGTCTGAATCCCCTGTGGAGACCTTAGAGAAAGCCCTAGGTCCCTGCCTCATTTTGACGGAATGCCTCACATCTCGCTGATACCTCGAGAGGCACACGGAGTTCATTGCTTCAAAAGGTGACGATGCCTGACTCCTCTTGAATACTGATATTAATCCCAAAATCCCTGTGGCTACTGGAAAGGGTCCTTGGGTTCCCTGGCTCACCTCGAGAAGCATCCCTTTTGCCCTGCCAAGCCTCGAAGAGATTGCTGATGTGTCCCTCGTTACTAGACAGGAGTCCTGACGTCACTGAAGAAACTCGTGTTTTGAAGGGCCATCCCCGCCGTAAGTCGAGAACATACCCCAGGTCTCCGCCGCAACTCGAGAAAAACCATGAGACTTCCCCCTAGAGGCGAGATGAGGCCCCATTCCCCTGCAGTGCATGCAGAGCTATTCCGTGATCCCATTCAAACAAGTCAGGAGCTTCGACTTGCTTAATGGATCTCGAGACAGTCCCCAAGAACACTGTCACCAGTCTAGACGGACCCTGAGGTCACCCAGCAATGCAAAGCAGTTCCATGTGCCCCAAATCAACTCGAGATGAGGCCGGATTCCCCTGCATTGACTCCAGAGCCATTCCTTGTTCCCCATTCAACACGACCGGTGGCTCGACTTCCTTCAGGCAACTCCAGAGATGCCCCGAGAACACTGTCCCAAGTCTAGAGGACCACCAACTTCAGCACAGCAACTCGAGGAATGCTCTGTGTACCCCAAATCATCTCGAGATGAGAGCTGATTCCCTGGCTTAGGCTCAAGACGTATGCCAACTTTCCAGAAGCACCTCAGGAGGAGGCTTCTCAGCAATAGGTATGTGGGAGGGACTCCGAGTTTGCTGCCTCAAGGGCAATATACAGCGAGAAGCCCTAACTTGAAAGGAGGCCGGATTTCCTTGCAGTAGCTTGAATACAGGCTTGTCTTTCATCTCACAACATGAAGGGATGTCTGAATCCCCTGTGGAGACCTTAGAGAAAGCCCTAGGTCCCTGCCTCATTTTGACGGAATCCTCACATCCCACTGAAACCTCGAGAGGCACGCGGAGTTCATTGCTTCAAAAGGTGAGGATGCCTGACTCCTCTTGAATACTGATAGGAATCCCAAAATCCCTGTGGCTACTGGAAAGGGTCCTTGGGTGCCCTGGCTCACCTCGAGAAGCGTCCCTTTTGCCCTGCCAAGCCTCGAAGAGATTCCTGAGGTGTCCCTCGTTACTATGCCGGAGTCCTGACGTCACTGAAGAAACTCGTGTTTTGAAGGGCCATCCCCGCCGTAAGTTGAGAACATACCCCAGGTTCCCGCCGCAACTCGAGAAAAACCATGAGACTTCCCCCTAGAGGCGAGATGAGGCCCCATTCCCCTGCAGTGCATGCAGAGCTATTCCGTGATCCCATTCAAACAAGTCAGGAGCTTCGACTTGCTTAATGGATCTCGAGGCAGTCCCCAAGAACACTGTCAACAGTCTAGACGGAACCTGAGGTCACCCCAGCAACGCAAAGCAGCTCCAGGTGCCACAAATCAACTCGAGATGAGGCCCGATTCCCCTAAATTGACTCCAGAGCCATTCCCCATTCCCCATTTAACACGACCGGTGGCTCGCCTTCCTTCAGGCAACTCCAGAGATGCCCCGAGAACACTGTCCCAAGTCTAGAGGAACACCAACTTCAGCACAGCAACTCGAGGAAAGATCTGTGTACCCCAAATCGTCTCGAGATGAGAGCTGATTCCCTGGCTTAGGCTCAAGACGTATGCCAACTTTCCAGAAGCACCTCAGGAGGAGGCTTCTCAGCAATAGGTATGTGGGAGGGACTCCGAGTTTGCTGCCTCAAGGGCAATATACAGCGAGAAGCCCTAACTTGAAAGGAGGCCGGATTTCCTTGCAGTAGCTTGAATACAGGCTTGTCTTTCATCTCACAACATGAAGGGATGTCTGAATCCCCTGTGGAGACCTTAGAGAAAGCCCTAGGTCCCTGCCTCATTTTGACGGAATGCCTCACATCCCGCTGACACCTCGAGAGGCACGCGGAGTACATTGCTTCAAAAGGTGACGATGCATGACTCCTCTTGATTACTTATAGGAATCCCAAAATCCCTGTGGCTACTGCGAAGGGTCCTTGGGTGCCCTGGCTCACCTCAAGAAGCGTCCCTTTTGCCCTGCCAAGCCTCGAAGAGATTCCTGAGGTGTCCCTCGTTACTAGACAGGAGTCCTGACGTCACTGAAGAAACTCGTATTTTGAAGGGCCATCCCCGCCGTAAGTCGAGAACATACCCCAGGTCCCCGCCGCAACTCGAGAAAAACCATGAGACTTCCCCCTAGAGGCGAGATGAGGCCCCATTCCCCTGCAGTGCATGCAGAGCTATTCCGTGATCCCATTCAAACAAGTCAGGAGCTTCGACTTGCTTAATGGATCTCGACACAGTCCCCAAGAACACTGTTACCAGTCTAGACGGACCCTGAGGTCACCCAGCAATGCAAAGCAGCTCCATGTGCCCCAAATCAACTCGAGATGAGGCCGGATTCCCCTGCATTGACTCCAGAGCCATTCCTTGTTCCCCATTCAACACGACCGGTGGCTCGACCTCCTTCAGGCAACTCCAGAGATGCCCCGAGAACACTGTCCCAAGTCTAGAGGACCACCAACTTCAGCACAGCAACTCGAGGAATGCTCTGTGTACCCCAAATCGTCTCGAGATGAGAGCTGATTCCCTGGCTTAGGCTCAAGACGTATGCCACCTTTCCAGAAGCACCTCAGGAGGAGGCTTCTCTCAGTAATAGGTATGTGGGAGGGACCCCGAGTTTGCTGCCTCAAGGGGAATATACAGCGAGAAGCCCTAACTTGAAAGGAGGCCGGATTTCCATGCAGTGGCTTGAATACAGGCTCGTCTTTCATCTCACAACATGAAGGGATGTCTGAATCCCCTGTGGAGACCTTAGAGAAAGCCCTAGGTCCCTGCCTCATTTTGACGGAATACTCACATCCCGCTGACACGTCGAGAGGCACGCGGAGTTCATTGCTTCAAAAGGTGACGATGCATGACTCCTCTTGATTACTTATAGGAATCCCAAAATCCCTGTGGCTACTGGAAAGGGTCCTTGGGTGCCCTGGCTCACCTCGAGAAGCGTCCCTTTTGCCCTGCCAAGCCTCGAAGAGATTGCTGAGGTGTCCCTCGTTACTAGACAGGAGTCCTGACGTCACTGAAGAAACTCGTGTTTTGAAGGGCCATCCCCGCCGTAAGTCGAGAATATACCCCAGGTCCCCGCCGCAACTCGAGAAAAACCATGAGACTTCCCCCTAGAGGCGAGATGAGGCCCCATTCCCCTGCAGTGCATGCAGAGCTATTCCCTGATCCCATTCAAACAAGTCAGGAGCTTCGACTTGCTTAATGGATCTCGAGACAGTCCCCAAGAACACTGTCACCAGTCTAGACGGACCCTGAGGTCAACCAGCAATGCAAAGCAGCTCCATGTGCCCCAAATCAACTCGAGATGAGGCCGGATTCCCCTGCATTGACTCCAGAGCCATTCCTTGTTCCCCATTCAACACGACCGGTGGCTCGACCTCCTTCAGGCAACTCCAGAGATGCCCCGAGAACACTGTCCCAAGTCTAGAGGACCACCAACTTCAGCACAGCAACTCGAGGAATGCTCTGTGTACCCCAAATCGTCTCGAGATGAGAGCTGATTCCCTGGCTTAGGCTCAAGACGTATGCCACCTTTCCAGAAGCACCTCAGGAGGAGGCTTCTCTCAGTAATAGGTATGTGGGAGGGACCCCGAGTTTGCTGCCTCAAGGGGAATATACAGCGAGAAGCCCTAACTTGAAAGGAGGCCGGATTTCCATGCAGTGGCTTGAATACAGGCTCGTCTTTCATCTCACAACATGAAGGGATGTCTGAATCCCCTGTGGAGACCTTAGAGAAAGCCCTAGGTCCCTGCCTCATTTTGACGGAATCCTCACATCCCGCTGACACCTCGAGAGGCACGCGGAGTTGATTGCTTCAAAAGGTGACGATGCCTGACTCCTCTTGAATACTGATAGGAATCCCAAAATCCCTGTTGCTACTGGAAAGGGTCCTTGGGTGCCCTGGCTCACCTCGAGAAGCGTCCCTTTTGCCCTGCCAAGCCTCGAAGAGATTGCTGAGGTGTCCCTCGTTACTAGACAGGAGTCCTGACGTCACTGAAGAAACTCGTGTTTTGAAGGGCCATCCCCGCCGTAAGTCGAGAATATACCCCAGGTCCCCGCCGCAACTCGAGAAAAACCATGAGACTTCCCCCTAGAGGCGAGATGAGGCCCCATTCCCCTGCAGTGCATGCAGAGCTATTCCCTGATCCCATTCAAACAAGTCAGGAGCTTCGACTTGCTTAATGGATCTCGAGACAGTCCCCAAGAACACTGTCACCAGTCTAGACGGACCCTGAGGTCAACCAGCAATGCAAAGCAGCTCCATGTGCCCCAAATCAACTCGAGATGAGGCCGGATTCCCCTGCATTGACTCCAGAGCCATTCCTTGTTCCCCATTCAACACGACCGGTGGCTCGACTTCCTTCAGGCAACTCCAGAGATGACCCGAGAACACTGTCCCAAGTCTAGAGGACCACCAACTTCGGCACAGCAACTCGAGGAATGCTCCGTGTACCCCAAATCGTCTCGAGATGAGAGCTGATTCCCTGGCTTAGGCTCAAGACGTATGCCACATTTCCAGAAGCACCTCAGGAGGAGGCTTCTCTCAGCAATAGGTATGTGGGAGGGACTCCGAGTTTGCTGCCTCAAGGGGAATATACAGCGAGAAGCCCTAACTTGAAAGGAGGACGGATTTCCTTGCAGTGGCTTGAATACAGGCTCGTCTTTCATCTCACAACATGAAGGGATGTCTGAATCCCCTGTGGAGACCTTATAGAAAGCCCTAGGTCCCTGCCTCATTTTGACGGAATCCTCACATCCCGCTGACACCTCGAGAGGCACGCGGAGTTCATTGCTTCAAAAGGTGACGATGCCTGACTCCTCTTGAATACTGATAGGAATCCCAAAATCCCTGTTGCTACTGGAAAGGGTCCTTGGGTGCCCTGGCTCACCTCGAGAAGCGTCCCTTTTGCCCTGCCAAGCCTCGAAGAGATTGCTGAGGTGTCCCTCGTTACTAGACAGGAGTCCTGACGTCACGGAAGAAACTCGTGTTTTGAAGGGCCATCCCCGCCGTAAGTCGAGAACATACCCCAGGTCCCCGCCGCAACTCGAGAAAAACCATGAGACTTCCCCCTAGAGGCTAGATGAGTCCCCATTCCCCTGCAGTGCATGCAGAGCTATTCCGTGATCCCATTCAAACAAGTCAGGAGCTTCGACTTGCTTAATGGATCTCGAGGCAGTCCCCAAGAACACTGTCACCAGTCTAGACGGACCCTGAGGTCACCCAGCAATGCAAAGCAGCTCCATGTGCCCCAAATCAACTCGAGATGAGGCCGGATTCCCCTGCATTGACTCCAGAGCCATTCCTTGTTCCCCATTCAACACGACCGGTGGCTCGACTTCCTTCAGGCAACTCCAGAGATGACCCGAGAACACTGTCCCAAGTCTAGAGGACCACCAACTTCAGCACAGCAACTCGAGGAATGCTCTGTGTACCCCAAATCGTCTCGAGATGAGAGCTGATTCCCTGGCTTAGGCTCAAGACGTATGCCACCTTTCCAGAAGCACCTCAGGAGGAGGCTTCTCTCAGCAATAGGTATGTGGGAGGGACCCCGAGTTTGCTGCCTCAAGGGGAATATACAGCGAGAAGCCCTAACTTGAAAGGAGGCCGGATTTCCTTGCAGTGGCTTGAATACAGGCTCGTCTTTCATCTCACAACATGAAGGGATGTCTGAATCCCCTGTGGAGACCTTAGAGAAAGCCCTAGGTCCCTGCCTCATTTTGACGGAATCCTCACATCCCGCTGACACCTCGAGAGGCACGCGGTGTTCATTGCTTCAAAAGGTGACGATGCCTGACTCCTCTTGAATACTTATAGGAATCCCAAAATCCCTGTGGCTACTGGAAAGGGTCCTTGGGTGCCCTGGCTCACCTCGAGAAGCGTCCCTTTTGCCCTGCCAAGCCTCGAAGAGATTGCTGAGGTGTCCCTCGTTACTAGGCAGGAGTCCTGACGTCACTGAAGAAACTCGTGTTTTGAAGGGCCATCCCCGCCGTAAGTCGAGAACATACCCCAGGTCCCCGCCGCAACTCGAGAAAAACCATGAGACTTCCCCCTAGAGGCGAGATGAGGCCCCATTCCCCTGCAGTGCATGCAGAGCTATTCCGTGATCCCATTCAAACAAGTCAGGAGCTTCGACTTGCTTAATGGATCTCGAGGCAGTCCCCAAGAACACTGTCACCAGTCTAGATGGACCCTGAGGTCACCCCAGCAACGCAAAGCAGCTCCAGTTGCCACAAATCAAATCGAGATGAGGCCCGATTCCCCTGCATTGACTCCAGAGCCATTCCCCGTTCCCCATTCAACACGACCGGTGGCTCGACTTCCTTCATGCAACTCTGGAGATGCCCAGAGAACACTGTCCCAAGTCTAGAGGAACACCAACTTCAGCACAGCAACTCGAGGAATGCTCTGTGTACCCCAAATCGTCTCGAGATGAGAGCTGATTCCCTGGCTTAGGCTCAAGACGTATGCCAACTTTCCAGAAGCACCTCAGGAGGAGGCTTCTCTCAACAATAGGTATGTGGGAGGGACTCCGAGTTTGCTGCCTCAAGGGGAATATACAGCGAGAAGCCCTAACTTGAAAGGAGGCCGGATTTCCTTGCAGTGGCTTGAATATAGGCTCGTCTTTCATCTCACAACATGAAGGGATGTCTGAATCCCCTGTGGAGACCTTAGAGAAAGCCCTAGGTCCCTGCCTCATTTTGACGGAATCCTCACATCCCGCTGACACCTCGAGAGGCACGCGGAGTTCATTGCTTCAAAAGGTGACGATGCCTGACTCCTCTTGAATACTGATAGGAATCCCAAAATCCCTGTTGCTACTGGAAAGGGTCCTTGGGTGCCCTGGCTCACCTCGAGAAGCGTCCCTTTTGCCCTGCCAAGCCTCGAAGAGATTGCTGAGGTGTCCCTCGTTACTAGACAGGAGTCCTGACGTCACGGAAGAAACTCGTGTTTTGAAGGGCCATCCCCGCGGTAAGTCGAGAACATACCCCAGGTCCCCGCCGCAACTCGAGAAAAACCATGAGACTTCCCCCTAGAGGCGAGATGAGGCCCCATTCCCCTGCAGTGCATGCAGAGCTATTCCGTGATCCCATTCAAACAAGTCAGGAGCTTCGACTTGCTTAATGGATATCGAGACAGTCCCCAAGAACACTGTCACCAGTCTAGTCGGACCCTGAGGTCACCCAGCAAAGCAAAGCAGCTCCATGTGCCCCAAATCAACTCGAGATGAGGCCGGATTCCCCTGCATTGACTCCAGAGCCATTCCTTGTTCCCCATTCAACACGACCGGTGGCTCGACTTCCTTCAGGCAACTCCAGAGATGCCCCGAGAACACTGTCCCAAGTCTAGAGGAACACCAACTTCAGCACAGCAACTCGAGGAATGCTCTGTGTACCCCAAATCGTCTCGAGATGAGAGCTGATTCCCTGGCTTAGGCTCAAGACGTATGCCACCTTTCCAGAAGCACCTCAGGAGGAGGCTTCTCTCAGCAATAGGTATGTGGGAGGGACCCCGAGTTTGCTGCCTCAAGGGGAATATACAGCGAGAAGCCCTAACTTGAAAGGAGGCCGGATTTCCTTGCAGTGGCTTGAATACAGGCTCGTCTTTCATCTCACAACATGAAGGGATGTCAGAATCCCCTGTGAAGACCTTAGAGAAAGCCCTAGGTCCCTGCCTCATTTTGACGGAATGCCTCACATCCCGCTGACAACTCGAGAGTCACGCGGAGTACATTGCTTCAAAAGGTGACGATGCCTGACTCCTCTTGAACACTGATAGGAATCCCAAAATCCCTGTGGCTACTGGAAAGGGTCCTTGGGTGCGCTGGCTCACCTCGAGAAGCGTCCCTTTTGCCCTGCCAAGCCTCGAAGAGATTGCTGATGTGTCCCTCGTTACTAGACAGGAGTCCTGACGTCACTGAAGAAACTCGTGTTTTGAAGGGCCATCCCCGCCGTAAGTCGAGAACATACCCCAGGTCCCCGCCGCAACTCAAGAAAAACCATGAGACTTCCCCCTAGAGGCGAGATGAGTCCCCATTCCCCTGCAGTGCATGCAGAGCTATTCCGTGATCCCATTCAAACAAGTCAGGAGCTTCGACTTGCTTAATGGATCTCGAGGCAGTCCCCAAGAACACTGTCACCAGTCTAGACGGAACCTGAGGTCACCCCAGCAACGCAAAGCAGCTCCAGGTGCCACAAATCAACTCGAGATGAGGCCCGATTCCCCTGCATTGACTCCAGAGCCATTCCCCGTTCCCCATTCAACACGACCGGTGGCTCGACTTCCTTCAGGCAACTCCAGAGATGCCCCGAGAACACTCTCCCAAGTCTAGAGGAACACCAACTTCAGCACAGCAACTCGAGGAATGATCTGTGTACCCCAAATCGTCTCGAGATGAGAGCTGATTCCCTGGCTTAGGCTCAAGACGTATGCCACCTTTCCAGAAGCACCTCAGGAGGAGGCTTCTCTCAGTAATAGGTATGTGGGAGGGACCCCGAGTTTGCTGCCTCAAGGGGAATATACAGCGAGAAGCCCTAACTTGAAAGGAGGCCGGATTTCCATGCAGTGGCTTGAATACAGGCTCGTCTTTCATCTCACAACATGAAGGGATGTCTGATTCCCCTGTGGAGACCTTAGAGAAAGCCCTAGGTCCCTGCCTCATTTTGATGGAATCCTCACATCCCGCTGACACGTCGAGAGGCACGCGGAGTTCATTGCTTCAAAAGGTGACGATGCATGACTCCTCTTGATTACTTATAGGAATCCCAAAATCCCTGTGGCTACTGGAAAGGGTCCTTGGGTGCCCTGGCTCACCTCGAGAAGCGTCCCTTTTGCCCTGCCAAGCCTCGAAGAGATTGCTGAGGTGTCCCTCGTTACTAGACAGGAGTCCTGACGTCACTGAAGAAACTCGTGTTTTGAAGGGCCATCCCCACCGTAAGTCGAGAACATACCCCAGGTCCCCGCCGCAACTCGAGAAAAACCATGAGACTTCCCCCTAGAGGCGAGATGAGGCCCCATTCCCCTGCAGTGCATGCAGAGCTATTCCGTGATCCCATTCAAACAAGTCAGGAGCTTCGACTTGCTTAATGGATCTCGAGACAGTCCCCAAGGACACTGTCACCAGTCTAGACGGACCCTGAGGTAAACCAGCAATGCAAAGCAGCTCCATGTGCCCCAAATCAACTCGAGATGAGGCCGGATTCCCCTGCATTGACTCCAGAGCCATTCCTTGTTCCCCATTCAACACGACCGGTGGCTCGACTTCCTTCAGGCAACTCCAGAGATGACCCGAGAACACTGTCCCAAGTCTAGAGGACCACCAACTTCGGCACAGCAACTCGAGGAATGCTCCGTGTACCCCAAATCGTCTCGAGATGAGAGCTGATTCCCTGGCTTAGGCTCAAGACGTATGCCACCTTTCCAGAAGCACCTCAGGAGGAGGCTTCTCTCAGCAATAGGTATGTGGGAGGGACTCCGAGTTTGCTGCCTCAAGGGGAATATACAGCGAGAAGCCCTAACTTGAAAGGAGGCCGGATTTCCTTGCAGTGGCTTGAATACAGGCTCGTCTTTCATCTCACAACATGAAGGGATGTCTGAATCCCCTGTGGAGACCTTAGAGAAAGCCCTAGGTCCCTGCCTCATTTTGACGGAATGCCTCACATCCCACTGACAACTCGAGAGGCACGCGGAGTACATTGCTTCCAAAGGTGACGATGCCTGACTCCTCTTGAATACTGATAGGAATCCCAAAATCCCTGTGGCTACTGGAAAGGGTCCTTGGGTGCCCTGGCTCACCTCGAGAAGCGTCCCTTTTGCCCTGCCAAGCCTCGAAGAGATTGCTGATGTGTCCCTCGTTACTAGACAGGAGTCCTGACGTCACTGAAGAAACTCGTGTTTTGAAGGGCCATCCCCGCCGTAAGTCGAGAACATACCCCAGGTCCCCGCCGCAACTCGAGAAAAACCATGAGACTTCCCCCTAGAGGCGAGATGAGGCCCCATTCCCCTGCAGTGCATGCAGAGCTATTCCGTGATCCCATTCAAACAAGTCAGGAGCTTCGACTTGCTTAATGGATCTCGAGGCAGTCCCCAAGAACACTGTCACCAGTCTAGATGGACCCCTGAGGTCACCCCAGCAACGCAAAGCAGCTCCAGGTGCCACAAATCAACTCGAGATGAGGCCCGATTCCCCTGCATTGACTCCAGAGCCATTCCCCGTTCCCCATTCAACACGACCGGTGGCTCGACTTCCTTCATGCAACTCCAGAGATGCCCAGAGAACACTGTCCCAAGTCTAGAGGAACACCAACTTCAGCACAGCAACTCGAGGAATGCTCTGTGTACCCCAAATCGTCTCGAGATGAGAGCTGAATCCCTGGCTTAGGCTCAAGACGTATGCAAACTTTCCAGAAGCACCTCAGGAGGAGGCTTCTCTCAGCAATAGGTATGTGGGAGGGACTCCGAGTTTGCTGCCTCAAGGGGAATATACAGCGAGAAGCCCTAACTTGAAAGGAGGCCGGATTTCCTTGCAGTGGCTTGAATACAGGCTCGTCTTTCATCTCACAACATGAAGGGATGTCTGAATCCCCTGTGAAGACCTTAGAGAAAGCCCTAGGTCCCTGCCTCATTTTGACGGAATGCCTCACATCCCGCTGACAACTCGAGTGGCACGCGGAGTACATTGCTTCAAAAGGTGACGATGCCTGACTCCTCTTGAATACTGATAGGAATCCCAAAATCCCTGTGGCTACTGGAAAGGGTCCTTGGGTGCCCTGGCTCACCTCGAGAAGCGTCCCTTTTGCCCTGCCAAGCCTCGAAGAGATTGCTGATGTGTCCCTCCTTACTAGACATGAGTCCTGACGTCACTGAAGAAACTCGTGTTTTGAAGGGCCATCCCCGCCGTAAGTCGAGAACATACCCCAGGTCTCCGCCGCAACTCGAGAAAAACCATGAGACTTCCCCCTAGAGGCGAGATGAGGCCCCATTCCCCTGCAGTGCATGCAGAGCTATTCCGTGATCCCATTCAAACAAGTCAGGAGCTTCGACTTGCTTAATGGATCTCGAGACAGTCCCCAAGAACACTGTCACCAGTCTAGACGGACCCTGAGGTCACCCAGCAATGCAAAGCAGCTCCATGTGCCCCAAATCAACTCGAGATGAGGCCGGATTCCCCTGCATTGACTCCAGAGCCATTCCTTGTTCCCCATTCAACACGACCGGTGGCTCGACTTCCTTCAGGCAACTCCAGAGATGCCCCGAGAACACTGTCCCAAGTCTAGAGGACCACCAACTTCAGCACAGCAACTCGAGGAATGCTCTGTGTACCCCAAATCGTCTCGAGATGAGAGCTGATTCCCTGGCTTAGGCTCAAGACGTATGCCACCTTTCCAGAAGCACCTCAGGAGGAGGCTTCTCTCAGCAGTAGGTATGAGGGAGGGACCCCGAGTTTGCTGCCTCAAGGGGAATATACAGCGAGAAGCCCTAACTTGAAAGGAGGCCGGATTTCCTTGCAGTGGCTTGAATACAGGCTCGTCTTTCATCTCACAACATGAAGGGATGTCTGAATCCCCTGTGGAGACCTTAGAGAAAGACCTAGGTCCCTGCCTCATTTTGACGGAATCCTCACATCCCGCTGACCCCTCGAGAGGCACGCGGAGTTCATTGCTTCAAAAGGTGACGATGCCTGACTCATCTTGATTACTTATAGGAATCCCAAAATCCCTGTGGCTACTGGAAAGGGTCCTTGGGTGCCCTGGCTCACCTCGAGAAGAATCCCTTTTGCCCTGCCAAGCCTCGAAGAGATTGCTGAGGTGTCCCTCGTTACTAGACAGGAGTCCTGAGGTCACTGAAGAAACTCGTGTTTTGAAGGGCCATCCCCGCCGTAAGTCGAGAACATACCCCAGGTCCCCACCGCAACTCGAGAAAAACCATGAGACTTCCCCCTAGAGGCGAGATGAGGCCCCATTCCCCTGCAGTGCATGCAGAGCTATTCCGTGATCCCATTCAAACAAGTCAGGAGCTTCGACTTGCTTAATGGATCTCGAGACAGTCCCCAAGAACACTGTCACCAGTCTAGACGGACCCTGAGGTCACCCAGCAATGCAAAGCAGCTCCATGTGCCCCAAATCAACTCGAGATGAGGCCGGATTCCCCTGCATTGACTCCAGAGCCATTCCTTGTTCCCCATTCAACACGACCGGTGGCTCGACTTCCTTCAGGCAACTCCAGAGATGCCCCGAGAACACTGTACCAAGTCTAGAGGAACACCAACTTCAGCACAGCAACTCGAGGAATGCTCTGTGTACCCCAAATCATCTCGAGATGAGAGCTGAATCCCTGGCTTAGGCTCAAGACGTATGCCAACTTTCCAGAAGCACCTCAGGAGGAGGCTTCTCTCAGCAATAGGTATGTGGGAGGGACTCCGAGTTTGCTGCCTCAAGGGGAATATACAGCGAGAAGCCCTAACTTGAAAGGACGCCGGATTTCCTTGCAGTGGCTTGAATACAGGCTCGTCTTTCATCTCACAACATGAAGGGATGTCTGAATCCCCTGTGGAGACCTTAGAGAAAGCCCTAGGTCCCTGCCTCATTTTGACGGAATCCTCACAATCCGCTGACACCTCGAGAGTCACGCGGAGTTCATTGCTTCAAAAGGTGACGATGCCTGACTCCTCTTGAATACTGATAGGAATCCCAAAATCCCTGTGGCTACTGGAAAGGGTCCTTGGGTGCCCTGGCTCACCTCGAGAAGCGTCCCTTTTTCCCTGCCAAGCCTCGAAGAGATTGCTGAGGTGTCCCTTGTTACTAGACAGGAGTCCTGACGTCACGGAAGAAACTCGTGTTTTGAAGGGCCATCCCCGCCGTAAGTCGAGAACATACCCCAGGTCCCCGCCGCAACTCGAGAAAAACCATGAGACTTCCCCCTAGAGGCGAGATGAGGCCCCATTCCCCTGCAGTGCATGCAGAGCTATTCCCTGATCCCATTCAAACAAGTCAGGAGCTTCGACTTGCTTAATGGATCTCGAGACAGTCCCCAAGAACACTGTCACCAGTCTAGACGGACCCTGAGGTCACCCAGCAATGCAAAGCAGCTCCATGTGCCCCAAATCAACTCGAGATGAGGCCGGATTCCCCTGCATTGACTCCAGAGCCATTCCGTGTTCCCCATTCTACACGACCGGTGGCTCGACTTCCTTCAGGCAACTCCAGAGATGCCCCGAGAACACTGTCCCAAGTCTAGAGGACCACCAACTTCAGCACAGCAACTCGAGGAATGCTCTGTGTACCCCAAATCGTCTCGAGATGAGAGCTGATTCTATGGCTTAGGCTCAAGACCTATGCCACCTTTCCAGAAGCATCTCAGGAGGAGGCTTCTCTCAGCAATAGGTATGTGGGAGGGACCCCGAGTTTGCTGCCTCAAGGGGAATATACAGCGAGAAGCCCTAACTTGAAAGGAGGCCGGATTTCCTTGCAGTGGCTTGAATACAGGCTCGTCTTTCATCTCACAACATGAAGGGATGTCTGAATCCCCTGTGAAGACCTTAGAGAAAGCCCTAGGTCCCTGCCTCATTTTGACGGAATGCCTCACATCCCGCTGACAACTCGAGTGGCACGCGGAGTACATTGCTTCAAAAGGTGACGATGCCTGACTCCTCTTGAATACTGATAGGAATCCCAAAATCCCTGTGGCTACTGGAAAGGGTCCTTCGGTGCCCTGGCTCACCTCGAGAAGCGTCCCTTTTGCCCTGCCAAGCCTCGAAGAGATTGCTGATGTGTCCCTCGTTACTAGACAGGAGTCCTGACGTCACTGAAGAAACTCGTGTTTTGAAGGGCCATCCCCGCCGTAAGTCGAGAACATACCCCAGGTCTCTGCCGCAACTCGAGAAAAACCATGAGACTTCCCCCTAGAGGCGAGATGAGGCCCCATTCCCCTGCAGTGCATGCAGAGCTATTCCGTGATCCCATTCAAACAAGTCAGGAGCTTCGACTTGCTTAATGGATCTCGAGACAGTCCCCAAGAACACTGTCACCAGTCTAGACGGACCCTGAGGTCACCCAGCAATGCAAAGCAGCTCCATGTGCCCCAAATCAACTCGAGATGAGGCCGGATTCCCCTGCATTGACTCCAGAGCCATTCCTTGTTCCCCATTCAACACGACCGGTGGCTCGACTTCCTTCAGGCAACTCCAGAGATGCCCCGAGAACACTGTCCCAAGTCTAGAGGACCACCAACTTCAGCACAGCAACTCGAGGAATGCTCTGTGTACCCCAAATCGTCTCGAGATGAGAGCTGATTCCCTGGCTTAGGCTCAAGACGTATGCCACCTTTCCAGAAGCACCTCAGGAGGAGGCTTCTCTCAGCAGTAGGTATGTGGGAGGGACCCCGAGTTTGCTGCCTCAAGGGGAATATACAGCGAGAAGCCCTAACTTGAAAGGAGGCCGGATTTCCTTGCAGTGGCTTGAATACAGGCTCGTCTTTCATCTCACAACATGAAGGGATGTCTGAATCCCCTGTGGAGACCTTAGAGAAAGCCCTAGGTCCCTGCCTCATTTTGACGGAATCCTCACATCCCGCTGACCCCTCGAGAGGCACGCGGAGTTCATTGCTTCAAAAGGTGACGATGCCTGACTACTCTTGATTACTTATAGGAATCCCAAAATCTCTGTGGCTACTGGAAAGGGTCCTTGGGTGCCCTGGCTCACCTCGAGAAGCATCCCTTTTGCCCTGCCAAGCCTCGAAGAGATTGCTGAGGTGTCCCTCGTTACTAGACAGGAGTCCTGACGTCACTGAAGAAACTCGTGTTTTGAAGGGCCATCCCCGCCGTAAGTCGAGAACATACCCCAGGTCCCCACCGCAACTCGAGAAAAACCATGAGACTTCCCCCTAGAGGCGAGATGAGGCCCCATTCCCCTGCAGCGCATGCAGAGCTATTCCGTGATCCCATTCAAACAAGTCAGGAGCTTCGACTTGCTTAATGGATCTCGAGACAGTCCCCAAGAACACTGTCACCAGTCTAGACGGACCCTGAGGTCACCCAGCAATGCAAAGCAGCTCCATGTGCCCCAAATCAACTCGAGATGAGGCCGGATTCCCCTGCATTGACTCCAGAGCCATTCCCCGTTCCCCATTCAACACGACCGGTGGCTCGCCTTCCTTCAGGCAACTCCAGAGATGCCCCGAGAACACTGTCCCAAGTCTAGAGGAACACCAACTTCAGCACAGCAACTCGAGGAATGATCTGTGTACCCCAAATCATCTCGAGATGAGAGCTGATTCCCTGGCTTAGGCTCAAGCCGTATGCCAACTTTCCAGAAGCACCTCAGGAGGAGGCTTCTCAGCAATAGTTATGTGGGAGGGACTCCGAGTTTGCTGCCTCAAGGGCAATATACAGCGAGAAGCCCTAACTTGAAAGGAGGCCGGATTTTTGCAGTAGCTTGAATACAGGCTTGTCTTTCATCTCACAACATGAAGGGATGTCTGAATCCCCTGTGGAGACCTTAGAGAAAGCCCTAGGTCCCTGCCTCATTTTGACGGAATGCCTCACATCCCGCTGACACCTCGAGAGGCACGCGGAGTTCATTGCTTCAAAAGGTGACGATGCATGACTCCTCTTGATTACTTATAGGAATCCCAAAATCCCTGTGGCTACTGGCAAGGGTCCTTGGGTGCCCTGGCTCACCTCGAGAAGCGTCCCTTTTGCCCTGCCAAGCCTCGAAGAGATTGCTGAGGTGTCCCTCGTTACTAGACAGGAGTCCTGACGTCACTGAAGAAACTCGTGTTTTGAAGGGCCATCCCCGCCGTAAGTCGAGAACATACCCCAGGTCCCCGCCGCAACTCGAGAAAAACCATGAGACTTCCCCCTAGAGGCGAGATGAGGCCCCATTCCCCTGCAGTGCATGCAGAGCTATTCCCTGATCCCATTCAAACAAGTCAGGAGCTTCGACTTGCTTAATGGATCTCGAGACAGTCCCCAAGAACACTGTCACCAGTCTAGACGGACCCTGAGGTCACCCAGCAATGCAAAGCAGCTCCATGTGCCCCAAATCAACTCGAGATGAGGCCGGATTCCCCTGCATTGACTCCAGAGCCATTCCTTGTTCCCCATTCAACACGACCGGTGGCTCGACTTCCTTCAGGCAACTCCAGAGATGACCCGAGAACACTGTCCCAAGTCTAGAGGACCACCAACTTCAGCACAGCAACTCAAGGAATGCTCAGTGTACCCCAAATCGTCTCGAGATGAGAGCTGATTCCCTGGCTTAGGCTCAAGACGTATGCCACCTTTCCAGAAGCTCCTCAGGAGGAGGCTTCTCTCAGCAATAGGTATGTGGGAGGGACCCTGAGTTTGCTGCCTCAAGGGGAATATACAGCGAGAAGCCCTAACTTGAAAGGAGGCCGGATTTCCTTGCAGTGGCTTGAATACAGGCTCGTCTTTCATCTCACAACATGAGGGGATGTCTGAATCCCCTGTGCATACCTTAGAGAAAGCCCTAGGTCCCTGCCTCATTTTGACGAAATCCTCACATCCCGCTGACACCTCGAGAGGCATGCGGTGTTCATTGTTTCAAAAGGTGACGATGCCTCACTCCTCTTGAATACTTATAGGAATCCCAAAATCCCTGTGGCTACTGGAAAGGGTCCTTGGGTGCCCTGGCTCACCTCGAGAAGCGTCCCTTTTGCCCTGCCAAGCCTCGAAGAGATTGCTGAGGTGTCCCTCGTTACTAGACAGGAGTCCTGACGTCACTGAAGAAACTCGTGTTTTGAAGGGCCATCCCCGCCGTAAGTCGAGAACATACCCCAGGTCCCCGCCGCAACTCGAGAAAAACCATGAGACTTCCCCCTAGAGGCGAGATGAGGCCCCATTCCCCTGCAGTGCATGCAGAGCTATTCCGTGATCCCATTCAAACAAGTCAGGAGCTTCGACTTGCTTAATGGATCTCGAGGCAGTCCCCAAGAACACTGTCACCAGTCTAGATGGACCCCTGAGGTCACCCCAGCAACGCAAAGCAGCTCCAGGTGCCACAAATCAACTCGAGATGAGGCCGGATTCCCCTGCATTGACTCCAGAGCCATTCCCCGTTCCCCATTCAACACGACCGGTGGCTCGACTTCCTTCATGCAACTCCAGAGATGCCCAGAGAACACTGTCCCAAGTCTAGAGGAACACCAACTTCAGCACAGCAACTCGAGGAATGCTCTGTGTACCCGAAATGGTCTCGAGATGAGAGCTGAATCCCTGGCTTAGGCTCAAGACGTATGCCAACCTTCCAGAAGCACCTCAGGAGGAGGCTTCTCTCAGCAATAGGTATGTGGGAGGGACTCCGAGTTTGCTGCCTCAAGGGGAATATACAGCGAGAAGCCCTAACTTGAAAGGAGGCCGGATTTCCTTGCAGTGGCTTGAATACAGGCTCGTCTTTCATCTCACAACATGAAGGGATGTCTGAATCCCCTGTGCATACCTTAGAGAAAGCCCTAGGTCCCTGCCTCATTTTGACGGAATCCTCACATCCCGCTGACACCTCGAGAGGCACGCGGAGTTCATTGCTTCAAAAGGTGACGATGCATGACTCCTCTTGATTATTATAGGAATCCCAAAATCCCTGTGGCTACTGGAAAGGGTCCTTGGGTGCCCTGGCTCACCTCGAGAAGCGTCCCTTTTGCCCTGCCAAGCCTCGAAGAGATTGCTGAGGTGTCCCTCGTTACTAGACAGGAGTCCTGACGTCACTGAAGAAACTCGTGTTTTGAAGGGCCATCCCCGCCGTAAGTCGAGAACATACCCCAGGTCCCCGCCGCAACTCGAGAAAAACCATGAGACTTCCCCCTAGAGGCGAGATGAGGCCCCATTCCCCTGCAGTGCATGCAGAGCTATTCCGTGATCCCATTCAAACAAGTCATGAGCTTCGATTTGCTTAATGGATCTCGAGACAGTCCCCAAGAACACTGTCACCAGTCTAGACGGACCCTGAGGTCACCCAGCAATGCAAAGCAGCTCCATGTGCCCCAAATCAACTCGAGATGAGGCCGGATTCCCCTGCATTGACTCCAGAGCCATTCCTTGTTCCCCATTCAACACGACCGGTGGCTCGACTTCCTTCAGGCAACTCCAGAGATGACCCGAGAACACTGTCCCAAGTCTAGAGGACCACCAACTTCAGCACAGCAACTCGAGGAATGCTCAGTGTACCCCAAATCGTCTCGAGATGAGAGCTGATTCCCTGGCTTAGGCTCAAGACGTATGCCACCTTTCCAGAAGCACCTCAGGAGGAGGCTTCTCTCAGCAATAGGTATGTGGGAGGGACCCCGAGTTTGCTGCCTCAAGGGGAATATACAGCGAGAAGCCCTAACTTGAAAGGAGGCCGGATTTCCTTGCAGTGGCTTGAATACAGGCTCGTCTTTCATCTCACAACATGAAGGGATGTCTGAATCCCCTGTGGATACCTTAGAGAAAGCCATACGTCCCTGCCTCATTTTGACGGAATCCTCACATCCCGCTGACACCTCGAGAGGCACGCGGTGTTCATTGCTTCAAAAGGTGACGATGCCTGACTCCTCTTGAATACTTATAGGAATCCCAAAATCCCTGTGGCTACTGGAAAGGGTCCTTGGGTGCCCTGGCTCACCTCGAGAAGCGTCCCTTTTGCCCTGCCAAGCCTCGAAGAGATTGCTGAGGTGTCCCTCGTTACTAGGCAGGAGTCCTGACGTCACTGAAGAAACTCGTGTTTTGAAGGGCCATCCCCGCCGTAAGTCGAGAACATACCCCAGGTCCCCGCCGCAACTCGAGAAAAACCATGAGACTTCCCCCTAGAGGCGAGATGAGGCCCCATTCCCCTGCAGTGCATGCAGAGCTATTCCGTGATCCCATTCAAACAAGTCAGGAGCTTCGACTTGCTTAATGGATCTCGAGGCAGTCCCCAAGAACACTGTCACCAGTCTAGATGGACCCTGAGGTCACCCCAGCAACGCAAAGCAGCTCCAGGTGCCACAAATCAACTCGAGATGAGGCCCGATTCCCCTGCATTGACTCCAGAGCCATTCCCCGTTCCCCATTCAACACGACCGGTGGCTCGACTTCCTTCATGCAACTCTGGAGATGCCCAGAGAACACTGTCCCAAGTCTAGAGGAACACCAACTTCAGCACAGCAACTCGAGGAATGCTCTGTGTACCCCAAATCGTCTCGAGATGAGAGCTGATTCCCTGGCTTAGGCTCAAGACGTATGCCAACTTTCCAGAAGCACCTCAGGAGGAGGCTTCTCTCAACAATAGGTATGTGGGAGGGACTCCGAGTTTGCTGCCTCAAGGGGAATATACAGCGAGAAGCCCTAACTTGAAAGGAGGCCGGATTTCCTTGCAGTGGCTTGAATACAGGCTCGTCTTTCATCTCACAACATGAAGGGATGTCTGAATCCCCTGTGGAGACCTTAGAGAAAGCCCTAGGTCCCTGCCTCATTTTGACGGAATCCTCACATCCCGCTGACATCTCGAGAGGCACGCGGAGTTCATTGCTTCAAAAGGTGACGATGCCTGACTCCTCTTGAATACTGATAGGAATCCCAAAATCCCTGTTGCTACTGGAAAGGGTCCTTGGGTGCCCTGGCTCACCTCGAGAAGCGTCCCTTTTGCCCTGCGAAGCCTCGAAGAGATTGCTGAGGTGTCCCTCGTTACTAGACAGGAGTCCTGACGTCACGGAAGAAACTCGTGTTTTGAAGGGCCATCCCCGCCGTAAGTCGAGAACATACCCCAGGTCCCCGCCTCAACTCGAGAAAAACCATGAGACTTCCCCCTAGAGGCGAGATGAGGCCCCATTCCCCTGCAGTGCATGCAGAGCTATTCCGTGATCCCATTCAAACAAGTCAGGAGCTTCGACTTGCTTAATGGATCTCGAGACAGTCCCCAAGAACACTGTCACCAGTCTAGACGGACCCTGAGGTCACCCAGCAATGCAAAGCAGCTCCATGTGCCCCAAATCAACTCGAGATGAGGCCGGATTCCCCTGCATTGACTCCAGAGCCATTCCTTGTTCCCCATTCAACACGACCGGTTGCTCGACTTCCTTCAGGCAACTCCAGAGATGCCCCGAGAACTCTGTCCCAAGTCTAGAGGACCACCAACTTCAGCACAGCAACTCGAGGAATGCTCTGTGTACCCCAAATCGTCTCGAGATGAGAGCTGATTCCCTGGCTTAGGCTCAAGACGTATGCCACCTTTCCAGAAGCACCTCAGGAGGAGGCTTCTCTCAGTAATAGGTATGTGGGAGGGACCCCGAGTTTGCTGCCTCAAGGGGAATATACAGCGAGAAGCCCTAACTTGAAAGGAGGCCGGATTTCCATGCAGTGGCTTGAATACAGGCTCGTCTTTCATCTCACAACATGAAGGGATGTCTGAATCCCCTGTGGAGACCTTAGAGAAAGCCCTAGGTCCCTGCCTCAATTTGACGGAATCCTCACATCCCGCTGACACGTCGAGAGGCACGCGGAGTTCATTGCTTCAAAAGGTGACGATGCATGACTCCTCTTGATTACTTATAGGAATCCCAAAATCCCTGTGGCTACTGGAAAGGGTCCTTGGGTGCCCTGCCTCACCTCGAGAAGCGTCCCTTTTGCCCTGCCAAGCCTCGAAGAGATTGCTGAGGTGTCCCTCGTTACTAGACAGGAGTCCTGACGTCACGGAAGAAACTCGTGTTTTGAAGGGCCATCCCCGCCGTAAGTCGAGAACATACCCCAGGTCCCCGCCGCAACTCGAGAAAAACCATGAGACTTCCCCCTAGAGGCGAGATGAGTCCCCATTCCCCTGCAGTGCATGCAGAGCTATTCCGTGATCCCATTCAAACAAGTCAGGAGCTTCGACTTGCTTAATGGATCTCGAGACAGTCCCCAAGAACACTGTCACCAGTCTAGACGGACCCTGAGGTCACCCAGCAATGCAAAGCAGCTCCATGTGCCCCAAATCAACTCGAGATGAGGCCGGATTCCCCTGCATTGACTCCAGAGCCATTCCTTGTTCCCCATTCAACACGACCGGTGGCTCGACTTCCTTCAGGCAACTCCAGAGATGCCCCGAGAACACTGTCCCAAGTCTAGAGGACCACCAACTTCAGCACAGCAACTCGAGGAATGCTCTGTGTACCCCAAATCGTCTCGAGATGAGAGCTGATTCCCTGGCTTAGGCTCAAGACCTATGCCACCTTTCCAGAAGCACCTCAGGAGGAGGCTTCTCTCAGCAATAAGTATGTGGGAGGGACCCCGAGTTTGCTGCCTCAAGGGGAATATACAGCGAGAAGCCCTAACTTGAAAGGAGGCCGGATTTCCTTGCAGTGGCTTGAATACAGGCTCGTCTTTCATCTCACAACATGAAGGGATGTCTGAATCCCCTGTGAAGACCTTAGAGAAAGCCCTAGGTCCCTGCCTCATTTTGACGGAATGCCTCACATCCCGCTGACAACTCGAGTGGCACGCGGAGTACATTGCTTCAAAAGGTGACGATGCCTGACTCCTCTTGAATACTGATAGGAATCCCAAAATCCCTGTGGCTACTGGAAAGGGTCCTTGGGTGCCCTGGCTCACCTCGAGAAGCGTCCCTTTTGCCCTGCCAAGCCTCGAAGAGATTGCTGATGTGTCCCTCGTTACTAGACAGGAGTCCTGACGTCACTGAAGAAACTCGTGTTTTGAAGGGCCATCCCCGCCTTCAGTCGAGAACATACCCCAGGTCTCCGCCGCAACTCGAGAAAAACCATGAGACTTCCCCCTAGAGGCGAGATGAGGCCCCATTCCCCTGCAGTGCATGCAGAGCTATTCCGTGATCCCATTCAAACAAGTCAGGAGCTTCGACTTGCTTAATGGATCTCGAGACAGTCCCCAAGAACACTGTCACCAGTCTAGACGGACCCTGAGGTCACCCAGCAATGCAAAGCAGCTCCATGTGCCCCAAATCAACTCGAGATGAGGCCGGATTCCCCTGCATTGACTCCAGAGCCATTCCTTGTTCCCCATTCAACACGACCGGTGGCTCGACTTCCTTCAGGCAACTCCAGAGATGCCCCGAGAACACTGTCCCAAGTCTAGAGGACAACCAACTTCAGCACAGCAACTCGAGGAATGCTCTGTGTACCCCAAATCGTCTCGAGATGAGAGCTGATTCCCTGGCTTAGGCTCAAGACGTATGCCACCTTTCCAGAAGCACCTCAGGAAGAGGCTTCTCTCAGCAATAGGTATGTGGGAGGGACCCCGAGTTTGCTGCCTCAAGGGGAATATACAGCGAGAAGCCCTAACTTGAAAGGAGGCCGGATTTCCTTGCAGTGGCTTGAATACAGGCTCGTCTTTCATCTCACAACATGAAGGGATGTCTGAATCCCCTGTGGAGACCTTAGAGAAAGCCCTAGGTCCCTGCCTCATTTTGACGGAATCCTCACATCCCGCTGACCCCTCGAGAGGCACGCGGAGTTCATTGCTTCAAAAGGTGACGATGCCTGACTCCTCTTGATTACTTATAGGAATCCCAAAATCCCTGTGGCTACTGGAAAGGGTCCTTGGGTGCCCTGGCTCACCTCGAGAAGAATCCCTTTTGCCCTGCCAAGCCTCGAAGAGATTGCTGAGGTGTCCCTGGTTACTAGACAGGAGTCCTGACGTCACTGAAGAAACTCGTGTTTTGAAGGGCCATCCCCGCCGTAAGTCGAGAACATACCCCAGGTCCCCACCGCAACTCGAGAAAAACCATGAGACTTCCCCCTAGAGGCGAGATGAGGCCCCATTCCCCTGCAGTGCATGCAGAGCTATTCCGTGATCCCATTCAAACAAGTCAGGAGCTTCGACTTGCTTAATGGATCTCGAGACAGTCCCCAAGAACACTGTCACCAGTCTAGACGGACCCTGAGGTCACCCAGCAATGCAAAGCAGCTCCATGTGCCCCAAATCAACTCGAGATGAGGCCGGATTCCCCTGCATTGACTCCAGAGCCATTCCTTGTTCCCCATTCAACACGACCGGTGGCTCGACTTCCTTCAGGCCACTCCAGAGATGCCCCGAGAACACTGTCCCAAGTCTAGAGGAACACCAACTGCAGCACAGCAACTCGAGGAATGCTCTGTGTACCCCAAATCGTCTCGAGATGAGAGCTGAATCCCTGGCTTAGGCTCAAGACGTATGCCAACTTTCCAGAAGCACCTCAGGAGGAGGCTTCTCTCAGCAATAGGTATGTGGGAGGGACTCCGAGTTTGCTGCCTCAAGGGGAATATACAGCGAGAAGCCCTAACTTGAAAGGAGGCCGGATTTCCTTGCAGTGGCTTGAATACAGGCTCGTCTTTCATCTCACAACATGAAGGGATGTCTGAATCCCCTGTGCATACCTTAGAGAAAGCATTAGGTCCCTGCCTCATTTTGACGGAATCCTCACATCCCGCTGACACCTCGAGAGGCACGCGGTGTTCATTGCTTCAAAAGGTGACGATGCCTGACTCCTCTTGAATACTTATAGGAATCCCAAAATCCCTGTGGCTACTGGAAAGGGTCCTTGGGTGCCCTAGCTCACCTCGAGAAGCGTCCCTTTTGCCCTGCCAAGCCTCGAAGAGATTGCTGAGGTGTCCCTCGTTACTAGGCAGGAGTCCTGACGTCACTGAAGAAACTCGTGTTTTGAAGGGCCATCCCCACCGTAAGTCGAGAACATACCCCAGGTCCCCGCCGCAACTCGAGAAAAACCATGAGACTTCCCCCTAGAGGCGAGATGAGGCCCCATTCCCCTGCAGTGCATGCAGAGCTATTCCGTGATCCCATTCAAACAAGTCAGGAGCTTCGACTTGCTTAAAGGATCTCGAGGCAGTCCCCAAGAACACTGTCACCAGTCTAGATGGACCCTGAGGTCACCACAGCAACGCAAAGCAGCTCCAGGTGCCACAAATCAACTCGAGATGAGGCCCGATTCCCCTGCATTGACTCCAGAGCCATTCCCCGTTCCCCATTCAACACGACCGGTGGCTCGACTTCCTTCATGCAACTCTGGAGATGCCCAGAGAACACTGTCCCAAGTCTAGAGGAACACCAACTTCAGCACAGCAACTCGAGGAATGCTCTGTGTACCCCAAATCATCTCGAGATGAGAGCTGATTCCCTGGCTTAGGCTCAAGACGTATGCCAACTTTCCAGAAGCACCTCAGGAGGAGGCTTCTCTCAACAATAGGTATGTGGGAGGGACTCCGAGTTTGCTGCCTCAAGGGGAATATACAGCGAGAAGCCCTAACTTGAAAGGAGGCCGGATTTCCTTGCAGTGGCTTGAATACAGGCCCGTCTTTCATCTCACAACATGAAGGGATGTCTGAATCCCCTGTGGAGACCTTAGAGAAAGCCCTAGGTCCCTGCCTCATTTTGACGGAATCCTCACATCCCGCTGACACCTCGAGAGGCACGCGGAGTTCATTGCTTCAAAAGGTGACGATGCCTGACTCCTCTTGAATACTGATAGGAATCCCAAAATCCCTGTTGCTACTGGAAAGGGTCCTTGGGTGCCCTGGCTCACCTCGAGAAGCGTCCCTTTTGCCCTGCCAAGCCTCGAAGAGATTGCTGAGGTGTCCCTCGTTACTAGACAGGAGTCCTGACGTCACGGAAGAAACTCGTGTTTTGAAGGGCCATCCCCGCCGTAAGTCGAGAACATACCCCAGGTCCCCGCCGCAACTCGAGAAAAACCATGAGACTTCCCCCTAGAGGCGAGATGAGGCCCCATTGCCCTGCAGTGCATGCAGAGCTATTCCGTGATCCCATTCAAACAAGTCAGGAGCTTCGACTTGCTTAATGGATCTCGAGACAGTCCCCAAGAACACTGTCACCAGTCTAGACGGACCCTGTGTTCACCCAGCAATGCAAAGCAGCTCCATGTGCCCCAAATCAACTCGAGATGAGGCCGGATTCCCCTGCATTGACTCCAGAGCCATTCCTTGTTCCCCATTCAACACGACCGGTGGCTCGACTTCCTTCAGGCAACTCCAGAGATGCCCCGAGAACACTGTCCCAAGTCTAGAGGACCACCAACTTCAGCACAGCAACTCGAGGAATGCTCTGTGTACCCCAAATCGTCTCGAGATGAGAGCTGATTCCCTGGCTTAGGCTCAAGACGTATGCCACCTTTCCAGAAGCACCTCAGGAGGAGGCTTCTCTCAGCAATAGGTATGTGGGAGGGACCCCGAGTTTGCTGCCTCAAGGGGAATATACAGCGAGAAGCCCTAACTTGAAAGGAGGCCAGATTTCCTTGCAGTGGCTTGAATACAGGCTCGTCTTTCATCTCACAACATGAAGGGATGTCTGAATCCCCTGTGGAGACCTTAGAGAAAGCCCTAGGTCCCTGCCTCATTTTGACGGAATCCTCACATCCCGCTGACACCTCGAGAGACACGCGGAGTTCATTGCTTCAAAAGGTGAAGATGCCTGACTCCTCTTGAATACTGATAGGAATCCCAAAATCCCTGTTGCTACTGGAAAGGGTCCTTGGGTGCCCTGGCTCACCTCGAGAAGCGTCCCTTTTGCCCTGCCAAGCCTCGAAGAGATTGCTGAGGTGTCCCTCGTTACTAGACAGGAGTCCTGACGTCACGGAAGAAACTCGTGTTTTGAAGGGCCATTCCCGCCGTAAGTCGAGAACATACCCCAGGTCCCCGCCGCAACTCGAGAAAAACCATGAGACTTCCCCCTAGAGGCGAGATGAGGCCCCATTCCCCTGCAGTGCATGCAGAGCTATTCCGTGATCCCATTCAAACAAGTCAGGAGCTTCGACTTGCTTAATGGATATCGAGACAGTCCCCAAGAACACTGTCACCAGTCTAGTCGGACACTGAGTTCACCCAGCAATGCAAAGCAGCTCCATGTGCCCCAAATCAACTCGAGATGAGGCCGGATTCCCCTGCATTGACTCCAGAGCCATTCCTTGTTCCCCATTCAACACGACCGGTGGCTCGACTTCCTTCAGGCAACTCCAGAGATGCCCAGGGAACACTGTCCCAAGTCTAGAGGACCACCAACTTCAGCACAGCAACTCGAGGAATGCTCTATGTACCCCAAATCGTCTCGAGATGAGAGCTGATTCCCTGGCTTAGGCTCAAGACGTATGCCACCTTTCCAGAAGCACCTCATGAGGAGGCTTCTCAGCAATAGGTATGTGGGAGGGACCCCGAGTTTGCTGCCTCAAGGGGAATATACAGCGAGAAGCCCTAACTTGAAAGGAGGCCGGATTTCCTTGCAGTGGCTTGAATACAGGCTCGTCTTTCATCTCACAACATGAAGGGATGTCTGAATCCCCTGTGAAGACCTTAGAGAAAGCCCTAGGTCCCTGCCTCATTTTGACGGAATGCCTCACATCCCGCTGACAACTCGAGAGGCACGCGGAGTACATTGTTTCAAAAGGTGACGATGCCTGACTCCTCTTGAATACTGATAGGAATCCCAAAATCCCTTTGGCTACTGGAAAGGGTCCTTGGGTGCCCTGGCTCACCTCGAGAAGCGTCCCTTTTGCCCTGCCAAGCCTCGAAGAGATTGCTGATGTGTCCCTCGTTACTAGACAGGAGTCCTGACGTCACTGAAGAAACTCGTGTTTTGAAGGGCCATCCCCGCCGTAAGTCGAGAACATACCCCAGGTCCCCGCCGCAACTCGAGAAAAACCATGAGACTTCCCCCTAGAGGCGAGATGAGGCCCCATTCCCCTGCAGTGCATGCAGAGCTATTCCGTGATCCCATTCAAACAAGTCAGGAGCTTCGACTTGCTTAATGGATCTCGAGGCAGTCCCCAAGAACACTGTCACCAGTCTAGACGGAACCTGAGGTCACCCCAGCAACGCAAAGCAGCTCCAGGTGCCACAAATCAACTCGAGATGAGGCCCGATTCCCCTGCATTGACTCCAGAGCCATTCCCCGTTCCCCATTCAACACGACCGGTGGCTCGCCTTCCTTCAGGCAACTCCAGAGATGCCCCGAGAACACTGTCCCAAGTCTAGAGTAACACCAACTTCAGCACAGCAACTCGAGGAATGATCTGTGTACCCCAAATCGTCTCGAGATGAGAGCTGATTCCCTGGCTTAGGCTCAAGACGTATGCCAACTTTCCAGAAGCACCTCAGGAGGAGGCTTCTCAGCAATAGGTATGTGGGAGGGACTCCGAGTTTGCTGCCTCAAGGGCAATATACAGCGAGAAGCCCTAACTTGAAAGGAGGCCGGATTTCCTTGCAGTAGCTTGAATACAGGCTTGTCTTTCATCTCACAACATGAAGGGATGTCTGAATCCCCTGTGGAGACCTTAGAGAAAGCCCTAGGTCCCTGCCTCATTTTGACGGAATGCCTCACATCCCGCTGACACCTCGAGAGGCACGCGGAGTTCATTGCTTCAAAAGGTGACGATGCATGACTCCTCTTGATTACTTATAGGAATCCCAAAATCCCTGTGGCTACTGGCAAGGGTCCTTGGGTGCCCTGGCTCACCTCGAGAAGCGTCCCTTTTGCCCTGCCAAGCCTCGACGAGATTCCTGAGGTGTCCCTCGTTACTAGGCAGGAGTCCTGACGTCACTGAAGAAACTCGTATTTTGAAGGGCCATCCCCGCCGTAAGTCGAGAACATACCCCAGGTCCCCGCCGCAACTCGAGAAAAACCATGAGACTTCCCCCTAGAGGCGAGATGAGGCCCCATTCCCCTGCAGTGCATGCAGAGCTATTCCGTGATCCCATTCAAACAAGTCAGGAGCTTCGACTTGCTTAATGGATCTCGAGACAGTCCCCAAGAACACTGTCACCAGTCTAGACGGACCCTGAGGTCACCCAGCAATGCAAAGCAGCTCCATGTGCCCCAAATCAACTCGAGATGAGGCCGGATTCCCCTGCATTGACTCCAGAGCCATTCCTTGTTCCCCATTCAACACGACTGGTGGCTCGACTTCCTTCAGGCAACTCCAGAGATGCCCCGAGAACACTGTCCCAAGTCTAGAGGACCACCAACTTCAGCACAGCAACTCGAGGAATGCTCTGTGTACCCCAAATCGTCTCGAGATGAGAGCTGATTCCCTGGCTTAGGCTCAAGACGTATGCCACCTTTCCAGAAGCACCTCCGGAGGAGGCTTCTCTCAGTAATAGGTATGTGGGAGGGACCCCGAGTTTGCTGCCTCAAGGGGAATATACAGCGAGAAGCCCTAACTTGAAAGGAGGCCGGATTTCCATGCAGTGGCTTGAATACAGGCTCGTCTTTCATCTCACAACATGAAGGGATGTCTGAATCCCCTGTGGAGACCTTAGAGAAAGCCCTAGGTCCCTGCCTCATTTTGACGGAATCCTCACATCCCGCTGACACGTCGAGAGGCACGCGGAGTTCATTGCTTCAAAAGGTGACGATGCATGACTCCTCTTGATTACTTATAGGAATCCCAAAATCCCTGTGGCTACTGGAAAGGGTCCTTGGGTGCCCTGGCTCACCTCGAGAAGCGTCCCTTTTGCCCTGCCAAGCCTCGAAGAGATTGCTGAGGTGTCCCTCGTTACTAGGCAGGAGTCCTCACGTCACTGAAGAAACTCGTGTTTTGAAGGGCCATCCCCGCCGTAAGTCGAGAACATACCCCAGGTCCCCGCCGCAACTCGAGAAAAACCATGAGACTTAACCCTAGAGGCGAGATGAGGCCCCATTCCCCTGCAGTGCATGCAGAGCTATTCCGTGATCCCATTCAAACAAGTCAGGAGCTTCGACTTGCTTAATGGATCTCGAGGCAGTCCCCAAGAACACTGTCACCAGTCTAGATGGACCCTGAGGTCACCCCAGCAACGCAAAGCAGCTCCAGGTGCCACAAATCAACTCGAGATGAGGCCCGATTCCCCTGCATTGACTCCAGAGCCATTCCCCGTTCCCCATTCAACACGACCGGTGGCTCGACTTCCTTCATTCAACTCCAGAGATGCCCAGAGAACACTGTCCCAAGTCTAGAGGACCACCAACTTCAGCACAGCAACTCGAGGAATGCTCTGTGTACCCCAAATCGTCTCGAGATGAGAGCTGATTCCCTGGCTTAGGCTCAAGACGTATGCCACCTTTCCAGAAGCACCTCAGGAGGAGGCTTCTCTCAGCAATAGGTATGTGGGAGGGACCCCGAATTTGCTGCCTCAAGGGGAATATACAGCGAGAAGCCCTAACTTGAAAGGAGGCCGGATTTCCTTGCAGTGGCTTGAATACAGGCTCGTCTTTCATCTCACAACATGAAGGGATGTCTGAATCTCCTGTGAAGACCTCAGAGAAAGCCCTAGGTCCCTGCCTCATTTTGACGGAATGCCTCACATCCCGCTGACAACTCGAGAGGCACGCGGAGTATATTGCTTCAAAAGGTGACGATGCCTGACTCCTCTTGAATACTGATAGGAATCCCAAAATCCCTGTGGCTACTGGAAAGGGTCCTTGGGTGCCCTGGCTCACCTCGAGAAGCGTCCCTTTTGCCCTGCCAAGCCTCGAAGAGATTGCTGATGTGTCCCTCGTTACTAGACAGGAGTCCTGACGTCACTGAAGAAACTCGTGTTTTGAAGGGCCATCCCCGCCGTAAGTCGAGAACATACCCCAGGTCCCCGCCGCAACTCGAGAAAAACCATGAGACTTCCCCCTAGAGGCGAGATGAGGCCCCATTCCCCTGCAGTGCATGCAGAGCTATTCCGTGATCCCATTCAAACAAGTCAGGAGCTTCGACTTGCTTAATGGATCTCGAGACAGTCCCCAAGAACACTGTCACCAGTCTAGACGGACCCTGAGGTCACCCAGCAATGCCAAGCAGCTCCATGTGCCCCAAATCAACTCGAGATGAGGCCGGATTCCCCTGCATTGACTCCAGAGCCATTCCTTGTTCCCCATTCAACACGACCGGTGGCTCGACTTCCTTCAGGCAACTCCAGAGATGCCCCGAGAACACTGTCCCAAGTCTAGAGGACCACCAACTTCAGCACAGCAACTCGAGGAATGCTCTGTGTACCCCAAATCGTCTCGAGATGAGAGCTGATTCCCTGGCTTAGGCTCAAGACGTATGCCACCTTTCCAGAAGCACCTCAGGAGGAGGCTTCTCTCAGCAATAGGTATGTGGGTGGGACCCCGAGTTTGCTGCCTCAAGGGGAATATACAGCGAGAAGCCCTAACTTGAAAGGGGGCCGGATTTCCTTGCAGTGGCTTGAATACAGGCTCGTCTTTCATCTCACAACATGAAGGGATGTCTGAATCCCCTGTGGAGACCTTAGAGAAAGCCCTAGGTCCTTGCCTCATTTTGACGGAATCCTCACATCCCGCTGACACGTCGAGAGGCACGCGGAGTTCATTGCTTCAAAAGGTGACGATGCATGACTCCTCTTGATTACATATAGGAATCCCAAAATCCCTGTGGCTACTGGAAAGGGTCCTTGGGTGCCCTGGCTCACCTCGAGAAGCGTCCCTTTTGCCCTGCCAAGCCTCGAAGAGATTGCTGAGGTGTCCCTCGTTACTAGACAGGAGTCCTGACGTCACTGAAGAAACTCGTGTTTTGAAGGGCCATCCCCGCCGTAAGTCGAGAACATACCCCAGGTCCCCACCGCAACTCGAGAAAAACCATGAGACTTCCCCCTAGAGGCGAGATGAGGCCCCATTCCCCTGCAGCGCATGCAGAGCTATTCCGTGATCCCATTCAAACAAGTCAGGAGCTTCGACTTGCTTAATGGATCTCGAGACAGTCCCCAAGAACACTGTCACCAGTCTAGACGGACCCTGAGGTCACCCAGCAATGCAAAGCAGCTCCATGTGCCCCAAATCAACTCGAGATGAGGCCGGATTCCCCTGCATTGACTCCAGAGCCATTCCTTGTTCCCCATTCAACACGACCGGTGGTTCGACTTCCTTCAGGCAACTCCAGAGATGCCCCGAGAACACTGTCCCAAGTCTAGAGGACCACCAACTTCAGCACAGCAACTCAAGGAATGCTCAGTGTACCCCAAATCGTCTCGAGATGAGAGCTGATTCCCTGGCTTAGGCTCAAGACGTATGCCACCTTTCCAGAAGCTCCTCAGGAGGAGGCTTCTCTCAGCAATAGGTATGTGGGAGGGACCCTGAGTTTGCTGCCTCAAGGGGAATATACAGCGAGAAGCCCTAACTTGAAAGGAGGCCGGATTTCCTTGCAGTGGCTTGAATACAGGCTCGTCTTTCATCTCACAACATGAAGGGATGTCTGAATCCCCTGTGCATACCTTAGAGAAAGCCCTAGGTCCCTGCCTCATTTTGACGGAATCCTCACATCCCGCTGACACCTCGAGAGGCACGCGGTGTTCATTGTTTCAAAAGGTGACGATGCCTCACTCCTCTTGAATACTTATAGGAATCCCAAAATCCCTGTGGCTACTGGAAAGGGTCCTTGGGTGCCCTGGCTCACCTCGAGAAGCGTCCCTTTTGCCCTGCCAAGCCTCGAAGAGATTGCTGAGGTGTCCCTCGTTACTAGACAGGAGTCCTGACGTCACTGAAGAAACTCGTGTTTTGAAGGGCCATCCCCGCCGTAAGTCGAGAACATACCCCAGGTCGCCGCCGCAACTCGAGAAAAACCATGAGACTTCCCCCTAGAGGCGAGATGAGGCCCCATTCCCCTGCAGTGCATGCAGAGCTATTCCGTGATCCCATTCAAACAAGTCAGGAGCTTCGACTTGCTTAATGGATCTCGAGACAGTCCCCAAGAACACTGTCACCAGTCTAGACGGACCCTGAGGTCACCCAGCAATGCAAAGCAGCTCCATGTGCCCCAAATCAACTCGAGATGAGGCCGGATTCCCCTGCATTGACTCCAGAGCCATTCCTTGTTCCCCATTCAACACGACCGGTGGCTCGACTTCCTTCAGGCAACTCCAGAGATGCCCCGAGAACACTGTCCCAAGTCTAGAGGACCACCAACTTCAGCACAGCAACTCGAGGAATGCTCTGTGTACCCCAAATCGTCTCGAGATGAGAGCTGATTCCCTGGCTTAGGCTCAAGACGTATGCCACCTTTCCAGAAGCACCTCAGGAGGAGGCTTCTCTCAGTAATAGGTATGTGGGAGGGACCCCGAGTTTGCTGCCTCAAGGGCAATATACAGCGAGAAGCCCTAACTTGAAAGGAGGCCGGATTTCCTTGCAGTGGCTTCAATACAGGCTCGTCTTTCATCTCACAACATGAAGGGATGTCTGAATCCCCTGTGCATACCTTAGAGAAAGCCCTAGGTCCCTGCCTCATTTTGACGGAATGCCTCACATCCCGCTGACAACTCGAGAGGCACGCGGAGTACATTGCTTCCAAAGGTGACGATGCCTGACTCCTCTTGAATACTGATAGGAATCCCAAAATCCCTGTGGCTACTGGAAAGGGTCCTTGGGTGCCCTGGCTCACCTCGAGAAGCGTCCCTTTTGCCCTGCCAAGCCTCGAAGAGATTGCTGATGTGTCCCTCGTTACTAGACAGGAGTCCTGACGTCACTGAAGAAACTCGTGTTTTGAAGGGCCATCCCCGCCTTAAGTCGAGAACATACCCCAGGTCTCCGCAGCAACTCGAGAAAAACCATGAGACTTCCCCCTAGAGGCGAGATGAGGCCCCATTCCCCTGCAGTGCATGCAGAGCTATTCCGTGATCCCATTCAAACAAGTCAGGAGCTTCGACTTGCTTAATGGATCTCGAGACAGTCCCCAAGAACACTGTCACCAGTCTAGACGGACCCTGAGGTCACCCAGCAATGCAAGGCAGCTCCATGTGCCCCAAATCAACTCGAGATGAGGCCGGATTCCCCTGCATTGACTCCAGAGCCATTCCTTGTTCCCCATTCAACACGACCGGTGGCTCGACTTCCTTCAGGCAACTCCAGAGATGCCCCGAGAACACTGTCCCAAGTCTAGAGGACCACTAACTTCAGCACAGCAACTCGAGGAATGCTCAGTGTACCCCAAATCGTCTCGAGATGAGAGCTGATTCCCTGGCTTAGGCTCAAGACGTATGCCACCTTTCCAGAAGCACCTCAGGAGGAGGCTTCTCTCAGCAATAGGTATGTGGGAGGGACCCCGAGTTTGCTGCCTCAAGGGGAATATACAGCGAGAAGCCCTAACTTGAAAGGAGGCCGGATTTCCTTGCAGTGGCTTGAATACAGGCTCGTCTTTCATCTCACAACATGAAGGGATGTCTGAATCCCCTGTGGATACCTTAGAGAAAGCCCTAGGTCCCTGCCTGATTTTGACGGAATCCTCACATCCCGCTGACACCTCGAGAGGCACGCGGTGTTCATTGCTTCAAAATGTGACGATGCCTGACTCCTCTTGAATACTTATAGGAATCCCAAAATACCTGTGGCTACTGGAAAGGGTCCTTGGGTGCCCTGGCTCACCTCGAGAAGCGTCCCTTTTGCCCTGCCAAGCCTCGAAGAGATTGCTGAGGTGTCCCTCGTTACTAGGCAGGAGTCCTGACGTCACTGAAGAAACTCGTGTTTTGAAGGGCCATCCCCGCCGTAAGTCGAGAACATACCCCAGGTCCCCGCCGCAACTCGAGAAAAACCATGAGACTTCCCCCTAGAGGCGAGATGAGGCCCCATTCCCCTGCAGTGCATGCAGAGCTATTCCGTGATCCCATTCAAACAAGTCAGGAGCTTCGACTGGCTTAATGGATCTCGAGGCAGTCCCCAAGAACACTGTCACCAGTCTAGATGGACCCTGAGGTCACCCCAGCAACGCAAAGCAGCTCCAGGTGCCACAAATCAACTCGAGATGAGGCCCGATTCCCCTGCATTGACTCCAGAGCCATTCCCCGTTCCCCATTCAACACGACCGGTGGCTCGACTTCCTTCATGCAACTCTGGAGATGCCCAGAGAACACTGTCCCAAGTCTAGAGGAACACCAACTTCAGCACAGCAACTCGAGGAATGCTCTGTGTACCCCAAATCGTCTCGAGATGAGAGCTGAATCCCTGGCTTAGGCTCAAGACGTATGCCAACTTTCCAGAAGCACCTCAGGAGGAGGCTTCTCTCAACAATAGGTATGTGGGAGGGACTCCGAGTTTGCTGCCTCAAGGGGAATATACAGCGAGAAGCCCTAACTTGAAAGGAGGCCGGATTTCCTTGCAGTGGCTTGAATACAGGCTCGTCTTTCATCTCACAACATGAAGGGATGTCTGAATCCCCTGTGGAGACCTTAGAGAAAGCCCTAGGTCCCTGCCTCATTTTGACGGAATCCTCACATCCCGCTGACACGTCGAGAGGCACGCGGAGTTCATTGCTTCAAAAGGTGACGATGCCTGACTCCTCTTGAATACTGATAGGAATCCCAAAATCCCTGTTGCTACTGGAAAGGGTCCTTGGGTGCCCTGGCTCACCTCGAGAAGCGTCCCTTTTGCCCTGCCAAGCCTCGAAGAGATTGCTGAGGTGTCCCTCGTTACTAGACAGGAGTCCTGACGTCACGGAAGAAACTCGTGTTTTGAAGGGCCATCCCCGCCGTAAGTCGAGAACATACCCCAGGTCCCCGCCGCAACTCGAGAAAAACCATGAGACTTCCCCCTAGAGGCGAGATGAGTCCCCATTCCCCTGCAGTGCATGCAGAGCTATTCCGTGATCCCATTCAAACAAGTCAGGAGCTTCGACTTGCTTAATGGATCTCGAGGCAGTCCCCAAGAACACTGTCACCAGTCTAGACGGAACCTGAGGTCACCCCAGCAACGCAAAGCAGCTCCAGGTGCCACAAATCAACTCGAGATGAGGCCCGATTCCCCTGCATTGACTCCAGAGCCATTCCCCGTTCCCCATTCAACACGACCGGTGGCTCGACTTCCTTCAGGCAACTCCAGAGATGCCCCGAGAACACTGTCCCAAGTCTAGAGGAACACCAACTTCAGCACAGCAACTCGAGGAATGATCTGTGTACCCCAAATCGTCTCGAGATGAGAGCTGATTCCCTGGCTTAGGCTCAAGACGTATGCCAACTTTCCAGAAGCACCTCAGGAGGAGGCTTCTCAGCAATAGGTATGTGGGAGGGACTCCGAGTTTGCTGCCTCAAGGGCAATATACAGCGAGAAGCCCTAACTTGAAAGGAGGCCGGATTTCCTTGCAGTAGCTTGAATACAGGCTTGTCTTTCATCTCACAACATGAAGGGATGTCTGAATCCCCTGTGGAGAACTTAGAGAAAGCCCTAGGTCCCTGCCTCATTTTGACGGAATGCCTCACATCCCGCTGACACCTCGAGAGGCACGCGGAGTTCATTGCTTCAAAAGGTGACGATGCATGACTCCTCTTGATTACTTATAGGAATCCCAAAATCCCTGTGGCTACTGGAAAGGGTCCTTGGGTGCCCTGGCTCACCTCGAGAAGCGTCCCTTTTGCCCTGCCAAGCCTCGAAGAGATTCCTGAGGTGTCCCTCGTTACTAGGCAGGAGTCCTGACGTCACTGAAGAAACTCGTGTTTTGAAGGGCCATCCCCGCCGTAAGTCGAGAACATATCCCAGGTCCCCGCCGCAACTCGAGAAAAACCATGAGACTTCCCCCTAGAGGCGAGATGAGGCCCCATTCCCCTGCAGTGCATGCAGAGCTATTCCGTGATCCCATTCAAACAAGTCAGGAGCTTCGACTTGCTTAATGGATCTCGAGACAGTCCCCAAGAACACTGTCACCAGTCTAGACGGACCCTGAGGTCACCCAGCAATGCAAAGCAACTCCATGTGCCCCAAATCAACTCGAGATGAGGCCGGATTCCCCTGCATTGACTCCAGAGCCATTCCTTGTTCCCCATTCAACACGACCGGTGGCTCGACTTCCTTCAGGCAACTCCAGAGATGCCCCGAGAACACTGTCCCAAGTCTAGAGGACCACCAACTTCAGCACAGCAACTCGAGGAATGCTCTGTGTACCCCAAATCGTCTCGAGATGAGAGCTGATTCCCTGGCTTAGGCTCAAGACGTATGCCACCTTTCCAGAAGCACCTCAGGAGGAGGCTTCTCTCAGTAATAGGTATGTGGGAGGGACCCCGAGTTTGCTGCCTCAAGGGGAATATACAGCGAGAAGCCCTAACTTGAAAGGAGGCCGGATTTCCATGCAGTGGCTTGAATACAGGCTCGTCTTTCATCTCACAACATGAAGGGATGTCTGATTCCCCTGTGGAGACCTTAGAGAAAGCCCTAGGTCCCTGCCTCATTTTGATGGAATCCTCACATCCCGCTGACACGTCGAGAGGCACGCGGAGTTCATTGCTTCAAAAGGTGACGATGCATGACTCCTCTTGATTACTTATAGGAATCCCAAAATCCCTGTGGCTACTGGAAAGGGTCCTTGGGTGCCCTGGCTCACCTCGAGAAGCGTCCCTTTTGCCCTGCCAAGCCTCGAAGAGATTGCTGAGGTGTCCCTCGTTACTAGACAGGAGTCCTGACGTCACTGAAGAAACTCGTGTTTTGAAGGGCCATCCCCGCCGTAAGTCGAGAATATACCCCAGGTCCCCGCCGCAACTCGAGAAAAACCATGAGACTTCCCCCTAGAGGCGAGATGAGGCCCCATTCCCCTGCAGTGCATGCAGAGCTATTCCCTGATCCCATTCAAACAAGTCAGGAGCTTCGACTTGCTTAATGGATATCGAGACAGTCCCCAAGAACACTGTCACCAGTCTAGACGGACCCTGAGGTCAACCAGCAATGCAAAGCAGCTCCATGTGCCCCAAATCAACTCGAGATGAGGCCGGATTCCCCTGCATTGACTCCAGAGCCATTTCTTGTTCCCCATTCAACACGACCGGTGGCTCGACTTCCTTCAGGCAACTCCAGAGATGACCCGAGAACACTGTCCCAAGTCTAGTGGACCACCAACTTCGGCACAGCAACTCGAGGAATGCTCCGTGTACCCCAAATCGTCTCGAGATGAGAGCTGATTCCCTGGCTTAGGCTCAAGACGTATGCCACCTTTCCAGAAGCACCTCAGGAGGAGGCTTCTCAGCAATAGGTATGTGGGAGGGACTCCGAGTTTGCTGCCTCAAGGGCAATATACAGCGAGAAGCCCTAACTTGAAAGGAGGCCGGATTTCCTTGCAGTAGCTTGAATACAGGCTTGTCTTTCATCTCACAACATGAAGGGATGTCTGAATCCCCTGTGGAGACCTTAGAGAAAGCCCTAGGTCCCTGCCTCATTTGACGGAATGCCTCACATCCCGCTGACACCTCGAGAGGCACGCGGAGTTCATTGCTTCAAAAGGTGACGATGCATGACTCCTCTTGATTACTTATAGGAATCCCAAAATCCCTGTGGCTACTGGAAACGGTCCTTGGGTGCCCTGGCTCACCTCGAGAAGCGTCCCTTTTGCCCTGCCAAGCCTCGAAGAGATTGCTGAGGTGTCCCTCGTTACTAGACAGGAGTCCTGACGTCACTGAAGAAACTCGTATTTTGAAGGGCCATCCCCGCCGTAAGTCGAGAACATACCCCAGGTCCCCGCCGCAACTCGAGAAAAACCATGAGACTTCCCCCTAGAGGCGAGATGAGGCCCCATTCCCCTGCAGTGCATGCAGAGCTATTCCGTGATCCCATTCAAACAAGTCAGGAGCTTCGACTTGCTTAATGGATCTCGAGACCGTCCCCAAGAACACTGTCACCAGTCTAGACGGACCCTGAGGTCACCCAGCAATGCAAAGCAGCTCCATGTGCCCCAAATCAACTCGAGATGAGGCCGGATTCCCCTGCATTGACTCCAGAGCCATTCCTTGTTCCCCATTCAACACGACCGGTGGCTCGACTTCCTTCAGGCAACTCCAGAGATGCCCCGAGAACACTGTCCCAAGTCTAGAGGACCACCAACTTCAGCACAGCAACTCGAGGAATGATCTGTGTACCCCAAATCGTCTCGAGATGAGAGCTGATTCCCTGGCTTAGGCTCAAGACGTATGCCACCTTTACAGAAGCACCTCAGGAGGAGGCTTCTCTCAGTAATAGGTATGTGGGAGGGACCCCGAGTTTGCTGCCTCAAGGGGAATATACAGCGAGAAGCCCTAACTTGAAAGGAGGCCGGATTTCCATGCAGTGGCTTGAATACAGGCTCGTCTTTCATCTCACAACATGAAGGGATGTCTGAATCCCCTGTGGAGACCTTAGAGAAAGCCCTAGGTCCCTGCCTCATTTTGACGGAATCCTCACATCCCGCTGACACGTCGAGAGGCACGCGGAGTTCATTGCTTCAAAAGGTGACGATGCCTGACTCCTCTTGAATACTGATAGGAATCCCAAAATCCCTGTGGCTACTGGAAAGGGTCCTTGGGTGCCCTGGCTCACCTCGAGAAGCGTCCCTTTTGCCCTGCCAAGCCTCGAAGAGATTGCTGAGGTGTCCCTCGTTACTAGACAGGAGTCCTGACGTCACTGAAGAAACTCGTGTTTTGAAGGGCCATCCCCGCCGTAAGTCGAGAATATACCCCAGGTCCCCGCCGCAACTCGAGAAAAACCATGAGACTTCCCCCTAGAGGCGAGATGAGGCCCCATTCCCCTGCAGTGCATGCAGAGCTATTCCCTGATCCCATTCAAACAAGTCAGGAGCTTCGACTTGCTTAATGGATATCGAGACAGTCCCCAAGAACACTGTCACCAGTCTAGACGGACCCTGAGGTCAACCAGCAATGCAAAGCAGCTCCATGTGCCCCAAATCAACTCGAGATGAGGCCGGATTCCCCTGCATTGACTCCAGAGCCATTCCTTGTTCCCCATTCAACACGACCGGTGGCTCGACTTCCTTCAGGCAACTCCAGAGATGACCCGAGAACACTGTCCCAAGTCTAGTGGACCACCAACTTCGGCACAGCAACTCGAGGAATGCTCCGTGTACCCCAAATCGTCTCGAGATGAGAGCTGATTCCCTGGCTTAGGCTCAAGACGTATGCCACCTTTCCAGAAGCACCTCAGGAGGAGGCTTCTCAGCAATAGGTATGTGGGAGGGACTCCGAGTTTGCTGCCTCAAGGGCAATATACAGCGAGAAGCCCTAACTTGAAAGGAGGCCGGATTTCCTTGCAGTAGCTTGAATACAGGCTTGTCTTTCATCTCACAACATGAAGGGATGTCTGAATCCCCTGTGGAGACCTTAGAGAAAGCCCTAGGTCCCTGCCTCATTTGACGGAATGCCTCATATCCCGCTGACACCTCGAGAGGCACGCGGAGTTCATTGCTTCAAAAGGTGACGATGCATGACTCCTCTTGATTACTTATAGGAATCCCAAAACCCTGTGGCTACTGGAAACCGTCCTTGGGTGCCCTGGCTCACCTCGAGAAGCGTCCCTTTTGCCCTGCCAAGCCTCGAAGAGATTCCTGAGGTGTCCCTCGTTACTAGGCAGGAGTCCTGACGTCACTGAAGAAACTCGTATTTTGAAGGGCCATCCCCGCCGTAAGTCGAGAACATACCCCAGGTCCCCGCCACAACTCGAGAAAAACCATGAGACTTCCCCCTAGAGGCGAGATGAGGCCCCATTCCCCTGCAGTGCATGCAGAGCTATTCCGTGATCCCATTCAAACAAGTCAGGAGCTTCGACTTGCTTAATGGATCTCGAGACAGTCCCCAAGAACACTGTCACCAGTCTAGACGGACCCTGAGGTCACCCAGCAATGCAAAGCAGCTCCATGTGCCCCAAATCAACTCGAGATGAGGCCGGATTCCCCTGCATTGACTCCAGAGCCATTCCTTGTTCCCCATTCAACACGACCGGTGGCTCGACTTCCTTCAGGCAACTCCAGAGATGCCCTGAGAACACTGTCCCAAGACTAGAGGACCACCAACTTCAGCACAGCAACTCGAGGAATGATCTGTGTACCGCAAATCGTCTCGAGATGAGAGCTGATTCCCTGGCTTAGGCTCAAGACGTATGCCACCTTTCCAGAAGCACCTCAGGAGGAGGCTTCTCTCAGTAATAGGTATGTGGGAGGGACCCCGAGTTTGCTGCCTCAAGGGGAATATACAGCGAGAAGCCCTAACTTGAAAGGAGGCCGGATTTCCATGCAGTGGCTTGAATAGAGGCTCGTCTTTCATCTCACAACATGAAGGGATGTCTGATTCCCCTGTGGAGACCTTAGAGAAAGCCCTAGGTCCCTGCCTCATTTTGATGGAATCCTCACATCCCGCTGACACGTCGAGAGGCACGCGGAGTTCATTGCTTCAAAAGGTGACGATGCATGACTCCTCTTGATTACTTATAGGAATCCCAAAATCCCTGTGGCTACTGGAAAGGGTCCTTGGGTGCCCTGGCTCACCTCGAGAAGCGTCCCTTTTGCCCTGCCAAGCCTCGAAGAGATTGCTGAGGTGTCCCTCGTTACTAGACAGGAGTCCTGACGTCACTGAAGAAACTCGTGTTTTGAAGGGCCATCCCCGCCGTAAGTCGAGAACATACCCCAGGTCCCCGCCGCAACTCGAGAAAAACCATGAGACTTCCCCCTAGAGGCGAGATGAGGCCCCATTCCCCTGCAGTGCATGCAGAGCTATTCCGTGATCCCATTCAAACAAGTCAGGAGCTTCGACTTGCTTAATGGATCTCGAGACAGTCCCCAAGAACACTGTCACCAGTCTAGACGGACCCTGAGGTCAACCAGCAATGCAAAGCAGCTCCATGTGCCCCAAATCAACTCGAGATGAGGCCGGATTCCCCTGCATTGACACCAGAGCCATTCCTTGTTCCCCATTCAACACGACCGGTGGCTCGACTTCCTTCAGGCAACTCCAGAGATGACCGGAGAACACTGTCCCAAGTCTAGAGGACCACCAACTTCGGCACAGCAACTCGAGGAATGCTCCGTGTACCCCAAATCGTCTCGAGATGAGAGCTGATTCCCTGGCTTAGGCTCAAGACGTATGCCACCTTTCCAGAAGCACCTCAGGAGGAGGCTTCTCTCAGCAATAGGTATGTGGGAGGGACTCCGAGTTTGCTGCCTCAAGGGGAATATACAGCGAGAAGCCCTAACTTGAAAGGAGGCCGGATTTCCTTGCAGTGGCTTGAATACAGGCTCGTCTTTCATCTCACAACATGAAGGGATGTCTGAATCCCCTGTGGAGACCTTAGAGAAAGCCCTAGGTCCCTGCCTCATTTTGACGGAATCCTCACATCCCGCTGACACCTCGAGAGGCACCCGGAGTTCATTGCTTCAAAAGGTGACGATGCCTGACTCCTCTTGAATACTGATAGGAATCCCAAAATCCCTGTGGCTACTGGAAAGGGTCCTTGGGTGCCCTGGCTCACCTCGAGAAGCGTCCCTTTTGCCCTGCCAAGCCTCGAAGAGTTTGCTGAGGTGTCCCTCGTTACTAGACAGGAGTCCTGACGTCACGGAAGAAACTCGTGTTTTGAAGGGCCATCCCCGCCGTAAGTCGAGAACATACCCCAGGTCCCCGCCGCAACTCGAGAAAAACCATGAGACTTCCCCCTAGAGGCGAGATGAGGCCCCATTCCCCTGCAGTGCATGCAGAGCTATTCCGTGATCCCATTCAAACAAGTCAGGAGCTTCGACTTGCTTAATGGATATCGAGACAGTCCCCAAGAACACTGTCACCAGTCTAGTCGGACCCTGAGGTCACCCAGCAATGCAAAGCAGCTCCATGTGCCCCAAATCAACTCGAGATGAGGCCGGATTCCCCTGCATTGACTCCAGAGCCATTCCTTGTTCCCCATTCAACACGACCGGTGGCTCGACTTCCTTCAGGCAACTCCAGAGATGCCCCGAGAACACTGTCCCAAGTCTAGAGGACCACCAACTTCAGCACAGCAACTCGAGGAATGATCTGTGTACCCCAAATCGTCTCGAGATGAGAGCTGATTCCCTGGCTTAGGCTCAAGACGTATGCCACCTTTCCAGAAGCACCTCAGGAGGAGGCTTCTCTCAGTAATAGGTATGTGGGAGGGACCCCGAGTTTGCTGCCTCAAGGGGAATATACAGCGAGAAGCCCTAACTTGAAAGGAGGAAGGATTTCCATGCAGTGGCTTGAATACAGGCTCGTCTTTCATCTCACAACATGAAGGGATGTCTGAATCCCCTGTGGAGACCTTAGAGAAAGCCCTAGGTCCCTGCCTCATTTTGATGGAATCCTCACATCCCGCTGACACGTCGAGAGGCACGCGGAGTTCATTGCTTCAAAAGGTGACGATGCATGACTCCTCTTGATTACTTATAGGAATCCCAAAATCCCTGTGGCTACTGGAAAGGGTCCTTGGGTGCCCTGGCTCACCTCGAGAAGCGTCCCTTTTGCCCTGCCAAGCCTCGAAGAGATTGCTGAGGTGTCCCTCGTTACTAGACAGGAGTCCTGACGTCACGGAAGAAACTCGTGTTTTGAAGGGCCATCCCCGCCGTAAGTCGAGAACATACCCCAGGTCCCCGCCGCAACTCGAGAAAAACCATGAGACTTCCCCCTAGAGGCGAGATGAGGCCCCATTCCCCTGCAGTGCATGCAGAGCTATTCCGTGATCCCATTCAAACAAGTCAGGAGCTTCGACTTGCTTAATGGATCTCGAGACAGTCCCCAAGAACTCTGTCACCAGTCTAGACGGACCCTGAGGTCACCCAGCAATGCAAAGCAGCTCCATGTGCCCCAAATCAACTCGAGATGAGGCCGGATTCCCCTGCATTGACTCCAGAGCCATTCCTTGTTCCCCATTCAACACGACCGGTGGCTCGACTTCCTTCAGGCAACTCCAGAGATGCCCCGAGAACACTGTCCCAAGTCTAGAGGACCACCAACTTCAGCACAGCAACTCGAGGAATGCTCTGTGTATCCCAAATCGTCTCGAGATGAGAGCTGATTCCCTGGCTTAGGCTCAAGACGTATACCACCTTTCCAGAAGCACCTCAGGAGGAGGCTTCTCTCAGTAATAGGTATGTGGGAGGGACCCCGAGTTTGCTGCCTCAAGGGGAATATACAGCGAGAAGCCCTAACTTGAAAGGAGGCCGGATTTCCATGCAGTGGCTTGAATACAGGCTCGTCTTTCATCTCAGAACATGAAGGGATGTCTGATTCCCCTGTGGAGACCTTAGAGAAAGCCCTAGGTCCCTGCCTCATTTTGATGGAATCCTCACATCCCGCTGACACGTCGAGAGGCACGCGGAGTTCATTGCTTCAAAAGGTGATGATGCATCACTCCTCTTGATTACTTATACTAATCCCAAAATCCCTGTGGCTACTGGAAAGGGTCCTTGGGTGCCCTGGCTCACCTCGAGAAGCGTCCCTTTTGCCCTGCCAAGCCTCGAAGAGATTGCTGAGGTGTCCCTCGTTTCTAGACAGGAGTCCTGACGTCACGGAAGAAACTCGTGTTTTGAAGGGCCATCCCCGCCGTAAGTCGAGAACATACCCCAGGTCCCCGCCGCAACTCGAGAAAAACCATGAGACTTCCCCCTATAGGCGAGATGAGGCCCCATTCCCCTGCAGTTCATGCAGAGCTATTCCGTGATCCCATTCAAACAAGTCAGGAGCTTCGACTTGCTTAATGGATCTCGAGACAGTCCCCAAGAACACTGTCACCAGTCTAGACGGACCCTGAGGTCACCTCAGCAACGCAAAGCAGCTCCATGTGCCCCAAATCAACTCGAGATGAGGCCCGATTCCCCTGCATTGACTCCAGAGCCATTCCCCGTTCCCCGTTCAACACGAACGGTGGCTCGCCTTCCTTCAGGCAACTCCAGAGATGCCCCGAGAACACTGTCTCAAGTCTAGAGGAACACCAACTTCAGCACAGCAACTCGAGGAATGCTCTGTGTACCCCAAATCGTCTCGAGATGAGAGCTGATTCCCTGGCTTAGGCTCAAGACGTATGCCAAATTTCCAGAAGCACCTCAGGAGGAGGCTTCTCAGAAATAGGTATGTGGGAGGGACTCCGACTATGCTGCCTCAAGGGGAATATACAGCGAGAAGCCCTAACTTGAAAGGAGGCCAGATTTCCTTGCAGTAGCTTGAATACAGGCTTGTCTTTCATCTCACAACATGAAGGGATGTCTGAATCCCCTGTGGAGACCTTAGAGAAAGCCCTAGGTCCCTGCCTCATTTTGACGGAATGCCTCACATCTCGCTGATACCTCGAGAGGCACACGGAGTTCATTGCTTCAAAAGGTGACGATGCCTGACTCCTCTTGAATACTGATAGGAATCCCAAAATCCCTGTGGCTACTGGAAAGGGTCCTTGGGTTCCCTGGCTCACCTCGAGAAGCGTCCCTTTTGCCCTGCCAAGCCTCGAAGAGATTGCTGATGTGTCCCTCGTTACTAGACAGGAGTCCTGACGTCACTGAAGAAACTCGTGTTTTGAAGGGCCATCCCCGCCGTAAGTCGAGAACATACCCCAGGTCTCCGCCGCAACTCGAGAAAAACCATGAGACTTCCCCCTAGAGGCGAGATGAGGCCCCATTCCCCTGCAGTGCATGCAGAGCTATTCCGTGATCCCATTCAAACAAGTCAGGAGCTTCGACTTGCTTAATGGATCTCGAGACAGTCCCCAAGAACACTGTCACCAGTCTAGACGGACCCTGAGGTCACCCAGCAATGCAAAGCAGTTCCATGTGCCCCAAATCAACTCGAGATGAGGCCGGATTCCCCTGCATTGACTCCAGAGCCATTCCTTGTTCCCCATTCAACACGACCGGTGGCTCGACTTCCTTCAGGCAACTCCAGAGATGCCCCGAGAACACTGTCCCAAGTCTAGAGGACCACCAACTTCAGCACAGCAACTCGAGGAATGCTCTGTGTACCCCAAATCATCTCGAGATGAGAGCTGATTCCCTGGCTTAGGCTCAAGACGTATGCCAACTTTCCAGAAGCACCTCAGGAGGAGGCTTCTCAGCAATAGGTATGTGGGAGGGACTCCGAGTTTGCTGCCTCAAGGGCAATATACAGCGAGAAGCCCTAACTTGAAAGGAGGCCGGATTTCCTTGCAGTAGCTTGAATACAGGCTTGTCTTTCATCTCACAACATGAAGGGATGTCTGAATCCCCTGTGGAGACCTTAGAGAAAGCCCTAGGTCCCTGCCTCATTTTGACGGAATCCTCACATCCCACTGACACCTCGAGAGGCACGCGGAGTTCATTGCTTCAAAAGGTGAGGATGCCTGACTCCTCTTGAATACTGATAGGAATCCCAAAATCCCTGTGGCTACTGGAAAGGGTCCTTGGGTGCCCTGCGTCACCTCGAGAAGCGTCCCTTTTGCCCTGCCAAGCCTCGAAGAGATTCCTGAGGTGTCCCTCGTTACTATGCCGGAGTCCTGACGTCACTGAAGAAACTCGTGTTTTGAAGGGCCATCCCCGCCGTAAGTTGAGAACATACCCCAGGTCCCCGCCGCAACTCGAGAAAAACCATGACACTTCCCCCTAGAGGCGAGATGAGGCCCCATTCCCCTGCAGTGCATGCAGAGCTATTCCGTGATCCCATTCAAACAAGTCAGGAGCTTCGACTTGCTTAATGGATCTCGAGGCAGTCCCCAAGAACACTGTCAACAGTCTAGACGGAACCTGAGGTCACCCCAGCAACGCAAAGCAGCTCCAGGTGCCACAAATCAACTCGAGATGAGGCCCGATTCCCCTGCATTGACTCCAGAGCCATTCCCCATTCCCCATTTAACACGACCGGTGGCTCGCCTTCCTTCAGGCAACTCCAGAGATGCCCCGAGAACACTGTCCCAAGTCTAGAGGAACACCAACTTCAGCACAGCAACTCGAGGAATGATCTGTGTACCCCAAATCGTCTCGAGATGAGAGCTGATTCCCTGGCTTAGGCTCAAGACGTATGCCAACTTTCCAGAAGCACCTCAGGAGGAGGCTTCTCAGCAATAGGTATGTGGGAGGGACTCCGAGTTTGCTGCCTCAAGGGCAATATACAGCGAGAAGCCCTAACTTGAAAGGAGGCCGGATTTCCTTGCAGTAGCTTGAATACAGGCTTGTCTTTCATCTCACAACATGAAGGGATGTCTGAATCCCCTGTGGAGACCTTAGAGAAAGCCCTAGGTCCCTGCCTCATTTTGACGGAATGCCTCACATCCCGCTGACACCTCGAGAGGCACGCGGAGTACATTGCTTCAAAAGGTGACGATGCATGACTCCTCTTGATTACTTATAGGAATCCCAAAATCCCTGTGGCTACTGGCAAGGGTCCTTGGGTGCCCTGGCTCACCTCAAGAAGCGTCCCTTTTGCCCTGCCAAGCCTCGAAGAGATTCCTGAGGTGTCCCTCGTTACTAGACAGGAGTCCTGACGTCACTGAAGAAACTCGTATTTTGAAGGGCCATCCCCGCCGTAAGTCGAGAACATACCCCAGGTCCCCGCCGCAACTCGAGAAAAACCATGAGACTTCCCCCTAGAGGCGAGATGAGGCCCCATTCCTCTGCAGTGCATGCAGAGCTATTCCGTGATCCCATTCAAACAAGTCAGGAGCTTCGACTTGCTTAATGGATCTCGACACAGTCCCCAAGAACACTGTTACCAGTCTAGACGGACCCTGAGGTCACCCAGCAATGCAAAGCAGCTCCATGTGCCCCAAATCAACTCGAGATGAGGCCGGATTCCCCTGCATTGACTCCAGAGCCATTCCTTGTTCCCCATTCAACACGACCGGTGGCTCGACTTCCTTCAGGCAACTCCAGAGATGCCCCGAGAACACTGTCCCAAGTCTAGAGGACCACCAACTTCAGCACAGCAACTCGAGGAATGCTCTGTGTACCCCAAATCGTCTCGAGATGAGAGCTGATTCCCTGGCTTAGGCTCAAGACGTATGCCACCTTTCCAGAAACACCTCAGGAGGAGGCTTCTCTCAGTAATAGGTATGTGGGAGGGACCCCGAGTTTGCTGCCTCAAGGGGAATATACAGCGAGAAGCCCTAACTTGAAAGGAGGCCGGATTTCCATGCAGTGGCTTGAATACAGGCTCGTCTTTCATCTCACAACATGAAGGGATGTCTGAATCCCCTGTGGAGACCTTAGAGAAAGCCCTAGGTCCCTGCCTCATTTTGACGGAATACTCACATCCCGCTGACACGTCGAGAGGCACGCGGAGTTCATTGCTTCAAAAGGTGACGATGCATGACTCCTCTTGATTACTTATAGGAATCCCAAAATCCCTGTGGCTACTGGAAAGGGTCCTTGGGTGCCCTGGCTCACCTCGAGAAGCGTCGCTTTTGCCCTGCCAAGCCTCGAAGAGATTGCTGAGGTGTCCCTCGTTACTAGACAGGAGTCCTGACGTCACTGAAGAAACTCGTGTTTTGAAGGGCCATCCCCGCCGTAAGTCGAGAATATACCCCAGGTCCCCGCCGCAACTCGAGAAAAACCATGAGACTTCCCCCTAGAGGCGAGATGAGGCCCCATTCCCCTGCAGTGCATGCAGAGCTATTCCCTGATCCCATTCAAACAAGTCAGGAGCTTCGACTTGCTTAATGGATCTCGAGACAGTCCCCAAGAACACTGTCACCAGTCTAGACGGACCCTGAGGTCAACCAGCAATGCAAAGCAGCTCCATGTGCCCCAAATCAACTCGAGATGAGGCCGGATTCCCCTGCATTGACTCCAAAGCCATTCCTTGTTCCCCATTCAACACGACCGGTGGCTCGACTTCCTTCAGGCAACTCCAGAGATGACCCGAGAACACTGTCCCAAGTCTAGAGGACCACCAACTTCGGCACAGCAACTCGAGGAATGCTCCGTGTACCCCAAATCGTCTCGAGATGAGAGCTGATTCCCTGGCTTAGGCTCAAGACGTATGCCACCTTTCCAGAAGCACCTCAGGAGGAGGCTTCTCTCAGCAATAGGTATGTGGGAGGGACTCCGAGTTTGCTGCCTCAAGGGGAATATACAGCGAGAAGCCGTAACTTGAAAGGAGGCCGGATTTCCTTGCAGTGGCTTGAATACAGGCTCGTCTTTCATCTCACAACATGAAGGGATGTCTGAATCCCCTGTGGAGACCTTAGAGAAAGCCCTAGGTCCCTGCCTCATTTTGACGGAATCCTCACATCCCGCTGACACCTCGAGAGGCACGCGGAGTACATTGCTTCAAAAGGTGACGATGCCTGACTCCTCTTGAATACTGATAGGAATCCCAAAATCCCTGTGGCTACTGGAAAGGGTCCTTGGGTGCCCTGGCTCACCTCGAGAAGCGTCCCTTTTGCCCTGCCAAGCCTCGAAGAGATTGCTGAGGTGTCCCTCGTTACTAGACAGGAGTCCTGACGTCACGGAAGAAACTCGTGTTTTGAAGGGCCATCCCCGCCGTAAGTCGAGAACATACCCCAGGTCCCCGCCGCAACTCGAGAAAAACCATGAGACTTCCCCCTAGAGGCGAGATGAGGCCCCATTCCCCTGCAGTGCATGCAGAGCTATTCCGTGATCCCATTCAAACAAGTCAGGAGCTTCGACTTGCTTAATGGATCTCGAGACAGTCCCCAAGAACACTGTCACCAGTCTAGACGGACCCTGAGGTCACCCAGCAATGCAAAGCAGCTCCATGTGCCCCAAATCAACTCGAGATGAGGCCGGATTCCCCTGCATTGACTCCAGAGCCATTCCTTGTTCCCCATTCAACACGACCGGTGGCTCGACTTCCTTCAGGCAACTCCAGAGATGCCCCGAGAACACTGTCCCAAGTCTAGAGGACCACCAACTTCAGCACAGCAACTCGAGGAATGCTCTGTGTATCCCAAATCGTCTCGAGATGAGAGCTGATTCCCTGGCTTAGGCTCAAGACGTATGCCACCTATCCAGAAGCACCTCAGGAGGAGGCTTCTCTCAGTAATAGGTATGTGGGAGGGACCCCGAGTTTGCTGCCTCAAGGGGAATATACAGCGAGAAGCCCTAACTTGAAAGGAGGCCGGATTTCCATGCAGTGGCTTGAATACAGGCTCGTCTTTCATCTCACAACATGAAGGGATGTCTGATTCCCCTGTGGAGACCTTAGAGAAAGCCCTAGGTCCCTGCCTCATTTTGATGGAATCCTCACATCCCGCTGACACGTCGAGAGGCACGCGGAGTTCATTGCTTCAAAAGGTGACGATGCATCACTCCTCTTGATTACTTATACTAATCCCAAAATCCCTGTGGCTACTGGAAAGGGTCCTTGGGTGCCCTGGCTCACCTCGAGAAGCGTCCCTTTTGCCCTGCCAAGCCTCGAAGAGATTGCTGAGGTGTCCCTCGTTTCTAGACAGGAGTCCTGACGTCACGGAAGAAACTCGTGTTTTGAAGGGCCATCCCCGCCGTAAGTCGAGAACATACCCCAGGTCCCCGCCGCAACTCGAGAAAAACCATGAGACTTCCCCCTATAGGCGAGATGAGGCCCCATTCCCCTGCAGTGCATGCAGAGCTATTCCGTGATCCCATTCAAACAAGTCAGGAGCTTCGACTTGCTTAATGGATCTCGAGACAGTCCCCAAGAACACTGTCACCAGTCTAGACGGACCCTGAGGTCACCTCAGCAACGCAAAGCAGCTCCATGTGCCCCAAATCAACTCGAGATGAGGCCCGATTCCCCTGCATTGACTCCAGAGCCATTCCCCGTTCCCCGTTCAACACGAACGGTGGCTCGCCTTCCTTCAGGCAACTCCAGAGATGCCCCGAGAACACTGTCTCAAGTCTAGAGGAACACCAACTTCAGCACAGCAACTCGAGGAATGCTCTGTGTACCCCAAATCGTCTCGAGATGAGAGCTGATTCCCTGGCTTAGGCTCAAGACGTATGCCAAATTTCCAGAAGCACCTCAGGAGGAGGCTTCTCAGAAATAGGTATGTGGGAGGGACTCCGACTATGCTGCCTCAAGGGGAATATACAGCGAGAAGCCCTAACTTGAAAGGAGGCCGGATTTCCATGCAGTGGCTTGAATACAGGCTCGTCTTTCATCTCACAACATGAAGGGATGTCTGATTCCCCTGTGGAGACCTTAGAGAAAGCCCTAGGTCCCTGCCTCATTTTGATGGAATCCTCACATCCCGCTGACACGTCGAGAGGCACGCGGAGTTCATTGCTTCAAAAGGTGACGATGCATGACTCCTCTTGATTACTTATACTAATCCCAAAATCCCTGTGGCTACTGGAAAGGGTCCTTGGGTGCCCTGGCTCACCTCGAGAAGCGTCCCTTTTGCCCTGCCAAGCCTCGAAGAGATTGCTGAGGTGTCCCTCGTTTCTAGACAGGAGTCCTGACGTCACGGAAGAAACTCGTGTTTTGAAGGGCCATCCCCGCCGTAAGTCGAGAACATACCCCAGGTCGCCGCCGCAACTCGAGAAAAACCATGAGACTTCCCCCTATAGGCGAGATGAGGCCCCATTCCCCTGCAGTGCATGCAGAGCTATTCCGTGATCCCATTCAAACAAGTCAGGAGCTTCGACTTGCTTAATGGATCTCGAGACAGTCCCCAAGAACACTGTCACCAGTCTAGACGGACCCTGAGGTCACCTCAGCAACGCAAAGCAGCTCCATGTGCCCCAAATCAACTCGAGATGAGGCCCGATTCCCCTGCATTGACTCCAGAGCCATTCCCCGTTCCCCGTTCAACACGAACGGTGGCTCGCCTTCCTTCAGGCAACTCCAGAGATGCCCCGAGAACACTGTCTCAAGTCTAGAGGAACACCAACTTCAGCACAGCAACTCGAGGAATGCTCTGTGTACCCCAAATCGTCTCGAGATGAGAGCTGATTCCCTGGCTTAGGCTCAAGACGTATGCCAAATTTCCAGAAGCACCTCAGGAGGAGGCTTCTCAGAAATAGGTATGTGGGAGGGACTCCGACTATGCTGCCTCAAGGGGAATATACAGCGAGAAGCCCTAACTTGAAAGGAGGCCAGATTTCCTTGCAGTAGCTTGAATACAGGCTTGTCTTTCATCTCACAACATGAAGGGATGTCTGAATCCCCTGTGGAGACCTTAGAGAAAGCCCTAGGTCCCTGCCTCATTTTGACGGAATGCCTCACATCTCGCTGATACCTCGAGAGGCACACGGAGTTCATTGCTTCAAAAGGTGACGATGCCTGACTCCTCTTGAATACTGATATTAATCCCAAAATCCCTGTGGCTACTGGAAAGGGTCCTTGGGTTCCCTGGCTCACCTCCAGAAGCGTCCCTTTTGCCCTGCCAAGCCTCGAAGAGATTGCTGATGTGTCCCTCGTTACTAGACAGGAGTCCTGACGTCACTGAAGAAACTCGTGTTTTGAAGGGCCATCCCCGCCGTAAGTCGAGAACATACCCCAGGTCTCCGCCGCAACTCGAGAAAAACCATGAGACTTCCCCCTAGAGGCGAGATGAGGCCCCATTCCCCTGCAGTGCATGCAGAGCTATTCCGTGATCCCATTCAAACAAGTCAGGAGCTTCGACTTGCTTAATGGATCTCGAGACAGTCCATAAGAACACTGTCACCAGTCTAGACGGACCCTGAGGTCACCCAGCAATGCAAAGCAGTTCCATGTGCCCCAAATCAACTCGAGATGAGGCCGGATTCCCCTGCATTGACTCCAGAGCCATTCCTTGTTCCCCATTCAACACGACCGGTGGCTCGACTTCCTTCAGGCAACTCCAGAGATGCCCCGAGAACACTGTCCCAAGTCTAGAGGACCACCAACTTCAGCACAGCAACTCGAGGAATGCTCTGTGTACCCCAAATCATCTCGAGATGAGAGCTGATTCCCTGGCTTAGGCTCAAGACGTATGCCAACTTTCCAGAAGCACCTCAGGAGGAGGCTTCTCAGCAATAGGTATGTGGGAGGGACTCCGAGTTTGCTGCCTCAAGGGCAATATACAGCGAGAAGCCCTAACTTGAAAGGAGGCCGGATTTCCTTGCAGTAGCTTGAATACAGGCTTGTCTTTCATCTCACAACATGAAGGGATGTCTGAATCCCCTGTGGAGACCTTAGAGAAAGCCCTAGGTCCCTGCCTCATTTTGACGGAATCCTCACATCCCACTGACACCTCGAGAGGCACGCGGAGTTCATTGCTTCAAAAGGTGAGGATGCCTGACTCCTCTTGAATACTGATAGGAATCCCAAAATCCCTGTGGCTACTGGAAAGGGTCCTTGGGTGCCCTGCGTCACCTCGAGAAGCGTCCCTTTTGCCCTGCCAAGCCTCGAAGAGATTCCTGAGGTGTCCCTCGTTACTATGCCGGAGTCCTGACGTCACTGAAGAAACTCGTGTTTTGAAGGGCCATCCCCGCCGTAAGTTGAGAACATACCCCAGGTCCCCGCCGCAACTCGAGAAAAACCATGAGACTTCCCCCTAGAGGCGAGATGAGGCCCCATTCCCCTGCAGTGCATGCAGAGCTATTCCGTGATCCCATTCAAACAAGTCAGGAGCTTCGACTTGCTTAATGGATCTCGAGGCAGTCCCCAAGAACACTGTCAACAGTCTAGACGGAACCTGAGGTCACCCCAGCAACGCAAAGCAGCTCCAGGTGCCACAAATCAACTCGAGATGAGGCCCGATTCCCCTGCATTGACTCCAGAGCCATTCCCCATTCCCCATTTAACACGACCGGTGGCTCGCCTTCCTTCAGGCAACTCCAGAGATGCCCCGAGAACACTGTCCCAAGTCTAGAGGAACACCAACTTCAGCACAGCAACTCGAGGAATGATCTGTGTACCCCAAATCGTCTCGAGATGAGAGCTGATTCCCTGGCTTAGGCTCAAGACGTATGCCAACTTTCCAGAAGCACCTCAGGAGGAGGCTTCTCAGCAATAGGTATGTGGGAGGGACTCCGAGTTTGCTGCCTCAAGGGCAATATACAGCGAGAAGCCCTAAGTTGAAAGGAGGCCGGATTTCCTTGCAGTAGCTTGAATACAGGCTTGTCTTTCATCTCACAACATGAAGGGATGTCTGAATCCCCTGTGGAGACCTTAGAGAAAGCCCTAGGTCCCTGCCTCATTTTGACGGAATGCCTCACATCCCGCTGACACCTCGAGAGGCACGCGGAGTACATTGCTTCAAAAGGTGACGATGCATGACTCCTCTTGATTACTTATAGGAATCCCAAAATCCCTGTTGCTACTGGAAAGGGTCCTTGGGTGCCCTGGCTCACCTCGAGAAGCGTCCCTTTTGCCCTGCCAAGCCTCGAAGAGATTGCTGAGGTGTCCCTCGTTACTAGACAGGAGTCCTGACGTCACGGAAGAAACTCGTGTTTTGAAGGGCCATCCCCGCCGTAAGTCGAGAACATACCCCAGGTCCCCGCCGCAACTCGAGAAAAACCATGAGACTTCCCCCTAGAGGCTAGATGAGTCCCCATTCCCCTGCAGTGCATGCAGAGCTATTCCGTGATCCCATTCAAACAAGTCAGGAGCTTCGACTTGCTTAATGGATCTCGAGGCAGTCCCCAAGAACACTGTCACCAGTCTAGACGGACCCTGAGGTCACCCAGCAATGCAAAGCAGCTCCATGTGCCCCAAATCAACTCGAGATGAGGCCGGATTCCCCTGCATTGACTCCAGAGCCATTCCTTGTTCCCCATTCAACACGACCAGTGGCTCGACTTCCTTCAGGCAACTCCAGAGATGACCCGAGAACACTGTCCCAAGTCTAGAGGACCACCAACTTCAGCACAGCAACTCGAGGAATGCTCAGTGTACCCCAAATCGTCTCGAGATGAGAGCTGATTCCCTGGCTTAGGCTCAAGACGTATGCCACCTTTCCAGAAGCACCTCAGGAGGAGGCTTCTCTCAGCAATAGGTATGTGGGAGGGACCCCGAGTTTGCTGCCTCAACGGCAATATACAGCGAGAAGCCCTAACTTGAAAGGAGGCCGGATTTCCTTGCAGTGGCTTGAATACAGGCTCGTCTTTCATCTCACAACATGAAGGGATGTCTGAATCCCCTGTGGAGACCTTAGAGAAAGCCCTAGGTCCCTGCCTCATTTTGACGGAATCCTCACATCCCGCTGACACCTCGAGAGGCACGCGGAGTTCATTGCTTCAAAAGGTGACGATGCCTGACTCCTCTTGAATACTTATAGGAATCCCAAAATCCCTGTGGCTACTGGAAAGGGTCCTTGGGTGCCCTGGCTCACCTCGAGAAGCGTCCCTTTTGCCCTGCCAAGCCTCGAAGAGATTGCTGAGGTGTCCCTCGTTACTAGGCAGGAGTCCTGACGTCACTGAAGAAACTCGTGTTTTGAAGGGCCATCCCCGCCGTAAGTCGAGAACATACCCCAGGTCCCCGCCGCAACTCGAGAAAAACCATGAGACTTCCCCCTAGAGGCGAGATGAGGCCCCATTCCCCTGCAGTGCATGCAGAGCTATTCCGTGATCCCATTCAAACAAGTCAGGAGCTTCGACTTGCTTAATGGATCTCGAGGCAGTCCCCAAGAACACTGTCACCAGTCTAGATGGACCCTGAGGTCACCCCAGCAACGCAAAGCAGCTCCAGTTGCCACAAATCAAATCGAGATGAGGCCCGATTCCCCTGCATTGACTCCAGAGCCATTCCCCGTTCCCCATTCAACACGACCGGTGGCTCGACTTCCTTCATGCAACTCTGGAGATGCCCAGAGAACACTGTCCCAAGTCTAGAGGAACACCAACTTCAGCACAGCAACTCGAGGAATGCTCTGTGTACCCCAAATCGTCTCGAGATGAGAGCTGATTCCCTGGCTTAGGCTCAAGACGTATGCCACATTTCCAGAAGCACCTCAGGAGGAGGCTTCTCTCAGTAATAGGTATGTGGGAGGGACCCCGAGTTTGCTGCCTCAAGGGGAATATACAGCGAGAAGCCCTAACTTGAAAGGAGGCCGGATTTCCATGCAGTGGCTTGAATACAGGCTCGTCTTTCATCTCACAACATGAAGGGATGTCTGATTCCCCTGTGGAGACCTTAGAGAAAGCCCTAGGTCCCTGCCTCATTTTGATGGAATCCTCACATCCCGCTGACACGTCGAGAGGCACGCGGAGTTCATTGCTTCAAAAGGTGACGATGCATGACTCCTCTTGATTACTTATAGGAATCCCAAAATCCCTGTGGCTACTGGAAAGGGTCCTTGGGTGCCCTGGCTCACCTCGAGAAGCGTCCCTTTTGCCCTGCCAAGCCTCGAAGAGATTGCTGAGGTGTCCCTCGTTACTAGACAGGAGTCCTGACGTCACTGAAGAAACTCGTGTTTTGAAGGGCCATCCCCACCGTAAGTCGAGAACATACCCCAGGTCCCCGCCGCAACTCGAGAAAAACCATGAGACTTCCCCCTAGAGGCGAGATGAGGCCCCATTCCCCTGCAGTGCATGCAGAGCTATTCCGTGATCCCATTCAAACAAGTCAGGAGCTTCGACTTGCTTAATGGATCTCGAGACAGTCCCCAAGAACACTGTCACCAGTCTAGACGGACCCTGAGGTAAACCAGCAATGCAAAGCAGCTCCATGTGCCCCAAATCAACTCGAGATGAGGCCGGATTCCCCTGCATTGACTCCAGAGCCATTCCTTGTTCCCCATTCAACACGACCGGTGGCTCGACTTCCTTCAGGCAACTCCAGAGATGACCCGAGAACACTGTCCCAAGTCTAGAGGACCACCAACTTCGGCACAGCAACTCGAGGAATGCTCCGTGTACCCCAAATCGTCTCGAGATGAGAGCTGATTCCCTGGCTTAGGCTCAAGACGTATGCCACCTTTCCAGAAGCACCTCAGGAGGAGGCTTCTCTCAGCAATAGGTATGTGGGAGGGACTCCGAGTTTGCTGCCTCAAGGGGAATATACAGCGAGAAGCCCTAACTTGAAAGGAGGCCGGATTTCCTTGCAGTGGCTTGAATACAGGCTCGTCTTTCATCTCACAACATGAAGGGATGTCTGAATCCCCTGTGGAGACCTTAGAGAAAGCCCTAGGTCCCTGCCTCATTTTGACGGAATGCCTCACATCCCACTGACAACTCGAGAGGCACGCGGAGTACATTGCTTCCAAAGGTGACGATGCCTGACTCCTCTTGAATACTGATAGGAATCCCAAAATCCCTGTGGCTACTGGAAAGGGTCCTTGGGTGCCCTGGCTCACCTCGAGAAGCGTCCCTTTTGCCCTGCCAAGCCTCGAAGAGATTGCTGATGTGTCCCTCGTTACTAGACAGGAGTCCTGACGTCACTGAAGAAACTCGTGTTTTGAAGGGCCATCCCCGCCTTAAGTCGAGAACATACCCCAGGTCTCCGCCGCAACTCGAGAAAAACCATGAGACTTCCCCCTAGAGGCGAGATGAGGCCCCATTCCCCTGCAGTGCATGCAGAGCTATTCCGTGATCCCATTCAAACAAGTCAGGAGCTTCGACTTGCTTAATGGATCTCGAGACAGTCCCCAAGAACACTGTCACCAGTCTAGACGGACCCTGAGGTCACCCAGCAATGCAAAGCAGCTCCATGTGCCCCAAATCAACTCGAGATGAGGCCGGATTCCCCTGCATTGACTCCAGAGCCATTCCTTGTTCCCCATTCAACACGACCGGTGGCTCGACTTCCTTCAGGCAACTCCAGAGATGCCCCGAGAACACTGTCCCAAGTCTAGAGGACCACCAACTTCAGCACAGCAACTCGAGGAATGCTCAGTGTACCCCAAATCCTCTCGAGATGAGAGCTGATTCCCTGGCTTATGCTCAAGACGTATGCCACCTTTCCAGAAGCACCTCAGGAGGAGGCTTCTCTCAACAATAGGTATGTGGGAGGGACTCCGAGTTTGCTGCCTCAAGGGGAATATACAGCGAGAAGCCCTAACTTGAAAGGAGGCCGGATTTCCTTGCAGTGGCTTGAATACAGGCTCGTCTTTCATCTCACAACATGAAGGGATGTCTGAATCCCCTGTGGAGACCTTAGAGAAAGCCCTAGGTCCCTGCCTCATTTTGACGGAATCCTCACATCCCGCTGACACGTCGAGAGGCACGCGGAGTTCATTGCTTCAAAAGGTGACGATGCCTGACTCCTCTTGAATACTGATAGGAATCCCAAAATCCCTGTTGCTACTGGAAAGGGTCCTTGGGTGCCCTGGCTCACCTCGAGAAGCGTCCCTTTTGCCCTGCCAAGCCTCGAAGAGATTGCTGAGGTGTCCCTCGTTACTAGACAGGAGTCCTGACGTCACGGAAGAAACTCGTGTTTTGAAGGGCCATCCCCGCCGTAAGTCGAGAACATACCCCAGGTCCCCGCCGCAACTCGAGAAAAACCATGAGACTTCCCCCTAGAGGCGAGATGAGTCCCCATTCCCCTGCAGTGCATGCAGAGCTATTCCATGATCCCATTCAAACAAGTCAGGAGCTTCGACTTGCTTAATGGAACTCGAGGCAGTCCCCAAGAACACTGTGACCAGTCTAGACGGAACCTGAGGTCACCCCAGCAACGCAAAGCAGCTCCAGGTGCCACAAATCAACTCGAGATTCGGCCCGATTCCCCTGCATTGACTCCAGAGCCATTCCCCGTTCCCCATTCAACACGACCGGTGGCTCGACTTCCTTCAGGCAACTCCAGAGATGCCCCGAGAACACTGTCCCAAGTCTAGAGGAACACCAACTTCAGCACAGCAACTCGAGGAATGATCTGTGTACCCCAAATCGTCTCGAGATGAGAGCTGATTCCCTGGCTTAGGCTCAAGACGTATGCCAACTTTCCAGAAGCACCTCAGGAGGAGGCTTCTCAGCAATAGGTATGTGGGAGGGACTCCGAGTTTGCTGCCTCAAGGGCAATATACAGCGAGAAGCCCTAACTTGAAAGGAGGCCGGATTTCCTTGCAGTAGCTTGAATACAGGCTTGTCTTTCATCTCACAACATGAAGGGATGTCTGATTCCCTGTGGAGACCTTAGAGAAAGCCCTAGGTCCCTGCCTCATTTTGACGGAATGCCTCACATCCCGCTGACACCTCGAGAGGCACGCGGAGTTCATTGCTTCAAAAGGTGACGATTCATGACTCCTCTTGATTACTTATAGGAATCCCAAAATCCCTGTGGCTACTGGAAAGGGTCCTTGGGTGCCCTGGCTCACCTCGAGAAGCGTCCCTTTTGCCCTGCCAAGCCTCGAAGAGATTCCTGAGGTGTCCCTCGTTACTAGGCAGGAGTCCTGACGTCACTGAAGAAACTCGTATTTTGAAGGGCCATCCCCGCCGTAAGTCGAGAACATACCCCAGGTCCCCGCCGCAACTCGAGAAAAACCATGAGACTTCCCCCTAGAGGCGAGATGAGGCCCCATTCCCCTGCAGTGCATGCAGAGCTATTCCGTGATCCCATTCAAACAAGTCAGGAGCTTCGACTTGCTTAATGGATCTCGAGACAGTCCCCAAGAACACTGTCACCAGTCTAGACGGACCCTGAGGTCACCCAGCAATGCAAAGCAGCTCCATGTGCCCCAAATCAACTCGAGATGAGGCCGGATTCCCCTGCATTGACTCCAGAGCCATTCCTTGTTCCCCATTCAACACGACCGGTGGCTCGACTTCCTTCAGGCAACTCCAGAGATGCCCCGAGAACACTGTCCCAAGTCTAGAGGACCACCAACTTCAGCACAGCAACTCGAGGAATGCTCTGTGTACCCCAAATCGTCTCGAGATGAGAGCTGATTCCCTGGCTTAGGCTCAAGACGTATGCCACCTTTCCAGAAGCACCTCAGGAGGAGGCTTCTCTCAGTAATAGGTATGTGGGAGGGACCCCGAGTTTGCTGCCTCAAGGGGAATATACAGCGAGAAGCCCTAACTTGAAAGGAGGCCGGATTTCCTTGCAGTGGCTTGAATACAGGCTCGTCTTTCATCTCACAACATGAAGGGATGTCTGATTCCCCTGTGGAGACCTTAGAGAAAGCCCTAGGTCCCTGCCTCATTTTGATGGAATCCTCACATCCCGCTGACACGTCGAGAGGCACGCGGAGTTCATTGCTTCAAAAGGTGACGATGCATGACTCCTCTTGATTACTTATAGGAATCCCAAAATCCCTGTGGCTACTGGAAAGGGTCCTTGGGTGCCCTGGCTCACCTCGAGAAGCGTCCCTTTTGCCCTGCCAAGCCTCGAAGAGATTGCTGAGGTGTCCCTCGTTACTAGACAGGAGTCCTGACGTCACTGAAGAAACTCGTGTTTTGAAGGGCCATCCCCGCCGTAAGTCGAGAATATACCCCAGGTCCCCGCCGCAACTCGAGAAAAACCATGAGACTTCCCCCTAGAGGCGAGATGAGGCCCCATTCCCCTGCAGTGCATGCAGAGCTATTCCCTGATCCCATTCAAACAAGTCAGGAGCTTCGACTTGCTTAATGGATCTCGAGACAGTCCCCAAGAACACTGTCACCAGTCTAGACGGACCCTGAGGTCAACCAGCAATGCAAAGCAGCTCCATGTGCCCCAAATCAACTCGAGATGAGGCCGGATTCCCCTGCATTGACTCCAGAGCCATTCCTTGTTCCCCATTCAACACGACCGGTGGCTCGACTTCCTTCAGGCAACTCCAGAGATGACCCGAGAACACTGTCCCAAGTCTAGAGGACCACCAACTTCGGCACAGCAACTCGAGGAATGCTCCGTGTACCCCAAATCGTCTCGAGATGAGAGCTGATTCCCTGGCATACGCTCAAGACGTATGCCTCCTTTCCAGAAGCACCTCAGGAGGAGGCTTCTCAGCAATAGGTATGTGGGAGGGACTCCGAGTTTGCTGCCTCAAGGGGAATATACAGCGAGAAGCCCTAACTTGAAAGGAGGCCGGATTTCCTTGCAGTAGCTTGAATACAGGCTTGTCTTTCATCTCACAACATGAAGGGATGTCTGAATCCCCTGTGGAGACCTTAGAGAAAGCCCTAGGTCCCTGCCTCATTTTGACGGAATGCCTCACATCCCGCTGAAACCTCGAGAGGCACGCGGAGTTCATTGCTTCAAAAGGTGACGATGCATGACTCCTCTTGATTACTTATAGGAATCCCAAAATCCCTGTGGCTACTGGAAAGGGTCCTTGGGTGCCCTGGCTCACGTCGAGAAGCGTCCCTTTTGCCCTGTCAAGCCTCGAAGAGATTCCTGAGGTGTCCCTCGTTACTAGGCAGGAGTCCTGACGTCACTGAAGAAACTCGTATTTTGAAGGGCCATCCCCGCCGCAAGTCGAGAACATACCCCAGGTCCCCGCCGCAACTCGAGAAAAACCATGAGACTTCCCCCTAGAGGCGAGATGAGGCCCCATTCCCCTGCAGTGCATGCAGAGCTATTCCCTGATCCCATTCAAACAAGTCAGGAGCTTCGACTTGCTTAATGGATCTCGAGACAGTCCCCAAGAACACTGTCACCAGTCTAGACGGACCCTGAGGTCACCCAGCAATGCAAAGCAGCTCCATGTGCCCCAAATCAACTCGAGATGAGGCCGGATTCCCCTGCATTGACTCCAGAGCCATTCCTTGTTCCCCATTCAACACGACCGGTGGCTCGACTTCCTTCAGGCAACTCCAGAGATGCCCCGAGAACACTGTCCCAAGTCTAGAGGACCACCAACTTCAGCACAGCAACTCGAGGAATGATCTGTGTACCCCAAATCGTCTCGAGATGAGAGCTGATTCCCTGGCTTAGGCTCAAGACGTATGCCACCTTTCCAGAAGCACCTCAGGAGGAGGCTTCTCTCAGTAATAGGTATGTGGGAGGGACCCCGAGTTTGCTGCCTCAAGGGGAATATACAGCGAGAAGCCCTAACTTGAAAGGAGGCCGGATTTCCATGCAGTGGCTTGAATACAGGCTCGTCTTTCATCTCACAACATGAAGGGATGTCTGATTCCCCTGTGGAGACCTTAGAGAAAGCCCTAGGTCCCTGCCTCATTTTGATGGAATCCTCACATCCCGCTGACACCTCGAGAGGCACGCGGAGTTCATTGCTTCAAAAGGTGACGATGCATGACTCCTCTTGATTACTTATAGGAATCCCAAAATCCCTGTGGCTACTGGAAAGGGTCCTTGGGTGCCCTGGCTCACCTCGAGAAGCGTCCCTTTTGCCCTGCCAAGCCTCGAAGAGATTGCTGAGGTGTCCCTCGTTACTAGACAGGAGTCCTGACGTCACTGAAGAAACTCGTGTTTTGAAGGGCCATCCCCGCCGTAAGTCGAGAACATACCCCAGGTCCCCGCCGCAACTCGAGAAAAACCATGAGACTTCCCCCTAGAGGCGAGATGAGGCCCCATTCCCCTGCAGTGCATGCAGAGCTATTCCCTGATCCCATTCAAACAAGTCAGGAGCTTCGACTTGCTTAATGGATCTCGAGACAGTCCCCAAGAACACTGTCACCAGTCTAGACGGACCCTGAGGTCAACCAGCAATGCAAAGCAGCTCCATGTGCTCCAAATCAACTCGAGATGAGGCCGGATTCCCCTGCATTGACACCAGAGCCATTCCTTGTTCCCCATTCAACACGACCGGTGGCTCGACTTCCTTCAGGCAACTCCAGAGATGACCGGAGAACACTGTCCCAAGTCTAGAGGACCACCAACTTCGGCACAGCAACTCGAGGAATGCTCCGTGTACCCCAAATCGTCTCGAGATGAGAGCTGATTCCCTGGCTTAGGCTCAAGACGTATGCCACCTTTCCAGAAGCACCTCAGGAGGAGGCTTCTCTCAGCAATAGGTATGTGGGAGGGACTCCGAGTTTGCTGCCTCAAGGGGAATATACAGCGAGAAGCCCTAACTTGAAAGGAGGCCGGATTTCCTTGCAGTGGCTTGAATACAGGCTCGTCTTTCATCTCACAACATGAAGGGATGTCTGAATCCCCTGTGGAGACCTTAGAGAAAGCCCTAGGTCCCTGCCTCATTTTGACGGAATCCTCACATCCCGCTGACACCTCGAGAGGCACGCGGAGTTCATTGCTTCAAAAGGTGACGATGCCTGACTCCTCTTGAATACTGATAGGAATCCCAAAATCCCTGTGGCTACTGGAAAGGGTCCTTGGGTGCCCTGGCTCACCTCGAGAAGCGTCCCTTTTGCCCTGCCAAGCCTCGAAGAGATTGCTGAGGTGTCCCTCGTTACTAGACAGGAGTCCTGACGTCACGGAAGAAACTCGTGTTTTGAAGGGCCATCCCCGCCGTAAGTCGAGAACATACCCCAGGTCCCCGCCGCAACTCGAGAAAAACCATGAGACTTCCCCCTAGAGGCGAGATGAGGCCCCATTCCCCTGCAGTGCATGCAGAGCTATTCCGTGATCCCATTCAAACAAGTCAGGAGCTTCGACTTGCTTAATGGATATCGAGACAGTCCCCAAGAACACTGTCACCAGTCTAGTCGGACCCTGAGGTCACCCAGCAATGCAAAGCAGCTCCATGTGCCCCAAATCAACTCGAGATGAGGCCGGATTCCCCTGCATTGACTCCAGAGCCATTCCTTGTTCCCCATTCAACACGACCGGTGGCTCGACTTCCTTCAGGCAACTCCAGAGATGCCCCGAGAACACTGTCCCAAGTCTAGAGGACCACCAACTTCAGCACAGCAACTCGAGGAATGATCTGTGTACCCCAAATCGTCTCGAGATGAGAGCTGATTCCCTGGCTTAGGCTCAAGACGTATGCCACCTTTCCAGAAGCACCTCAGGAGGAGGCTTCTCTCAGTAATAGGTATGTGGGAGGGACCCCGAGTTTGCTGCCTCAAGGGGAATATACAGCGAGAAGCCCTAACTTGAAAGGAGGCCGGATTTCCATGCAGTGGCTTGAATACAGGCTCGTCTTTCATCTCACAACATGAAGGGATGTCTGATTCCCCTGTGGAGACCTTAGAGAAAGCCCTAGGTCCCTGCCTCATTTTGATGGAATCCTCACATCCCGCTGACACGTCGAGAGGCACGCGGAGTTCATTGCTTCAAAAGGTGACGATGCATGACTCCTCTTGATTACTTATAGGAATCCCAAAATCCCTGTGGCTACTGGAAAGGGTCCTTGGGTGCCCTGGCTCACCTCGAGAAGCGTCCCTTTTGCCCTGCCAAGCCTCGAAGAGATTGCTGAGGTGTCCCTCGTTACTAGACAGGAGTCCTGACGTCACTGAAGAAACTCGTGTTTTGAAGGGGCATCCCCGCCGTAAGTCGAGAACATACCCCAGGTCCCCGCCGCAACTCGAGAAAAACCATGAGACTTCCCCCTAGAGGCGAGATGAGGCCTCATTCCCCTGCAGTGCATGCAGAGCTATTCCCTGATCCCATTCAAACAAGTCAGGAGCTTCGACTTGCTTAATGGATCTCGAGACAGTCCCCAAGAACACTGTCACCAGTCTAGACGGACCCTGAGGTCAACCAGCAATGCAAAGCAGCTCCATGTGCCCAAAATCAACTCGAGATGAGGCCGGATTCCCCTGCATTGACACCAGAGCCATTCCTTGTTCCCCATTCAACACGACCGGTGGCTCGACTTCCTTCAGGCAACTCCAGAGATGACCGGAGAACACTGTCCCAAGTCTAGAGGACCACCAACTTCGGCACAGCAACTCGAGGAATGCTCCGTGTACCCCAAATCGTCTCGAGATGAGAGCTGATTCCCTGGCTTAGGCTCAAGACGTATGCCACCTTTCCAGAAGCACCTCAGGAGGAGGCTTCTCTCAGCAATAGGTATGTGGGAGGGACTCCGAGTTTGCTGCCTCAAGGGGAATATACAGCGAGAAGCCCTAACTTGAAAGGAGGCCGGATTTCCTTGCAGTGGCTTGAATACAGGCTCGTCTTTCATCTCACAACATGAAGGGATGTCTGAATCCCCTGTGAAGACCTTAGAGAAAGCCCTAGGTCCCTGCCTCATTTTGACGGAATCCTCACATCCCGCTGACACCTCGAGAGGCACGCGGAGTTCATTGCTTCAAAAGGTGACGATGCCTGACTCCTCTTGATTACTTATAGGAAGCCCAAAATCCCTGTGGCTACTGGAAAGGGTCCTTGGGTGCCCTGGCTCATCTCGAAAAGCGTCCCTTTTGCCCTGCCAAGCCTCGAAGAGATTGCTGAGGTGTCCCTCGTTACTAGACAGGAGTCCTGACGTCACGGAAGAAACTCGTGTTTTGAAGGGCCATCCCCGCCGTAAGTCGAGAACATACCCCAGGTCCCCGCCGCAACTCGAGAAAAACCATGAGACTTCCCCCTAGAGGCGAGATGAGTCCCCATTCCCCTGCAGTGCATGCAGAGCTATTCCGTGATCCCATTCAAACAAGTCAGGAGCTTCGACTTGCTTAATGGATCTCGAGGCAGTCCCCAAGAACACTGTCACCAGTCTAGACGGAACCTGAGGTCACCCCAGCAACGCAAAGCAGCTCCAGGTGCCACAAATCAACTCGAGATGAGGCCCGATTCCCCTGCATTGACTCCAGAGCCATTCCCCGTTCCCCATTCAACACGACCGGTGGCTCGACTTCCTTCAGGCAACTCCAGAGATGCCCCGAGAACACTGTCCGAAGTCTAGAGGAACACCAACTTCAGCACAGCAACTCGAGGAATGATCTGTGTACCCCAAATCGTCTCGAGATGAGAGCTGATTCCCTGGCTTAGGCTCAAGACGTATGCCACCTTTCCAGAAGCACCTCAGGAGGAGGCTTCTCTCAGTAATAGGTATGTGGGAGGGACCCCGAGTTTGCTGCCTCAAGGGGAATATACAGCGAGAAGCCCTAACTTGAAAGGAGGCCGGATTTCCATGCAGTGGCTTGAATACAGGCTCGTCTTTCATCTCACAACATGAAGGGATGTCTGATTCCCCTGTGGAGACCTTAGAGAAAGCCCTAGGTCCCTGCCTCATTTTGATGGAATCCTCACATCCCGCTGACACGTCGAGAGGCACGCGGAGTTCATTGCTTCAAAAGGTGACGATGCATGACTCCTCTTGATTACTTATAGGAATCCCAAAATCCCTGTGGCTACTGGAAAGGGTCCTTGGGTGCCCTGGCTCACCTCGAGAAGCGTCCCTTTTGCCCTGCCAAGCCTCCAAGAGATTGCTGAGGTGTCCCTCGTTACTAGACAGGAGTCCTGACGTCACTGAAGAAACTCGTGTTTTGAAGGGCCATCCCCGCCGTAAGTCGAGAACATACCCCAGGTCCCCGCCGCAACTCGAGAAAAACCATGAGACTTCCCCCTAGAGGCGAGATGAGGCCCCATTCCCCTGCAGTGCATGCAGAGCTATTCCGTGATCCCATTCAAACAAGTCAGGAGCTTCGACTTGCTTAATGGATCTCGAGACAGTCCCCAAGAACACTGTCACCAGTCTAGACGGACCCTGAGGTCAACCAGCAATGCAAAGCAGCTCCATGTGCCCCAAATCAACTCGAGATGAGGCCGGATTCCCCTGCATTGACACCAGAGCCATTCCTTGTTCCCCATTCAACACGACCGGTGGCTCGACTTCCTTCAGGCAACTCCAGAGATGACCGGAGAACACTGTCCCAAGTCTAGAGGACAACCAACTTCGGCACAGCAACTCGAGGAATGCTCCGTGTACCCCAAATCGTCTCGAGATGAGAGCTGATTCCCTGGCTTAGGCTCAAGACGTATGCCACCTTTCCAGAAGCACCTCAGGAGGAGGCTTCTCTCAGTAATAGGTATGTGGGAGGGACCCCGAGTTTGCTGCCTCAAGGGGAATATACAGCGAGAAGCCCTATCTTGAAAGGAGGCCGGATTTCCATGCAGTGGCTTGAATACAGGCTCGTCTTTCATCTCACAACATGAAGGGATGTCTGATTCCCCTGTGGAGACCTTAGAGAAAGCCCTAGGTCCCTGCCTCATTTTGATGGAATCCTCACATCCCGCTGACACGTCGAGAGGCACGCGGAGTTCATTGCTTCAAAAGGTGACGATGCATGACTCCTCTTGATTACTTATAGGAATCCCAAAATCCCTGTGGCTACTGGAAAGGGTCCTTGGGTGCCCTGGCTCACCTCGAGAAGCGTCCCTTTTGCCCTGCCAAGCCTCGAAGAGATTGCTGAGGTGTCCCTCGTTACTAGACAGGAGTCCTGACGTCACTGAAGAAACTCGTGTTTTGAAGGGCCATCCCCGCCGTAAGTCGAGAACATACCCCAGGTCCCCGCCGCAACTCGAGAAAAACCATGAGACTTCCCCCTAGAGGCGAGATGAGGCCCCATTCCCCTGCAGTGCATGCAGAGCTATTCCCTGATCCCATTCAAACAAGTCAGGAGCTTCGACTTGCTTAATGGATCTCGAGACAGTCCCCAAGAACACTGTCACCAGTCTAGACGGACCCTGAGGTCAACCAGCAATGCAAAGCAGCTCCATGTGCCCCAAATCAACTCGAGATGAGGCCGGATTCCCCTGCATTGACACCAGAGCCATTCCTTGTTCCCCATTCAACACGACCGGTGGCTCGACTTCCTTCAGGCAACTCCAGAGATGACCGGAGAACACTGTCCCAAGTCTAGAGGACCACCAACTTCGGCACAGCAACTCGAGGAATGCTCCGTGTACCCCAAATCGTCTCGAGATGAGAGCTGATTCCCTGGCTTAGGCTCAAGACGTATGCCACCTTTCCAGAAGCACCTCAGGAGGAGGCTTCTCTCAGCAATAGGTATGTGGGAGGGACTCCGAGTTTGCTGCCTCAAGGGGAATATACAGCGAGAAGCCCTAACTTGAAAGGAGGCCGGATTTCCTTGCAGTGGCTTGAATACAGGCTCGTCTTTCATCTCACAACATGAAGGGATGTCTGATTCCCCTGTGGAGACCTTAGAGAAAGCCCTAGGTCCCTGCCTCATTTTGACGGAATCCTCACATCCCGCTGACACCTCGAGAGGCACGCGGAGTTCATTGCTTCAAAAGGTGACGATGCCTGACTCCTCTTGAATACTGATAGGAATCCCAAAATCCCTGTGGCTACTGGAAAGGGTCCTTGGGTGCCCTGGCTCACCTCGAGAAGCGTCCCTTTTGCCCTGCCAAGCCTCGAAGAGATTGCTGAGGTGTCCCTCGTTACTAGACAGGAGTACGGACGTCACTGAAGAAACTCGTGTTTTGAAGGGCCATCCCCGCCGTAAGTCGAGAACATACCCCAGGTCCCCGCCGCAACTCGAGAAAAACCATGAGACTTCCCCCTAGAGGCGAGATGAGGCCCCATTCCCCTGCAGTGCATGCAGAGCTATTCCGTGATCCCATTCAAACAAGTCAGGAGCTTCGACTTGCTTAATGGATCTCGAGACAGTCCCCAAGAACACTGTCACCAGTCTAGACGGACCCTGAGGTCACCCAGCAATGCAAAGCAGCTCCATGTGCCCCAAATCAACTCGAGATGAGGCCGGATTCCCCTGCATTGACTCCAGAGCCATTCCTTGTTCCCCATTCAACACGACCGGTGGCTCGACTTCCTTCAGGCAACTCCAGAGATGCCCCGAGAACACTGTCCCAAGTCTAGAGGACAACCAACTTCAGCACAGCAACTCGAGGAATGCTCAGTGTACCCCAAATCGTCTCGAGATGAGAGCTGATTCCCTGGCTTAGGCTCAAGACGTATGCCACCTTTCCAGAAGCACCTCAGGAGGAGGCTTCTCTCAGCAATAGGTATGTGGGAGGGACCCCGAGTTTGCTGCCTCAAGTGGAATATACAGCGAGAAGCCCTAACTTGAAAGGAGGCCGGATTTCCTTGCAGTGGCTTGAATACAGGCTCGTCTTTCATCTCACAACATGAAGGGATGTCTGAATCCCCTGTGGATACCTTAGAGAAAGCCCTAGGTCCCTGCCTCATTCTGACGGAATCCTCACATCCCGCTGACACCTCGAGAGGCACGCGGTGTTCATTGCTTCAAAAGGTGACGATGCCTGACTCCTCTTGAATACTTATAGGAATCCCAAAATCCCTGTGGCTACTGGAAAGGGTCCTTGGGTGCCCTGGCTCACCTCGAGAAGCGTCCCTTTTGCCCTGCCAAGCCTCGAAGAGATTGCTGAGGTGTCCCTCGTTACGAGGCAGGAGTCCTGATATCACTGAAGAAACTCGTGTTTTGAAGGGCCATCCCCGCCGTAAGTCGAGAACATACCCCAGGTCCCCGCCGCAACTCGAGAAAAACCATGAGACTTCCCCCTAGAGGCGAGATGAGGCCCCATTCCCCTGCAGTGCATGCAGAGCTATTCCGTGATCCCATTCAAACAAGTCAGGAGATTCGACTTGCTTAATGGATCTCGAGGCAGTCCCCAAGAACACTGTCACCAGTCTAGATGGACCCTGAGGTCACCCCAGCAACGCAAAGCAGCTCCAGGTGCCACAAATCAACTCGAGATGAGGCCCGATTCCCCTGCATTGACTCCAGAGCCATTCCCCGTTCCCCATTCAACACGACCGGTGGCTCGACTTCCTTCATGCAACTCTGGAGATGCCCAGAGAACACTGTCCCAAGTCTAGAGGAACACCAACTTCAGCACAGCAACTCGAGGAATGCTCTGTGTACCCCAAATCGTCTCGAGATGAGAGCTGAATCCCTGGCTTAGGCTCAAGACGTATGCCAACTTTCCAGAAGCACCTCAGGAGGAGGCTTCTCTCAACAATAGGTATGTGGGAGGGACTCCGAGTTTGCTGCCTCAAGGGGAATATACAGCGAGAAGCCCTAACTTGAAAGGAGGCCGGATTTCCTTGCAGTGGCTTGAATACAGGCTCGTCTTTCATCTCACAACATGAAGGGATGTCTGAATCCCCTGTGGAGACCTTAGAGAAAGCCCTAGGTCCCTGCCTCATTTTGACGGAATCCTCACATCCCGCTGACACCTCGAGAGGCACGCGGAGTTCATTGCTTCAAAAGGTGACGATGCCTGACTCCTCTTGAATACTGATAGGAATCCCAAAATCCCTGTTGCTACTGGAAAGGGTCCTTGGGTGCCCTGGCTCACCTCGAGAAGCGTCCCTTTTGCCCTGCCAAGCCTCGAAGAGATTGCTGAGGTGTCCCTCGTTACTAGACAGGAGTCCTGACGTCACGGAAGAAACTCGTGTTTTGAAGGGCCATCCCCGCCGTAAGTCGAGAACATACCCCAGGTCCCCGCCGCAACTCGAGAAAAACCATGAGACTTCCCCCTAGAGGCGAGATGAGTCCCCATTCCCCTGCAGTGCATGCAGAGCTATTCCGTGATCCCATTCAAACAAGTCAGGAGCTTCGACTTGCTTAATGGATCTCGAGGCAGTCCCCAAGAACACTGTCACCAGTCTAGACGGAACCTGAGGTCACCCCAGCAACGCAAAGCAGCTCCAGGTGCCACAAATCAACTCGAGATGAGGCCCGATTCCCCTGCATTGACTCCAGAGCCATTCCCCGTTCCCCATTCAACACGACCGGTGGCTCGACTTCCTTCAGGCAACTCCAGAGATGCCCCGAGAACACTGTCCCAAGTCTAGAGGAACACCAACTTCAGCACAGCAACTCGAAGAATGATCTGTGTACCCCAAATCGTCTCGAGATGAGAGCTGATTCCCTGGCTTAGGCTCAAGACGTATGCCAACTTTCCAGAAGCACCTCAGGAGGAGGCTTCTCAGCAATAGGTATGTGGGAGGGACTCCGAGTTTGCTGCCTCAAGGGCAATATACAGCGAGAAGCCCTAACTTGAAAGGAGGCCGGATTTCCTTGCAGTAGCTTGAATACAGGCTTGTCTTTCATCTCACAACATGAAGGGATGTCTGAATCCCCTGTGGAGACCTTAGAGAAAGCCCTAGGTCCCTGCCTCATTTTGACGGAATGCCTCACATCCCGCTGACACCTCGAGAGGCACGCGGAGTTCATTGCTTCAAAAGGTGACGATGCATGACTCCTCTTGATTACTTATAGGAATCCCAAAATCCCTGTGGCTACTGGAAAGGGTCCTTGGGTGCCCTGGCTCACCTCGAGAAGCGTCCCTTTTGCCCTGCCAAGCCTCGAAGAGATTCCTGAGGTGTCCCTCGTTACTAGACAGGAGTCCTGACGTCACGGAAGAAACTCGTGTTTTGAAGGGCCATCCCCGCCGTAAGTCGAGAACATACCCCAGGTCCCCGCCGCAACTCGAGAAAAACCATGAGACTTCCCCCTAGAGGCGAGATGAGGCCCCATTCCCCTGCAGTGCATGCAGAGCTATTCCGTGATCCCATTCAAACAAGTCAGGAGCTTCGACTTGCTTAATGGATCTCGAGACAGTCCCCAAGAACACTGTCACCAGTCTAGACGGACCCTGAGGTCACCCAGCAATGCAAAGCAGCTCCATGTGCCCCAAATCAACTCGAGATGAGGCCGGATTCCCCTGCATTGACTCCAGAGCCATTCCTTGTTCCCCATTCAACACGACCGGTGGCTCGACTTCCTTCAGGCAACTCCAGAGATGCCCCGAGAACACTGTCCCAAGTCTAGAGGACCACCAACTTCAGCACAGCAACTCGAGGAATGCTCTGTGTACCCCAAATCGTCTCGAGATGAGAGCTGATTCCCTGGCTTAGGCTCAAGACGTATGCCACCTTTCCAGAAGCACCTCAGGAGGAGGCTTCTCTCAGTAATAGGTATTTGGGAGGGACCCCGAGTTTGCTGCCTCAAGGGGAATATACAGCGAGAAGCCCTAACTTGAAAGGAGGCTGGATTTCCATGCAGTGGCTTGAATACAGGCTCGTCTTTCATCTCACAACATGAAGGGATGTCTGATTCCCCTGTGGAGACCTTAGAGAAAGCCCTAGGTCCCTGCCTCATTTTGATGGAATCCTCACATCCCGCTGACACGTCGAGAGGCACGCGGAGTTCATTGCTTCAAAAGGTGACGATGCATCACTCCTCTTGATTACTTATAGGAATCCCAAAATCCCTGTGGCTACTGGAAAGGGTCCTTGCGTGCCCTGGCTCACCTCGAGAAGCGTCCCTTTTGCCCTGCCAAGCCTCGAAGAGATTGCTGAGGTGTCCCTCGTTACTAGACAGGAGTCCTGACGTCACTGAAGAAACTCGTGTTTTGAAGGGCCATCCCCGCCGTAAGTCGAGAATATACCCCAGGTCCCCGCCGCAACTCCAGAAAAACCATGAGACTTCCCCCTAGAGGCGAGATGAGGCCCCATTCCCCTGCAGTGCATGCAGAGCTATTCCCTGATCCCATTCAAACAAGTCAGGAGCTTCGACTTGCTTAATGGATCTCGAGACAGTCCCCAAGAACACTGTCACCAGTCTAGACGGACCCTGAGGTCAACCAGCAATGCAAAGCAGCTCCATGTGCCCCAAATCAACTCGAGATGAGGCCGGATTCCCCTGCATTGACTCCAGAGCCATTCCTTGTTCCCCATTCAACACGACCGGTGGCTCGACTTCCTTCAGGCAACTCCAGAGATGACCCGAGAACACTGTCCCAAGTCTAGAGGACCACCAACTTCGGCACAGCAACTCGAGGAATGCTCCGTGTACCCCAAATCGTCTCGAGATGAGAGCTGATTCCCTGGCTTAGGCTCAAGACGTATGCCACCTTTCCAGAAGCACATCAGGAGGAGGCTTCTCAGCAATAGGTATGTGGGAGGGACTCCGAGTTTGCTGCCTCAAGGGCAATATACAGCGAGAAGCCCTAACTTGAAAGGAGGCCGGATTTCCTTGCAGTAGCTTGAATACAGGCTTGTCTTTCATCTCACAACATGAAGGGATGTCTGAATCCCCTGTGGAGACCTTAGAGAAAGCCCTAGGTCCCTGCCTCATTTTGACGGAATGCCTCACATCCCGCTGACACCTCGAGAGGCACGCGGAGTTCATTGCTTCAAAAGGTGACGATGCATGACTCCTCTTGATTACTTATAGGAATCCCAAAATCCCTGTGGCTACTGGAAAGGGTCCTTGGGTGCCCTGGCTCACCTCGAGAAGCGTCCCTTTTGCCCTGCCAAGCCTCGAAGAGATTCCTGAGGTGTCCCTCGTTACTAGGCAGGAGTCCTGACGTCACTGAAGAAACTCGTGTTTTGAAGGGCCATCCCCGCCGTAAGTCGAGAACATACCCCAGGTCCCCGCCGCAACTCGAGAAAAACCATGAGACTTCCCCCTAGAGGCGAGATGAGGCCCCATTACCCTGCAGTGCATGCAGAGCTATTCCGTGATCCCATTCAAACAAGTCAGGAGCTTCGACTTGCTTAATGGATCTCGAGACAGTCCCCAAGAACACTGTCACCAGTCTAGACGGACCCTGAGGTCACCCAGCAATGCAAAGCAGCTCCATGTGCCCCAAATCAACTCGAGATGAGGCCGGATTCCCCTGCATTGACTCCAGAGCCATTCCTTGTTCCCCATTCAACACGACCGGTGGCTCGACTTCCTTCAAGCAACTCCAGAGATGCCCCGAGAACACTGTCCCAAGTCTAGAGGACCACCAACTTCAGCACAGCAACTCGAGGAATGATCTGTGTACCCCAAATCATCTCGAGATGAGAGCTGATTCCCTGGCTTAGGCTCAAGACGTATGCCACCTTTCCAGAAGCACCTCAGGAGGAGGCTTCTCTCAGTAATAGGTATGTGGGAGGGACCCCGAGTTTGCTGCCTCAAGGGGAATATACAGCGAGAAGCCCTAACTTGAAAGGAGGCCGGATTTCCATGCAGTGGCTTGAATACAGGCTCGTCTTTCATCTCACAACATGAAGGGATGTCTGATTCCCCTGTGGAGACCTTAGAGAAAGCCCTAGGTCCCTGCCTCATTTTGATGGAATCCTCACATCCCGCTGACACGTCGAGAGGCACGCGGAGTTCATTGCTTCAAAAGGTGACGATGCATGACTCCTCTTGATTACTTATAGGAATCCCAAAATCCCTGTGGCTACTGGAAAGGGTCCTTGGGTGCCCTGGCTCACCTCGAGAAGCGTCCCTTTTGCCCTGCCAAGCCTCGAAGAGATTGCTGAGGTGTCCCTCGTTACTAGACAGGAGTCCTGACGTCACTGAAGAAACTCGTGTTTTGAAGGGCCATCCCCGCCGTAAGTCGAGAACATACCCCAGGTCCCCGCCGCAACTCGAGAAAAACCATGAGACTTCCCCCTAGAGGCGAGATGAGGCCCCATTCCCCTGCAGTGCATGCAGAGCTATTCCGTGATCCCATTCAAACAAGTCAGGAGCTTCGACTTGCTTAATGGATCTCGAGACAGTCCCCAAGAACACTGTCACCAGTCTAGACGGACCCTGAGGTCAACCAGCAATGCAAAGCAGCTCCATGTGCCCCAAATCAACTCGAGATGAGGCCGGATTCCCCTGCATTGACACCAGAGCCATTCCTTGTTCCCCATTCAACACGACCGGTGGCTCGACTTCCTTCAGGCAACTCCAGAGATGCCCCGAGAACACTGTCCCAAGTCTAGAGGACAACCAACTTCAGCACAGCAACTCGAGGAATGCTCAGTGTACCCCAAATCGTCTCGAGATGAGAGCTGATTCCCTGGCTTAGGCTCAAGACGTATGCCACCTTTCCAGAAGCACCTCAGGAGGAGGCTTCTCTCAGCAATAGGTATGTGGGAGGGACCCCGAGTTTGCTGCCTCAAGGGGAATATACAGCGAGAAGCCCTAACTTGAAAGGAGGCCGGATTTCCTTGCAGTGGCTTGAATACAGGCTCGTCTTTCATCTCACAACATGAAGGGATGTCTGAATCCCCTGTGGAGACCTTAGAGAAAGCCCTAGGTCCCTGCCTCATTTTGACGGAATCCTCACATCCCGCTGACACCTCGAGAGGCACGCGGAGTTCATTGCTTCAAAAGGTGACGATGCCTGACTCCTCTTGAATACTGATAGGAATCCCAAAATCCCTGTTGCTACTGGAAAGGGTCCTTGGGTGCCCTGGCTCACCTCGAGAAGCGTCCCTTTTGCCCTGCCAAGCCTCGAAGAGATTGCTGAGGTGTCCCTCGTTACTAGACAGGAGTCCTGACGTCACGGAAGAAACTCCTGTTTTGAAGGGCCATCCCCGCCGTAAGTCGAGAACATACCCCAGGTCCCCGCCGCAACTCGAGAAAAACCATGAGACTTCCCCCTAGAGGCGAGATGAGTCCCCATTCCCCTGCAGTGCATGCAGAGCTATTGGGTGATCCCATTCAAACAAGTCAGGAGCTTCGACTTGCTTAATGGATCTCGAGGCAGTCCCCAAGAACACTGTCACCAGTCTAGACGGAACCTGAGATCACCCCAGCAACGCAAAGCAGCTCCAGGTGCCACAAATCAACTCGAGATGAGGCCCGATTCCCCTGCATTGACTCCAGAGCCATTCCCCGTTCCCCATTCAACACGACCGGTGGCTCGACTTCCTTCAGGCAACTCCAGAGATGCCCCGAGAACACTGTCCCAAGTCTTTAGGAACACCAACTTCAGCACAGCAACTCGAGGAATGATCTGTGTACCCCAAATCGTCTCGAGATGAGAGCTGATTCCCTGGCTTAGGCTCAAGACGTATGCCAACTTTCCAGAAGCACCTCAGGAGGAGGCTTCTCAGCAATAGGTATGTGGGAGGGACTCCGAGTTTGCTGCCTCAAGGGCAATATACAGCGAGAAGCCCTAACTTGAAAGGAGGCCGGATTTCCTTGCAGTGGCTTGAATACAGGCTTGTCTTTCATCTCACAACATGAAGGGATGTCTGAATCCCCTGTGAAGACCTTAGAGAAAGCCCTAGGTCCCTGCCTCATTTTGACGGAATGCCTCACATCCCGCTGACAACTCGAGAGGCACGCGGAGTACATTGCTTCAAAAGGTGACGATGCCTGACTCCTCTTGAATACTGATAGGAATCCCAAAATCCCTGTGGCTACTGGAAAGGGTCCTTGGGTGCCCTGGCTCACCTCGAGAAGCGTCCCTTTTGCCCTGCCAAGCCTCGAAGAGATTGCTGATGTGTCCCTCGTTACTAGACAGGAGTCCTGACGTCACTGAAGAAACTCGTGTTTTGAAGGGCCATCCCCGCCGTAAGTCGAGAACATACCCCAGGTCTCCGCCGCAACTCGAGAAAAACCATGAGACTTCCCCCTAGAGGCGAGATGAGGCCCCATTCCCCTGCAGTGCATGCAGAGCTATTCCGTGATCCCATTCAAACAAGTCAGGAGCTTCGACTTGCTTAATGGATCTCGAGACAGTCCCCAAGAACACTGTCACCAGTCTAGACGGACCCTGAGGTCACCCAGCAATGCAAAGCAGCTCCATGTGCCCCAAATCAACTCGAGATGAGGCCGGATTCCCCTGCATTGACTCCAGAGCCATTCCTTGTTCCCCATTCAACACGACCGGTGGCTCGACTTCCTTCAGGCAACTCCAGAGATGCCCCGAGAACACTGTCCCAAGTCTAGAGGACCACCAACTTCAGCACAGCAACTCGAGGAATGCTCAGTGTACCCCAAATCGTCTCGAGATGAGAGCTGATTCCCTGGCTTAGGCTCAAGACGTATGCCACCTTTCCAGAAGCACCTCAGGAGGAGGCTTCTCTCAGCAATAGGAATGTGGGAGGGACCCCGAGTTTGCTGCCTCAAGGGGAATATACAGCGAGAAGCCCTAACTTGAAAGGAGGCCGGATTTCCTTGCAGTGGCTTGAATACAGGCTCGTCTTTCATCTCACAACATGAAGGGATGTCTGAATCCCCTGTGGATACCTTAGAGAAAGCCCTAGGTCCCTGCCTCATTTTGACGGAATCCTCACATCCCGCTGACACCTCGAGAGGCACGCGGTGTTCATTGCTTCAAAAGGTGACGATGCCTGACTCCTCTTGAATACTTATAGGAATCCCAAAATCCCTGTGGCTACTGGAAAGGGTCCTTGGGTGCCCTGGCTCACCTCGAGAAGCGTCCCTTTTGCCCTGCCAAGCCTCGAAGAGATTGCTGAGGTGTCCCTCGTTACTAGGCAGGAGTCCTGACGTCACTGAAGAAACTCGTGTTTTGAAGGGCCATCCCCGCCGTAAGTCGAGAACATACGCCAGGTCCCCGCCGCAACTCGAGAAAAACCATGAGACTTCCCCCTAGAGGCGAGATGAGGCCCCATTCCCCTGCAGTGCATGCAGAGCTATTCCGTGATCCCATTCACACAAGTCAGGAGCTTCGACTTGCTTAATGGATCTCGAGGCAGTCCCCAAGAACACTGTCACCAGTCTAGACGGAACCTGAGGTCACCCCAGCAACGCAAAGCAGCTCCAGGTGCCACAAATCAACTCGAGATGAGGCCCGATTCCCCTGCATTGACTCCAGAGCCATTCCCCGTTCCCCATTCAACACGACCGGTGGCTCGCCTTCCTTCAGGCAACTCCAGAGATGACCCGAGAACACTGTCCCAAGTCTAGAGGAACACCAACTTCAGCACAGCAACTCAAGGAATGATCTGTGTACCCCAAAACGTCTCGAGATGAGAGCTGATTCCCTGGCTTAGGCTCAAGACGTATGCCAACTTTCCAGAAGCACCTCAGGAGGAGGCTTCTCAGCAATAGGTATGTGGGAGGGACTCCGAGTTTGCTGCCTCAAGGGCAATATACAGCGAGAAGCCCTAACTTGAAAGGAGGCCGGATTTCCTTGCAGTAGCTTGAATACAGGCTTGTCTTTCATCTCACAACATGAAGGGATGTCTGAATCCCCTGTGGAGACCTTAGAGAAAGCCCTAGGTCCCTGCCTCATTTTGACGGAATGCCTCACATCCCGCAAACACCTCGAGAGGCACGCGGAGTTCATTGCTTCAAAAGGTGACGATGCATGACTCCTCTTGATTACTTATAGGAATCCCAAAATCCCTGTGGCTACTGGCAAGGGTCCTTGGGTGCCCTGGCTCACCTCGAGAAGCGTCCCTTTTGCCCTGCCAAGCCTCGAAGAGATTCCTGAGGTGTCCCTCGTTACTAGGCAGGAGTCCTGACGTCACTGAAGAAACTCGTATTTTGAAGGGCCATCCCCGCCGTAAGTCGAGAACATACCCCAGGTCCCCGCCGCAACTCGAGAAAAACCATGAGACTTCCCCCTAGAGGCGAGATGAGGCCCCATTCCCCTGCAGTGCATGCAGAGCTATTCCGTGATCCCATTCAAACAAGTCAGGAGCTTCGACTTGATTAATGGATCTCGAGACAGTCCCCAAGAACACTGTCACCAGTCTAGACGGACCCTGAGGTCACCCAGCAATGCAAAGCAGCTCCAGGTGCCCCAAATCAACTCGAGATGAGGCCGGATTCCCCTGCATTGACTCCAGAGCCATTCCTTGTCCCCATTCAACACGACCGGTGGCTCGACTTCCTTCAGGCAACTCCAGAGATGCCCCGAGAACACTGTCCCAAGTCTAGAGGACCACCAACTTCAGCACAGCAACTCGAGGAATGCTCTGTGTACCCCAAATCGTCTCGAGATGAGAGCTGATTCCCTGGCTTAGGCTCAAGACGTATGCCACCTTTCCAGAAGCACCTCAGGAGGAGGCTTCTCTCAGCAATAGGTATGTGGGAGGGACTCCGAGTTTGCTGCCTCAAGGGGAATATACAGCGAGAAGCCCTAACTTGAAAGGAGGCCGGATTTCCTTGCAGTGGCTTGAATACAGGCTCGTCTTTCATCTCACAACATGAAGGGATGTCTGAATCCCCTGTGGAGACCTTAGAGAAAGCCCTAGGTCCCTGCCTCATTTTGACGGAATGCCTCACATCCCGCTGACAACTCGAGAGGCACGCGGAGTTCATTGCTTCAAAAGTTGACGATGCCTGACTCCTCTTGAATACTGATAGGAATCCCAAAATCCCTGTGGTTACTGGAAAGGGTCCTTGGGTGCCCTGGCTCACCTCGAGAAGCGTCCCTTTTGCCCTGCCAAGCCTCGAAGAGATTGCTGAGGTGTCCCTCGTTACTAGACAGGAGTCCTGACGTCACGGAAGAAACTCGTGTTTTGAAGGGCCATCCCCGCCGTAAGTCGAGAACATACCCCAGGTCCCCGCCGCAACTCGAGAAAAACCATGAGACTTCCCCCTAGAGGCGAGATGAGGCCCCATTCCCCTGCAGTGCATGCAGAGCTATTCCGTGATCCCATTCAAACAAGTCAGGAGCTTCGACTTGCTTAATGGATATCGAGACAGTCCCCAAGAACACTGTCACCAGTCTAGTCGGACCCTGAGGTCACCCAGCAATGCAAAGCAGCTCCATGTGCCCCAAATCAACTCGAGATGAGGCCGGATTCCCCTGCATTGACTCCAGAGCCATTCCTTGTTCCCCATTCAACACGACCGGTGGCTCGACTTCCTTCAGGCAACTCCAGAGATGCCCCGAGAACACTGTCCCAAGTCTAGAGGACCACCAACTTCAGCACAGCAACTCGAGGAATGCTCTGTGTACCCCAAATCGTCTCGAGATGAGAGCTGATTCCCTGGCTTAGGCTCAAGACGTATGCCACCTTTCCAGAAGCACCTCAGGAGGAGGCTTCTCTAAGCAATAGGTATGTGGGAGGGACCCCGAGTTTGCTGCCTCAAGGGGAATATACAGCGAGAAGCCCTAACTTGAAAGGAGGCCGGATTTCCTTGCAGTGGCTTGAATACAGGCTCGTCTTTCATCTCACAACATGAAGGGATGTCTGAATCCCCTGTGAAGACCTTAGAGAAAGCCCTAGGTCCCTGCCTCATTTTGACGGAATGCCTCACATCCCGCTGACAACTCGAGAGGCACGCGGAGTACATTGCTTCAAAAGGTGACGATGCCTGACTCCTCTTGAATACTTATAGGAATCCCAAAATCCCTGTGGCTACTGGAAAGGGTCCTTGGGTGCCCTGGCTCACCTCGAGAAGCGTCCCTTTTGCCCTGCCAAGCCTCGAAGAGATTGCTGAGGTGTCCCTCGTTACTAGGCAGGAGTCCTGACGTCACTGAAGAAACTCGTGTTTTGAAGGGCCATCCCCGCCGTAAGTCGAGAACATACCCCAGGTCCCCGCCGCAACTCGAGAAAAACCATGAGACTTCCCCCTAGAGGCGAGATGAGGCCCCATTCCCCTGCAGTGCATGCAGAGCTATTCCGTGATCCCATTCAAACAAGTCAGGAGCTTCGACTTGCTTAATGGATCTCGAGGCAGTCCCCAAGAACACTGTCACCAGTCTAGATGGACCCTGAGGTCACCCCAGCAAAGCAAAGCAGCTCCAGGTGCCACAAATCAACTCGAGATGAGGCCCGATTCCCCTGCATTGACTCCAGAGCCATTCCCCGTTCCCCATTCAACACGACCGGTGGATCGACTTCCTTCATGCAACTCTGGAGATGCCCAGAGAACACTGTCCCAAGTCTAGAGGAACACCAACTTCAGCACAGCAACTCGAGGAATGCTCTGTGTACCCCAAATCGTCTCGAGATGAGAGCTGAATCCCTGGCTTAGGCTCAAGACGTATGCCAACTTTCCAGAAGCACCTCAGGAGGAGGCTTCTCTCAACAATAGGTATGTGGGAGGGACTCCGAGTTTGCTGCCTCAAGGGGAATATACAGCGAGAAGCCCTAACTTGAAAGGAGGCCGGATTTCCTTGCAGTGGCTTGAATACAGGCTCGTCTTTCATCTCACAACATGAAGGGATGTCTGAATCCCCTGTGGAGACCTTAGAGAAAGCCCTAGGTCCCTGCCTCATTTTGACGGAATCCTCACATCCCGCTGACACCTCGAGAGGCACGCGGAGTTCATTGCTTCAAAAGGTGACGATGCCTGACTCCTCTTGATTACTTATAGGAATCCCAAAATCCCTGTGGCTACTGGAAAGAGTCCTTGGGTGCCCTGGCTCACCTCGAGAAGCGTCCCTTTTGCCCTGCCAAGCCTCGAAGAGATTGCTGAGGTGTCCCTCGTTACTAGACAGGAGTCCTGACGTCACTGAAGAAACTCGTGTTTTGAAGGGCCATCCCCGCCGTAAGTCGAGAACATACCCCAGGTCCCCGCCGCAACTCGAGAAAAACCATGAGACTTCCCCCTAGAGGCGAGATGAGTCCCCATTCCCCTGCAGTGCATGCAGAGCTATTGGGTGATCCCATTCAAACAAGTCAGGAGCTTCGACTTGCTTAATGGATCTCGAGGCAGTCCCCAAGAACACTGTCACCAGTCTAGACGGAACCTGAGGTCACCCCAGCAACGCAAAGCAGCTCCAGGTGCCACAAATCAACTCGAGATGAGGCCCGATTCCCCTGCATTGACTGCAGAGCCATTCCCCGTTCCCCATTCAACACGACCGGTGGCTCGCCTTCCTTCAGGCAACTCCAGAGATGCCCCGAGAACACTGTCCCAAGTCTAGAGGAACACCAACTTCAGCACAGCAACTCGAGGAATGATCTGTGTACCCCAAATCGTCTCGAGATGAGAGCTGATTCCCTGGCTTAGGCTCAAGACGTATGCCACCTTTCCAGAAGCACCTCAGGAGGAGGCTTCTCTCAGTAATAGGTATGTGGGAGGGACCCCGAGTTTGCTGCCTCAAGGGGAATATACAGCGAGAAGCCCTAACTTGAAAGGAGGCCGGATTTCCTTGCAGTAGCTTGAATACAGGCTTGTCTTTCATCTCACAACATGAAGGGATGTCTGAATCCCCTTTGGAGACCTTAGAGAAAGCCCTAGGTCCCTGCCTCATTTTGACGGAATGCCTCACATCCCGCTGACACCTCGAGAGGCACGCGGAGTTCATTGCTTCAAAAGGTGACGATGCATGACTCCTCTTGATTACTTATAGGAATCCCAAAATCCCTGTGGCTACTGGCAAGGGTCCTTGGGTGCCCTGGCTCACCTCGAGAAGCGTCTCTTTTGCCCTGCCAAGCCTCGAAGAGATTCCTGAGGTGTCCCTCGTTACTAGGCAGGAGTCCTGACGTCACGGAAGAAACTCTTATTTTGAAGGGCCATCCCCGCCGTAAGTCGAGAACATACCCCAGGTCCCCGCCGCAACTCGAGAAAAACCATGAGACTTCCCCCTAGAGGCGAGATGAGGCCCCATTCCCCTGCAGTGCATGCAGAGCTATTCCGTGATCCCATTCAAACAAGTCAGGAGCTTCGACTTGCTTAATGGATCTCGAGACAGTCCCCAAGAACACTGTCACCAGTCTAGACGGACCCTGAGGTCACCCAGCAATGCAAAGCAGCTGCATGTGCCCCAAATCAACTCGAGATGAGGCCGGATTCCCCTGCATTGACTCCAGAGCCATTCCTTGTTCCCCATTCAACACGACCGGTGGCTCGACTTCCTTCAGGCAACTCCAGAGATGCCCCGAGAACACTGTCCCAAGTCTAGAGGACCACCAACTTCAGCACAGCAACTCGAGGAATGCTCTGTGTACCCCAAATCGTCTCGAGATGAGAGCTGATTCCCTGGCTTAGGCTCAAGACGTATGCCACCTTTCCAGAAGCACCTCAGGAGGAGGCTTCTCTCAGTAATAGGTATGTGGGAGGGACCCCGAGTTTGCTGCCTCAAGGGGAATATACAGCGAGAAGCCCTAACTTGAAAGGAGGCCGGATTTCCATGCAGTGGCTTGAATACAGGCTCGTCTTTCATCTCACAACATGAAGGGATGTCTGAATCCCCTGTGGAGAATTTAGAGAAAGCCCTAGGTCCCTGCCTCATTTTGACGGAATCCTCACATCCCGCTGACACGTCGAGAGGCACGCGGAGTTCATTGCTTCAAAAGGTGACGATGCATGACTCCTCTTGATTACTTATAGGAATCCCAAAATCCCTGTGGCTACTGGAAAGGGTCCTTGGGTGCCCTGCCTCACCTCGAGAAGCGTCCCTTTTGCCCTGCCAAGCCTCGAAGAGATTGCTGAGGTGTCCCTCGTTACTAGACAGGAGTCCTGACGTCACGGAAGAAACTCGTGTTTTGAAGGGCCATCCCCGCCGTAAGTCGAGAACATACCCCAGGTCCCCGCCGCAACTCGAGAAAAACCATGAGACTTCCCCCTAGAGGCGAGATGAGGCCCCATTCCCCTGCAGTGCATGCAGAGCTATTCCGTGATCCCATTCAAACAAGTCAGGAGCTTCGACTTGCTTAATGGATCTCGAGAGAGTCCCCAAGAACACTGTCACCAGTCTAGACGGACCCTGAGGTCACCCAGCAATGCAAAGCAGCTCCATGTGCCCCAAATCAACGCGAGATGAGGCCGGATTCCCCTGCATTGACTCCAGAGCCATTCCTTGTTCCCCATTCAACACGACCGGTGGCTCGACTTCCTTCAGGCAACTCCAGAGATGACCCGAGAACACTGTCCCAAGTCTAGAGGACCACCAACTTCAGCACAGCAACTCGAGGAATGCTCAGTGTACCCCAAATCGTCTCGAGATGAGAGCTGATTCCCTGGCTTAGGCTCAAGACGTATGCCACCTTTCCAGAAGCACCTCAGGAGGAGGCTTCTCTCAGCAATAGGTATGTGGGAGGGACCCCGAGTTTGCTGCCTCAAGGGGAATATACAGCGAGAAGCCCTAACTTGAAAGGAGGCCGGATTTCCTTGCAGTGGCTTGAATACAGGCTCGTCTTTCATCTCACAACATGAAGGGATGTCTGAATCCCCTGTGGAGACCTTAGAGAAAGCCCTAGGTCCCTGCCTCATTTTGACTGAATCCTCACATCCCGCTGACACCTCGAGAGGCACGCGGAGTTCATTGCTTCAAAAGGTGAAGATGCCTGACTCCTCTTGAATACTGATAGGAATCCCAAAATCCCTGTTGCTACTGGAAAGGGTCCTTGGGTGCCCTGGCTCACCTCGAGAAGCGTCCCTTTTGCCCTGCCAAGCCTCGAAGAGATTGCTGAGGTGTCCCTCGTTACTAGACAGGAGTCCTGACGTCACGGAAGAAACTCGTGTTTTGAAGGGCCATTCCCGCCGTAAGTCGAGAACATACCCCAGGTCCCCGCCGCAACTCGAGAAAAACCATGAGACTTCCCCCTAGAGGCGAGATGAGGCCCCATTCCCCTGCAGTGCATGCAGAGCTATTCCGTGATCCCATTCAAACAAGTCAGGAGCTTCGACTTGCTTAATGGATATCGAGACAGTCCCCAAGAACACTGTCACCAGTCTAGTCTGACACTGAGGTCACCCAGCAATGCAAAGCAGCTCCATTTGCCCCAAGTCAACTCGAGATGAGGCCGGATTCCCGTGCATTGACTCCAGAGCCATTCCTTGTTCCCCATTCAACACGACCGGTGGCTCGACTTCCTTCATTCAACTCCAGAGATGCCCAGAGAACACTGTCCCAAGTCTAGAGGAACACCAACTTCAGCACAGCAACTCGAGGAATGCTCTGTGTACCCCAAATCGTCTCGAGATGAGAGCTGATTCCCTGGCTTAGGCTCAAGACGTATGCCACCTTTCCAGAAGCACCTCAGGAGGAGGCTTCTCTCAGCAATAGGTATGTGGGAGGGACCCCGAGTTTGCTGCCTCAAGGGGAATATACAGCGAGAAGCCCTAACTTGAAAGGAGGCCGGATTTCCTTGCAGTGGCTTGAATACAGGCTCGTCTTTCATCTCACAACATGAAGGGATGTCTGAATCCCCTGTGAAGACCTTAGAGAATGCCCTAGGTCCCTGCCTCATTTTGACGGAATGCCTCACATCCCGCTGACACCTCGAGAGGCACGCGGAGTTCATTGCTTCAAAAGGTGACGATGCATGACTCCTCTTGATTACTTATAGGAATCCCAAAATCCCTGTGGCTACTGGCAAGGGTCCTTGGGTGCCCTGGCTCACCTCGAGAAGCGTCCCTTTTGCCCTGCCAAGCCTCGACGAGATTCCTGAGGTGTCCCTCGTTACTAGGCAGGAGTCCTGACGTCACTGAAGAAACTCGTATTTTGAAGGGCCATCCCCGCCGTAAGTCGAGAACATACCCCAGGTCCCCGCCGCAACTCGAGAAAAACCATGAGACTTCCCCCTAGAGGCGAGATGAGGCCCCATTCCCCTGCAGTGCATGCAGAGCTATTCCGTGATCCCATTCAAACAAGTCAGGAGCTTCGACTTGCTTAATGGATCTCGAGACAGTCCCCAAGAACACTGTCACCAGTCTAGACGGACCCTGAGGTCACCCAGCAATGCAAAGCAGCTCCATGTGCCCCAAATCAACTCGAGATGAGGCCGGATTCCCCTGCATTGACTCCAGAGCCATTCCTTGTTCCCCATTCAACACGACCGGTGGCTCGACTTCCTTCAGGCAACTCCAGAGATGCCCCGAGAACACTGTCCCAAGTCTAGAGGACCACCAACTTCAGCACAGCAACTCGAGGAATGCTCTGTGTACCCCAAATCGTCTCGAGATGAGAGCTGATTCCCTGGCTTAGGCTCAAGACGTATGCCACCTTTCCAGAAGCACCTCCGGAGGAGGCTTCTCTCAGTAATAGGTATGTGGGAGGGACCCCGAGTTTGCTGCCTCAATGGGAATATACAGCGAGAAGCCCTAACTTGAAAGGAGGCCGGATTTCCATGCAGTGGCTTGAATACAGGCTCGTCTTTCATCTCACAACATGAAGGGATGTCTGAATCCCCTGTGGAGACCTTAGAGAAAGCCCTAGGTCCCTGCCTCATTTTGACGGAATCCTCACATCCCGCTGACACGTCGAGAGGCACGCGGAGTTCATTGCTTCAAAAGGTGACGATGCATGACTCCTCTTGATTACTTATAGGAATCCCAAAATCCCTGTGGCTACTGGAAAGGGTCCTTGGGTGCCCTGGCTCACCTCGAGAAGCGTCCCTTTTGCAATGCCAAGCCTCGAAGAGATTGCTGAGGTGTCCCTCGTTACTAGGCAGGAGTCCTCACGTCACTGAAGAAACTCGTGTTTTGAAGGGCCATCCCCGCCGTAAGTCGAGAACATACCCCAGGTCCCCGCCGCAACTCGAGAAAAACCATGAGACTTCCCCCTAGAGGCGAGATGAGGCCCCATTCCCCTGCAGTGCATGCAGAGCTATTCCGTGATCCCATTCAAACAAGTCAGGAGCTTCGACTTGCTTAATGGATCTCGGGGCAGTCCCCAAGAACACTGTCACCAGTCTAGATGGACCCTGAGGTCACCCCAGCAACGCAAAGTAGATCCAGGTGCCACAAATCAACTCGAGATGAGGCCCGATTCCCCTGCATTGACTCCAGAGCCATTCCCCGTTCCCCATTCAACACGAGGGTTGGCTCGACTTCCTTCATTCAACTCCAGAGATGCCCAGAGAACACTGTCCCAAGTCTAGAGGAACACCAACTTCAGCACAGCAACTCGAGGAATGCTCTGTGTACCCCAAATCGTCTCGAGATGAGAGCTGATTCCCTGGCTTAGGCTCAAGACGTATGCCAACTTTCCAGAAGCACCTCAGGAGGACGCATCTCTCAGCAATAGGTATGTGGGAGGGACCCCGAATTTGCTGCCTCAAGGGGAATATACAGCGAGAAGCCCTAACTTGAAAGGAGGCCGGATTTCCTAGCAGTGGCTTGAATACAGGCTCGTCTTTCATCTCACAACATGAAGGGATGTCTGAATCCCCTGTGAAGACCTTAGAGAAAGCCCTAGGTCCCTGCCTCATTTTGACGGAATGCCTCACATCCCGCTGACAACTCGAGAGGCACGCGGAGTACATTGCTTCAAAAGGTGACGATGCCTGACTCCTCTTGAATACTGATAGGAATCCCAAAATCCCTGTGGCTACTGGAAAGGGTCCTTGGGTGCCCTGGCTCACCTCGAGAAGCGTCCCTTTTGCCCTGCCAAGCCTCGAAGAGATTGCTGATGTGTCCCTCGTTACTAGACAGGAGTCCTGACGTCACTGAAGAAACTCGTGTTTTGAAGGGCCATCCCCGCCGTAAGTCGAGAACATACCCCAGGTCCCCGCCGCAACTCGAGAAAAACCATGAGACTTCCCCCTAGAGGCGAGATGAGGCCCCATTCCCCTGCAGTGCATGCAGAGCTATTCCGTGATCCCATTCAAACAAGTCAGGAGCTTCGACTTGCTTAATGGATCTCGAGACAGTCCCCAAGAACACTGTCACCAGTCTAGACGGACCCTGAGGTCACCCAGCAATGCAAAGCAGCTCCATGTGCCCCAAATCAACTCGAGATGAGGCCGGATTCCCCTGCATTGACTCCAGAGCCATTCCTTGTTCCCCATTCAACACGACCGGTGGCTCGACTTCCTTCAGGCAACTCCAGAGATGCCCCGAGAACACTGTCCCAAGTCTAGAGGACCACCAACTTCAGCACAGCAACTCGAGGAATGCTCTGTGTACCCCAAATCGTCTCGAGATGAGAGCTGATTCCCTGGCTTAGGCTCAAGACCTATGCCACCTTTCCAGAAGCACCTCAGGAGGAGGCTTCTCTCAGCAATAGGTATGTGGGAGGGACCCCGAGTTTGCTACCTCAAGGGGAATATACAGCGAGAAGCCCTAACTTGAAAGGAGGCCGGATTTCCTTGCAGTGGCTTGAATACAGGCTCGTCTTTCATCTCACAACATGAAGGGATGTCTGAATCCCCTGTGAAGACCTTAGAGAAAGCCCTAGGTCCCTGCCTCATTTTGACGGAATGCCTCACATCCCGCTGACAACTCGAGTGGCACGCGGAGTACATTGCTTCAAAAGGTGACGATGCCTGACTCCTCTTGAATACTGATAGGAATCCCAAAATCCCTGTGGCTACTGGAAAGGGTCCTTGGGTGCCCTGGCTCACCTCGAGAAGCGTCCCTTTTGCCCTGCCAAGCCTCGAAGAGATTGCTGATGTGTCCCTAGTTACTAGACAGGAGTCCTGACGTCACTGAAGAAACTCGTGTTTTGAAGGGCCATCCCCGCCGTAAGTCGAGAACATACCCCAGGTCTCCGTCGCAACTCGAGAAAAACCATGAGACTTCCCCCTAGAGGCGAGATGAGGCCCCATTCCCCTGCAGTGCATGCAGAGCTATTCCGTGATCCCATTCAAACAAGTCAGGAGCTTCGACTTGCTTAATGGATCTCGAGACAGTCCCCAAGAACACTGTCACCAGTCTAGACGGACCCTGAGGTCACCCAGCAATGCAAAGCAGCTCCATGTGCCCCAAATCAACTCGAGATGAGGCCGGATTCCCCTGCATTGACTCCAGAGCCATTCCTTGTTCCCCATTCAACACGACCGGTGGCTCGACTTCCTTCAGGCAACTCCAGAGATGCCCCGAGAACACTGTCCCAAGTCTAGAGGACCACCAACTTCAGCACAGCAACTCGAGGAATGCTCTGTGTACCCCAAATCGTCTCGAGATGAGAGCTGATTCCCTGGCTTAGGCTCAAGACGTATGCCACCTTTCCAGAAGCACCTCAGGAGGAGGCTTCTCTCAGCAATAGGTATGTGGGAGGGACCCCGAGTTTGCTGCCTCAAGGGGAATATACAGCGAGAAGCCCTAACTTGAAAGGAGGCCGGATTTCCTTGCAGTGGCTTGAATACAGGCTCGTCTTTCATCTCACAACATGAAGGGATGTCTGAATCCCCTGTGGAGACCTTAGAGAAAGCCCTAGGTCCCTGCCTCATTTTGACGGAATCCTCACATCCCGCTGACCCCTCGAGAGGCACGCGGAGTTCATTGCTTCAAAAGGTGACGATGCCTGACTCCTCTTGATTACTTATAGGAATCCCAAAATCCCTGTTGCTACTGGAAAGGGTCCTTGGGTGCCCTGGCTCACCTCGAGAAGCGTCCCTTTTGCCCTGCCAAGCCTCGAAGAGATTGCTGAGGTGTCCCTCGTTACTAGACAGGAGTCCTGACGTCACGGAAGAAACTCGTGTTTTGAAGGGCCATTCCCGCCGTAAGTCGAGAACATACCCCAGGTCCCCGCCGCAACTCGAGAAAAACCATGAGACTTCCCCCTAGAGGCGAGATGAGGCCCCATTCCCCTGCAGTGCATGCAGAGCTATTCCGTGATCCCATTCAAACAAGTCAGGAGCTTCGACTTGCTTAATGGCTATCGAGACAGTCCCCAAGAACACTGTCACCAGTCTAGTCGGACACTGAGGTCACCCAGCAATGCAAAGCAGCTCCATGTGCCCCAAATCAACTCGAGATGAGGCCGGATTCCCCTGCATTGACTCCAGAGCCATTCCTTGTTCCCCATTCAACACGACCGGTGGCTCGACTTCCTTCAGGCAACTCCAGAGATGCCCAGGGAACACTGTCCCAAGTCTAGAGGACCACCAACTTCAGCACAGCAACTCGAGGAATGCTCTATGTACCCCAAATCGTCTCGAGATGAGAGCTGATTCCCTGGCTTAGGCTCAAGACGTATGCCACCTTTCCAGAAGCACCTCATGAGGAGGCTTCTCAGCAATAGGTATGTGGGAGGGACCCCGAGTTTGCTGCCTCAAGGGGAATATACAGCGAGAAGCCCTAACTTGAAAGGAGGCCGGATTTCCTTGCAGTGGCTTGAATACAGGCTCGTCTTTCATCTCACAACATGAAGGGATGTCTGAATCCCCTGTGAAGACCTTAGAGAAAGCCCTAGGTCCCTGCCTCATTTTGACGGAATGCCTCACATCCCGCTGACAACTCGAGAGGTACGCGGAGTACATTGTTTCAAAAGGTGACGATGCCTGACTCCTCTTGAATACTGATAGGAATCCCAAAATCCCTGTGGCTACTGGAAAGGGTCCTTGGGTGCCCTGGCTCACCTCGAGAAGCGTCCCTTTTGCCCTGCCAAGCCTCGAAGAGATTGCTGAGGTGTCCCTCGTTACTAGACAGGAGTCCTGACGTCACTGAAGAAACTCGTGTTTTGAAGGGCCATCCCCGCCGTAAGTCGAGAACATACCCCAGGTCCCCGCCGCAACTCGAGAAAAACCATGAGACTTCCCCCTAGAGGCGAGATGAGGCCCCATTCCCCTGCAGTGCATGCAGAGCTATTCCGTGATCCCATTCAAACAAGTCAGGAGCTTCGACTTGCTTAATGGATCTCGAGGCAGTCCCCAAGAACACTGTCACCAGTCTAGACGGAACCTGAGGTCACCCCAGCAACGCAAAGCAGCTCCAGGTGCCACAAATCAACTCGAGATGAGGCCCGATTCCCCTGCATTGACTCCAGAGCCATTCCCCGTTCCCCATTCAACACGACCGGTGGCTCGCCTTCCTTCAGGCAACTCCAGAGATGCCCCGAGAACACTGTCCCAAGTCTAGAGTAACACCAACTTCAGCACAGCAACTCGAGGAATGATCTGTGTACCCCAAATCGTCTCGAGATGAGAGCTGATTCCCTGGCTTAGGCTCAAGACGTATGCCAACTTTCCAGAAGCACCTCAGGAGGAGGCTTCTCAGCAATAGGTATGTGGGAGGGACCCCGAGTTTGCTGCCTCAAGGGGAATATACAGCGAGAAGCCCTAACTTGAAAGGAGGCCGGATTTCCATGCAGTGGCTTGAATACAGGCTCGTCTTTCATCTCACAACATGAAGGGATGTCTGAATCCCCTGTGGAGACCTTAGAGAAAGCCCTAGGTCCCTGCCTCATTTTGACGGAATCCTCACATCCCGCTGACACCTCGAGAGGCACGCGGAGTTCATTGCTTCAAAAGGTGACGATGCATGACTCCTCTTGATTACTTATAGGAATCCCAAAATCCCTGTGGCTACTGGAAAGGGTCCTTGGGTGCCCTGGCTCACCTCGAGAAGCGTCCCTTTTGCCCTGCCAAGCCTCGAAGAGATTGCTGAGGTGTCCCTCGTTACTAGGCGGGAGTCCTCACGTCACTGAAGAAACTCGTGTTTTGAAGGGCCATCCCCGCCGTAAGTCGAGAACATACCCCAGGTCCCCGCCGCAACTCGAGAAAAACCATGAGACTTAACCCTAGAGGCGAGATGAGGCCCCATTCCCCTGCAGTGCATGCAGAGCTATTCCGTGATCCCATTCAAACAAGTCAGGAGCTTCGACTTGCTTAATGGATCTCGAGGCAGTCCCCAAGAACACTGTCACCAGTCTAGATGGACCCTGAGGTCACCCCAGCAACGCAAAGCAGCTCCAGGTGCCACAAATCAACTCGAGATGAGGCCCGATTCCCCTGCATTGACTCCAGAGCCATTCCCCGTTCCCCATTCAACACGACCGGTGGCTCGACTTCCTTCATTCAACTCCAGAGATGCCCAGAGAACACTGTCCCAAGTCTAGAGGAACACCAACTTCAGCACAGCAACTCGAGGAATGCTCTGTGTACCCCAAATCGTCTCGAGATGAGAGCTGATTCCCTGGCTTAGGCTCAAGACGTATGCCACCTTTCCAGAAGCACCTCAGGAGGAGGCTTCTCTCAGCAATAGGTATGTGGGAGGGACCCCGAATTTGCTGCCTCAAGGGGAATATACAGCGAGAAGCCCTAACTTGAAAGGAGGCCGGATTTCCTTGCAGTGGCTTGAATACAGGCTCGTCTTTCATCTCACAACATGAAGGGATGTCTGAATCTCCTGTGAAGACCTCAGAGAAAGCCCTAGGTCCCTGCCTCATTTTGACGGAATGCCTCACATCCCGCTGACAACTCGAGAGGCACGCGGAGTATATTGCTTCAAAAGGTGACGATGCCTGACTCCTCTTGAATACTGATAGGAATCCCAAAATCCCTGTGGCTACTGGAAAGGGTCCTTGGGTGCCCTGGCTCACCTCGAGAAGCGTCCCTTTTGCCCTGCCAAGCCTCGAAGAGATTGCTGAGGTGTCCCTCGTTACTAGACAGGAGTCCTGACGTCACTGAAGAAACTCGTGTTTTGAAGGGCCATCCCCGCCGTAAGTCGAGAACATACCCCAGGTCCCCACCGCAACTCGAGAAAAACCATGAGACTTCCCCCTAGAGGCGAGATGAGGCCCCATTCCCCTGCAGCGCATGCAGAGCTATTCCGTGATCCCATTCAAACAAGTCAGGAGCTTCGACTTGCTTAATGGATCTCGAGGCAGTCCCCAAGAACACTGTCACCAGTCTAGACGGACCCTGAGGTCACCCAGCAATGCAAAGCAGCTCCATGTGCCCCAAATCAACTCGAGATGAGGCCGGATTCCCCTGCATTGACTCCAGAGCCATTCCTTGTTCCCCATTCAACACGACCGGTGGCTCGACTTCCTTCAGGCAACTCCAGAGATGCCCCGAGAACACTGTCCCAAGTCTAGAGGAACACCAACTTCAGCACAGCAACTCGAGGAATGCTCTGTGTACCCCAAATCGTCTCGAGATGAGAGCTGATTCCCTGGCTTAGGCTCAAGACGTATGCCACCTTTCCAGAAGCACCTCAGGAGGAGGCTTCTCTCAGTAATAGGTATGTGGGAGGGACCCCGAGTTTGCTGCCTCAAGGGGAATATACAGCGAGAAGCCCTAACTTGAAAGGAGGCCGGATTTCCTTGCAGTGGCTTGAATACAGGCTCGTCTTTCATCTCACAACATGAAGGGATGTCTGAATCCCCTGTGCATACCTTAGAGAAAGCCCTAGGTCCCTGCCTCATTTTGATGGAATCCTCACATCCCGCTGACACGTCGAGAGGCACGCGGAGTTCATTGCTTCAAAAGGTGACGATGCATCACTCCTCTTGATTACTTATAGGAATCCCAAAATCCCTGTGGCTACTGGAAAGGGTCCTTGGGTGCCCTGGCTCACCTCGAGAAGCGTCCCTTTTGCCCTGCCAAGCCTCGAAGAGATTGCTGAGGTGTCCCTCGTTACTAGACAGGAGTCCTGACGTCACTGAAGAAACTCGTGTTTTGAAGGGCCATCCCCGCCGTAAGTCGAGAACATACCCCAGGTCCCCGCCGCAACTCGAGAAAAACCATGAGACTTCCCCCTAGAGGCGAGATGAGGCCCCATTCCCCTGCAGTGCATGCAGAGCTATTCCGTGATCCCATTCAAACAAGTCAGGAGCTTCGACTTGCTTAATGGATCTCGAGACAGTCCCCAAGAACACTGTCACCAGTCTAGACGGACCCTGAGGTAAACCAGCAATGCAAAGCAGCTCCATGTGCCCCAAATCAACTCGAGATGAGGCCGGATTCCCCTGCATTGACTCCAGAGCCATTCCTTGTTCCCCATTCAACACGACCGGTGGCTCGACTTCCTTCAGGCAACTCCAGAGATGACCCGAGAACACTGTCCCAAGTCTAGAGGACCACCAACTTCGGCACAGCAACTCGAGGAATGCTCCGTGTACCCCAAATCGTCTCGAGATGAGAGCTGATTCCCTGGCTTAGGCTCAAGACGTATGCCACCTTTCCAGAAGCACCTCAGGAGGAGGCTTCTCTCAGCAATAGGTATGTGGGAGGGACTCCGAGTTTGCTGCCTCAAGGGGAATATACAGCGAGAAGCCCTAACTTGAAAGGAGGCCGGATTTCCTTGCAGTGGCTTGAATACAGGCTCGTCTTTCATCTCACAACATGAAGGGATGTCTGAATCCCCTGTGGAGACCTTAGAGAAAGCCCTAGGTCCCTGCCTCATTTTGACGGAATGCCTCACATCCCGCTGACAACTCGAGAGGCACGCGGAGTACATTGCTTCCAAAGGTGACGATGCCTGACTCCTCTTGAATACTGATAGGAATCCCAAAATCCCTGTGGCTACTGGAAAGGGTCCTTGGGTGCCCTGGCTCACCTCGAGAAGCGTCCCTTTTGCCCTGCCAAGCCTCGAAGAGATTGCTGATGTGTCCCTCGTTACTAGACAGGAGTCCTGACGTCACTGAAGAAACTCGTGTTTTGAAGGGCCATCCCCGCCTTAAGTCGAGAACATACCCCAGGTCTCCGCCGCAACTCGAGAAAAACCATGAGACTTCCCCCTAGAGGCGAGATGAGGCCCCATTCCCCTGCAGTGCATGCAGAGCTATTCCGTGATCCCATTCAAACAAGTCAGGAGCTTCGACTTGCTTAATGGATCTCGAGACAGTCCCCAAGAACACTGTCACCAGTCTAGACGGACCCTGAGGTCACCCAGCAATGCAAGGCAGCTCCATGTGCCCCAAATCAACTCGAGATGAGGCCGGATTCCCCTGCATTGACTCCAGAGCCATTCCTTGTTCCCCATTCAACACGACCGGTGGCTCGACTTCCTTCAGGCAACTCCAGAGATGCCCCGAGAACACTGTCCCAAGTCTAGAGGACCACTAACTTCAGCACAGCAACTCGAGGAATGCTCAGTGTACCCCAAATCGTCTCGAGATGAGAGCTGATTCCCTGGCTTAGGCTCAAGACGTATGCCACCTTTCCAGAAGCACCTCAGGAGGAGGCTTCTCTCAGCAATAGGTATGTGGGAGGGACCCCGAGTTTGCTGCCTCAAGGGGAATATACAGCGAGAAGCCCTAACTTGAAAGGAGGCCGGATTTCCTTGCAGTGGCTTGAATACAGGCTCGTCTTTCATCTCACAACATGAAGGGATGTCTGAATCCCCTGTGGATACCTTAGAGAAAGCCCTAGGTCCCTGCCTCATTTTGACGGAATCCTCACATCCCGCTGACACCTCGAGAGGCACGCGGTGTTCATTGCTTCAAAATGTGACGATGCCTGACTCCTCTTGAATACTTATAGGAATCCCAAAATCCCTGTGGCTACTGGAAAGGGTCCTTGGGTGCCCTGGCTCACCTCGAGAAGCGTCCCTTTTGCCCTGCCAAGCCTCGAAGAGATTGCTGAGGTGTCCCTCGTTACTAGGCAGGAGTCCTGACGTCACTGAAGAAACTCGTGTTTTGAAGGGCCATCCCCGCCGTAAGTCGAGAACATACCCCAGGTCCCCGCCGCAACTCGAGAAAAACCATGAGACTTCCCCCTAGAGGCGAGATGAGGCCCCATTCCCCTGCAGTGCATGCAGAGCTATTCCGTGATCCCATTCAAACAAGTCAGGAGCTTCGACTTGCTTAATGGATCTCGAGGCAGTCCCCAAGAACACTGTCACCAGTCTAGATGGACCCTGAGGTCACCCCAGCAACGCAAAGCAGCTCCAGGTGCCACAAATCAACTCGAGATGAGGCCCGATTCCCCTGCATTGACTCCAGAGCCATTCCCCGTTCCCCATTCAACACGACCGGTGGCTCGACTTCCTTCATGCAACTCTGGAGATGCCCAGAGAACACTGTCCCAAGTCTAGAGGAACACCAACTTCAGCACAGCAACTCGAGGAATGCTCTGTGTACCCCAAATCGTCTCGAGATGAGAGCTGAATCCCTGGCTTAGGCTCAAGACGTATGCCAACTTTCCAGAAGCACCTCAGGAGAAGGCTTCTCTCAACAATAGGTATGTGGGAGGGACTCCGAGTTTGCTGCCTCAAGGGGAATATACAGCGAGAAGCCCTAACTTGAAAGGAGGCCGGATTTCCTTGCAGTGGCTTGAATACAGGCTCGTCTTTCATCTCACAACATGAAGGGATGTCTGAATCCCCTGTGGAGACCTTAGAGAAAGCCCTAGGTCCCTGCCTCATTTTGACGGAATCCTCACATCCCGCTGACACGTCGAGAGGCACGCGGAGTTCATTGCTTCAAAAGGTGACGATGCCTGACTCCTCTTGAATACTGATAGGAATCCCAAAATCCCTGTTGCTACTGGAAAGGGTCCTTGGGTGCCCTGGCTCACCTCGAGAAGCGTCCCTTTTGCCCTGCCAAGCCTCGAAGAGATTGCTGAGGTGTCCCTCGTTACTAGACAGGAGTCCTGACGTCACGGAAGAAACTCGTGTTTTGAAGGGCCATCCCCGCCGTAAGTCGAGAACATACCCCAGGTCCCCGCCGCAACTCGAGAAAAACCATGAGACTTCCCCCTAGAGGCGAGATGAGTCCCCATTCCCCTGCAGTGCATGCAGAGCTATTCCGTGATCCCATTCAAACAAGTCAGGAGCTTCGACTTGCTTAATGGATCTCGAGGCAGTCCCCAAGAACACTGTCACCAGTCTAGACGGAACCTGAGGTCACCCCAGCAACGCAAAGCAGCTCCAGGTGCCACAAATCAACTCGAGATGAGGCCCGATTCCCCTGCATTGACTCCAGAGCCATTCCCCGTTCCCCATTCAACACGACCGGTGGCTCGACTTCCTTCAGGCAACTCCAGAGATGCCCCGAGAACACTGTCCCAAGTCTAGAGGAACACCAACTTCAGCACAGCAACTCGAGGAATGATCTGTGTACCCCAAATCGTCTCGAGATGAGAGCTGATTCCCTGGCTTAGGCTCAAGACGTATGCCAACTTTCCAGAAGCACCTCAGGAGGAGGCTTCTCAGCAATAGGTATGTGGGAGGGACTCCGAGTTTGCTGCCTCAAGGGCAATATACAGCGAGAAGCCCTAACTTGAAAGGAGGCCGGATTTCCTTGCAGTAGCTTGAATACAGGCTTGTCTTTCATCTCACAACATGAAGGGATGTCTGAATCCCCTGTGGAGACCTTAGAGAAAGCCCTAGGTCCCTGCCTCATTTTGACGGAATGCCTCACATCCCGCTGACACCTCGAGAGGCACGCGGAGTTCATTGCTTCAAAAGGTGACGATGCATGACTCCTCTTGATTACTTATAGGAATCCCAAAATCCCTGTGGCTACTGGAAAGGGTCCTTGGGTGCCCTGGCTCACCTCGAGAAGCGTCCCTTTTGCCCTGCCAAGCCTCGAAGAGATTCCTGAGGTGTCCCTCGTTACTAGGCAGGAGTCCTGACGACACTGAAGAAACTCGTGTTTTGAAGGGCCATCCCCGCCGTAAGTCGAGAACATACCCCAGGTCCCCGCCGCAACTTGAGAAAAACCATGAGACTTCCCCCTAGAGGCGAGATGAGGCCCCATTCCCCTGCAGTGCATGCAGAGCTATTCCGTGATCCCATTCAAACAAGTCAGGAGCTTCGACTTGCTTAATGGATCTCGAGACAGTCCCCAAGAACACTGTCACCAGTCTAGACGGACCCTGAGGTCACCCAGCAATGCAAAGCAGCTCCATGTGCCCCAAATCAACTCGAGATGAGGCCGGATTCCCCTGCATTGACTCCAGAGCCATTCCTTGTTCCCCATTCAACACGACCGGTGGCTCGACTTCCTTCAGGCAACTCCAGAGATGCCCCGAGAACACTGTCCCAAGTCTAGAGGACCACCAACTTCAGCACAGCAACTCGAGGAATGCTCTGTGTACCCCAAATCGTCTCGAGATGAGAGCTGATTCCCTGGCTTAGGCTCAAGACGTATGCCACCTTTCCAGAAGCACCTCAGGAGGAGGCTTCTCTCAGTAATAGGTATGTGGGAGGGACCCCGAGTTTGCTGCCTCAAGGGGAATATACAGCGAGAAGCCCTAACTTGAAAGGAGGCCGGATTTCCATGCAGTGGCTTGAATACAGGCTCGTCTTTCATCTCACAACATGAAGGGATGTCTGATTCCCCTGTGGAGACCTTAGAGAAAGCCCTAGGTCCCTGCCTCATTTTGATGGAATCCTCACATCCCGCTGACACGTCGAGAGGCACGCGGAGTTCATTGCTTCAAAAGGTGACGATGCCTGACTCCTCTTGATTACTTATAGGAATCCCAAAATCCCTGTGGCTACTGGAAAGGGTCCTTGGGTGCCCTGGCTCACCTCGAGAAGCGTCCCTTTTGCCCTGCCAAGCCTCGAAGAGATTGCTGAGGTGTCCCTCGTTACTAGACAGGAGTCCTGACGTCACTGAAGAAACTCGTGTTTTGAAGGGCCATCCCCGCCGTAAGTCGAGAATATACCCCAGGTCCCCGCCGCAACTCGAGAAAAACCATGAGACTTCCCCCTAGAGGCGAGATGAGGCCCCATTCCCCTGCAGTGCATGCAGAGCTATTCCCTGATCCCATTCAAACAAGTCAGGAGCTTCGACTTGCTTAATGGTTATCGAGACAGTCCCCAAGAACACTGTCACCAGTCTAGACGGACCCTGAGGTCAACCAGCAATGCAAAGCAGCTCCATGTGCCCCAAATCAACTCGAGATGAGGCCGGATTCCCCTGCATTGACTCCAGAGCCATTCCTTGTTCCCCATTCAACACGACCGGTGGCTCGACTTCCTTCAGGCAACTCCAGAGATGACCCGAGAACACTGTCCCAAGTCTAGTGGACCACCAACTTCGGCACAGCAACTCGAGGAATGCTCCGTGTACCCCAAATCGTCTCGAGATGAGAGCTGATTCCCTGGCTTAGGCTCAAGACGTATGCCACCTTTCCAGAAGCACCTCAGGAGGAGGCTTCTCAGCAATAGGTATGTGGGAGGGACTCCGAGTTTGCTGCCTCAAGGGCAATATACAGCGAGAAGCCCTAACTTGAAAGGAGGCCGGATTTCCTTGCAGTAGCTTGAATACAGGCTTGTCTTTCATCTCACAACATGAAGGGATGTCTGAATCCCCTGTGGAGACCTTAGAGAAAGCCCTAGGTCCCTGCCTCATTTGACGGAATGCCTCACATCCCGCTGACACCTCGAGAGGCACGCGGAGTTCATTGCTTCAAAAGGTGACGATGCATGACTCCTCTTGATTACTTATAGGAATCCCAAAATCCCTGTGGCTACTGGAAACGGTCCTTGGGTGCCCTGGCTCACCTCGAGAAGCGTCCCTTTTGCCCTGCCAAGCCTCGAAGAGATTCCTGAGGTGTCCCTCGTTACTAGGCAGGAGTCCTGACGTCACGGAAGAAACTCGTGTTTTGAAGGGCCATCCCCGCCGTAAGTCGAGAACATACCCCAGGTCCCCGCCGCAACTCGAGAAAAACCATGAGACTTCCCCCTAGAGGCGAGATGAGTCCCCATTCCCCTGCAGTGCATGCAGAGCTATTCCGTGATCCCATTCAAACAAGTCAGGAGCTTCGACTTGCTTAATGGATCTCGAGGCAGTCCCCAAGAACACTGTCACCAGTCTAGACGGAACCTGAGGTCACCCCAGCAACGCAAAGCAGCTCCAGGTGCCACAAATCAACTCGAGATGAGGCCCGATTCCCCTGCATTGACTCCAGAGCCATTCCCCGTTCCCCATTCAACACGACCGGTGGCTCGACTTCTTTAAGGCAACTCCAGAGATGCCCCGAGAACACTGTCCCAAGTCTAGAGGAACACCAACTTCAGCACAGCAACTCGAGGAATGATCTGTGTACCCCAAATCGTCTCGAGATGAGAGCTGATTCCCTGGCTTAGGCTCAAGACGTATGCCAACTTTCCAGAAGCACCTCAGGAGGAGGCTTCTCAGCAATAGGTATGTGGGAGGGACTCCGAGTTTGCTGCCTCAAGGGCAATATACAGCGAGAAGCCCTAACTTGAAAGGAGGCCGGATTTCCTTGCAGTAGCTTGAATACAGGCTTGTCTTTCATCTCACAACATGAAGGGATGTCTGAATCCCCTGTGGAGACCTTAGAGAAAGCCCTAGGTCCCTGCCTAATTTTGACGGAATGCCTCACATCCCGCTGACACCTCGAGAGGCACGCGGAGTTCATTGCTTCAAAAGGTGACGATGCATGACTCTTCTTGATTACTTATAGGAATCCCAAAATCCCTGTGGCTACTGGAAAGGGTCCTTGGGTGCCCTGCCTCACCTCGAGAAGCGTCCCTTTTGCCCTGCCAAGCCTCGAAGAGATTCCTGAGGTGTCCCTCGTTACTAGGCAGGAGTCCTGACGTCACTGAAGAAACTCGTGTTTTGAAGGGCCATCCCCGCCGTAAGTCGAGAACATACCCCATGGTCCCCGCCGCAACTCGAGAAAAACCATGAGACTTCCCCCTAGAGGCGAGATGAGGCCCCATTCCCCTGCAGTGCATGCAGAGCTATTCCGTGATCCCATTCAAACAAGTCAGGAGCTTCGACTTGCTTAATGGATCTCGAGACAGTCCCCAAGAACACTGTCACCAGTCTAGACGGACCCTGAGGTCACCCAGCAATGCAAAGCAGCTCCATGTGCCCCAAATCAACTCGAGATGAGGCCGGATTCCCCTGCATTGACTCCAGAGCCATTCCTTGTTCCCCATTCAACACGACCGGTGGCTCGACTTCCTTCAGGCAACTCCAGAGATGCCCCGAGAACACTGTCCCAAGTCTAGAGGACCACGAACTTCAGCACAGCAACTCGAGGAATGCTCTGTGTACCCCAAATCGTCTCGAGATGAGAGCTGATTCCCTGGCTTAGGCTCAAGACGTATGCCACCTTTCCAGAAGCACCTCAGGAGGAGGCTTCTCTCAGTAATAGGTATGTGGGAGGGACCCCGAGTTTGCTGCCTCAAGGGGAATATACAGTGAGAAGCCCTAACTTGAAAGGAGGCCGGATTTCCATGCAGTGGCTTGAATACAGGCTCGTCTTTCATCTCACAACATGAAGGGATGTCTGATTCCCCTGTGGAGACCTTAGAGAAAGCCCTAGGTCCCTGCCTCATTTTGATGGAATCCTCACATCCCGCTGACACGTCGAGAGGCACGCGGAGTTCATTGCTTCAAAAGGTGACGATGCATGACTCCTCTTGATTACTTATAGGAATCCCAAAATCCCTGTGGCTACTGGAAAGGGTCCTTGGGTGCCCTGGCTCACCTCGAGAAGCGTCCCTTTTGCCCTGCCAAGCCTCGAAGAGATTGCTGAGGTGTCCCTCGTTACTAGACAGGAGTCCTGATGTCACTGAAGAAACTCGTGTTTTGAAGGGCCATCCCCGCCGTAAGTCGAGAATATACCCCAGGTCCCCGCCGCAACTCGAGAAAAACCATGAGACTTCCCCCTAGAGGCGAGATGAGGCCCCATTCCCCTGCAGTGCATGCAGAGCTATTCCCTGATCCCATTCAAACAAGTCAGGAGCTTCGACTTGCTTAATGGATATCGAGACAGTCCCCAAGAACACTGTCACCAGTCTAGACGGACCCTGAGGACAACCAGCAATGCAAAGCAGCTCCATGTGCCCCAAATCAACTCGAGATGAGGCCGGATTCCCCTGCATTGACTCCAGAGCCATTCCTTGTTCCCCATTCAACACGACCGGTGGCTCGACTTCCTTCAGGCAACTCCAGAGATGACCCGAGAACACTGTCCCAAGTCTAGTGGACCACCAACTTCGGCACAGCAACTCGAGGAATGCTCCGTGTACCCCAAATCGTCTCGAGATGAGAGCTGATTCCCTGGCTTAGGCTCAAGACGCATGCCACCTTTCCAGAAGCACCTCAGGAGGAGGCTTCTCAGCAATAGGTATGTGGGAGGGACTCCGAGTTTGCTGCCTCAAGGGCAATATACAGCGAGAAGCCCTAACTTGAAAGGAGGCCGGATTTCCTTGCAGTAGCTTGAATACAGGCTTGTCTTTCATCTCACAACATGAAGGGATGTCTGAATCCCCTGTGGAGACCTTAGAGAAAGCCCTAGGTCCCTGCCTCATTTGACGGAATGCCTCACATCCCGCTGACACCTCGAGAGGCACGCGGAGTTCATTGCTTCAAAAGGTGACGATGCATGACTCCTCTTGATTACTTATAGGAATCCCAAAACCCTGTGGCTACTGGAAACGGTCCTTGGGTGCCCTGGCTCACCTCGAGAAGCGTCCCTTTTGCCCTGCCAAGCCTCGAAGAGATTGCTGAGGTGTCCCTCGTTACTAGACAGGAGTCCTGACGTCACTGAAGAAACTCGTGTTTTGAAGGGCCATCCCCGCCGTAAGTCGAGAACATACCCCAGGTCCCCGCCGCAACTCGAGAAAAACCATGAGACTTCCCCCTAGAGGCGAGATGAGGCCCCATTCCCCTGCAGTGCATGCAGAGCTATTCCCTGATCCCATTCAAACAAGTCAGGAGCTTCGACTTGCTTAATGGATCTCGAGACAGTCCCCAAGAACACTGTCACCAGTCTAGACGGACCCTGAGGTCAACCAGCAATGCAAAGCAGCTCCATGTGCCCCAAATCAACTCGAGATGAGGCCGGATTCCCCTGCATTGACTCCAGAGCCATTCCTTGTTCCCCATTCAACACGACCGGTGGCTCGACTTCCTTCAGGCACTCCAGAGATGACCCGAGAACACTGTCCCAAGTCTAGAGGACCACCAACTTCAGCACAGCAACTCGAGGAATGCTCCGTGTACCCCAAATCGTCTCGAGATGAGAGCTGATTCCCTGGCTTAGGCTCAAGACGTATGCCACCTTTCCAGAAGCACCTCAGGAGGAGGCTTCTCTCAGCAATAGGTATGTGGGAGGGACTCCGAGTTTGCTGCCTCAAGGGGAATATACAGCGAGAAGCCCTAACTTGAAAGGAGGCCGGATTTCCTTGCAGTGGCTTGAATACAGGCTCGTCTTTCGTCTCACAACATGAAGGGATGTCTGAATCCCCTGTGGAGACCTTAGAGAAAGCCCTAGGTCCCTGCCTCATTTTGACGGAATCCTCACATCCCGCTGACACCTCGAGAGGCACGCGGAGTTCATTGCTTCAAAAGGTGACGATGCCTGACTCCTCTTGAATACTGATAGGAATCCCAAAATCCCTGTGGCTACTGGAAAGGGTCCTTGGGTGCCCTGGCTCACCTCGAGAAGCGTCCCTTTTGCCCTGCCAAGCCTCGAAGAGATTGCTGAGGTGTCCCTCGTTACTAGACAGGAGTCCTGACGTCACTGAAGAAACTCGTGTTTTGAAGGGCCATCCCCGCCGTAAGTCGAGAACATACCCCAGGTCCCCGCCGCAACTCGAGAAAAACCATGAGACTTCCCCCTAGAGGCTAGATGAGGCCCCATTCCCCTGCAGTGCATGCAGAGCTATTCCGTGATCCCATTCAAACAAGTCAGGAGCTTCGACTTGCTTAATGGATATCGAGACAGTCCCCAAGAACACTGTCACCAGTCTAGTCGGACCCTGAGGTCACCCAGCAATGCAAAGCAGCTCCATGTGCCCCAAATCAACTCGAGATGAGGCCGGATTCCCCTGCATTGACTCCAGAGCCATTCCTTGTTCCCCATTCAACACGACCGGTGGCTCGACTTCCTTCAGGCTACTCCAGAGATGCCCCGAGAACACTGTCCCAAGTCTAGAGGACCACCAACTTCAGCACAGCAACTCGAGGAATGCTCTGTGTACCCCAAATCGTCTCGAGATGAGAGCTGATTCCCTGGCTTAGGCTCAAGACGTATGCCACCTTTCCAGAAGCACCTCAGGAGGAGGCTTCTGTCAGCAATAGGTATGTGGGAGGGACCCCGAGTTTGCTGCCTCAAGGGGAATATACAGCGAGAAGCCCTAACTTGAAAGGAGGCCGGATTTCCTTGCAGTGGCTTGAATACAGGCTTGTCTTTCATCTCACAACATGAAGGGATGTCTGAATCCCCTGTGAAGACCTTAGAGAAAGCCCTAGGTCCCTGCCTCATTTTGACGGAATGCCTCACATCCCGCTGACAACTCGAGAGGCACGCGGAGTACATTGCTTCAAAAGGTGACGATGCCTGACTCCTCTTGAATACTGATAGGAATCCCAAAATCCCTGTGGCTACTGGAAAGGGTCCTTGGGTGCCCTGGCTCACCTCGAGAAGCGTCCCTTTTGCCCTGCCAAGCCTCGAAGAGATTCCTGAGGTGTCCCTCGTTACTAGACAGGAGTCCTGACGTCACTGAAGAAACTCGTGTTTTGAAGGGCCATCCCCGCCGTAAGTCGAGAACATACCCCAGGTCTCCGCCGCAACTCGAGAAAAACCATGAGACTTCCCCCTAGAGGCGAGATGAGGCCCCATTCCCCTGCAGTGCATGCAGAGCTATTCCGTGATCCCATTCAAACAAGTCAGGAGCTTCGACTTGCTTAATGGATCTCGAGACAGTCCCCAAGAACACTGTCACCAGTCTAGACGGACCCTGAGGTCACCCAGCAATGCAAAGCAGCTCCATGTGCCCCAAATCAACTCGAGATGAGGCCGGATTCCCCTGCATTGACTCCAGAGCCATTCCTTGTTCCCCATTCAACACGACCGGTGGCTCGACTTCCTTCAGGCAACTCCAGAGATGCCCCGAGAACACTGTCCCAAGTCTAGAGGACCACCAACTTCAGCACAGCAACTCGAGGAATGCTCAGTGTACCCCAAATCGTCTCGAGATGAGAGCTGATTCCCTGGCTTAGGCTCAAGACGTATGCCACCTTTCCAGAAGCACCTCAGGAGGAGGCTTCTCTCAGCAATAGGAATGTGGGAGGGACCCCGAGTTTGCTGCCTCAAGGGGAATATACAGCGAGAAGCCCTAACTTGAAAGGAGGCCGGATTTCCTTGCAGTGGCTTGAATACAGGCTCGTCTTTCATCTCACAACATGAAGGGATGTCTGAATCCCCTGTGGATACCTTAGAGAAAGCCCTAGGTCCCTGCCTCATTTTGACGGAATCCTCACATCCCGCTGACACCTCGAGAGGCACGCGGTGTTCATTGCTTCAAAAGGTGACGATGCCTGACTCCTCTTGAATACTTATAGGAATCCCAAAATCCCTGTGGCTACTGGAAAGGGTCCTTGGGTGCCCTGGCTCACCTCGAGAAGCGTCCCTTTTGCCCTGCCAAGCCTCGAAGAGATTGCTGAGGTGTCCCTCGTTACTAGGCAGGAGTCCTGACGTCACTGAAGAAACTCGTGTTTTGAAGGGCCATCCCCGCCGTAAGTCGAGAACATACGCCAGGTCCCCGCCGCAACTCGAGAAAAACCATGAGACTTCCCCCTAGAGGCGAGATGAGGCCCCATTCCCCTGCAGTGCATGCAGAGCTATTCCGTGATCCCATTCACACAAGTCAGGAGCTTCGACTTGCTTAATGGATCTCGAGGCAGTCCCCAAGAACACTGTCACCAGTCTAGACGGAACCTGAGGTCACCCCAGCAACGCAAAGCAGCTCCAGGTGCCACAAATCAACTCGAGATGAGGCCCGATTCCCCTGCATTGACTCCAGAGCCATTCCCCGTTCCCCATTCAACACGACCGGTGGCTCGCCTTCCTTCAGGCAACTCCAGAGATGACCCGAGAACACTGTCCCAAGTCTAGAGGAACACCAACTTCAGCACAGCAACTCAAGGAATGATCTGTGTACCCCAAATCGTCTCGAGATGAGAGCTGATTCCCTGGCTTAGGCTCAAGACGTATGCCAACTTTCCAGAAGCACCTCAGGAGGAGGCTTCTCAGCAATAGGTATGTGGGAGGGACTCCGAGTTTGCTGCCTCAAGGGCAATATACAGCGAGAAGCCCTGACTTGAAAGGAGGCCGGATTTCCTTGCAGTAGCTTGAATACAGGCTTGTCTTTCATCTCACAACATGAAGGGATGTCTGAATCCCCTGTGGAGACCTTAGAGAAAGCCCTAGGTCCCTGCCTCATTTTGACGGAATGCCTCACATCCCGCAAACACCTCGAGAGGCACGCGGAGTTCATTGCTTCAAAAGGTGACGATGCATGACTCCTCTTGATTACTTATAGGAATCCCAAAATCCCTGTGGCTACTGGCAAGGGTCCTTGGGTGCCCTGGCTCACCTCGAGAAGCGTCCCTTTTGCCCTGCCAAGCCTCGAAGAGATTCCTGAGGTGTCCCTCGTTACTAGGCAGGAGTCCTGACGTCACTGAAGAAACTCGTATTTTGAAGGGCCATCCCCGCCGTAAGTCGAGAACATACCCCAGGTCCCCGCCGCAACTCGAGAAAAACCATGAGACTTCCCCCTAGAGGCGAGATGAGGCCCCATTCCCCTGCAGTGCATGCAGAGCTATTCCGTGATCCCATTCAAACAAGTCAGGAGCTTCGACTTGATTAATGGATCTCGAGACAGTCCCCAAGAACACTGTCACCAGTCTAGACGGACCCTGAGGTCACCCAGCAATGCAAAGCAGCTCCATGTGCCCCAAATCAACTCGAGATGAGGCCGGATTCCCCTGCATTGACTCCAGAGCCATTCCTTGTCCCCATTCAACACGACCGGTGGCTCGACTTCCTTCAGGCAACTCCAGAGATGCCCCGAGAACACTGTCCCAAGTCTAGAGGACCACCAACTTCAGCACAGCAACTCGAGGAATGCTCTGTGTACCCCAAATCGTCTCGAGATGAGAGCTGATTCCCTGGCTTAGGCTCAAGACGTATGCCACCTTTCCAGAAGCACCTCAGGAGGAGGCTTCTCTCAGCAATAGGTATGTGGGAGGGACTCCGAGTTTGCTGCCTCAAGGGGAATATACAGCGAGAAGCCCTAACTTGAAAGGAGGCCGGATTTCCTTGCAGTGGCTTGAATACAGGCTCGTCTTTCATCTCACAACATGAAGGGATGTCTGAATCCCCTGTGGAGACCTTAGAGAAAGCCCTAGGTCCCTGCCTCATTTTGACGGAATGCCTCACATCCCGCTGACAACTCGAGAGGCACGCGGAGTTCATTGCTTCAAAAGTTGACGATGCCTGACTCCTCTTGAATACTGATAGGAATCCCAAAATCCCTGTGGTTACTGGAAAGGGTCGTTGGGTGCCCTGGCTCACCTCGAGAAGCGTCCCTTTTGCCCTGCCAAGCCTCGAAGAGATTGCTGAGGTGTCCCTCGTTACTAGACAGGAGTCCTGACGTCACGGAAGAAACTCGTGTTTTGAAGGGCCATCCCCGCCGTAAGTCGAGAACATACCCCAGGTCCCCGCCGCAACTCGAGAAAAACCATGAGACTTCCCCCTAGAGGCGAGATGAGGCCCCATTCCCCTGCAGTGCATGCAGAGCTATTCCGTGATCCCATTCAAACAAGTCAGGAGCTTCGACTTGCTTAATGGATATCGAGACAGTCCCCAAGAACACTGTCACCAGTCTAGTCGGACCCTGAGGTCACCCAGCAATGCAAAGCAGCTCCATGTGCCCCAAATCAACTCGAGATGAGGCCGGATTCCCCTGCATTGACTCCAGAGCCATTCCTTGTTCCCCATTCAACACGACCGGTGGCTCGACTTCCTTCAGGCAACTCCAGAGATGCCCCGAGAACACTGTCCCAAGTCTAGAGGACCACCAACTTCAGCACAGCAACTCGAGGAATGCTCTGTGTACCCCAAATCGTCTCGAGATGAGAGCTGATTCCCTGGCTTAGGCTCAAGACGTATGCCACCTTTCCAGAAGCACCTCAGGAGGAGGCTTCTCTAAGCAATAGGTATGTGGGAGGGACCCCGAGTTTGCTGCCTCAAGGGGAATATACAGCGAGAAGCCCTAACTTGAAAGGAGGCCGGATTTCCTTGCAGTGGCTTGAATACAGGCTCGTCTTTCATCTCACAACATGAAGGGATGTCTGAATCCCCTGTGAAGACCTTAGAGAAAGCCCTAGGTCCCTGCCTCATTTTGACGGAATGCCTCACATCCCGCTGACAACTCGAGAGGCACGCGGAGTACATTGCTTCAAAAGGTGACAATGCCTGACTCCTCTTGAATACTTATAGGAATCCCAAAATCCCTGTGGCTACTTGAAAGGGTCCTTGGGTGCCCTGGCTCACCTCGAGAAGCGTCCCTTTTGCCCTGCCAAGCCTCGAAGAGATTGCTGAGGTGTCCCTCGTTACTAGGCAGGAGTCCTGACGTCACTGAAGAAACTCGTGTTTTGAAGGGCCATCCCCGCCGTAAGTCGAGAACATACCCCAGGTCCCCGCCGCAACTCGAGAAAAACCATGAGACTTCCCCCTAGAGGCGAGATGAGGCCCCATTCCCCTGCAGTGCATGCAGAGCTATTCCGTGATCCCATTCAAACAAGTCAGGAGCTTCGACTTGCTTAATGGATCTCGAGGCAGTCCCCAAGAACACTGTCACCAGTCTAGATGGACCCTGAGGTCACCCCAGCAAAGCAAAGCAGCTCCAGGTGCCACAAATCAACTCGAGATGAGGCCCGATTCCCCTGCATTGACTCCAGAGCCATTCCCCGTTCCCCATTCAACACGACCGGTGGATCGACTTCCTTCATGCAACTCTGGAGATGCCCAGAGAACACTGTCCCAAGTCTAGAGGAACACCAACTTCAGCACAGCAACTCGAGGAATGCTCTGTGTACCCCAAATCGTCTCGAGATGAGAGCTGAATCCCTGGCTTAGGCTCAAGACGTATGCCAACTTTCCAGAAGCACCTCAGGAGGAGGCTTCTCTCAACAATAGGTATGTGGGAGGGACTCCGAGTTTGCTGCCTCAAGGGGAATATACAGCGAGAAGCCCTAACTTGAAAGGAGGCCGGATTTCCTTGCAGTGGCTTGAATACAGGCTCGTCTTTCATCTCACAACATGAAGGGATGTCTGAATCCCCTGTGGAGACCTTAGAGAAAGCCCTAGGTCCCTGCCTCATTTTGACGGAATCCTCACATCCCGCTGACACCTCGAGAGGCACGCGGAGTTCATTGCTTCAAAAGGTGACGATGCCTGACTCCTCTTGATTACTTATAGGAATCCCAAAATCCCTGTGGCTACTGGAAAGAGTCCTTGGGTGCCCTGGCTCACCTCGAGAAGCGTCCCTTTTGCCCTGCCAAGCCTCGAAGAGATTGCTGAGGTGTCCCTCGTTACTAGACAGGAGTCCTGACGTCACTGAAGAAACTCGTGTTTTGAAGGGCCATCCCCGCCGTAAGTCGAGAACATACCCCAGGTCCCCGCCGCAACTCGAGAAAAACCATGAGACTTCCCCCTAGAGGCGAGATGAGTCCCCATTCCCCTGCAGTGCATGCAGAGCTATTGGGTGATCCCATTCAAACAAGTCAGGAGCTTCGACTTGCTTAATGGATCTCGAGGCAGTCCCCAAGAACACTGTCACCAGTCTAGACGGAACCTGAGGTCACCCCAGCAACGCAAAGCAGCTCCAGGTGCCACAAATCAACTCGAGATGAGGCCCGATTCCCCTGCATTGACTGCAGAGCCATTCCCCGTTCCCCATTCAACATGACCGGTGGCTCGCCTTCCTTCAGGCAACTCCAGAGATGCCCCGAGAACACTGTCCCAAGTCTAGAGGAACACCAACTTCAGCACAGCAACTCGAGGAATGATCTGTGTACCCCAAATCGTCTCGAGATGAGAGCTGATTCCCTGGCTTAGGCTCAAGACGTATGCCAACTTTCCAGAAGCACCTCAGGAGGAGGCTTCTCAGCAATAGGTATGTGGGAGGGACTCCGAGTTTGCTGCCTCAAGGGCAATATACAGCGAGAAGCCCTAACTTGAAAGGAGGCCGGATTTCCTTGCAGTAGCTTGAATACAGGCTCGTCTTTCATCTCACAACATGAAGGGATGTCTGAATCCCCTGTGGAGAATTTAGAGAAAGCCCTAGGTCCCTGCCTCATTTTGAGGGAATCCTCACATCCCGCTGACACGTCGAGAGGCACGCGGAGTTCATTGCTTCAAAAGGTGACGATGCATGACTCCTCTTGATTACTTATAGGAATCCCAAAATCCCTGTGGCTACTGGAAAGGGTCCTTGGGTGCCCTGCCTCACCTCGAGAAGCGTCCCTTTTGCCCTGCCAAGCCTCGAAGAGATTGCTGAGGTGTCCCTCGTTACTAGACAGGAGTCCTGACGTCACGGAAGAAACTCGTGTTTTGAAGGGCCATCCCCGCCGTAAGTCGAGAACATACCCCAGGTCCCCGCCGCAACTCGAGAAAAACCATGAGACTTCCCCCTAGAGGCGAGATGAGGCCCCATTCCCCTGCAGTGCATGCAGAGCTATTCCGTGATCCCATTCAAACAAGTCAGGAGCTTCGACTTGCTTAATGGATCTCGAGAGAGTCCCCAAGAACACTGTCACCAGTCTAGACGGACCCTGAGGTCACCCAGCAATGCAAAGCCGCTCCATGTGCCCCAAATCAACGCGAGATGAGGCCGGATTCCCCTGCATTGACTCCAGAGCCATTCCTTGTTCCCCATTCAACACGACCGGTGGCTCGACTTCCTTCAGGCAACTCCAGAGATGACCCGAGAACACTGTCCCAAGTCTAGAGGACCACCAACTTCAGCACAGCAACTCGAGGAATGCTCAGTGTACCCCAAATCGTCTCGAGATGAGAGCTGATTCCCTGGCTTAGGCTCAAGACGTATGCCACCTTTCCAGAAGCACCTCAGGAGGAGGCTTCTCTCAGCAATAGGTATGTGGGAGGGACCCCGAGTTTGCTGCCTCAAGGGGAATATACAGCGAGAAGCCCTAACTTGAAAGGAGGCCGGATTTCCTTGCAGTGGCTTGAATACAGGCTCGTCTTTCATCTCACAACATGAAGGGATGTCTGAATCCCCTGTGAAGACCTTAGAGAAAGCCCTAGGTCCCTGCCTCATTTTGACGGAATGCCTCACATCCCGCTGACAACTCGAGAGGCACGCGGAGTACATTGCTTCAAAAGGTGACAATGCCTGACTCCTCTTGAATACTTATAGGAATCCCAAAATCCCTGTGGCTACTTGAAAGGGTCCTTGGGTGCCCTGGCTCACCTCGAGAAGCGTCCCTTTTGCCCTGCCAAGCCTCGAAGAGATTGCTGAGGTGTCCCTCGTTACTAGGCAGGAGTCCTGACGTCACTGAAGAAACTCGTGTTTTGAAGGGCCATCCCCGCCGTAAGTCGAGAACATACCCCAGGTCCCCGCCGCAACTCGAGAAAAACCATGAGACTTCCCCCTAGAGGCGAGATGAGGCCCCATTCCCCTGCAGTGCATGCAGAGCTATTCCGTGATCCCATTCAAACAAGTCAGGAGCTTCGACTTGCTTAATGGATCTCGAGGCAGTCCCCAAGAACACTGTCACCAGTCTAGATGGACCCTGAGGTCACCCCAGCAAAGCAAAGCAGCTCCAGGTGCCACAAATCAACTCGAGATGAGGCCCGATTCCCCTGCATTGACTCCAGAGCCATTCCCCGTTCCCCATTCAACACGACCGGTGGATCGACTTCCTTCATGCAACTCTGGAGATGCCCAGAGAACACTGTCCCAAGTCTAGAGGAACACCAACTTCAGCACAGCAACTCGAGGAATGCTCTGTGTACCCCAAATCGTCTCGAGATGAGAGCTGAATCCCTGGCTTAGGCTCAAGACGTATGCCAACTTTCCAGAAGCACCTCAGGAGGAGGCTTCTCTCAACAATAGGTATGTGGGAGGGACTCCGAGTTTGCTGCCTCAAGGGGAATATACAGCGAGAAGCCCTAACTTGAAAGGAGGCCGGATTTCCTTGCAGTGGCTTGAATACAGGCTCGTCTTTCATCTCACAACATGAAGGGATGTCTGAATCCCCTGTGGAGACCTTAGAGAAAGCCCTAGGTCCCTGCCTCATTTTGACGGAATCCTCACATCCCGCTGACACCTCGAGAGGCACGCGGAGTTCATTGCTTCAAAAGGTGACGATGCCTGACTCCTCTTGATTACTTATAGGAATCCCAAAATCCCTGTGGCTACTGGAAAGAGTCCTTGGGTGCCCTGGCTCACCTCGAGAAGCGTCCCTTTTGCCCTGCCAAGCCTCGAAGAGATTGCTGAGGTGTCCCTCGTTACTAGACAGGAGTCCTGACGTCACTGAAGAAACTCGTGTTTTGAAGGGCCATCCCCGCCGTAAGTCGAGAACATACCCCAGGTCCCCGCCGCAACTCGAGAAAAACCATGAGACTTCCCCCTAGAGGCGAGATGAGTCCCCATTCCCCTGCAGTGCATGCAGAGCTATTGGGTGATCCCATTCAAACAAGTCAGGAGCTTCGACTTGCTTAATGGATCTCGAGGCAGTCCCCAAGAACACTGTCACCAGTCTAGACGGAACCTGAGGTCACCCCAGCAACGCAAAGCAGCTCCAGGTGCCACAAATCAACTCGAGATGAGGCCCGATTCCCCTGCATTGACTGCAGAGCCATTCCCCGTTCCCCATTCAACATGACCGGTGGCTCGCCTTCCTTCAGGCAACTCCAGAGATGCCCCGAGAACACTGTCCCAAGTCTAGAGGAACACCAACTTCAGCACAGCAACTCGAGGAATGATCTGTGTACCCCAAATCGTCTCGAGATGAGAGCTGATTCCCTGGCTTAGGCTCAAGACGTATGCCAACTTTCCAGAAGCACCTCAGGAGGAGGCTTCTCAGCAATAGGTATGTGGGAGGGACTCCGAGTTTGCTGCCTCAAGGGCAATATACAGCGAGAAGCCCTAACTTGAAAGGAGGCCGGATTTCCTTGCAGTAGCTTGAATACAGGCTCGTCTTTCATCTCACAACATGAAGGGATGTCTGAATCCCCTGTGGAGAATTTAGAGAAAGCCCTAGGTCCCTGCCTCATTTTGAGGGAATCCTCACATCCCGCTGACACGTCGAGAGGCACGCGGAGTTCATTGCTTCAAAAGGTGACGATGCATGACTCCTCTTGATTACTTATAGGAATCCCAAAATCCCTGTGGCTACTGGAAAGGGTCCTTGGGTGCCCTGCCTCACCTCGAGAAGCGTCCCTTTTGCCCTGCCAAGCCTCGAAGAGATTGCTGAGGTGTCCCTCGTTACTAGACAGGAGTCCTGACGTCACGGAAGAAACTCGTGTTTTGAAGGGCCATCCCCGCCGTAAGTCGAGAACATACCCCAGGTCCCCGCCGCAACTCGAGAAAAACCATGAGACTTCCCCCTAGAGGCGAGATGAGGCCCCATTCCCCTGCAGTGCATGCAGAGCTATTCCGTGATCCCATTCAAACAAGTCAGGAGCTTCGACTTGCTTAATGGATCTCGAGAGAGTCCCCAAGAACACTGTCACCAGTCTAGACGGACCCTGAGGTCACCCAGCAATGCAAAGCCGCTCCATGTGCCCCAAATCAACGCGAGATGAGGCCGGATTCCCCTGCATTGACTCCAGAGCCATTCCTTGTTCCCCATTCAACACGACCGGTGGCTCGACTTCCTTCAGGCAACTCCAGAGATGACCCGAGAACACTGTCCCAAGTCTAGAGGACCACCAACTTCAGCACAGCAACTCGAGGAATGCTCAGTGTACCCCAAATCGTCTCGAGATGAGAGCTGATTCCCTGGCTTAGGCTCAAGACGTATGCCACCTTTCCAGAAGCACCTCAGGAGGAGGCTTCTCTCAGCAATAGGTATGTGGGAGGGACCCCGAGTTTGCTGCCTCAAGGGGAATATACAGCGAGAAGCCCTAACTTGAAAGGAGGCCGGATTTCCTTGCAGTGGCTTGAATACAGGCTCGTCTTTCATCTCACAACATGAAGGGATGTCTGAATCCCCTGTGGAGACCTTAGAGAAAGCCCTAGGTCCCTGCCTCATTTTGACTGAATCCTCACATCCCGCTGACACCTCGAGAGGCACGCGGAGTTCATTGCTTCAAAAGGTGAAGATGCCTGACTCCTCTTGAATACTGATAGGAATCCCAAAATCCCTGTTGCTACTGGAAAGGGTCCTTGGGTGCCCTGGCTCACCTCGAGAAGCGTCCCTTTTGCCCTGCCAAGCCTCGAAGAGATTGCTGAGGTGTCCCTCGTTACTAGACAGGAGTCCTGACGTCACGGAAGAAACTCGTGTTTTGAAGGGCCATTCCCGCCGTAAGTCGAGAACATACCCCAGGTCCCCGCCGCAACTCGAGAAAAACCATGAGACTTCCCCCTAGAGGCGAGATGAGGCCCCATTCCCCTGCAGTGCATGCAGAGCTATTCCGTGATCCCATTCAAACAAGTCAGGAGCTTCGACTTGCTTAATGGATATCGAGACAGTCCCCAAGAACACTGTCACCAGTCTAGTCTGACACTGAGGTCACCCAGCAATGCAAAGCAGCTCCATTTGCCCCAAATCAACTCGAGATGAGGCCGGATTCCCCTGCATTGACTCCAGAGCCATTCCTTGTTCCCCATTCAACACGACCGGTGGCTCGACTTCCTTCATTCAACTCCAGAGATGCCCAGAGAACACTGTCCCAAGTCTAGAGGAACACCAACTTCAGCACAGCAACTCGAGGAATGCTCTGTGTACCCCAAATCGTCTCGAGATGAGAGCTGATTCCCTGGCTTAGGCTCAAGACGTATGCCACCTTTCCAGAAGCACCTCAGGAGGAGGCTTCTCTCAGCAATAGGTATGTGGGAGGGACCCCGAGTTTGCTGCCTCAAGGGGAATATACAGCGAGAAGCCCTAACTTGAAAGGAGGCCGGATTTCCTTGCAGTGGCTTGAATACAGGCTCGTCTTTCATCTCACAACATGAAGGGATGTCTGAATCCCCTGTGAAGACCTTAGAGAAAGCCCTAGGTCCCTGCCTCATTTTGACGGAATGCCTCACATCCCGCTGACACCTCGAGAGGCACGCGGAGTTCATTGCTTCAAAAGGTGACGATGCATGACTCCTCTTGATTACTTATAGGAATCCCAAAATCCCTGTGGCTACTGGCAAGGGTCCTTGGGTGCCCTGGCTCACCTCGAGAAGCGTCCCTTTTGCCCTGCCAAGCCTCGACGAGATTCCTGAGGTGTCCCTCGTTACTAGGCAGGAGTCCTGACGTCACTGAAGAAACTCGTATTTTGAAGGGCCATCCCCGCCGTAAGTCGAGAACATACCCCAGGTCCCCGCCGCAACTCGAGAAAAACCATGAGACTTCCCCCTAGAGGCGAGATGAGGCCCCATTCCCCTGCAGTGCATGCAGAGCTATTCCGTGATCCCATTCAAACAAGTCAGGAGCTTCGACTTGCTTAATGGATCTCGAGACAGTCCCCAAGAACACTGTCACCAGTCTAGACGGACCCTGAGGTCACCCAGCAATGCAAAGCAGCTCCATGTGCCCCAAATCAACTCGAGATGAGGCCGGATTCCCCTGCATTGACTCCAGAGCCATTCCTTGTTCCCCATTCAACACGACCGGTGGCTCGACTTCCTTCAGGCAACTCCAGAGATGCCCCGAGAACACTGTCCCAAGTCTAGAGGACCACCAACTTCAGCACAGCAACTCGAGGAATGCTCTGTGTACCCCAAATCGTCTCGAGATGAGAGCTGATTCCCTGGCTTAGGCTCAAGACGTATGCCACCTTTCCAGAAGCACCTCCGGAGGAGGCTTCTCTCAGTAATAGGTATGTGGGAGGGACCCCGAGTTTGCTGCCTCAATGGGAATATACAGCGAGAAGCCCTAACTTGAAAGGAGGCCGGATTTCCATGCAGTGGCTTGAATACAGGCTCGTCTTTCATCTCACAACATGAAGGGATGTCTGAATCCCCTGTGGAGACCTTAGAGAAAGCCCTAGGTCCCTGCCTCATTTTGACGGAATCCTCACATCCCGCTGACACGTCGAGAGGCACGCGGAGTTCATTGCTTCAAAAGGTGACGATGCATGACTCCTCTTGATTACTTATAGGAATCCCAAAATCCCTGTGGCTACTGGAAAGGGTCCTTGGGTGCCCTGGCTCACCTCGAGAAGCGTCCCTTTTGCCCTGCCAAGCCTCGAAGAGATTGCTGAGGTGTCCCTCGTTACTAGGCAGGAGTCCTCACGTCACTGAAGAAACTCGTGTTTTGAAGGGCCATCCCCGCCGTAAGTCGAGAACATACCCCAGGTCCCCGCCGCAACTCGAGAAAAACCATGAGACTTCCCCCTAGAGGCGAGATGAGGCCCCATTCCCCTGCAGTGCATGCAGAGCTATTCCGTGATCCCATTCAAACAAGTCAGGAGCTTCGACTTGCTTAATGGATCTCGAGACAGTCCCCAAGAACACTGTCACCAGTCTAGATGGACCCTGAGGTCACCCCAGCAACGCAAAGTAGCTCCAGGTGCCACAAATCAACTCGAGATGAGGCCCGATTCCCCTGCATTGACTCCAGAGCCATTCCCCGTTCCCCATTCAACACGAGGGTTGGCTCGACTTCCTTCATTCAACTCCAGAGATGCCCAGAGAACACTGTCCCAAGTCTAGAGGAACACCAACTTCAGCACAGCAACTCGAGGAATGCTCTGTGTACCCCAAATCGTCTCGAGATGAGAGCTGATTCCCTGGCTTAGGCTCAAGACGTATGCCACCTTTCCAGAAGCACCTCAGGAGGACGCATCTCTCAGCAATAGGTATGTGGGAGGGACCCCGAATTTGCTGCCTCAAGGGGAATATACAGCGAGAAGCCCTAACTTGAAAGGAGGCCGGATTTCCTAGCAGTGGCTTGAATACAGGCTCGTCTTTCATCTCACAACATGAAGGGATGTCTGAATCCCCTGTGGAGACCTTAGAGAAAGCCCTAGGTCCCTGCCTCATTTTGACGGAATGCCTCACATCCCGCTGACAACTCGAGAGGCACGCGGAGTACATTGCTTCAAAAGGTGACGATGCCTGACTCCTCTTGAATACTGATAGGAATCCCAAAATCCCTGTGGCTACTGGAAAGGGTCCTTGGGTGCCCTGGCTCACCTCGAGAAGCGTCCCTTTTGCCCTGCCAAGCCTCGAAGAGATTGCTGATGTGTCCCTCGTTACTAGACAGGAGTCCTGACGTCACTGAAGAAACTCGTGTTTTGAAGGGCCATCCCCGCCGTAAGTCGAGAACATACCCCAGGTCCCCGCCGCAACTCGAGAAAAACCATGAGACTTCCCCCTAGAGGCGAGATGAGGCCCCATTCCCCTGCAGTGCATGCAGAGCTATTCCGTGATCCCATTCAAACAAGTCAGGAGCTTCGACTTGCTTAATGGATCTCGAGACAGTCCCCAAGAACACTGTCACCAGTCTAGACGGACCCTGAGGTCACCCAGCAATGCAAAGCAGCTCCATGTGCCCCAAATCAACTCGAGATGAGGCCGGATTCCCCTGCATTGACTCCAGAGCCATTCCTTGTTCCCCATTCAACACGACCGGTGGCTCGACTTCCTTCAGGCAACTCCAGAGATGCCCCGAGAACACTGTCCCAAGTCTAGAGGACCACCAACTTCAGCACAGCAACTCGAGGAATGCTCTGTGTACCCCAAATCGTCTCGAGATGAGAGCTGATTCCCTGGCTTAGGCTCAAGACCTATGCCACCTTTCCAGAAGCACCTCAGGAGGAGGCTTCTCTCAGCAATAGGTATGTGGGAGGGACCCCGAGTTTGCTGCCTCAAGGGGAATATACAGCGAGAAGCCCTAACTTGAAAGGAGGCCGGATTTCCTTGCAGTGGCTTGAATACAGGCTCGTCTTTCATCTCACAACATGAAGGGATGTCTGAATCCCCTGTGGAGACCTTAGAGAAAGCCCTAGGTCCCTGCCTCATTTTGACGGAATGCCTCACATCCCGCTGACAACTCGAGAGGCACGCGGAGTACATTGCTTCAAAAGGTGACGATGCCTGACTCCTCTTGAATACTGATAGGAATCCCAAAATCCCTGTGGCTACTGGAAAGGGTCCTTGGGTGCCCTGGCTCACCTCGAGAAGCGTCCCTTTTGCCCTGCCAAGCCTCGAAGAGATTGCTGATGTGTCCCTCGTTACTAGACAGGAGTCCTGACGTCACTGAAGAAACTCGTGTTTTGAAGGGCCATCCCCGCCGTAAGTCGAGAACATACCCCAGGTCCCCGCCGCAACTCGAGAAAAACCATGAGACTTCCCCCTAGAGGCGAGATGAGGCCCCATTCCCCTGCAGTGCATGCAGAGCTATTCCGTGATCCCATTCAAACAAGTCAGGAGCTTCGACTTGCTTAATGGATCTCGAGACAGTCCCCAAGAACACTGTCACCAGTCTAGACGGACCCTGAGGTCACCCAGCAATGCAAAGCAGCTCCATGTGCCCCAAATCAACTCGAGATGAGGCCGGATTCCCCTGCATTGACTCCAGAGCCATTCCTTGTTCCCCATTCAACACGACCGGTGGCTCGACTTCCTTCAGGCAACTCCAGAGATGCCCCGAGAACACTGTCCCAAGTCTAGAGGACCACCAACTTCAGCACAGCAACTCGAGGAATGCTCTGTGTACCCCAAATCGTCTCGAGATGAGAGCTGATTCCCTGGCTTAGGCTCAAGACGTATGCCACCTTTCCAGAAGCACCTCAGGAGGAGGCTTCTCTCAGCAATAGGTATGTGGGTGGGACCCCGAGTTTGCTGCCTCAAGGGGAATATACAGCGAGAAGCCCTAACTTGAAAGGGGGCCGGATTTCCTTGCAGTGGCTTGAATACAGGCTCGTCTTTCATCTCACAACATGAAGGGATGTCTGAATCCCCTGTGGAGACCTTAGAGAAAGCCCTAGGTCCTTGCCTCATTTTGACGGAATCCTCACATCCCGCTGACACGTCGAGAGGCACGCGGAGTTCATTGCTTCAAAAGGTGACGATGCATGACTCCTCTTGATTACTTATAGGAATCCCAAAATCCCTGTGGCTACTGGAAAGGGTCCTTGGGTGCCCTGGCTCACCTCGAGAAGCGTCCCTTTTGCCCTGCCAAGCCTCGAAGAGATTGCTGAGGTGTCCCTCGTTACTAGACAGGAGTCCTGACGTCACTGAAGAAACTCGTGTTTTGAAGGGCCATCCCCGCCGTAAGTCGAGAACATACCCCAGGTCCCCACCGCAACTCGAGAAAAACCATGAGACTTCCCCCTAGAGGCGAGATGAGGCCCCATTCCCCTGCAGCGCATGCAGAGCTATTCCGTGATCCCATTCAAACAAGTCAGGAGCTTCGACTTGCTTAATGGATCTCGAGACAGTCCCCAAGAACACTGTCACCAGTCTAGACGGACCCTGAGGTCACCCAGCAATGCAAAGCAGCTCCATGTGCCCCAAATCAACTCGAGATGAGGCCGGATTCCCCTGCATTGACTCCAGAGCCATTCCTTGTTCCCCATTCAACACGACCGGTGGCTCGACTTCCTTCAGGCAACTCCAGAGATGCCCCGAGAACACTGTCCCAAGTCTAGAGGACCACCAACTTCAGCACAGCAACTCAAGGAATGCTCAGTGTACCCCAAATCGTCTCGAGATGAGAGCTGATTCCCTGGCTTAGGCTCAAGACGTATGCCACCTTTCCAGAAGCTCCTCAGGAGGAGGCTTCTCTCAGCAATAGGTATGTGGGAGGGACCCTGAGTTTGCTGCCTCAAGGGGAATATACAGCGAGAAGCCCTAACTTGAAAGGAGGCCGGATTTCCTTGCAGTGGCTTGAATACAGGCTCGTCTTTCATCTCACAACATGAAGGGATGTCTGAATCCCCTGTGCATACCTTAGAGAAAGCCCTAGGTCCCTGCCTCATTTTGACGGAATCCTCACATCCCGCTGACACCTCGAGCGGCACGCGGTGTTCATTGTTTCAAAAGGTGACGATGCCTCACTCCTCTTGAATACTTATAGGAATCCCAAAATCCCTGTGGCTACTGGAAAGGGTCCTTGGGTGCCCTGGCTCACCTCGAGAAGCGTCCCTTTTGCCCTGCCAAGCCTCGAAGAGATTGCTGAGGTGTCCCTCGTTACTAGACAGGAGTCCTGACGTCACTGAAGAAACTCGTGTTTTGAAGGGCCATCCCCGCCGTAAGTCGAGAACATACCCCAGGTCCCCGCCGCAACTCGAGAAAAACCATGAGACTTCCCCCTAGAGGCGAGATGAGGCCCCATTCCCCTGCAGTGCATGCAGAGCTATTCCGTGATCCCATTCAAACAAGTCAGGAGCTTCGACTTGCTTAATGGATCTCGAGACAGTCCCCAAGAACACTGTCACCAGTCTAGACGGACCCTGAGGTCACCCAGCAATGCAAAGCAGCTCCATGTGCCCCAAATCAACTCGAGATGAGGCCGGATTCCCCTGCATTGACTCCAGAGCCATTCCTTGTTCCCCATTCAACACGACCGGTGGCTCGACTTCCTTCAGGCAACTCCAGAGATGCCCCGAGAACACTGTCCCAAGTCTAGAGGAACACCAACTTCAGCACAGCAACTCGAGGAATGCTCTGTGTACCCCAAATCGTCTCGAGATGAGAGCTGATTCCCTGGCTTAGGCTCAAGACGTATGCCACCTTTCCAGAAGCACCTCAGGAGGAGGCTTCTCTCAGTAATAGGTATGTGGGAGGGACCCCGAGTTTGCTGCCTCAAGGGGAATATACAGCGAGAAGCCCTAACTTGAAAGGAGGCCGGATTTCCTTGCAGTGGCTTGAATACAGGCTCGTCTTTCATCTCACAACATGAAGGGATGTCTGAATCCCCTGTGCATACCTTAGAGAAAGCCCTAGGTCCCTGCCTCATTTTGATGGAATCCTCACATCCCGCTGACACGTCGAGAGGCACGCGGAGTTCATTGCTTCAAAAGGTGACGATGCATCACTCCTCTTGATTACTTATAGGAATCCCAAAATCCCTGTGGCTACTGGAAAGGGTCCTTGGGTGCCCTGGCTCACCTCGAGAAGCGTCCCTTTTGCCCTGCCAAGCCTCGAAGAGATTGCTGAGGTGTCCCTCGTTACTAGACAGGAGTCCTGACGTCACTGAAGAAACTCGTGTTTTGAAGGGCCATCCCCGCCGTAAGTCGAGAACATACCCCAGGTCCCCGCCGCAACTCGAGAAAAACCATGAGACTTCCCCCTAGAGGCGAGATGAGGCCCCATTCCCCTGCAGTGCATGCAGAGCTATTCCGTGATCCCATTCAAACAAGTCAGGAGCTTCGACTTGCTTAATGGATCTCGAGACAGTCCCCAAGAACACTGTCACCAGTCTAGACGGACCCTGAGGTAAACCAGCAATGCAAAGCAGCTCCATGTGCCCCAAATCAACTCGAGATGAGGCCGGATTCCCCTGCATTGACTCCAGAGCCATTCCTTGTTCCCCATTCAACACGACCGGTGGCTCGACTTCCTTCAGGCAACTCCAGAGATGACCCGAGAACACTGTCCCAAGTCTAGAGGACCACCAACTTCGGCACAGCAACTCGAGGAATGCTCCGTGTACCCCAAATCGTCTCGAGATGAGAGCTGATTCCCTGGCTTAGGCTCAAGACGTATGCCACCTTTCCAGAAGCACCTCAGGAGGAGGCTTCTCTCAGCAATAGGTATGTGGGAGGGACTCCGAGTTTGCTGCCTCAAGGGGAATATACAGCGAGAAGCCCTAACTTGAAAGGAGGCCGGATTTCCTTGCAGTGGCTTGAATACAGGCTCGTCTTTCATCTCACAACATGAAGGGATGTCTGAATCCCCTGTGGAGACCTTAGAGAAAGCCCTAGGTCCCTGCCTCATTTTGACGGAATGCCTCACATCCCGCTGACAACTCGAGAGGCACGCGGAGTAAGGTGACGATGCCTGACTCCTCTTGAATACTGATAGGAATCCCAAAATCCCTGTGGCTACTGGAAAGGGTCCTTGGGTGCCCTGGCTCACCTCGAGAAGCGTCCCTTTTGCCCTGCCAAGCCTCGAAGAGATTGCTGATGTGTCCCTCGTTACTAGACAGGAGTCCTGACGTCACTGAAGAAACTCGTGTTTTGAAGGGCCATCCCCGCCTTAAGTCGAGAACATACCCCAGGTCTCCGCCGCAACTCGAGAAAAACCATGAGACTTCCCCCTAGAGGCGAGATGAGGCCCCATTCCCCTGCAGTGCATGCAGAGCTATTCCGTGATCCCATTAAAACAAGTCAGGAGCTTCGACTTGCTTAATGGATCTCGAGACAGTCCCCAAGAACACTGTCACCAGTCTAGACGGACCCTGAGGTCACCCAGCAATGCAAGGCAGCTCCATGTGCCCCAAATCAACTCGAGATGAGGCCGGATTCTCCTGCATTGACTCCAGAGCCATTCCTTGTTCCCCATTCAACACGACCAGTGGCTCGACTTCCTTCAGGCAACTCCAGAGATGCCCCGAGAACACTGTCCCAAGTCTAGAGGACCACCAACTTCAGCACAGCAACTCGAGGAATGCTCAGTGTACCCCAAATCGTCTCGAGATGAGAGCTGATTCCCTGGCTTAGGCTCAAGACGTATGCCACCTTTCCAGAAGCACCTCAGGAGGAGGCTTCTCTCAGCAATAGGTATGTGGGAGGGACCCCGAGTTTGCTGCCTCAAGGGGAATATACAGCGAGAAGCCCTAACTTGAAAGGAGGCCGGATTTCCTTGCAGTGGCTTGAATACAGGCTCGTCTTTCATCTCACAACATGAAGGGATGTCTGAATCCCCTGTGGATACCTTAGAGAAAGCCCTAGGTCCCTGCCTCATTTTGACGGAATCCTCACATCCCGCTGACACCTCGAGAGGCACGCGGTGTTCATTGCTTCAAAATGTGACGATGCCTGACTCCTCTTGAATACTTATAGGAATCCCAAAATCCCTGTGGCTACTGGAAAGGGTCCTTGGGTGCCCTGGCTCACCTCGAGAAGCGTCCCTTTTGCCCTGCCAAGCCTCGAAGAGATTGCTGAGGTGTCCCTCGTTACTAGGCAGGAGTCCTGACGTCACTGAAGAAACTCGTGTTTTGAAGGGCCATCCCCGCCTTAAGTCGAGAACATACCCCAGGTCTCCGCCGCAACTCGAGAAAAACCATGAGACTTCCCCCTAGAGGCGAGATGAGGCCCCATTCCCCTGCAGTGCATGCAGAGCTATTCCGTGATCCCATTAAAACAAGTCAGGAGCTTCGACTTGCTTAATGGATCTCGAGACAGTCCCCAAGAACACTGTCACCAGTCTAGACGGACCCTGAGGTCACCCAGCAATGCAAGGCAGCTCCATGTGCCCCAAATCAACTCGAGATGAGGCCGGATTCTCCTGCATTGACTCCAGAGCCATTCCTTGTTCCCCATTCAACACGACCGGTGGCTCGACTTCCTTCAGGCAACTCCAGAGATGCCCCGAGAACACTGTCCCAAGTCTAGAGGACCACCAACTTCAGCACAGCAACTCGAGGAATGCTCAGTGTACCCCAAATCGTCTCGAGATGAGAGCTGATTCCCTGGCTTAGGCTCAAGACGTATGCCACCTTTCCAGAAGCACCTCAGGAGGAGGCTTCTCTCAGCAATAGGTATGTGGGAGGGACCCCGAGTTTGCTGCCTCAAGGGGAATATACAGCGAGAAGCCCTAACTTGAAAGGAGGCCGGATTTCCTTGCAGTGGCTTGAATACAGGCTCGTCTTTCATCTCACAACATGAAGGGATGTCTGAATCCCCTGTGGATACCTTAGAGAAAGCCCTAGGTCCCTGCCTCATTTTGACGGAATCCTCACATCCCGCTGACACCTCGAGAGGCACGCGGTGTTCATTGCTTCAAAATGTGACGATGCCTGACTCCTCTTGAATACTTATAGGAATCCCAAAATCCCTGTGGCTACTGGAAAGGGTCCTTGGGTGCCCTGGCTCACCTCGAGAAGCGTCCCTTTTGCCCTGCCAAGCCTCGAAGAGATTGCTGAGGTGTCCCTCGTTACTAGGCAGGAGTCCTGACGTCACTGAAGAAACTCGTGTTTTGAAGGGCCATCCCCGCCGTAAGTCGAGAACATACCCCAGGTCCCCGCCGCAACTCGAGAAAAACCATGAGACTTCCCCCTAGAGGCGAGATGAGGCCCCATTCCCCTGCAGTGCATGCAGAGCTATTCCGTGATCCCATTCAAACAAGTCAGGAGCTTCGACTTGCTTAATGGATCTCGAGGCAGTCCCCAAGAACACTGTCACCAGTCTAGATGGACCCTGAGGTCACCCCAGCAACGCAAAGCAGCTCCAGGTGCCACAAATCAACTCGAGATGAGGCCCGATTCCCCTGCATTGACTCCAGAGCCATTCCCCGTTCCCCATTCAACACGACCGGTGGCTCGACTTCCTTCATGCAACTCTGGAGATGCCCAGAGAACACTGTCCCAAGTCTAGAGGAACACCAACTTCAGCACAGCAACTCGAGGAATGCTCTGTGTACCCCAAATCGTCTCGAGATGAGAGCTGAATCCCTGGCTTAGGCTCAAGACGAATGCCAACTTTCCAGAAGCACCTCAGGAGGAGGCTTCTCTCAACAATAGGTATGTGGGAGGGACTCCGAGTTTGCTGCCTCAAGGGGAATATACAGCGAGAAGCCCTAACTTGAAAGGAGGCCGGATTTCCTTGCAGTGGCTTGAATACAGGCTCGTCTTTCATCTCACAACATGAAGGGATGTCTGAATCCCCTGTGGAGACCTTAGAGAAAGCCCTAGGTCCCTGCCTCATTTTGACGGAATCCTCACATCCCGCTGACACGTCGAGAGGCACGCGGAGTTCATTGCTTCAAAAGGTGACGATGCCTGACTCCTCTTGAATACTGATAGGAATCCCAAAATCCCTGTTGCTACTGGAAAGGGTCCTTGGGTGCCCTGGCTCACCTCGAGAAGCGTCCCTTTTGCCCTGCCAAGCCTCGAAGAGATTGCTGAGGTGTCCCTCGTTACTAGACAGGAGTCCTGACGTCACGGAAGAAACTCGTGTTTTGAAGGGCCATCCCCGCCGTAAGTCGAGAACATACCCCAGGTCCCCGCCGCAACTCGAGAAAAACCATGAGACTTCCCCCTAGAGGCGAGATGAGGCCCCATTCCCCTGCAGTGCATGCAGAGCTATTCCGTGATCCCATTCAAACAAGTCAGGAGCTTCGACTTGCTTAATGGATCTCGAGGCAGTCCCCAAGAACACTGTCACCAGTCTAGACGGAACCTGAGGTCACCCCAGCAACGCAAAGCAGCTCCAGGTGCCACAAATCAACTCGAGATGAGGCCCGATTCCCCTGCATTGACTCCAGAGCCATTCCCCGTTCCCCATTCAACACGACCGGTGGCTCGACTTCCTTCAGGCAACTCCAGAGATGCCCCGAGAACACTGTCCCAAGTCTAGAGGAACACCAACTTCAGCACAGCAACTCGAGGAATGATCTGTGTACCCCAAATCGTCTCGAGATGAGAGCTGATTCCCTGGCTTAGGCTCAAGACGTATGCCAACTTTCCAGAAGCACATCAGGAGGAGGCTTCTCAGCAATAGGTATGTGGGAGGGACTCCGAGTTTGCTGCCTCAAGGGCAATATACAGCGAGAAGCCCTAACTTGAAAGGAGGCCGGATTTCCTTGCAGTAGCTTGAATACAGGCTTGTCTTTCATCTCACAACATGAAGGGATGTCTGAATCCCCTGTGGAGACCTTAGAGAAAGCCCTAGGTCCCTGCCTCATTTTGACGGAATGCCTCACATCCCGCTGACACCTCGAGAGGCACGCGGAGTTCATTGCTTCAAAAGGTGACGATTCATGACTCCTCTTGATTACTTATAGGAATCCCAAAATCCCTGTGGCTACTGGAAAGGGTCCTTGGGTGCCCTGGCTCACCTCGAGAAGCGTCCCTTTTGCCCTGCCAAGCCTCGAAGAGATTCCTGAGGTGTCCCTCGTTACTAGGCAGGAGTCCTGACGTCACTGAAGAAACTCGTATTTTGAAGGGCCATCCCCGCCGTAAGTCGAGAACATACCCCAGGTCCCCGCCGCAACTCGAGAAAAACCATGAGACTTCCCCCTAGAGGCGAGATGAGGCCCCATTCCCCTGCAGTGCATGCAGAGCTATTCCGTGATCCCATTCAAACAAGTCAGGAGCTTCGACTTGCTTAATGGATCTCGAGACAGTCCCCAAGAACACTGTCACCAGTCTAGACGGACCCTGAGGTCACCCAGCAATGCAAAGCAGCTCCATGTGCCCCAAATCAACTCGAGATGAGGCCGGATTCCCCTGCATTGACTCCAGAGCCATTCCTTGTTCCCCATTCAACACGACCGGTGGCTCGACTTCCTTCAGGCAACTCCAGAGATGCCCCGAGAACACTGTCCCAAGTCTAGAGGACCACCAACTTCAGCACAGCAACTCGAGGAATGCTCTGTGTACCCCAAATCGTCTCGAGATGAGAGCTGATTCCCTGGCTTAGGCTCAAGACGTATGCCACCTTTCCAGAAGCACCTCAGGAGGAGGCTTCTCTCAGTAATAGGTATGTGGGAGGGACCCCGAGTTTGCTGCCTCAAGGGGAATATACAGCGAGAAGCCCTAACTTGAAAGGAGGCCGGATTTCCATGCAGTGGCTTGAATACAGGCTCGTCTTTCATCTCACAACATGAAGGGATGTCTGATTCCCCTGTGGAGACCTTAGAGAAAGCCCTAGGTCCCTGCCTCATTTTGATGGAATCCTCACATCCCGCTGACACGTCGAGAGGCACGCGGAGTTCATTGCTTCAAAAGGTGACGATGCATGACTCCTCTTGATTACTTATAGGAATCCCAAAATCCCTGTGGCTACTGGAAAGGGTCCTTGGGTGCCCTGGCTCACCTCGAGAAGCGTCCCTTTTGCCCTGCCAAGCCTCGAAGAGATTGCTGAGGTGTCCCTCGTTACTAGACAGGAGTCCTGACGTCACTGAAGAAACTCGTGTTTTGAAGGGCCATCCCCGCCGTAAGTCGAGAATATACCCCAGGTCCCCGCCGCAACTCGAGAAAAACCATGAGACTTCCCCCTAGAGGCGAGATGAGGCCCCATTCCCCTGCAGTGCATGCAGAGCTATTCCCTGATCCCATTCAAACAAGTCAGGAGCTTCGACTTGCTTAATGGATCTCGAGACAGTCCCCAAGAACACTGTCACCAGTCTAGACGGACCCTGAGGTCAACCAGCAATGCAAAGCAGCTCGATGTGCCCCAAATCAACTCGAGATGAGGCCGGATTCCCCTGCATTGACTCCAGAGCCATTCCTTGTTCCCCATTCAACACGACCGGTGGCTCGACTTCCTTCAGGCAACTCCAGAGATGACCCGAGAACACTGTCCCAAGTCTAGAGGACCACCAACTTCGGCACAGCAACTCGAGGAATGCTCCGTGTACCCCAAATCGTCTCGAGATGAGAGCTGATTCCCTGGCATAGGCTCAAGACGTATGCCACCTTTCCAGAAGCACCTCAGGAGGAGGCTTCTCTCAGCAATAGGTATGTGGGAGGGACTCCGAGTTTGCTGCCTCAAGGGCAATATACAGCGAGAAGCCCTAACTTGAAAGGAGGCCGGATTTCCTTGCAGTAGCTTGAATACAGGCTTGTCTTTCATCTCACAACATGAAGGGATGTCTGAATCCCCTGTGGAGACCTTAGAGAAAGCCCTAGGTCCCTGCCTCATTTTGACGGAATGCCTCACATCCCGCTGAAACCTCGAGAGGCACGCGGAGTTCATTGCTTCAAAAGGTGACGATGCATGACTCCTCTTGATTACTTATAGGAATCCCAAAATCCCTGTGGCTACTGGAAAGGGTCCTTGGGTGCTCTGGCTCACCTCGAGAAGCGTCCCTTTTGCCCTGCCAAGCCTCGAAGAGATTCCTGAGGTGTCCCTCGTTACTAGGCAGGAGTCCTGACGTCACTGAAGAAACTCGTATTTTGAAGGGCCATCCCCGCCGCAAGTCGAGAACATACCCCAGGTCCCCGCCGCAACTCGAGAAAAACCATGAGACTTCCCCCTAGAGGCGAGATGAGGCCCCATTCCCCTGCAGTGCATGCAGAGCTATTCCGTGATCCCATTCAAACAAGTCAGGAGCTTCGACTTGCTTAATGGATCTCGAGACAGTCCCCAAGAACACTGTCACCAGTCTAGACGGACCCTGAGGTCACCCAGCAATGCAAAGCAGCTCCATGTGCCCCAAATCAACTCGAGATGAGGCCGGATTCCCCTGCATTGACTCCAGAGCCATTCCTTGTTCCCCATTCAACACGACCGGTGGCTCGACTTCCTTCAGGCAACTCCAGAGATGCCCCGAGAACACTGTCCCAAGTCTAGAGGACCACCAACTTCAGCACAGCAAATCGAGTAATGATCTGTGTACCCCAAATCGTCTAGAGATGAGAGCTGATTCCCTGGCTTAGGCTCAAGACGTATGCCACCTTTCCAGAAGCACCTCAGGAGGAGGCTTCTCTCAGTAATAGGTATGTGGGAGGGACCCCGAGTTTGCTGCCTCAAGGGGAATATACAGCGAGAAGCCCTAACTTGAAAGGAGGCCGGATTTCCATGCAGTGGCTTGAATACAGGCTCGTCTTTCATCTCACAACATGAAGGGATGTCTGATTCCCCTGTGGAGACCTTAGAGAAAGCCCTAGGTCCCTGCCTCATTTTGATGGAATCCTCACATCCCGCTGACACGTCGAGAGGCACGCGGAGTTCATTGCTTCAAAAGGTGACGATGCATGACTCCTCTTGATTACTTATAGGAATCCCAAAATCCCTGTGGCTACTGGAAAGGGTCCTTGGGTGCCCTGGCTCACCTCGAGAAGCGTCCCTTTTGCCCTGCCAAGCCTCGAAGAGATTGCTGAGGTGTCCCTCGTTACTAGGCAGGAGTCCTGACGTCACTGAAGAAACTCGTGTTTTGAAGGGCCATCCCCGCCGTAAGTCGAGAACATACCCCAGGTCCCCGCCGCAACTCGAGAAAAACCATGAGACTTCCCCCTAGAGGCGAGATGAGGCCCCATTCCCCTGCAGTGCATGCAGAGCTATTCCCTGATCCCATTCAAACAAGTCAGGAGCTTCGACTTGCTTAATGGATCTCGAGACAGTCCCCAAGAACACTGTCACCAGTCTAGACGGACCCTGAGGTCAACCAGCAATGCAAAGCAGCTCCATGTGCCCCAAATCAACTCGAGATGAGGCCGGATTCCCCTGCATTGACACCAGAGCCATTCCTTGTTCCCCATTCAACACGACCGGTGGCTCGACTTCCTTCAGGCAACTCCAGAGATGACCGGAGATCACTGTCCCAAGCCTAGAGGACCACCAACTTCGGCACAGCAACTTGAGGAATGCTCCGTGTACCCCAAATCGTCTCGAGATGAGAGCTGATTCCCTGGCTTAGGCTCAAGACGTATGCCTCCTTTCCAGAAGCACCTCAGGAGGAGGCTTCTCTCAGCAATAGGTATGTGGGAGGGACTCCGAGTTTGGTGCCTCAAGGGGAATATACAGCGAGAAGCCCTAACTTGAAAGGAGGCCGGATTTCCTTGCAGTGGCTTGAATACAGGCTCGTCTTTCATCTCACAACATGAAGGGATGTCTGAATCCCCTGTGAAGACCTTAGAGAAAGCCCTAGGTCCCTGCCTCATTTTGACGGAATCCTCACATCCCGCTGACACCTCGAGAGGCACGCGGAGTTCATTGCTTCAAAAGGTGACGATGCCTGACTCCTCTTGATTACTTATAGGAAGCCCAAAATCCCTGTGGCTACTGGAAAGGGTCCTTGGGTGCCCTGGCTCACCTCGAAAAGCGTCCCTTTTGCCCTGCCAAGCCTCGAAGAGATTGCTGAGGTGTCCCTCGTTACTAGACAGGAGTCCTGACGTCACGGAAGAAACTCGTGTTTTGAAGGGCCATCCCCGCCGTAAGTCGAGAACATACCCCAGGTCCCCGCCGCAACTCGAGAAAAACCATGAGACTTCCCCCTAGAGGCGAGATGAGTCCCCATTCCCCTGCAGTGCATGCAGAGCTATTCCGTGATCCCATTCAAACAAGTCAGGAGCTTCGACTTGCTTAATGGATCTCGAGGCAGTCCCCAAGAACACTGTCACCAGTCTAGACGGAACCTGAGGTCACCCCAGCAACGCAAAGCAGCTCCAGGTGCCACAAATCAACTCGAGATGAGGCCCGATTCCCCTGCATTGACTCCAGAGCCATTCCCCGTTCCCCATTCAACACGACCGGTGGCTCGACTTCCTTCAGGCAACTCCAGAGATGCCCCGAGAACACTGTCCCAAGTCTAGAGGAACACCAACTTCAGCACAGCAACTCGAGGAATGATCTGTGTACCCCAAATCGTCTCGAGATGAGAGCTGATTCCCTGGCTTAGGCTCAAGACGTATGCCAACTTTCCAGAAGCACCTCAGGAGGAGGCTTCTCAGCAATAGGTATGTGGGAGGGACTCCGAGTTTGCTGCCTCAAGGGCAATATACAGCGAGAAGCCCTAACTTGAAAGGAGGCCGGATTTCCTTGCAGTAGCTTGAATACAGGCTTGTCTTTCATCTCACAACATGAAGGGATGTCTGAATCCCCTGTGGAGACCTTAGAGAAAGCCCTAGGTCCCTGCCTCATTTTGACGGAATGCCTCACATCCCGCTGACACCTCGAGAGGCACGTGGAGTTCATTGCTTCAAAAGGTGACGATGCATGACTCCTCTTGATTACTTATAGGAATCCCAAAATCCCTGTGGCTACTGGAAAGGGTCCTTGGGTGCCCTGGCTCACCTCGAGAAGCGTCCCTTTTGCCCTGCCAAGCCTCGAAGAGATTCCTGAGGTGTCCCTCGTTACTAGGCAGGAGTCCTGACGTCAGTGAAGAAACTCGTATTTTGAAGGGCCATCCCCGCCGTAAGTCGAGAACATACCCCAGGTCCCCGCCGCAACTCGAGAAAAACCATGAGACTTCCCCCTAGAGGCGAGATGAGGCCCCATTCCCCTGCAGTGCATGCAGAGCTATTCCGTGATCCCATTCAAACAAGTCAGGAGCTTCGACTTGCTTAATGGATCTCGAGACAGTCCCCAAGAACACTGTCACCAGTCTAGACGGACCCTGAGGTCACCCAGGAATGCAAAGCAGCTCCATGTGCCCCAAATCAACTCGAGATGAGGCCGGATTCCCCTGCATTGACTCCAGAGCCATTCCTTGTTCCCCATTCAACACGACCGGTGGCTCGACTTCCTTCAGGCAACTCCAGAGATGCCCCGAGAACACTGTCCCAAGTCTAGAGGACCACCAACTTCAGCACAGCAACTCGAGGAATGCTCTGTGTACCCCAAATCGTCTCGAGATGAGAGCTGATTCCCTGGCTTAGGCTCAAGACGTATGCCACCTTTCCAGAAGCACCTCCGGAGGAGGCTTCTCTCAGTAATAGGTATGTGGGAGGGACCCCGAGTTTGCTGCCTCAAGGGGAATATACAGCGAGAAGCCCTAACTTGAAAGGAGGCCGGATTTCCATGCAGTGGCTTGAATACAGGCTCGTCTTTCATCTCACAACATGAAGGGATGTCTGATTCCCCTGTGGAGACCTTAGAGAAAGCCCTAGGTCCCTGCCTCATTTTGATGGAATCCTCACATCCCGCTGACACGTCGAGAGGCACGCGGAGTTCATTGCTTCAAAAGGTGACGATGCATGACTCCTCTTGATTACTTATAGGAATCCCAAAATCACTGTGGCTACTGGAAAGGGTCCTTGGGTGCCCTGGCTCACCTCGAGAAGCGTCCCTTTTGCCCTGCCAAGCCTCGAAGAGATTGCTGAGGTGTCCCTCGTTACTAGACAGGAGTCCTGACGTCACTGAAGAAACTCGTGTTTTGAAGGGCCATCCCCGCCGTAAGTCGAGAACATACCCCAGGTCCCCGCCGCAACTCGAGAAAAACCATGAGACTTCCCCCTAGAGGCGAGATGAGGCCCCATTCCCCTGCAGTGCATGCAGAGCTATTCCCTGATCCCATTCAAACAAGTCAGGAGCTTCGACTTGCTTAATGGATCTCGAGACAGTCCCCAAGAACACTGTCACCAGTCTAGACGGACCCTGAGGTCAACCAGCAATGCAAAGCAGCTCCATGTGCCCCAAATCAACTCGAGATGAGGCCGGATTCCCCTGCATTGACTCCAGAGCCATTCCTTGTTCCCCATTCAACACGACCGGTGGCTCGACTTCCTTCAGGCAACTCCAGAGATGACCGGAGAACACTGTCCCAAGTCTAGAGGACCACCAACTTCGGCACAGCAACTCGAGGAACGCTCCGTGTACCCCAAATCGTCTCGAGATGAGAGCTGATTCCCTGGCTTAGGCTCAAGACGTATGCCACCTTTCCAGAAGCACCTCAGGAGGAGGCTTCTCTCAGCAATAGGTATGTGGGAGGGACTCCGAGTTTGCTGCCTCAAGGGGAATATACAGCGAGAAGCCCTAACTTGAAAGGAGGCCGGATTTCCTTGCAGTGGCTTGAATACAGGCTCGTCTTTCATCTCACAACATGAAGGGATGTCTGAATCCCCTGTGGAGACCTTAGAGAAAGCCCTAGGTCCCTGCCTCATTTTGACGGAATCCTCACATCCCGCTGACACCTCGAGAGGCACGCGGAGTTCATTGCTTCAAAAGGTGACGATGCCTGACTCCTCTTGAATACTGATAGGAATCCCAAAATCCCTGTGGCTACTGGAAAGGGTCCTTGGGTGCCCTGGCTCACCTCGAGAAGCGTCCCTTTTGCCCTGCCAAGCCTCGAAGAGATTGCTGAGGTGTCCCTCGTTACTAGACAGGAGTCCTGACGTCACGGAAGAAACTCGTGTTTTGAAGAGCCATCCCCGCCGTAAGTCGAGAACATACCCCAGGTCCCCGCCGCAACTCGAGAAAAACCATGAGACTTCCCCCTAGAGGCGAGATGAGGCCCCATTCCCCTGCAGTGCATGCAGAGCTATTCCGTGATCCCATTCAAACAAGTCAGGAGCTTCGACTTGCTTAATGGATATCGAGACAGTCCCCAAGAACACTGTCACCAGTCTAGTCGGACCCTGAGGTCACCCAGCAATGCAAAGCAGCTCCATGTGCCCCAAATCAACTCGAGATGAGGCCGGATTCCCCTGCATTGACTCCAGAGCCATTCCTTGTTCCCCATTCAACACGACCGGTTGCTCGACTTCCTTCAGGCAACTCCAGAGATGCCCCGAGAACACTGTCCCAAGTCTAGAGGACCACCAACTTCAGCACAGCAACTCGAGGAATGATCTGTGTACCCCAAATCGTCTCGAGATGAGAGCTGATTCCCTGGCTTAGGCTCAAGACGTATGCCACCTTTCCAGAAGCACCTCAGGAGGAGGCTTCTCTCAGTAATAGGTATGTGGGAGGGACCCCGAGTTTGCTGCCTCAAGGGGAATATACAGCGAGAAGCCCTAACTTGAAAGGAGGCCGGATTTCCATGCAGTGGCTTGAATACAGGCTCGTCTTTCATCTCACAACATGAAGGGATGTCTGATTCCCCTGTGGAGACCTTAGAGAAAGCCCTAGGTCCCTGCCTCATTTTGATGGAATCCTCACATCCCGCTGACACGTCGAGAGGCACGCGGAGTTCATTGCTTCAAAAGGTGACGATGCATGACTCCTCTTGATTACTTATAGGAATCCCAAAATCCCTGTGGCTACTGGAAAGGGTCCTTGGGTGCCCTGGCTCACCTCGAGAAGCGTCCCTTTTGCCCTGCCAAGCCTCGAAGAGATTGCTGAGGTGTCCCTCGTTACTAGACAGGAGTCCTGACGTCACTGAAGAAACTCGTGTTTTGAAGGGCCATCCCCGCCGTAAGTCGAGAACATACCCCAGGTCCCCGCCGCAACTCGAGAAAAACCATGAGACTTCCCCCTAGAGGCGAGATGAGGCCCCATTCCCCTGCAGTGCATGCAGAGCTATTCCCTGATCCCATTCAAACAAGTCAGGAGCTTCGACTTGCTTAATGGATCTCGAGACAGTCCCCAAGAACACTGTCACCAGTCTAGACGGACCCTGAGGTCAACCAGCAATGCAAAGCAGCTCCATGTGCCCCAAATCAACTCGAGATGAGGCCGGATTCCCCTGCATTGACACCAGAGCCATTCCTTGTTCCCCATTCAACACGACCGGTGGCTCGACTTCCTTCAGGCAACTCCAGAGATGACCGGAGAACACTGTCCCAAGCCTAGAGGACCACCAACTTCGGCACAGCAACTCGAGGAATGCTCCGTGTACCCCAAATCGTCTCGAGATGAGAGCTGATTCCCTGGCTTAGGCTCAAGACGTATGCCTCCTTTCCAGAAGCACCTCAGGAGGAGGCTTCTCTCAGCAATAGGTATGTGGGAGGGACTCCGAGTTTGGTGCCTCAAGGGGAATATACAGCGAGAAGCCCTAACTTGAAAGGAGGCCGGATTTCCTTGCAGTGGCTTGAATACAGGCTCGTCTTTCATCTCACAACATGAAGGGATGTCTGAATCCCCTGTGAAGACCTTAGAGAAAGCCCTAGGTCCCTGCCTCATTTTGACGGAATCCTCACATCCCGCTGACACCTCGAGAGGCACGCGGAGTTCATTGCTTCAAAAGGTGACGATGCCTGACTCCTCTTGATTACTTATAGGAAGCCCAAAATCCCTGTGGCTACTGGAAAGGGTCCTTGGGTGCCCTGGCTCACCTCGAAAAGCGTCCCTTTTGCCCTGCCAAGCCTCGAAGAGATTGCTGAGGTGTCCCTCGTTACTAGACAGGAGTCCTGACGTCACGGAAGAAACTCGTGTTTTGAAGGGCCATCCCCGCCGTAAGTCGAGAACATACCCCAGGTCCCCGCCGCAACTCGAGAAAAACCATGAGACTTCCCCCTAGAGGCGAGATGAGTCCCCATTCCCCTGCAGTGCATGCAGAGCTATTCCGTGATCCCATTCAAACAAGTCAGGAGCTTCGACTTGCTTAATGGATCTCGAGGCAGTCCCCAAGAACACTGTCACCAGTCTAGACGGAACCTGAGGTCACCCCAGCAACGCAAAGCAGCTCCAGGTGCCACAAATCAACTCGAGATGAGGCCCGATTCCCCTGCATTGACTCCAGAGCCATTCCCCGTTCCCCATTCAACACGACCGGTGGCTCGACTTCCTTCAGGCAACTCCAGAGATGCCCCGAGAACACTGTCCCAAGTCTAGAGGAACACCAACTTCAGCACAGCAACTCGAGGAATGATCTGTGTACCCCAAATCGTCTCGAGATGAGAGCTGATTCCCTGGCTTAGGCTCAAGACGTATGCCAACTTTCCAGAAGCACCTCAGTAGGAGGCTTCTCAGCAATAGGTATGTGGGAGGGACTCCGAGTTTGCTGCCTCAAGGGCAATATACAGCGAGAAGCCCTAACTTGAAAGGAGGCCGGATTTCCTTGCAGTAGCTTGAATACAGGCTTGTCTTTCATCTCACAACATGAAGGGATGTCTGAATCCCCTGTGGAGACCTTAGAGAAAGCCCTAGGTCCCTGCCTCATTTTGACGGAATGCCTCACATCCCGCTGACACCTCGAGAGGCACGTGGAGTTCATTGCTTCAAAAGGTGACGATGCATGACTCCTCTTGATTACTTATAGGAATCCCAAAATCCCTGTGGCTACTGGAAAGGGTCCTTGGGTGCCCTGGCTCACCTCGAGAAGCGTCCCTTTTGCCCTGCCAAGCCTCGAAGAGATTCCTGAGGTGTCCCTCGTTACTAGGCAGGAGTCCTGACGTCACTGAAGAAACTCGTATTTTGAAGGGCCATCCCCGCCGTAAGTCGAGAACATACCCCAGGTCCCCGCCGCAACTCGAGAAAAACCATGAGACTTCCCCCTAGAGGCGAGATGAGGCCCCATTCCCCTGCAGTGCATGCAGAGCTATTCCGTGATCCCATTCAAACAAGTCAGGAGCTTCGACTTGCTTAATGGATCTCGAGACAGTCCCCAAGAACACTGTCACCAGTCTAGACGGACCCTGAGGTCACCCAGCAATGCAAAGCAGCTCCATGTGCCCCAAATCAACTCGAGATGAGGCCGGATTCCCCTGCATTGACTCCAGAGCCATTCCTTGTTCCCCATTCAACACGACCGGTGGCTCGACTTCCTTCAGGCAACTCCAGAGATGCCCCGAGAACACTGTCCCAAGTCTAGAGGACCACCAACTTCAGCACAGCAACTCGAGGAATGCTCTGTGTACCCCAAATCGTCTCGAGATGAGAGCTGATTCCCTGGCTTAGGCTCAAGACGTATGCCACCTTTCCAGAAGCACCTCCGGAGGAGGCTTCTCTCAGTAATAGGTATGTGGGAGGGACCCCGAGTTTGCTGCCTCAAGGGGAATATACAGCGAGAAGCCCTAACTTGAAAGGAGGCCGGATTTCCATGCAGTGGCTTGAATACAGGCTCGTCTTTCATCTCACAACATGAAGGGATGTCTGATTCCCCTGTGGAGACCTTAGAGAAAGCCCTAGGTCCCTGCCTCATTTTGATGGAATCCTCACATCCCGCTGACACGTCGAGAGGCACGCGGAGTTCATTGCTTCAAAAGGTGACGATGCATGACTCCTCTTGATTACTTATAGGAATCCCAAAATCCCTGTGGCTACTGGAAAGGGTCCTTGGGTGCCCTGGCTCACCTCGAGAAGCGTCCCTTTTGCCCTGCCAAGCCTCGAAGAGATTGCTGAGGTGTCCCTCGTTACTAGACAGGAGTCCTGACGTCACTGAAGAAACTCGTGTTTTGAAGGGCCATCCCCGCCGTAAGTCGAGAACATACCCCAGGTCCCCGCCGCAACTCGAGAAAAACCATGAGACTTCCCCCTAGAGGCGAGATGAGGCCCCATTCCCCTGCAGTGCATGCAGAGCTATTCCCTGATCCCATTCAAACAAGTCAGGAGCTTCGACTTGCTTAATGGATCTCGAGACAGTCCCCAAGAACACTGTCACCAGTCTAGACGGACCCTGAGGTCAACCAGCAATGCAAAGCAGCTCCATGTGCCCCAAATCAACTCGAGATGAGGCCGGATTCCCCTGCATTGACTCCAGAGCCATTCCTTGTTCCCCATTCAACACGACCGGTGGCTCGACTTCCTTCAGGCAACTCCAGAGATGACCGGAGAACACTGTCCCAAGTCTAGAGGACCACCAACTTCGGCACAGCAACTCGAGGAATGATCTGTGTACCCCAAATCGTCTCGAGATGAGAGCTGATTCCCTGGCTTAGGCTCAAGACGTATGCCAACTTTCCAGAAGCACCTCAGTAGGAGGCTTCTCAGCAATAGGTATGTGGGAGGGACTCCGAGTTTGCTGCCTCAAGGGCAATATACAGCGAGAAGCCCTAACTTGAAAGGAGGCCGGATTTCCTTGCAGTAGCTTGAATACAGGCTTGTCTTTCATCTCACAACATGAAGGGATGTCTGAATCCCCTGTGGAGACCTTAGAGAAAGCCCTAGGTCCCTGCCTCATTTTGACGGAATGCCTCACATCCCGCTGACACCTCGAGAGGCACGTGGAGTTCATTGCTTCAAAAGGTGACGATGCATGACTCCTCTTGATTACTTATAGGAATCCCAAAATCCCTGTGGCTACTGGAAAGGGTCCTTGGGTGCCCTGGCTCACCTCGAGAAGCGTCCCTTTTGCCCTGCCAAGCCTCGAAGAGATTCCTGAGGTGTCCCTCGTTACTAGGCAGGAGTCCTGACGTCACTGAAGAAACTCGTATTTTGAAGGGCCATCCCCGCCGTAAGTCGAGAACATACCCCAGGTCCCCGCCGCAACTCGAGAAAAACCATGAGACTTCCCCCTAGAGGCGAGATGAGGCCCCATTCCCCTGCAGTGCATGCAGAGCTATTCCGTGATCCCATTCAAACAAGTCAGGAGCTTCGACTTGCTTAATGGATCTCGAGACAGTCCCCAAGAACACTGTCACCAGTCTAGACGGACCCTGAGGTCACCCAGCAATGCAAAGCAGCTCCATGTGCCCCAAATCAACTCGAGATGAGGCCGGATTCCCCTGCATTGACTCCAGAGCCATTCCTTGTTCCCCATTCAACACGACCGGTGGCTCGACTTCCTTCAGGCAACTCCAGAGATGCCCCGAGAACACTGTCCCAAGTCTAGAGGACCACCAACTTCAGCACAGCAACTCGAGGAATGCTCTGTGTACCCCAAATCGTCTCGAGATGAGAGCTGATTCCCTGGCTTAGGCTCAAGACGTATGCCACCTTTCCAGAAGCACCTCCGGAGGAGGCTTCTCTCAGTAATAGGTATGTGGGAGGGACCCCGAGTTTGCTGCCTCAAGGGGAATATACAGCGAGAAGCCCTAACTTGAAAGGAGGCCGGATTTCCATGCAGTGGCTTGAATACAGGCTCGTCTTTCATCTCACAACATGAAGGGATGTCTGATTCCCCTGTGGAGACCTTAGAGAAAGCCCTAGGTCCCTGCCTCATTTTGATGGAATCCTCACATCCCGCTGACACGTCGAGAGGCACGCGGAGTTCATTGCTTCAAAAGGTGACGATGCATGACTCCTCTTGATTACTTATAGGAATCCCAAAATCCCTGTGGCTACTGGAAAGGGTCCTTGGGTGCCCTGGCTCACCTCGAGAAGCGTCCCTTTTGCCCTGCCAAGCCTCGAAGAGATTGCTGAGGTGTCCCTCGTTACTAGACAGGAGTCCTGACGTCACTGAAGAAACTCGTGTTTTGAAGGGCCATCCCCGCCGTAAGTCGAGAACATACCCCAGGTCCCCGCCGCAACTCGAGAAAAACCATGAGACTTCCCCCTAGAGGCGAGATGAGGCCCCATTCCCCTGCAGTGCATGCAGAGCTATTCCCTGATCCCATTCAAACAAGTCAGGAGCTTCGACTTGCTTAATGGATCTCGAGACAGTCCCCAAGAACACTGTCACCAGTCTAGACGGACCCTGAGGTCAACCAGCAATGCAAAGCAGCTCCATGTGCCCCAAATCAACTCGAGATGAGGCCGGATTCCCCTGCATTGACTCCAGAGCCATTCCTTGTTCCCCATTCAACACGACCGGTGGCTCGACTTCCTTCAGGCAACTCCAGAGATGACCGGAGAACACTGTCCCAAGTCTAGAGGACCACCAACTTCGGCACAGCAACTCGAGGAATGCTCCGTGTACCCCAAATCGTCTCGAGATGAGAGCTGATTCCCTGGCTTAGGCTCAAGACGTATGCCACCTTTCCAGAAGCACCTCAGGAGGAGGCTTCTCTCAGCAATAGGTATGTGGGAGGGACTCCGAGTTTGCTGCCTCAAGGGGAATATACAGCGAGAAGCCCTAACTTGAAAGGAGGCCGGATTTCCTTGCAGTGGCTTGAATACAGGCTCGTCTTTCATCTCACAACATGAAGGGATGTCTGAATCCCCTGTGGAGACCTTAGAGAAAGCCCTAGGTCCCTGCCTCATTTTGACGGAATCCTCACATCCCGCTGACACCTCGAGAGGCACGCGGAGTTCATTGCTTCAAAAGGTGACGATGCCTGACTCCTCTTGAATACTGATAGGAATCCCAAAATCCCTGTGGCTACTGGAAAGGGTCCTTGGGTGCCCTGGCTCACCTCGAGAAGCGTCCCTTTTGCCCTGCCAAGCCTCGAAGAGATTGCTGAGGTGTCCCTCGTTACTAGACAGGAGTCCTGACGTCACGGAAGAAACTCGTGTTTTGAAGAGCCATCCCCGCCGTAAGTCGAGAACATACCCCAGGTCCCCGCCGCAACTCGAGAAAAACCATGAGACTTCCCCCTAGAGGCGAGATGAGGCCCCATTCCCCTGCAGTGCATGCAGAGCTATTCCGTGATTCCATTCAAACAAGTCAGGAGCTTCGACTTGCTTAATGGATATCGAGACAGTCCCCAAGAACACTGTCACCAGTCTAGTCGGACCCTGAGGTCACCCAGCAATGCAAAGCAGCTCCATGTGCCCCAAATCAACTCGAGATGAGGCCGGATTCCCCTGCATTGACTCCAGAGCCATTCCTTGTTCCCCATTCAACACGACCGGTTGCTCGACTTCCTTCAGGCAACTCCAGAGATGCCCCGAGAACACTGTCCCAAGTCTAGAGGACCACCAACTTCAGCACAGCAACTCGAGGAATGATCTGTGTACCCCAAATCGTCTCGAGATGAGAGCTGATTCCCTGGCTTAGGCTCAAGACGTATGCCACCTTTCCAGAAGCACCTCAGGAGGAGGCTTCTCTCAGTAATAGGTATGTGGGAGGGACCCCGAGTTTGCTGCCTCAAGGGGAATATACAGCGAGAAGCCCTAACTTGAAAGGAGGCCGGATTTCCATGCAGTGGCTTGAATACAGGCTCGTCTTTCATCTCACAACATGAAGGGATGTCTGATTCCCCTGTGGAGACCTTAGAGAAAGCCCTAGGTCCCTGCCTCATTTTGATGGAATCCTCACATCCCGCTGACACGTCGAGAGGCACGCGGAGTTCATTGCTTCAAAAGGTGACGATGCATGACTCCTCTTGATTACTTATAGGAATCCCAAAATCCCTGTGGCTACTGGAAAGGGTCCTTGGGTGCCCTGGCTCACCTCGAGAAGCGTCCCTTTTGCCCTGCCAAGCCTCGAAGAGATTGCTGAGGTGTCCCTCGTTACTAGACAGGAGTCCTGACGTCACTGAAGAAACTCGTGTTTTGAAGGGCCATCCCCGCCGTAAGTCGAGAACATACCCCAGGTCCCCGCCGCAACTCGAGAAAAACCATGAGACTTCCCCCTAGAGGCGAGATGAGGCCCCATTCCCCTGCAGTGCATGCAGAGCTATTCCCTGATCCCATTCAAACAAGTCAGGAGCTTCGACTTGCTTAATGGATCTCGAGACAGTCCCCAAGAACACTGTCACCAGTCTAGACGGACCCTGAGGTCAACCAGCAATGCAAAGCAGCTCCATGTGCCCCAAATCAACTCGAGATGAGGCCGGATTCCCCTGCATTGACACCAGAGCCATTCCTTGTTCCCCATTCAACACGACCGGTGGCTCGACTTCCTTCAGGCAACTCCAGAGATGACCGGAGAACACTGTCCCAAGCCTAGAGGACCACCAACTTCGGCACAGCAACTCGAGGAATGCTCCGTGTACCCCAAATCGTCTCGAGATGAGAGCTGATTCCCTGGCTTAGGCTCAAGACGTATGCCTCCTTTCCAGAAGCACCTCAGGAGGAGGCTTCTCTCAGCAATAGGTATGTGGGAGGGACTCCGAGTTTGGTGCCTCAAGGGGAATATACAGCGAGAAGCCCTAACTTGAAAGGAGGCCGGATTTCCTTGCAGTGGCTTGAATACAGGCTCGTCTTTCATCTCACAACATGAAGGGATGTCTGAATCCCCTGTGAAGACCTTAGAGAAAGCCCTAGGTCCCTGCCTCATTTTGACGGAATCCTCACATCCCGCTGACACCTCGAGAGGCACGCGGAGTTCATTGCTTCAAAAGGTGACGATGCCTGACTCCTCTTGATTACTTATAGGAAGCCCAAAATCCCTGTGGCTACTGGAAAGGGTCCTTGGGTGCCCTGGCTCACCTCGAAAAGCGTCCCTTTTGCCCTGCCAAGCCTCGAAGAGATTGCTGAGGTGTCCCTCGTTACTAGACAGGAGTCCTGACGTCACGGAAGAAACTCGTGTTTTGAAGGGCCATCCCCGCCGTAAGTCGAGAACATACCCCAGGTCCCCGCCGCAACTCGAGAAAAACCATGAGACTTCCCCCTAGAGGCGAGATGAGTCCCCATTCCCCTGCAGTGCATGCAGAGCTATTCCGTGATCCCATTCAAACAAGTCAGGAGCTTCGACTTGCTTAATGGATCTCGAGGCAGTCCCCAAGAACACTGTCACCAGTCTAGACGGAACCTGAGGTCACCCCAGCAACGCAAAGCAGCTCCAGGTGCCACAAATCAACTCGAGATGAGGCCCGATTCCCCTGCATTGACTCCAGAGCCATTCCCCGTTCCCCATTCAACACGACCGGTGGCTCGACTTCCTTCAGGCAACTCCAGAGATGCCCCGAGAACACTGTCCCAAGTCTACAGGAACACCAACTTCAGCACAGCAACTCGAGGAATGATCTGTGTACCCCAAATCGTCTTGAGATGAGAGCTGATTCCCTGGCTTAGGCTCAAGACGTATGCCAACTTTCCAGAAGCACCTCAGTAGGAGGCTTCTCAGCAATAGGTATGTGGGAGGGACTCCGAGTTTGCTGCCTCAAGGGCAATATACAGCGAGAAGCCCTAACTTGAAAGGAGGCCGGATTTCCTTGCAGTAGCTTGAATACAGGCTTGTCTTTCATCTCACAACATGAAGGGATGTCTGAATCCCCTGTGGAGACCTTAGAGAAAGCCCTAGGTCCCTGCCTCATTTTGACGGAATGCCTCACATCCCGCTGACACCTCGAGAGGCACGTGGAGTTCATTGCTTCAAAAGGTGACGATGCATGACTCCTCTTGATTACTTATAGGAATCCCAAAATCCCTGTGGCTACTGGAAAGGGTCCTTGGGTGCCCTGGCTCACCTCGAGAAGCGTCCCTTTTGCCCTGCCAAGCCTCGAAGAGATTCCTGAGGTGTCCCTCGTTACTAGGCAGGAGTCCTGACGTCACTGAAGAAACTCGTATTTTGAAGGGCCATCCCCGCCGTAAGTCGAGAACATACCCCAGGTCCCCGCCGCAACTCGAGAAAAACCATGAGACTTCCCCCTAGAGGCGAGATGAGGCCCCATTCCCCTGCAGTGCATGCAGAGCTATTCCGTGATCCCATTCAAACAAGTCAGGAGCTTCGACTTGCTTAATGGATCTCGAGACAGTCCCCAAGAACACTGTCACCAGTCTAGACGGACCCTGAGGTCACCCAGCAATGCAAAGCAGCTCCATGTGCCCCAAATCAACTCGAGATGAGGCCGGATTCCCCTGCATTGACTCCAGAGCCATTCCTTGTTCCCCATTCAACACGACCGGTGGCTCGACTTCCTTCAGGCAACTCCAGAGATGCCCCGAGAACACTGTCCCAAGTCTAGAGGACCACCAACTTCAGCACAGCAACTCGAGGAATGCTCTGTGTACCCCAAATCGTCTCGAGATGAGAGCTGATTCCCTGGCTTAGGCTCAAGACGTATGCCACCTTTCCAGAAGCACCTCCGGAGGAGGCTTCTCTCAGTAATAGGTATGTGGGAGGGACCCCGAGTTTGCTACCTCAAGGGGAATATACAGCGAGAAGCCCTAACTTGAAAGGAGGCCGGATTTCCATGCAGTGGCTTGAATACAGGCTCGTCTTTCATCTCACAACATGAAGGGATGTCTGATTCCCCTGTGGAGACCTTAGAGAAAGCCCTAGGTCCCTGCCTCATTTTGATGGAATCCTCACATCCCGCTGACACGTCGAGAGGCACGCGGAGTTCATTGCTTCAAAAGGTGACGATGCATGACTCCTCTTGATTACTTATAGGAATCCCAAAATCCCTGTGGCTACTGGAAAGGGTCCTTGGGTGCCCTGGCTCACCTCGAGAAGCGTCCCTTTTGCCCTGCCAAGCCTCGAAGAGATTGCTGAGGTGTCCCTCGTTACTAGACAGGAGTCCTGACGTCACTGAAGAAACTCGTGTTTTGAAGGGCCATCCCCGCTGTAAGTCGAGAACATACCCCAGGTCCCCGCCGCAACTCGAGAAAAACCATGAGACTTCCCCCTAGAGGCGAGATGAGGCCCCATTCCCCTGCAGTGCATGCAGAGCTATTCCCTGATCCCATTCAAACAAGTCAGGAGCTTCGACTTGCTTAATGGATCTCGAGACAGTCCCCAAGAACACTGTCACCAGTCTAGACGGACCCTGAGGTCAACCAGCAATGCAAAGCAGCTCCATGTGCCCCAAATCAACTCGAGATGAGGCCGGATTCCCCTGCATTGACACCAGAGCCATTCCTTGTTCCCCATTCAACACGACCGGTGGCTCGACTTCCTTCAGGCAACTCCACAGATGACCGGAGAACACTGTCCCAAGTCTAGAGGACCACCAACTTCGGCACAGCAACTCGAGGAATGCTCCGTGTACCCCAAATCGTCTCGAGATGAGAGCTGATTCCCTGGCTTAGGCTCAAGACGTATGCCACCTTTCCAGAAGCACCTCAGGAGGAGGCTTCTCTCAGCAATAGGTATGTGGGAGGGACTCCGAGTTTGCTGCCTCAAGGGGAATATACAGCGAGAAGCCCTAACTTGAAAGGAGGCCGGATTTCCTTGCAGTGGCTTGAATACAGGCTCGTCTTTCATCTCACAACATGAAGGGATGTCTGAATCCCCTGTGGAGACCTTAGAGAAAGCCCTAGGTCCCTGCCTCATTTTGACGGAATCCTCACATCCCGCTGACACCTCGAGAGGCACGCGGAGTTCATTGCTTCAAAAGGTGACGATGCCTGACTCCTCTTGAATACTGATAGGAATCCCAAAATCCCTGTGGCTACTGGAAAGGGTCCTTGGGTGCCCTGGCTCACCTCGAGAAGCGTCCCTTTTGCCCTGCCAAGCCTCGAAGAGATTGCTGAGGTGTCCCTCGTTACTAGACAGGAGTCCTGACGTCACGGAAGAAACTCGTGTTTTGAAGAGCCATCCCCGCCGTAAGTCGAGAACATACCCCAGGTCCCCGCCGCAACTCGAGAAAAACCATGAGACTTCCCCCTAGAGGCGAGATGAGGCCCCATTCCCCTGCAGTGCATGCAGAGCTATTCCGTGATCCCATTCAAACAAGTCAGGAGCTTCGACTTGCTTAATGGATATCGAGACAGTCCCCAAGAACACTGTCACCAGTCTAGTCGGACCCTGAGGTCACCCAGCAATGCAAAGCAGCTCCATGTGCCCCAAATCAACTCGAGATGAGGCCGGATTCCCCTGCATTGACTCCAGAGCCATTCCTTGTTCCCCATTCAACACGACCGGTGGCTCGACTTCCTTCAGGCAACTCCAGAGATGCCCCGAGAACACTGTCCCAAGTCTAGAGGACCACCAACTTCAGCACAGCAACTCGAGGAATGATCTGTGTACCCCAAATCGTCTCGAGATGAGAGCTGATTCCCTGGCTTAGGCTCAAGACGTATGCCACCTTTCCAGAAGCACCTCAGGAGGAGGCTTCTCTCAGTAATAGGTATGTGGGAGGGACCCCGAGTTTGCTGCCTCAAGGGGAATATACAGCGAGAAGCCCTAACTTGAAAGGAGGCCGGATTTCCATGCAGTGGCTTGAATACAGGCTCGTCTTTCATCTCACAACATGAAGGGATGTCTGATTCCCCTGTGGAGACCTTAGAGAAAGCCCTAGGTCCCTGCCTCATTTTGATGGAATCCTCACATCCCGCTGACACGTCGAGAGGCACGCGGAGTTCATTGCTTCAAAAGGTGACGATGCATGACTCCTCTTGATTACTTATAGGAATCCCAAAATCCCTGTGGCTACTGGAAAGGGTCCTTGGGTGCCCTGGCTCACCTCGAGAAGTGTCCCTTTTGCCCTGCCAAGCCTCGAAGAGATTGCTGAGGTGTCCCTCGTTACTAGACAGGAGTCCTGACGTCACTGAAGAAACTCGTGTTTTGAAGGGCCATCCCCGCCGTAAGTCGAGAACATACCCCAGGTCCCCGCCGCAACTCGAGAAAAACCATGAGACTTCCCCCTAGAGGCGAGATGAGGCCCCATTCCCCTGCAGTGCATGCAGAGCTATTCCCTGATCCCATTCAAACAAGTCAGGAGCTTCGACTTGCTTAATGGATCTCGAGACAGTCCCCAAGAACACTGTCACCAGTCTAGACGGACCCTGAGGTCAACCAGCAATGCAAAGCAGCTCCATGTGCCCCAAATCAACTCGAGATGAGGCCGGATTCCCCTGCATTGACACCAGAGCCATTCCTTGTTCCCCATTCAACACGACCGGTGGCTCGACTTCCTTCAGGCAACTCCAGAGATGACCGGAGAACACTGTCCCAAGCCTAGAGGACCACCAACTTCGGCACAGCAACTCGAGGAATGCTCCGTGTACCCCAAATCGTCTCGAGATGAGAGCTGATTCCCTGGCTTAGGCTCAAGACGTATGCCTCCTTTCCAGAAGCACCTCAGGAGGAGGCTTCTCTCAGCAATAGGTATGTGGGAGGGACTCCGAGTTTGGTGCCTCAAGGGGAATATACAGCGAGAAGCCCTAACTTGAAAGGAGGCCGGATTTCCTTGCAGTGGCTTGAATACAGGCTCGTCTTTCATCTCACAACATGAAGGGATGTCTGAATCCCCTGTGAAGACCTTAGAGAAAGCCCTAGGTCCCTGCCTCATTTTGACGGAATCCTCACATCCCGCTGACACCTCGAGAGGCACGCGGAGTTCATTGCTTCAAAAGGTGACGATGCCTGACTCCTCTTGATTACTTATAGGAAGCCCAAAATCCCTGTGGCTACTGGAAAGGGTCCTTGGGTGCCCTGGCTCACCTCGAAAAGCGTCCCTTTTGCCCTGCCAAGCCTCGAAGAGATTGCTGAGGTGTCCCTCGTTACTAGACAGGAGTCCTGACGTCACGGAAGAAACTCGTGTTTTGAAGGGCCATCCCCGCCGTAAGTCGAGAACATACCCCAGGTCCCCGCCGCAACTCGAGAAAAACCATGAGACTTCCCCCTAGAGGCGAGATGAGTCCCCATTCCCCTGCAGTGCATGCAGAGCTATTCCGTGATCCCATTCAAACAAGTCAGGAGCTTCGACTTGCTTAATGGATCTCGAGGCAGTCCCCAAGAACACTGTCACCAGTCTAGACGGAACCTGAGGTCACCCCAGCAACGCAAAGCAGCTCCAGGTGCCACAAATCAACTCGAGATGAGGCCCGATTCCCCTGCATTGACTCCAGAGCCATTCCCCGTTCCCCATTCAACACGACCGGTGGCTCGACTTCCTTCAGGCAACTCCAGAGATGCCCCGAGAACACTGTCCCAAGTCTAGAGGAACACCAACTTCAGCACAGCAACTCGAGGAATGATCTGTGTACCCCAAATCGTCTCGAGATGAGAGCTGATTCCCTGGCTTAGGCTCAAGACGTATGCCAACTTTCCAGAAGCACCTCAGGAGGAGGCTTCTCAGCAATAGGTATGTGGGAGGGACTCCGAGTTTGCTGCCTCAAGGGCAATATACAGCGAGAAGCCCTAACTTGAAAGGAGGCCGGATTTCCTTGCAGTAGCTTGAATACAGGCTTGTCTTTCATCTCACAACATGAAGGGATGTCTGAATCCCCTGTGGAGACCTTAGAGAAAGCCCTAGGTCCCTGCCTCATTTTGACGGAATGCCTCACATCCCGCTGACACCTCGAGAGGCACGTGGAGTTCATTGCTTCAAAAGGTGACGATGCATGACTCCTCTTGATTACTTATAGGAATCCCAAAATCCCTGTGGCTACTGGAAAGGGTCCTTGGGTGCCCTGGCTCACCTCGAGAAGCGTCCCTTTTGCCCTGCCAAGCCTCGAAGAGATTCCTGAGGTGTCCCTCGTTACTAGGCAGGAGTCCTGACGTCACTGAAGAAACTCGTATTTTGAAGGGCCATCCCCGCCGTAAGTCGAGAACATACCCCAGGTCCCCGCCGCAACTCGAGAAAAACCATGAGACTTCCCCCTAGAGGCGAGATGAGGCCCCATTCCCCTGCAGTGCATGCAGAGCTATTCCGTGATCCCATTCAAACAAGTCAGGAGCTTCGACTTGCTTAATGGATCTCGAGACAGTCCCCAAGAACACTGTCACCAGTCTAGACGGACCCTGAGGTCACCCAGCAATGCAAAGCAGCTCCATGTGCCCCAAATCAACTCGAGATGAGGCCGGATTCCCCTGCATTGACTCCAGAGCCATTCCTTGTTCCCCATTCAACACGACCGGTGGCTCGACTTCCTTCAGGCAACTCCAGAGATGCCCCGAGAACACTGTCCCAAGTCTAGAGGACCACCAACTTCAGCACAGCAACTCGAGGAATGCTCTGTGTACCCCAAATCGTCTCGAGATGAGAGCTGATTCCCTGGCTTAGGCTCAAGACGTATGCCACCTTTCCAGAAGCACCTCCGGAGGAGGCTTCTCTCAGTAATAGGTATGTGGGAGGGACCCCGAGTTTGCTGCCTCAAGGGGAATATACAGCGAGAAGCCCTAACTTGAAAGGAGGCCGGATTTCCATGCAGTGGCTTGAATACAGGCTCGTCTTTCATCTCACAACATGAAGGGATGTCTGATTCCCCTGTGGAGACCTTAGAGAAAGCCCTAGGTCCCTGCCTCATTTTGATGGAATCCTCACATCCCGCTGACAAGTCGAGAGGCACGCGGAGTTCATTGCTTCAAAAGGTGACGATGCATGACTCCTCTTGATTACTTATAGGAATCCCAATATCCCTGTGGCTACTGGAAAGGGTCCTTGGGTGCCCTGGCTCACCTCGAGAAGCGTCCCTTTTGCCCTGCCAAGCCTCGAAGAGATTGCTGAGGTGTCCCTCGTTACTAGACAGGAGTCCTGACGTCACTGAAGAAACTCGTGTTTTGAAGGGCCATCCCCGCCGTAAGTCGAGAATATACCCCAGGTCCCCGCCGCAACTCGAGAAAAACCATGAGATTTCCCCCTAGAGGCGAGATGAGGCCCCATTCCCCTGCAGTGCATGCAGAGCTATTCCCTGATCCCATTCAAACAAGTCAGGAGCTTCGACTTGCTTAATGGATCTCGAGGCAGTCCCCAAGAACACTGTCACCAGTCTAGACGGACCCTGAGGTCAACCAGCAATGCAAAGCAGCTCCTTGTGCCCCAAATCAACTCGAGATGAGGCCGGATTCCCCTGCATTGACTCCAGAGCCATTCCTTGTTCCCCATTCAACACGACCGGTGGCTCGACTTCCTTCAGGCAACTCCAGAGATGACCCGAGAACACTGTCCCAAGTCTAGAGGACCAACAACTTCGGCACAGCAACTCGAGGAATGCTCCGTGTACCCCAAATCGTCTCGAGATGAGAGCTGATTCCCTGGCTTAGGCTCAAGACGTATGCCACCTTTCCAGAAGCACCTCAGGAGGAGGCTTCTCAGCAATAGGTATGTGGGAGGGACTCCGAGTTTGCTGCCTCAAGGGCAATATACAGCGAGAAGCCCTAACTTGAAAGGAGGCCGGATTTCCTTGCAGTAGCTTGAATACAGGCTTGTCTTTCATCTCACAACATGAAGGGATGTCTGAATCCCCTGTGGAGACCTTAGAGAAAGCCCTAGGTCCCTGCCTCATTTTGACGGAATGCCTCACATCCCGCTGACACCTCGAGAGTCACGCGGAGTTCATTGCTTCAAAAGGTGACGATGCATGACTCCTCTTGATTACTTATAGGAATCCCAAAATCCCTGTGGCTACTGGAAAGGGTCCTTGGGTGCCCTGGCTCACCTCGAGAAGCGTCCCTTTTGCCCTGCCAAGCCTCGAAGAGATTCCTGAGGTGTCCCTCGTTACTAGGCAGGAGTCCTGACGTCACTGAAGAAACTCGTATTTTGAAGGGCCATCCCCGCCACAAGTCGAGACCATACCCCAGGTCCCCGCCGCAACTCGAGAAAAACCATGAGACTTCCCCCTAGAGGCGAGATGAGGCCCCATTCCCCTGCAGTGCATGCAGAGCTATTCCGTGATCCCATTCAAACAAGTCAGGAGCTTCGACTTGCTTAATGGATCTCGAGAGAGTCCCCAAGAACACTGTCACCAGTCTAGACGGACCCTGAGGTCACCCAGCAATGCAAAGCAGCTCCATGTGCCCCAAATCAACTCGAGATGAGGCCGGATTCCCCTGCATTGACTCCAGAGCCATTCCTTGTTCCCCATTCAACACGACCGGTGGCTCGACTTCCTTCAGGCAACTCCAGAGATGCCCCGAGAACACTGTCCCAAGTCTAGAGGACCACCAACTTCAGCACAGCAACTCGAGGAATGATCTGTGTACCCCAAATCGTCTCGAGATGAGAGCTGATTCCCTGGCTTAGGCTCAAGACGTATGCCACCTTTCCAGAAGCACCTCAGGAGGAGGCTTCTCTCAGTAATAGGTATGTGGGAGGGACCCCGAGTTTGCTGCCTCAAGGGGAATATACAGCGAGAAGCCCTAACTTGAAAGGAGGCCGGATTTCCATGCAGTGGCTTGAATACAGGCTCGTCTTTCATCTCACAACATGAAGGGATGTCTGATTCCCCTGTGGAGACCTTAGAGAAAGCCCTAGGTCCCTGCCTCATTTTGATGGAATCCTCACATCCAGCTGACACGTCGAGAGGCACGCGGAGTTCATTGCTTCAAAAGGTGACGATGCATGACTCCTCTTGATTACTTATAGGAATCCCAAAATCCCTGTGGCTACTGGAAAGGGTCCTTGGGTGCCCTGGCTCACCTCGAGAAGCGTCCCTTTTGCCCTGCCAAGCCTCGAAGAGATTGCTGAGGTGTCCCTCGTTACTAGACAGGAGTCCTGACGTCACTGAAGAAACTCGTGTTTTGAAGGGCCATCCCCGCCGTAAGTCGAGAACATACCCCAGGTCCCCGCCGCAACTCGAGAAAAACCATGAGACTTCCCCCTAGAGGCGAGATGAGGCCCCATTCCCCTGCAGTGCATGCAGAGCTATTCCGTGATCCCATTCAAACAAGTCAGGAGCTTCGACTTGCTTAATGGATCTCGAGACAGTCCCCAAGAACACTGTCACCAGTCTAGACGGACCATGAGGTCAACCAGCAATGCAAAGCAGCTCCATGTGCCCCAAATCAACTCGAGATGAGGCCGGATTACCCTGCATTGACACCAGAGCCATTCCTTGTTCCCCATTCAACACGACCGGTGGCTCGACTTCCTTCAGGCAACTCCAGAGATGACCGGAAAACACTGTCCCAAGTCTAGAGGACCACCAACTTCGGCACAGCAACTCGAGGAATGCTCAGTGTACCCCAAATCGTCTCGAGATGAGAGCTGATTCCCTGGCTTAGGCTCAAGACGTATGCCACCTTTCCAGAAGCACCTCAGGAGGAGGCTTCTCTCAGCAATAGGTATGTGGGAGGGACCCCGAGTTTGCTGCCTCAAGTGGAATATACAGCGAGAAGCCCTAACTTGAAAGGAGGCCGGATTTCCTTGCAGTGGCTTGAATACAGGCTCGTCTTTCATCTCACAACATGAAGGGATGTCTGAATCCCCTGTGGATACCTTAGAGAAAGCCCTAGGTCCCTGCCTCATTTTGACGGAATCCTCACATCCCGGTGACACCTCGAGAGGCACGCGGTGTTCATTGCTTCAAAAGGTGACGATGCCTGACTCCTCTTGAATACTTATAGGAATCCCAAAATCCCTGTGGCTACTGGAAAGGGTCCTTGGGTGCCCTGGCTCACCTCGAGAAGCGTCCCTTTTGCCCTGCCAAGCCTCGAAGAGATTGCTGAGGTGTCCCTCGTTACGAGGCAGGAGTCCTGATGTCACTGAAGAAACTCGTGTTTTGAAGGGCCATCCCCGCCGTAAGTCGAGAACATACCCCAGGTCCCCGCCGCAACTCGAGAAAAACCATGAGACTTCCCCCTAGAGGCGAGATGAGGCCCCATTCCCCTGCAGTGCATGCAGAGCTATTCCGTGATCCCATTCAGACAAGTCAGGAGCTTCGACTTGCTTAATGGATCTCGAGGCAGTCCCCAAGAACACTGTCACCAGTCTAGATGGACCCTGAGGTCACCCCAGCAACGCAAAGCAGCTCCAGGTGCCACAAATCAACTCGAGATGAGGCCCGATTCCCCTGCATTGACTCCAGAGCCATTCCCCGTTCCCCATTCAACACGACCGGTGGCTCGACTTCCTTCATGTAACTCTGGAGATGCCCAGAGAACACTGTCCCAAGTCTAGAGGAACACCAACTTCAGCACAGCAACTCGAGGAATGCTCTGTGTACCCCAAATCGTCTCGAGATGAGAGCTGAATCCCTGGCTTAGGCTCAAGACGTATGCCAACTTTCCAGAAGCACCTCAGGAGGAGGCTTCTCTCAACAATAGGTATGTGGGAGGGACTCCGAGTTTGCTGCCTCAAGGGGAATATACAGCGAGAAGCCCTAACTTGAAAGGAGGCCGGATTTCCTTGCAGTGGCTTGAATACAGGCTCGTCTTTCATCTCACAACATGAAGGGATGTCTGAATCCCCTGTGGAGACCTTAGAGAAAGCCCTAGGTCCCTGCCTCATTTTGACGGAATCCTCACATCCCGCTGACACCTCGAGAGGCACGCGGAGTTCATTGCTTCAAAAGGTGACGATGCCTGACTCCTCTTGAATACTGATAGGAATCCCAAAATCCCTGTTGCTACTGGAAAGGGTCCTTGGGTGCCCTGGCTCACCTCGAGAAGCGTCCCTTTTGCCCTGCCAAGCCTCGAAGAGATTGCTGAGGTGTCCCTCGTTACTAGACAGGAGTCCTGACGTCACGGAAGAAACTCGTGTTTTGAAGGGCCATCCCCGCCGTAAGTCGAGAACATACCCCAGGTCCCCGCCGCAACTCGAGAAAAACCATGAGACTTCCCCCTAGAGGCGAGATGAGTCCCCATTCCCCTGCAGTGCATGCAGAGCTATTCCGTGATCCCATTCAAACAAGTCAGGAGCTTCGACTTGCTTAATGGATCTCGAGGCAGTCCCCAAGAACACTGTCACCAGTCTAGACGGAACCTGAGGTCACCCCAGCAACGCAAAGCAGCTCCAGGTGCCACAAATCAACTCGAGATGAGGCCCGATTCCCCTGCATTGACTCCAGAGCCATTCCCCGTTCCCCATTCAACACGACCGGTGGCTCGACTTCCTTCAGGCAACTCCAGAGATGCCCCGAGAACACTGTCCCAAGTCTAGAGGAACACCAACTTCAGCACAGCAACTCGAAGAATGATCTGTGTACCCCAAATCGTCTCGAGATGAGAGCTGATTCCCTGGCTTAGGCTCAAGACGTATGCCAACTTTCCAGAAGCACCTCAGGAGGAGGCTTCTCAGCAATAGGTATGTGGGAGGGACCCCGAGTTTGCTGCCTCAAGGGGAATATACAGCGAGAAGCCCTAACTTGAAAGGAGGCCGGATTTCCTTGCAGTGGCTTGAATACAGGCTCGTCTTTCATCTCACAACATGAAGGGATGTCTGAATCCCCTGTGGAGACCTTAGAGAAAGCCCTAGGTCCCTGCCTCATTTTGACGGAATCCTCACATCCCGCTGACACCTCGAGAGGCACGCGGAGTTCATTGCTTCAAAAGGTGACGATGCCTGACTCCTCTTGAATACTGATAGGAATCCCAAAATCCCTGTGGCTGCTGGAAAGGGTCCTTGGGTGCCCTGGCTCACCTCGAGAAGCGTCCCTTTTGCCCTGCCAAGCCTCGAAGAGATTGCTGAGGTGTCCCTCGTTACTAGACAGGAGTCCTGACGTCACGGAAGAAACTCGTGTTTTGAAGGGCCATCCCCGCCGTAAGTCGAGAACGTACCCCAGGTCCCCGCCGCAACTCGAGAAAAACCATGAGACTTCCCCCTAGAGGCGAGATGAGGCCCCATTCCCCTGCAGTGCATGCAGAGCTATTCCGTGATCCCATTCAAACAAGTCAGGAGCTTCGACTTGCTTAATGGATATCGAGACAGTCCCCAAGAACACTGTCACCAGTCTAGTCGGACCCTGAGGTCACCCAGCAATGCAAAGCAGCTCCATGTGCCCCAAATCAACTCGAGATGAGGCCGGATTCCCCTGCATTGACTCCAGAGCCATTCCTTGTTCCCCATTCAACACGACCGGTGGCTCGACTTCCTTCAGGCAACTCCAGAGATGCCCCGAGAACACTGTCCCAAGTCTAGAGGAACACCAACTTCAGCACAGCAACTCGAGGAATGCTCTGTGTACCCCAAATCGTCTCGAGATGAGAGCTGAATCCCTGGCTTAGGCTCAACGTATGCCAACTTTCCAGAAGCACCTCAGGAGGAGGCTTCTCTCAACAATAGGTATGTGGGAGGGACTCCGAGTTTGCTGCCTCAAGGGGAACATACAGCGAGAAGCCCTAACTTGAAAGGAGGCCGGATTTCCTTGCAGTGGCTTGAATACAGGCTCGTCTTTCATCTCACAACATGAAGGGATGTCTGAATCCCCTGTGGAGACCTTAGAGAAAGCCCTAGGTCCCTGCCTCATTTTGACGGAATCCTCACATCCCGCTGACACCTCGAGAGGCACGCGGAGTTCATTGCTTCAAAAGGTGACGATGCCTGACTCCTCTTGAATACTGATAGGAATCCCAAAATCCCTGTTGCTACTGGAAAGGGTCCTTGGGTGCCCTGGCTCACCTCGAGAAGCGTCCCTTTTGCCCTGCCAAGCCTCGAAGAGATTGCTGAGGTGTCCCTCGTTACTAGACAGGAGTCCTGACGTCACGGAAGAAACTCGTGTTTTGAAGGGCCATCCCCGCCGTAAGTCGAGAACATACCCCAGGTCCCCGCCGCAACTCGAGAAAAACCATGAGACTTCCCCCTAGAGGCGAGATGAGTACCCATTCCCCTGCAGTGCATGCAGAGCTATTGGGTGATCCCATTCAAACAAGTCAGGAGCTTCGACTTGCTTAATGGATCTCGAGGCAGTCCCCAAGAACACTGTCACCAGTCTAGACGGAACCTGAGGTCACCCCAGCAACGCAAAGCAGCTCCAGGTGCCACAAATCAACTCGAGATGAGGCCCGATTCCCCTGCATTGACTCCAGAGCCATTCCCCGTTCCCCATTCAACACGACCGGTGGCTCGACTTCCTTCAGGCAACTCCAGAGATGCCCCGAGAACACTGTCCCAAGTCTTTAGGAACACCAACTTCAGCACAGCAACTCGAGGAATGATCTGTGTACCCCAAATCGTCTCGAGATGAGAGCTGATTCCCTGGCTTAGGCTCAAGACGTATGCCAACTTTCCAGAAGCACCTCAGGAGGAGGCTTCTCAGCAATAGGTATGTGGGAGGGACTCCGAGTTTGCTGCCTCAAGGGCAATATACAGCGAGAAGCCCTAACTTGAAAGGAGGCCGGATTTCCTTGCAGTAGCTTGAATACAGGCTTGTCTTTCATCTCACAACATGAAGGGATGTCTGAATCCCCTGTGGAGACCTTAGAGAAAGCCCTAGGTCCCTGCCTCATTTTGACGGAATGCCTCACATCCCGCTGACACCTCGAGAGGCACGCGGAGTTCATTGCTTCAAAAGGTGACGATGCATGACTCCTCTTGATTACTTATAGGAATCCCAAAATCCCTGTGGCTACTGGAAAGGGTCCTTGGGTGCCCTGGCTCACCTCGAGAAGCGTCCCTTTTGCCCTGCCAAGCCTCGAAGAGATTCCTGAGGTGTCCCTCGTTACTAGGCAGGAGTCCTGACGTCACTGAAGAAACTCGTATTTTGAAGGGCCATCCCCGCCGTAAGTCGAGAACATACCCCAGGTCCCCGCCGCAACTCGAGAAAAACCATGAGACTTCCCCCTAGAGGCGAGATGAGGCCCCATTCCCCTGCAGTGCATGCAGAGCTATTCCGTGATCCCATTCAAACAAGTCAGGAGCTTCGACTTGCTTAATGGATCTCGAGACAGTCCCCAAGAACACTGTCACCAGTCTAGACGGACCCTGAGGTCACCCAGCAATGCAAAGCAGCTCCATGTGCCCCAAATCAACTCGAGATGAGGCCGGATTCCCCTGCATTGACTCCAGAGCCATTCCTTGTTCCCCATTCAACACGACCGGTGGCTCGACTTCCTTCAGGCAACTCCAGAGATGCCCCGAGAACACTGTCCCAAGTCTAGAGGACCACCAACTTCAGCACAGCAACTCGAGGAATGCTCTGTGTACCCCAAAACGTCTCGAGATGAGAGCTGATTCCCTGGCTTAGGCTCAAGACGTATGCCACCTTTCCAGAAGCACCTCAGGAGGAGGCTTCTCTCAGTAATAGGTATGTGGGAGGGACCCCGAGTTTGCTGCCTCAAGGGGAATATACAGCGAGAAGCCCTAACTTGAAAGGAGGCCGGATTTCCATGCAGTGGCTTGAATACAGGCTCGTCTTTCATCTCACAACATGAAGGGATGTCTGATTCCCCTGTGGAGACCTTAGAGAAAGCCCTAGGTCCCTGCCTCATTTTGATGGAATCCTCACATCCCGCTGACACGTCGAGAGGCACGCGGAGTTCATTGCTTCAAAAGGTGACGATGCATGACTCCTCTTGATTACTTATAGGAATCCCAAAATCCCTGTGGCTACTGGAAAGGGTCCTTGGGTGCCCTGGCTCACCTCGAGAAGCGTCCCTTTTGCCCTGCCAAGCCTCGAAGAGATTGCTGAGGTGTCCCTCGTTACTAGACAGGAGTCCTGACGTCACTGAAGAAACTCGTGTTTTGAAGGGCCATCCCCGCCGTAAGTCGAGAACATACCCCAGGTCCCCGCCGCAACTCGAGAAAAACCATGAGACTTCCCCCTAGAGGCGAGATGAGGCCCCATTCCCCTGCAGTGCATGCAGAGCTATTCCCTGATCCCATTCAAACAAGTCAGGAGCTTCGACTTGCTTAATGGATCTCGAGACAGTCCCCAAGAACACTGTCACCAGTCTAGACGGACCCTGAGGTCAACCAGCAATGCAAAGCAGCTCCATGTGCCCCAAATCAACTCGAGATGAGGCCGGATTCCCCTGCATTGACTCCAGAGCCATTCCTTGTTCCCCATTCAACACGACCGGTGGCTCGACTTCCTTCAGGCAACTCCAGAGATGACCCGAGAACACTGTCCCAAGTCTAGAGGACCACCAACTTCAGCACAGCAACTCGAGGAATGCTCCGTGTACCCCAAATCGTCTCGAGATGAGAGCTGATTCCCTGGCTTAGGCTCAAGACGTATGCCACCTTTCCAGAAGCACCTCAGGAGGAGGCTTCTCTCAGCAATAGGTATGTGGGAGGGACTCCGAGTTTGCTGCCTCAAGGGGAATATACAGCGAGAAGCCCTAACTTGAAAGGAGGCCGGATTTCCTTGCAGTGGCTTGAATACAGGCTCGTCTTTCATCTCACAACATGAAGGGATGTCTGAATCCCCTGTGGAGACCTTAGAGAAAGCCCTAGGTCCCTGCCTCATTTTGACGGAATCCTCACATCCCGCTGACACCTCGAGAGGCACGCGGAGTTCATTGCTTCAAAAGGTGACGATGCCTGACTCCTCTTGAATACTGATAGGAATCCCAAAATCCCTGTGGCTACTGGAAAGGGTCCTTGGGTGCCCTGGCTCACCTCGAGAAGCGTCCCTTTTGCCCTGCCAAGCCTCGAAGAGATTGCTGAGGTGTCCCTAGTTACTAGACAGGAGTCCTGACGTCACGGAAGAAACTCGTGTTTTGAAGGGCCATCCCCGCCGTAAGTCGAGAACATACCCCAGGTCCCCGCCGCAACTCGAGAAAAACCATGAGACTTCCCCCTAGAGGCGAGATGAGGCCCCATTCCCCTGCAGTGCATGCAGAGCTATTCCGTGATCCCATTCAAACAAGTCAGGAGCTTCGACTTGCTTAATGGATATCGAGACAGTCCCCAAGAACACTGTCACCAGTCTAGTCGGACCCTGAGGTCACCCAGCAATGCAAAGCAGCTCCATGTGCCCCAAATCAACTCGAGATGAGGCCGGATTCCCCTGCATTGACTCCAGAGCCATTCCTTGTTCCCCATTCAACACGACCGGTGGCTCGACTTCCTTCAGGCAACTCCAGAGATGCCCCGAGAACACTGTCCCAAGTCTAGAGGACCACCAACTTCAGCACAGCAACTCGAGGAATGCTCTGTGTACCCCAAATCGTCTCGAGATGAGAGCTGATTCCCTGGCTTAGGCTCAAGACGTATGCCACCTTTCCAGAAGCACCTCAGGAGGAGGCTTCTGTCAGCAATAGGTATGTGGGAGGGACCCCGAGTTTGCTGCCTCAAGGGGAATATACAGCGAGAAGCCCTAACTTGAAAGGAGGCCGGATTTCCTTGCAGTGGCTTGAATACAGGCTTGTCTTTCATCTCACAACATGAAGGGATGTCTGAATCCCCTGTGAAGACCTTAGAGAAAGCCCTAGGTCCCTGCCTCATTTTGACGGAATGCCTCACATCTCGCTGACAACTCGAGAGGCACGCGGAGTACATTGCTTCAAAAGGTGACGATGCCTGACTCCTCTTGAATACTGATAGGAATCCCAAAATCCCTGTGGCTACTGGAAAGGGTCCTTGGGTGCCCTGGCTCACCTCGAGAAGCGTCCCTTTTGCCCTGCCAAGCCTCGAAGAGATTGCTGATGTGTCCCTCGTTACTAGACAGGAGTCCTGACGTCACTGAAGAAACTCGTGTTTTGAAGAGCCATCCACGCCGTAAGTCGAGAACATACCCCAGGTCTCCGCCGCAACTCGAGAAAAACCATGAGACTTCCCCCTAGAGGCGAGATGAGGCCCCATTCCCCTGCAGTGCATGCAGAGCTATTCCGTGATCCCATTCAAACAAGTCAGGAGCTTCGACTTGCTTAATGGATCTCGAGACAGTCCCCAAGAACACTGTCACCAGTCTAGACGGACCCTGAGGTCACCCAGCAATGCAAAGCAGCTCCATGTGCCCCAAATCAACTCGAGATGAGGCCGGATTCCCCTGCATTGACTCCAGAGCCATTCCTTGTTCCCCATTCAACACGACCGGTGGCTCGACTTCCTTCAGGCAACTCCAGAGATGCCCCGAGAACACTGTCCCAAGTCTAGAGGACCACCAACTTCAGCACAGCAACTCGAGGAATGCTCAGTGTACCCCAAATCGTCTCGAGATGAGAGCTGATTCCCTGGCTTAGGCTCAAGACGTATGCCACCTTTCCAGAAGCACCTCAGGAGGAGGCTTCTCTCAGCAATAGGAATGTGGGAGGGACCCCGAGTTTGCTGCCTCAAGGGGAATATACAGCGAGAAGCCCTAACTTGAAAGGAGGCCGGATTTCCTTGCAGTGGCTTGAATACAGGCTCGTCTTTCATCTCACAACATGAAGGGATGTCTGAATCCCCTGTGGATACCTTAGAGAAAGCCCTAGGTCCCTGCCTCATTTTGACGGAATCCTCACATCCCGCTGACACCTCGAGAGGCACGCGGTGTTCATTGCTTCAAAAGGTGACGATGCCTGACTCCTCTTGAATACTTATAGGAATCCCAAAATCCCTGTGGCTACTGGAAAGGGTCCTTGGGTGCCCTGGCTCACCTCGAGAAGCGTCCCTTTTGCCCTGCCAAGCCTCGAAGAGATTGCTGAGGTGTCCCTCGTTACTAGGCAGGAGTCCTGACGTCACTGAAGAAACTCGTGTTTTGAAGGGCCATCCCCGCCGTAAGTCGAGAACATACGCCAGGTCCCCGCCGCAACTCGAGAAAAACCATGAGACTTCCCCCTAGAGGCGAGATGAGGCCCCATTCCCCTGCAGTGCATGCAGAGCTATTCCGTGATCCCATTCAAACAAGTCAGGAGCTTCGACTTGCTTAATGGATCTCGAGGCAGTCCCCAAGAACACTGTCACCAGTCTAGACGGAACCTGAGGTCACCCCAGCAACGCAAAGCAGCTCCAGGTGCCACAAATCAACTCGAGATGAGGCCCGATTCCCCTGCATTGACTCCAGAGCCATTCCCCGTTCCCCATTCAACACGACCGGTGGCTCACCTTCCTTCAGGCAACTCCAGAGATGACCCGAGAACACTGTCCCAAGTCTAGAGGAACACCAACTTCAGCACAGCAACTCGAGGAATGATCTGTGTACCCCAAATCGTCTCGAGATGAGAGCTGATTCCCTGGCTTAGGCTCAAGACGTATGCCAACTTTCCAGAAGCACCTCAGGAGGAGGCTTCTCAGCAATAGGTATGTGGGAGGGACTCCGAGTTTGCTGCCTCAAGGGCAATATACAGCGAGAAGCCCTAACTTGAAAGGAGGCCGGATTTCCTTGCAGTAGCTTGAATACAGGCTTGTCTTTCATCTCACAACATGAAGGGATGTCTGAATCCCCTGTGGAGACCTTAGAGAAAGCCCTAGGTCCCTGCCTCATTTTGACGGAATGCCTCACATCCCGCAAACACCTCGAGAGGCACGCGGAGTTCATTGCTTCAAAAGGTGACGATGCATGACTCCTCTTGATTACTTATAGGAATCCCAAAATCCCTGTGGCTACTGGCAAGGGTCCTTGGGTGCCCTGGCTCACCTCGAGAAGCGTCCCTTTTGCCCTGCCAAGCCTCGAAGAGATTGCTGAGGTGTCCCTCGTTACTAGGCAGGAGTCCTGACGTCACTGAAGAAACTCGTGTTTTGAAGGGCCATCCCCGCCGTAAGTCGAGAACATACGCCCGGTCCCCGCCGCAACTCGAGAAAAACCATGAGACTTCCCCCTAGAGGCGAGATGAGGCCCCATTCCCCTGCAGTGCATGCAGAGCTATTCCGTGATCCCATTCAAACAAGTCAGGAGCTTCGACTTGCTTAATGGATATCGAGACAGTCCCCAAGAACACTCTCACCAGTCTAGTCGGACCCTGAGGTCACCCAGCAATGCAAAGCAGCTCCATGTGCCCCAAATCAACTCGAGATGAGGCCGGATTCCCCTGCATTGACTCCAGAGCCATTCCTTGTTCCCCATTCAACACGACCGGTGGCTCGACTTCCTTCAGGCAACTCCAGAGATGCCCCGAGAACACTGTCCCAAGTCTAGAGGACCACCAACTTCAGCACAGCAACTCGAGGAATGCTCTGTGTACCCCAAATCGTCTCGAGATGAGAGCTGATTCCCTGGCTTAGGCTCAAGACGTATGCCACCTTTCCAGAAGCACCTCAGGAGGAGGCTTCTGTCAGCAATAGGTATGTGGGAGGGACCCCGAGTTTGCTGCCTCAAGGGGAATATACAGCGAGAAGCCCTAACTTGAAATTAGGCCGGATTTCCTTGCAGTGGCTTGAATACAGGCTCGTCTTTCATCTCACAACATGAAGGGATGTCTGAATCCCCTGTGAAGACCTTAGAGAAAGCCCTAGGTCCCTGCCTCATTTTGACGGAATGCCTCACATCCCGCTGACAACTCGAGAGGCACGCGGAGTACATTGCTTCAAAAGGTGACGATGCCTGACTCCTCTTGAATACTTATAGGAATCCCAAAATCCCTGTGGCTACTGGAAAGGGTCCTTGGGTGCCCTGGCTCACCTCGAGAAGCGTCCCTTTTGCCCTGCCAAGCCTCGAAGAGATTGCTGAGGTGTCCCTCGTTACTAGGCAGGAGTCCTGACGTCACTGAAGAAACTCGTGTTTTGAAGGGCCATCCCCGCCGTAAGTCGAGAACATACCCCAGGTCCCCGCCGCAACTCGAGAAAAACCATGAGACTTCCCCCTAGAGGCGAGATGAGGCCCCATTCCCCTGCAGTGCATGCAGAGCTATTCCGTGATCCCATTCAAACAAGTCAGGAGCTTCGACTTGCTTAATGGATCTCGAGGCAGTCCCCAAGAACACTGTCACCAGTCTAGATGGACCCTGAGGTCACCCCAGCAAAGCAAAGCAGCTCCAGGTGCCACAAATCAACTCGAGATGAGGCCCGATTCCCCTGCATTGACTCCAGAGCCATTCCCCGTTCCCCATTCAACACGACCGGTGGCTCGACTTCCTTCATGCAACTCTGGAGATGCCCAGAGAACACTGTCCCAAGTCTAGAGGAACACCAACTTCAGCACAGCAACTCGAGGAATGCTCTGTGTACCCCAAATCGTCTCGAGATGAGAGCTGAATCCCTGGCTTAGGCTCAAGACGTATGCCAACTTTCCAGAAGCACCTCAGGAGGAGGCTTCTCTCAACAATAGGTATGTGGGAGGGACTCCGAGTTTGCTGCCTCAAGGGGAATATACAGCGAGAAGCCCTAACTTGAAAGGAGGCCGGATTTCCTTGCAGTGGCTTGAATACAGGCTCGTCTTTCATCTCACAACATGAAGGGATGTCTGAATCCCCTGTGGAGACCTTAGAGAAAGCCCTAGTCCCTGCCTCATTTTGACGGAATCCTCACATCCCGCTGACACCTCGAGAGGCACGCGGAGTTCATTGCTTCAAAAGGTGACGATGCCTGACTCCTCTTGATTACTTATAGGAATCCCAAAATCCCTGTGGCTACTGGAAAGAGTCCTTGGGTGCCCTGGCTCACCTCGAGAAGCGTCCCTTTTGCCCTGCCAAGCCTCGAAGAGATTGCTGAGGTGTCCCTCGTTACTAGACAGGAGTCCTGACGTCACTGAAGAAACTCGTGTTTTGAAGGGCCATCCCCGCCGTAAGTCGAGAACATACCCCAGGTCCCCGCCGCAACTCGAGAAAAACCATGAGACTTCCCCCTAGAGGCGAGATGAGGCCCCATTCCCCTGCAGTGCATGCAGAGCTATTCCGTGATCCCATTCAAACAAGTCAGGAGCTTCGACTTGCTTAATGGATCTCGAGGCAGTCCCCAAGAACACTGTCACCAGTCTAGACGGAACCTGAGGTCACCCCAGCAACGCAAAGCAGCTCCAGGTGCCACAAATCAACTCGAGATGAGGCCCGATTCCCCTGCATTGACTCCAGAGCCATTCCCCGTTCCCCATTCAACACGACCGGTGGCTCGCCTTCCTTCAGGCAACTCCAGAGATGCCCCGAGAACACTGTCCCAAGTCTAGAGGAACACCAACTTCAGCACAGCAACTCGAGGAATGATCTGTGTACCCCAAATCGTCTCGAGATGAGAGCTGATTCCCTGGCTTAGGCTCAAGACGTATGCCAACTTTCCAGAAGCACCTCAGGAGGAGGCTTCTCAGCAATAGGTATGTGGGAGGGACTCCGAGTTTGCTGCCTCAAGGGCAATATACAGCGAGAATCCCTAACTTGAAAGGAGGCCGGATTTCCTTGCAGTAGCTTGAATACAGGCTTGTCTTTCATCTCACAACATGAAGGGATGTCTGAATCCCCTTTGGAGACCTTAGAGAAAGCCCTAGGTCCCTGCCTCATTTTGACGGAATGCCTCACATCCCGCTGACACCTCGAGAGGCACGCGGAGTTCATTGCTTCAAAAGGTGACGATGCATGACTCCTCTTGATTACTTATAGGAATCCCAAAATCCCTGTGGCTACTGGCAAGGGTCCTTGGGTGCCCTGGCTCACCTCGAGAAGCGTCCCTTTTGCCCTGCCAAGCCTCGAAGAGATTCCTGAGGTGTCCCTCGTTACTAGGCAGGAGTCCTGACGTCACGGAAGAAACATTAATTTTGAAGGGCCATCCCCGCCGTAAGTCGAGAACATACCCCAGGTCCCCGCCGCAACTCGAGAAAAACCATGAGACTTCCCCCTAGAGGCGAGATGAGGCCCCATTCCCCTGCAGTGCATGCAGAGCTATTCCGTGATCCCATTCAAACAAGTCAGGAGCTTCGACTTGCTTAATGGATCTCGAGACAGTCCCCAAGAACACTGTCACCAGTCTAGACGGACCCTGAGGTCACCCAGCAATGCAAAGCAGCTCCATGTGCCCCAAATCAACTCGAGATGAGGCCGGATTCCCCTGCATTGACTCCAGAGCCATTCCTTGTTCCCCATTCAACACGACCGGTGGCTCGACTTCCTTCAGGCAACTCCAGAGATGCCCCGAGAACACTGTCCCAAGTCTAGAGGACCACCAACTTCAGCACAGCAACTCGAGGAATGCTCTGTGTACCCCAAATCGTCTCGAGATGAGAGCTGATTCCCTGGCTTAGGCTCAAGACGTATGCCACCTTTCCAGAAGCACCTCAGGAGGAGGCTTCTCTCAGCAATAGGTATGTGGGAGGGACTCCGAGTTTGCTGCCTCAAGGGGAATATACAGCGAGAAGCCCTAACTTGAAAGGAGGCCGGATTTCCTTGCAGTGGCTTGAATACAGGCTCGTCTTTCATCTCACAACATGAAGGGATGTCTGAATCCCCTGTGGAGACCTTAGAGAAAGCCCTAGTCCCTGCCTCATTTTGACGGAATCCTCACATCCCGCTGACACCTCGAGAGGCACGCGGAGTTCATTGCTTCAAAAGGTGACGATGCCTGACTCCTCTTGATTACTTATAGGAATCCCAAAATCCCTGTGGCTACTGGAAAGAGTCCTTGGGTGCCCTGGCTCACCTCGAGAAGCGTCCCTTTTGCCCTGCCAAGCCTCGAAGAGATTGCTGAGGTGTCCCTCGTTACTAGACAGGAGTCCTGACGTCACTGAAGAAACTCGTGTTTTGAAGGGCCATCCCCGCCGTAAGTCGAGAACATACCCCAGGTCCCCGCCGCAACTCGAGAAAAACCATGAGACTTCCCCCTAGAGGCGAGATGAGGCCCCATTCCCCTGCAGTGCATGCAGAGCTATTCCGTGATCCCATTCAAACAAGTCAGGAGCCTCGACTTGCTTAATGGATCTCGAGGCAGTCCCCAAGAACACTGTCACCAGTCTAGACGGAACCTGAGGTCACCCCAGCAACGCAAAGCAGCTCCAGGTGCCACAAATCAACTCGAGATGAGGCCCGATTCCCCTGCATTGACTCCAGAGCCATTCCCCGTTCCCCATTCAACACGACCGGTGGCTCGCCTTCCTTCAGGCAACTCCAGAGATGCCCCGAGAACACTGTCCCAAGTCTAGAGGAACACCAACTTCAGCACAGCAACTCGAGGAATGATCTGTGTACCCCAAATCGTCTCGAGATGAGAGCTGATTCCCTGGCTTAGGCTCAAGACGTATGCCAACTTTCCAGAAGCACCTCAGGAGGAGGCTTCTCAGCAATAGGTATGTGGGAGGGACTCCGAGTTTGCTGCCTCAAGGGCAATATACAGCGAGAATCCCTAACTTGAAAGGAGGCCGGATTTCCTTGCAGTAGCTTGAATACAGGCTTGTCTTTCATCTCACAACATGAAGGGATGTCTGAATCCCCTTTGGAGACCTTAGAGAAAGCCCTAGGTCCCTGCCTCATTTTGACGGAATGCCTCACATCCCGCTGACACCTCGAGAGGCACGCGGAGTTCATTGCTTCAAAAGGTGACGATGCATGACTCCTCTTGATTACTTATAGGAATCCCAAAATCCCTGTGGCTACTGGCAAGGGTCCTTGGGTGCCCTGGCTCACCTCGAGAAGCGTCCCTTTTGCCCTGCCAAGCCTCGAAGAGATTCCTGAGGTGTCCCTCGTTACTAGGCAGGAGTCCTGACGTCACGGAAGAAACATTAATTTTGAAGGGCCATCCCCGCCGTAAGTCGAGAACATACCCCAGGTCCCCGCCGCAACTCGAGAAAAACCATGAGACTTCCCCCTAGAGGCGAGATGAGGCCCCATTCCCCTGCAGTGCATGCAGAGCTATTCCGTGATCCCATTCAAACAAGTCAGGAGCTTCGACTTGCTTAATGGATCTCGAGACAGTCCCCAAGAACACTGTCACCAGTCTAGACGGACCCTGAGGTCACCCAGCAATGCAAAGCAGCTCCATGTGCCCCAAATCAACTCGAGATGAGGCCGGATTCCCCTGCATTGACTCCAGAGCCATTCCTTGTTCCCCATTCAACACGACCGGTGGCTCGACTTCCTTCAGGCAACTCCAGAGATGCCCCGAGAACACTGTCCCAAGTCTAGAGGACCACCAACTTCAGCACAGCAACTCGAGGAATGCTCTGTGTACCCCAAATCGTCTCGAGATGAGAGCTGATTCCCTGGCTTAGGCTCAAGACGTATGCCACCTTTCCAGAAGCTCCTCAGGAGGATTCTTCTCTCAGTAATAGGTATGTGGGAGGGACCCCGAGTTTGCTGCCTCAAGGGGAATATACAGCGAGAAGCCCTAACTTGAAAGGAGGCCGGATTTCCATGCAGTGGCTTGAATACAGGCTCGTCTTTCATCTCACAACATGAAGGGATGTCTGAATCCCCTGTGGAGACTTTAGAGAAAGCCCTAGGTCCCTGCCTCATTTTGACGGAATCCTCACATCCCGCTGACACGTCGAGAGGCACGCGGAGTTCATTGCTTCAAAAGGTGACGATGCATGACTCCTCTTGATTACTTATAGGAATCCCAAAATCCCTGTGGCTACTGGAAAGGGTCCTTGGGTGCCCTGCCTCACCTCGAGAAGCGTCCCTTTTGCCCTGCCAAGCCTCGAAGAGATTGCTGAGGTGTCCCTCGTTACTAGACAGGAGTCCTGACGTCACGGAAGAAACTCGTGTTTTGAAGGGCCATCCCCGCCGTAAGTCGAGAACATACCCCAGGTCCCCGCCGCAACTCGAGAAAAACCATGAGACTTCCCCCTAGAGGCGAGATGAGGCCCCATTCCCCTGCAGTGCATGCAGAGCTATTCCGTGATCCCATTCAAACAAGTCAGGAGCTTCGACTTGCTTAATGGATCTCGAGACAGTCCCCAAGAACACTGTCACCAGTCTAGACGGACCCTGAGGTCACCCAGCAATGCAAAGCAGCTCCATGTGCCCCAAATCAACGCGAGATGAGGCCGGATTCCCCTGCATTGACTCCAGAGCCATTCCTTGTTCCCCATTCAACACGACCGGTGGCTCGACTTCCTTCAGGCAACTCCAGAGATGACCCGAGAACACTGTCCCAAGTCTAGAGGACCACCAACTTCAGCACAGCAACTCGAGGAATGCTCAGTGTACCCCAAATCGTCTCGAGATGAGAGCTGATTCCCTGGCTTAGGCTCAAGACGTATGCCACCTTTCCAGAAGCACCTCAGGAGGAGGCTTCTCTCAGCAATAGGTATGTGGGAGGGACCCCGAGTTTGCTGCCTCAAGGGGAATATACAGCGAGAAGCCCTAACTTGAAAGGAGGCCGGATTTCCTTGCAGTGGCTTGAATACAGGCTCGTCTTTCATCTCACAACATGAAGGGATGTCTGAATCCCCTGTGGAGACCTTAGAGAAAGCCCTAGGTCCCTGCCTCATTTTGACTGAATCCTCACATCCCGCTGACACCTCGAGAGGCACGCGGAGTTCATTGCTTCAAAAGGTGAAGATGCCTGACTCCTCTTGAATACTGATAGGAATCCCAAAATCCCTGTTGCTACTGGAAAGGGTCCTTGGGTGCCCTGGCTCACCTCGAGAAGCGTCCCTTTTGCCCTGCCAAGCCTCGAAGAGATTGCTGAGGTGTCCCTCGTTACTAGACAGGAGTCCTGACGTCACGGAAGAAACTCGTGTTTTGAAGGGCCATTCCCGCCGTAAGTCGAGAACATACCCCAGGTCCCCGCCGCAACTCGAGAAAAACCATGAGACTTCCCCCTAGAGGCGAGATGAGGCCCCATTCCCCTGCAGTGCATGCAGAGCTATTCCGTGATCCCATTCAAACAAGTCAGGAGCTTCGACTTGCTTAATGGATATCGAGACAGTCCCCAAGAACACTGTCACCAGTCTAGTCTGACACTGAGGTCACCCAGCAATGCAAAGCAGCTCCATTTGCCCCAAATCAACTCGAGATGAGGCCCGATTCCGCTGCATTGACTCCAGAGCCATTCCCCGTTCCCCATTCAACACGACCGGTGGCTCGCCTTCCTTCAGGCAACTCCAGAGATGCCCCGAGAACACTGTCCCAAGTCTAGAGGAACACCAACTTCAGCACAGCAACTCGAGGAATGATCTGTGTACCCCAAATCGTCTCGAGATGAGAGCTGATTCCCTGGCTTAGGCTCAAGACGTATGCCAACTTTCCAGAAGCACCTCAGGAGGAGGCTTCTCAGCAATAAGTATGTGGGAGGGACTCCGAGTTTGCTGCCTCAAGGGCAATATACAGCGAGAAGCCCTAACTTGAAAGGAGGCCGGATTTCCTTGCAGTAGCTTGAATACAGGCTTGTCTTTCATCTCACAACATGAAGGGATGTCTGAATCCCCTGTGGAGACCTTAGAGAAAGCCCTAGGTCCCTGCCTCATTTTGACGGAATGCCTCACATCCCGCTGACACCTCGAGAGGCATGCGGAGTTCATTGCTTCAAAAGGTGACGATGCATGACTCCTCTTGATTACTTATAGGAATCCCAAAATCCCTGTGGCTACTGGCAAGGGTCCTTGGGTGCCCTGGCTCACCTCGAGAAGCGTCCCTTTTGCCCTGCCAAGCCTCGACGAGATTCCTGAGGTGTCCCTCGTTACTAGGCAGGAGTCCTGACGTCACTGAAGAAACTCGTATTTTGAAGGGCCATCCCCGCCGTAAGTCGAGAACATACCCCAGGTCCCCGCCGCAACTCGAGAAAAACCATGAGACTTCCCCCTAGAGGCGAGATGAGGCCCCATTCCCCTGCAGTGCATGCAGAGCTATTCCGTGATCCCATTCAAACAAGTCAGGAGCTTCGACTTGCTTAATGGATCTCGAGACAGTCCCCAAGAACACTGTCACCAGTCTAGACGGACCCTGAGGTCACCCAGCAATGCAAAGCAGCTCCATGTGCCCCAAATCAACTCGAGATGAGGCCGGATTCCCCTGCATTGACTCCAGAGCCATTCCTTGTTCCCCATTCAACACGACCGGTGGCTCGACTTCCTTCAGGCAACTCCAGAGATGCCCCGAGAACACTGTCCCAAGTCTAGAGGACCACCAACTTCAGCACAGCAACTCGAGGAATGCTCAGTGTACCCCAAATCGTCTCGATATGAGAGCTGATTCCCTGGCTTAGGCTCAAGACGTATGCCACCTTTCCAGAAGCACCTCAGGAGGAGGCTTCTCTCAGCAATAGGTATGTGGGAGGGACCCCGAGTTTGCTGCCTCAAGGGCAATATACAGCGAGAAGCCCTAACTTGAAAGGAGGCCGGATTTCCTTGCAGTGGCTTGAATACAGGCTCTTCTTTCATCTCACAACATGAAGGGATGTCTGAATCCCCTGTGGATACCTTAGAGAAAGCCCTAGGTCCCTGCCTCATTTTGACGGAATCCTCACATCCCGCTGACACCTCGAGAGGCACGCGGTGTTCATTGCTTCAAAAGGTGACGATGCCTGACTCCTCTTGAATACTTATAGGAATCCCAAAATCCCTGTGGCTACTGGAAAGGGTCCTTGGGTGCCCTGGCTCACCTCGAGAAGCGTCCCTTTTGCCCTGCCAAGCCTCGAAGAGATTGCTGAGGTGTCCCTCGTTACTAGGCAGGAGTCCTGACGTCACTGAAGAAACTCGTGTTTTGAAGGGCCATCCCCGCCGTAAGTCGAGAACATACCCCAGGTCCCCGCTGCAACTCGAGAAAAACCATGAGACTTCCCCCTAGAGGCGAGATGAGGCCCCATTCCCCTGCAGTGCATGCAGAGCTATTCCGTGATCCCATTCAAACAAGTCAGGAGCTTCGACTTGCTTAATGGATCTCGAGGCAGTCCCCAAGAACACTGTCACCAGTCTAGATGGACCCTGAGGTCACCCCAGCAACGCAAAGCAGCTCCAGGTGCCACAAATCAACTCGAGATGAGGCCCGATTCCCCTGCATTGACTCCAGAGCCATTCCCCGTTCCCCATTCAACACGACCGGTGGCTCGACTTCCTTCATGCAACTCTGGAGATGCCCAGAGAACACTGTCCCAAGTCTAGAGGAACACCAACTTCAGCACAGCAACTCGAGGAATGCTCTGTGTACCCCAAATCGTCTCGAGATGAGAGCTGATTCCCTGGCTTAGGCTCAAGACGTATGCCAACTTTCCAGAAGCACCTCAGGAGGAGGCTTCTCAGCAATAGGTATGTGGGAGGGACTCCGAGTTTGCTGCCTCAAGGGCAATATACAGCGAGAAGCCCTAACTTGAAAGGAGGCCGGATTTCCTTGCAGTAGCTTGAATACAGGCTTGTCTTTCATCTCACAACATGAAGGGATGTCTGAATCCCCTGTGGAGACCTTAGAGAAAGCCCTAGGTCCCTGCCTCATTTTGACGGAATGCCTCACATCCCGCTGACACCTCGAGAGGCACGCGGAGTTCATTGCTTCAAAAGGTGACGATGCATGACTCCTCTTGATTACTTATAGGAATCCCAAAATCCCTGTGGCTACTGGCAAGGGTCCTTGGGTGCCCTGGCTCACCTCGAGAAGCGTCCCTTTTGCCCTGCCAAGCCTCGAAGAGATTCCTGAGGTGTCCCTCGTTACTAGGCAGGAGTCCTGACGTCACTGAAGAAACTCGTATTTTGAAGGGCCATCCCCGCCGTAAGTCGAGAACATACCCCAGGTCCCCGCCGCACCTCGAGAAAAACCATGAGACTTCCCCCTAGAGGCGAGATGAGGCCCCATTCCCCTGCAGTGCATGCAGAGCTATTCCGTGATCCCATTCAAACAAGTCAGGAGCTTCGACTTGCTTAATGGATCTCGAGACAGTACCCAAGAACACTGTCACCAGTCTAGACGGACCCTGAGGTCACCCAGCAATGCAAAGCAGCTCCATGTGCCCCAAATCAACTCGAGATGAGGCCGGATTCCCCTGCATTGACTCCAGAGCCATTCCTTGTTCCCCATTCAACACGACCGGTGGCTCGACTTCCTTCAGGCAACTCCAGAGATGCCCCGAGAACACTGTCCCAAGTCTAGAGGACCACCAACTTCAGCACAGCAACTCGAGGAATGCTCTGTGTACCCCAAATCGTCTCGAGATGAGAGCTGATTCCCTGGCTTAGGCTCAAGACGTATGCCACCTTTCCAGAAGCACCTCAGGAGGAGGCTTCTCTCAGTAATAGGTATGTGGGAGGGACCCCGAGTTTGCTGCCTCAAGGGGAATATATAGCGAGAAGCCCTAACTTGAAAGGAGGCCGGATTTCCATGCAGTGGCTTGAATACAGGCTCGTCTTTCATCTCACAACATGAAGGGATGTCTGAATCCCCTGTGGAGACCTTAGAGAAAGCCCTAGGTCCCTGCCTCATTTTGACGGAATCCTCACATCCCGCTGACACCTCGAGAGGCACGCGGAGTTCATTGCTTCAAAAGGTGACGATGCATGACTCCTCTTGATTACTTATAGGAATCCCAAAATCCCTGTGGCTACTGGAAAGGGTCCTTGGGTGCTCTGGCTCACCTCGAGAAGCGTCCCTTTTGCCCTGCCAAGCCTCGAAGAGATTGCTGAGGTGTCCCTCGTTACTAGACAGGAGTCCTGACGTCACTGAAGAAACTCGTGTTTTGAAGGGCCATCCCCGCCGTAAGTCGAGAACATACCCCAGGTCCCCGCCGCAACTCGAGAAAAACCATGAGACTTCCCCCTAGAGGCGAGATGAGGCCCCATTCCCCTGCAGTGCATGCAGAGCTATTCCGTGATCCCATTCAAACAAGTCAGGAGCTTCGACTTGCTTAATGGATCTCGAGACAGTCCCCAAGAACACTGTCACCAGTTTAGACGGACCCTGAGGTCACCCAGCAATGCAAAGCAGCTCCATGTGCCCCAAATCAACTCGAGATGAGGCCGGATTCCCCTGCATTGACTCCAGAGCCATTCCTTGTTCCCCATTCAACACGACCGGTGGCTCGACTTCCTTCAGGCAACTCCAGAGATGCCCCGAGAACACTGTCCCAAGTCTAGAGGACCACCAACTTCAGCACAGCAACACGAGGAATGCTCTGTGTACCCCAAATCGTCTCGAGATGAGAGCTGATTCCCTGGCTTAGGCTCAAGACGTATGCCACCTTTCCAGAAGCACCTCAGGAGGAGGCTTCTCCCAGCAATAGGTATGTGGGAGGGACCCCGAGTTTGCTGCCTCAAGGGGAATATACAGCGAGAAGCCCTAACTTGAAAGGGGGCCGGATTTCCTTGCAGTGGCTTGAATACAGGCTCGTCTTTCATCTCACAACATGAAGGGATGTCTGAATCCCCTGTGGAGACCTTAGAGAAAGCCCTAGGTCCTTGCCTCATTTTGACGGAATCCTCACATCCCGCTGACACCTCGAGAGGCACGCGGAGTTCATTGCTTCAAAAGGTGACGATGCCTGACTCCTCTTGATTACTTATAGGAAGCCCAAAATCCCTGTGGCTACTGGAAAGGGTCCTTGGGGGCCCTGGCTCACCTCGAGAAGCGTCCCTTTTGCCCTGCCAAGCCTCGAAGAGATTGCTGAGGTGTCTCTCGTTACTAGACAGGAGTCCTGACGTCACTGAAGAAACTCGTGTTTTGAAGGGCCATCCCCGCCGTAAGTCGAGAACATACCCCAGGTCCCCACCGCAACTCGAGAAAATCCATGAGACTTCCCCCTAGAGGCGAGATGAGGCCCCATTCCCCTGCAGCGCATGCAGAGCTATTCCGTGATCCCATTCAAACAAGTCAGGAGCTTCGACTTGCTTAATGGATCTCGAGACAGTCCCCAAGAACACTGTCACCAGTCTAGATGGACCCTGAGGTCACCCAGCAATGCAAAGCAGCTCCATGTGCCCCAAATCAACTCGAGATGAGGCCGGATTCCCCTGCATTGACTCCAGAGCCATTCCTTGTTCCCCATTCAACACGACCGGTGGCTCGACTTCCTTCAGGCAACTCCAGAGATGCCCCGAGAACACTGTCCCAAGTCTAGAGGACCACCAACTTCAGCAGAGCAACTCGAGGAATGCTCTGTGTACCCCAAATCGTCTCGAGATGAGAGCTGATTCCCTGGCTTAGGCTCAAGACGTATGCCACCTTTCCAGAAGCACCTCAGGAGGAGGCTTCTCTCAGTAATAGGTATGTGGGAGGGACCCCGAGTTTGCTGCCTCAAGGGGAATATACAGCGAGAAGCCCTAACTTGAAAGGAGGCCGGATTTCCTTGCAGTGGCTTGAATACAGGCTCGTCTTTCATCTCACAACATGAAGGGATGTCTGAATCCCCTGTGCATACCTTAGAGAAAGCCCTAGGTCCCTGCCTCATTTTGACGGAATCCTCACATCCCGCTGACACGTCGAGAGGCACGCGGAGTTCATTGCTTCAAAAGGTGACGATGCCTGACTCCTCTTGATTACTTATAGGAATCCCAAAATCCCTGTGGCTACTGGAAAGGGTCCTTGGGTGCCCTGGCTCACCTCGAGAAGCGTCCCTTTTGCCCTGCCAAGCCTCAAAGAGATTGCTGAGGAGTCCCTCGTTACTAGACAGGAGTCCTGACGTCACTGAAGAAACTCGTGTTTTGAAGGGCCATCCCCGCCGTAAGTCGAGAACATACCCCAGGTCCCCGCCGCAACTCGAGAAAAACCATGAGACTTCCCCCTAGAGGCGAGATGAGGCCCCATTCCCCTGCAGCGCATGCAGAGCTATTCCGTGATCCCATTCAAACAAGTCAGGAGCTTCGACTTGCTTAATGGATCTCGAGACAGTCCCCAAGAACACTGTCACCAGTCTAGACGGACCCTGAGGTCACCCAGCAATGCAAAGCAGCTCCATGTGCCCCAAATCAACTCGAGATGAGGCCGGATTCCCCTGCATTGACTCCAGAGCCATTCCTTGTTCCCCATTCAACACGACCGGTGGCTCGACTTCCTTCAGGCAACTCCAGAGATGCCCCGAGAACACTGTCCCAAGTCTAGAGGACCACCAACTTCAGCACAGCAACTCAAGGAATGCTCAGTGTACCCCAAATCGTCTCGAGATGAGAGCTGATTCCCTGGCTTAGGCTCAAGACGTATGCCACCTTTCCAGAAGCTCCTCAGGAGGAGGCTTCTCTCAGCAATAGGTATGTGGGAGGGACCCTGAGTTTGCTGCCTCAAGGGGAATATACAGCGAGAAGCCCTAACTTGAAAGGAGGCCGGATTTCCTTGCAGTGGCTTGAATACAGGCTCGTCTTTCATCTCACAACATGAAGGGATGTCTGAATCCCCTGTGCATACCTTAGAGAAAGCCCTAGGTCCCTGCCTCATTTTGACGGAATCCTCACATCCCGCTGACACCTCGAGAGTCACGCGGAGTTCATTGCTTCAAAAGGTGACGATGCCTGACTCCTCTTGAATACTGATAGGAATCCCAAAATCCCTGTGGCTACTGGAAAGGGTCCTTGGGTGCCCTGGCTCACCTCGAGAAGCGTCCCTTTTGCCCTGCCAAGCCTCGAAGAGATTGCTGAGGTGTCCCTCGTTACTAGACAGGAGTCCTGACGTCACTGAAGAAACTCGTGTTTTGAAGGGCCATCCCCGCCGTAAGTCGAGAACATACCCCAGGTCCCCGCCGCAACTCGAGAAAAACCATGAGACTTCCCCCTAGAGGCGAGATGAGGCCCCATTCCCCTGCAGTGCATGCAGAGCTATTCCGTGATCCCATTCAAACAAGTCAGGAGCTTCGACTTGCTTAATGGATCTCGAGACAGTCCCCAAGAACACTGTCACCAGTCTAGACGGACCCTGAGGTCACCCAGCAATGCAAAGCCGCTCCATGTGCCCCAAATCAACTCGAGATGAGGCCGGATTCCCCTGCATTGACTCCAGAGCCATTCCTTGTTCCCCATTCAACACGACCGGTGGCTCGACTTCCTTCAGGCAACTCCAGAGATGCCCCGAGAACACTGTCCCAAGTCTAGAGGACCACCAACTTCAGCACAGCAACTCGAGGAATGCTCTGTGTACCCCAAATCGTCTCGAGATGAGAGCTGATTCCCTGGCTTAGGCTCAAGACCTATGCCACCTTTCCAGAAGCACCTCAGGAGGAGGCTTCTCTCAGCAATAGGTATGTGGGAGGGACCCCGAGTTTGCTGCCTCAAGGGGAATATACAGCGAGAAGCCCTAACTTGAAAGGAGGCCGCATTTCCTTGCAGTGGCTTGAATACAGGCTCGTCTTTCATCTCACAACATGAAGGGATGTCTGAATCCCCTGTGGAGACCTTAGAGAAAGCCCTAGGTCCCTGCCTCATTTTGACGGAATCCTCACATCCCGCTGACCCCTCGAGAGGCACGCGGAGTTCATTGCTTCAAAAGGTGACGATGCCTGACTCCTCTTGATTACTTATAGGAATCCCAAAATCCCTGTGGCTACTGGAAAGGGTCCTTGGGTGCCCTGGCTCACCTCGAGAAGCGTCCCTTTTGCCCTGCCAAGCCTCGAAGAGATTGCTGAGGTGTCCCTCGTTACTAGACAGGAGTCCTGACGTCACGGAAGAAACTCGTGTTTTGAAGGGCCATCCCCGCCGTAAGTCGAGAACATACCCCAGGTCCCCGCCGCAACTCGAGAAAAACCATGAGACTTCCCCCTAGAGGCGAGATGAGGCCCCATTCCCCTGCAGTGCATGCAGAGCTATTCCGTGATCCCATTCAAACAAGTCAGGAGCTTCGACTTGCTTAATGGATCTCGAGACAGTCCCCAAGAACACTGTCACCAGTCTAGACGGACCCTGAGGTCACCCAGCAATGCAAAGCAGCTCCATGTGCCCCAAATCAACGCGAGATGAGGCCGGATTCCCCTGCATTGACTCCAGAGCCATTCCTTGTTCCCCATTCAACACGACCGGTGGCTCGACTTCCTTCAGGCAACTCCAGAGATGACCCGAGAACACTGTCCCAAGTCTAGAGGACCACCAACTTCAGCACAGCAACTCGAGGAATGCTCAGTGTACCCCAAATCGTCTCGAGATGAGAGCTGATTCCCTGGCTTAGGCTCAAGACGTATGCCACCTTTCCAGAAGCACCTCAGGAGGAGGCTTCTCTCAGCAATAGGTATGTGGGAGGGACCCCGAGTTTGCTGCCTCAAGGGGAATATACAGCGAGAAGCCCTAACTTGAAAGGAGGCCGGATTTCCTTGCAGTGGCTTGAATACAGGCTCGTCTTTCATCTCACAACATGAAGGGATGTCTGAATCCCCTGTGGAGACCTTAGAGAAAGCCCTAGGTCCCTGCCTCATTTTGACTGAATCCTCACATCCCGCTGACACCTCGAGAGGCACGCGGAGTTCATTGCTTCAAAAGGTGAAGATGCCTGACTCCTCTTGAATACTGATAGGAATCCCAAAATCCCTGTTGCTACTGGAAAGGGTCCTTGGGTGCCCTGGCTCACCTCGAGAAGCGTCCCTTTTGCCCTGCCAAGCCTCGAAGAGATTGCTGAGGTGTCCCTCGTTACTAGACAGGAGTCCTGACGTCACGGAAGAAACTCGTGTTTTGAAGGGCCATTCCCGCCGTAAGTCGAGAACATACCCCAGGTCCCCGCCGCAACTCGAGAAAAACCATGAGACTTCCCCCTAGAGGCGAGATGAGGCCCCATTCCCCTGCAGTGCATGCAGAGCTATTCCGTGATCCCATTCAAACAAGTCAGGAGCTTCGACTTGCTTAATGGATATCGAGACAGTCCCCAAGAACACTGTCACCAGTCTAGTCTGACACTGAGGTCACCCAGCAATGCAAAGCAGCTCCATTTGCCCCAAATCAACTCGAGATGAGGCCCGATTCCGCTGCATTGACTCCAGAGCCATTCCCCGTTCCCCATTCAACACGACCGGTGGCTCGCCTTCCTTCAGGCAACTCCAGAGATGCCCCGAGAACACTGTCCCAAGTCTAGAGGAACACCAACTTCAGCACAGCAACTCGAGGAATGATCTGTGTACCCCAAATCGTCTCGAGATGAGAGCTGATTCCCTGGCTTAGGCTCAAGACGTATGCCAACTTTCCAGAAGCACCTCAGGAGGAGGCTTCTCAGCAATAAGTATGTGGGAGGGACTCCGAGTTTGCTGCCTCAAGGGCAATATACAGCGAGAAGCCCTAACTTGAAAGGAGGCCGGATTTCCTTGCAGTAGCTTGAATACAGGCTTGTCTTTCATCTCACAACATGAAGGGATGTCTGAATCCCCTGTGGAGACCTTAGAGAAAGCCCTAGGTCCCTGCCTCATTTTGACGGAATGCCTCACATCCCGCTGACACCTCGAGAGGCATGCGGAGTTCATTGCTTCAAAAGGTGACGATGCATGACTCCTCTTGATTACTTATAGGAATCCCAAAATCCCTGTGGCTACTGGCAAGGGTCCTTGGGTGCCCTGGCTCACCTCGAGAAGCGTCCCTTTTGCCCTGCCAAGCCTCGACGAGATTCCTGAGGTGTCCCTCGTTACTAGGCAGGAGTCCTGACGTCACTGAAGAAACTCGTATTTTGAAGGGCCATCCCCGCCGTAAGTCGAGAACATACCCCAGGTCCCCGCCGCAACTCGAGAAAAACCATGAGACTTCCCCCTAGAGGCGAGATGAGGCCCCATTCCCCTGCAGTGCATGCAGAGCTATTCCGTGATCCCATTCAAACAAGTCAGGAGCTTCGACTTGCTTAATGGATCTCGAGACAGTCCCCAAGAACACTGTCACCAGTCTAGACGGACCCTGAGGTCACCCAGCAATGCAAAGCAGCTCCATGTGCCCCAAATCAACTCGAGATGAGGCCGGATTCCCCTGCATTGACTCCAGAGCCATTCCTTGTTCCCCATTCAACACGACCGGTGGCTCGACTTCCTTCAGGCAACTCCAGAGATGCCCCGAGAACACTGTCCCAAGTCTAGAGGACCACCAACTTCAGCACAGCAACTCGAGGAATGCTCAGTGTACCCCAAATCGTCTCGATATGAGAGCTGATTCCCTGGCTTAGGCTCAAGGCGTATGCCACCTTTCCAGAAGCACCTCAGGAGGAGGCTTCTCTCAGCAATAGGTATGTGGGAGGGACCCCGAGTTTGCTGCCTCAAGGGCAATATACAGCGAGAAGCCCTAACTTGAAAGGAGGCCGGATTTCCTTGCAGTGGCTTGAATACAGGCTCGTCTTTCATCTCACAACATGAAGGGATGTCTGAATCCCCTGTGGAGACCTTAGAGAAAGCCCTAGGTCCCTGCCTCATTTTGACGGAATCCTCACATCCCGCTGACACCTCGAGAGGCACGCGGTGTTCATTGCTTCAAAAGGTGACGATGCCTGACTCCTCTTGAATACTTATAGGAATCCCAAAATCCCTGTGGCTACTGGAAAGGGTCCTTGGGTGCCCTGGCTCACCTCGAGAAGCGTCCCTTTTGCCCTGCCAAGCCTCGAAGAGATTGCTGAGGTGTCCCTCGTTACTAGGCAGGAGTCCTGACGTCACTGAAGAAACTCGTGTTTTGAAGGGCCATCCCCGCCGTAAGTCGAGAACATACCCCAGGTCCCCGCTGCAACTCGAGAAAAACCATGAGACTTCCCCCTAGAGGCGAGATGAGGCCCCATTCCCCTGCAGTGCATGCAGAGCTATTCCGTGATCCCATTCAAACAAGTCAGGAGCTTCGACTTGCTTAATGGATCTCGAGGCAGTCCCCAAGAACACTGTCACCAGTCTAGATGGACCCTGAGGTCACCCCAGCAACGCAAAGCAGCTCCAGGTGCCACAAATCAACTCGAGATGAGGCCCGATTCCCCTGCATTGACTCCAGAGCCATTCCCCGTTCCCCATTCAACACGACCGGTGGCTCGACTTCCTTCATGCAACTCTGGAGATGCCCAGAGAACACTGTCCCAAGTCTAGAGGAACACCAACTTCAGCACAGCAACTCGAGGAATGCTCTGTGTACCCCAAATCGTCTCGAGATGAGAGCTGATTCCCTGGCTTAGGCTCAAGACGTATGCCAACTTTCCAGAAGCACCTCAGGAGGAGGCTTCTCAGCAATAGGTATGTGGGAGGGACTCCGAGTTTGCTGCCTCAAGGGCAATATACAGCGAGAAGCCCTAACTTGAAAGGAGGCCGGATTTCCTTGCAGTAGCTTGAATACAGGCTTGTCTTTCATCTCACAACATGAAGGGATGTCTGAATCCCCTGTGGAGACCTTAGAGAAAGCCCTAGGTCCCTGCCTCATTTTGACGGAATGCCTCACATCCCGCTGACACCTCGAGAGGCACGCGGAGTTCATTGCTTCAAAAGGTGACGATGCATGACTCCTCTTGATTACTTATAGGAATCCCAAAATCCCTGTGGCTACTGGCAAGGGTCCTTGGGTGCCCTGGCTCACCTCGAGAAGCGTCCCTTTTGCCCTGCCAAGCCTCGAAGAGATTCCTGAGGTGTCCCTCGTTACTAGGCAGGAGTCCTGACGTCACTGAAGAAACTCGTATTTTGAAGGGCCATCCCCGCCGTAAGTCGAGAACATACCCCAGGTCCCCGCCGCACCTCGAGAAAAACCATGAGACTTCCCCCTAGAGGCGAGATGAGGCCCCATTCCCCTGCAGTGCATGCAGAGCTATTCCGTGATCCCATTCAAACAAGTCAGGAGCTTCGACTTGCTTAATGGATCTCGAGACAGTACCCAAGAACACTGTCACCAGTCTAGACGGACCCTGAGGTCACCCAGCAATGCAAAGCAGCTCCATGTGCCCCAAATCAACTCGAGATGAGGCCGGATTCCCCTGCATTGACTCCAGAGCCATTCCTTGTTCCCCATTCAACACGACCGGTGGCTCGACTTCCTTCAGGCAACTCCAGAGATGCCCCGAGAACACTGTCCCAAGTCTAGAGGACCACCAACTTCAGCACAGCAACTCGAGGAATGCTCTGTGTACCCCAAATCGTCTCGAGATGAGAGCTGATTCCCTGGCTTAGGCTCAAGACGTATGCCACCTTTCCAGAAGCACCTCAGGAGGAGGCTTCTCTCAGTAATAGGTATGTGGGAGGGACCCCGAGTTTGCTGCCTCAAGGGGAATATATAGCGAGAAGCCCTAACTTGAAAGGAGGCCGGATTTCCATGCAGTGGCTTGAATACAGGCTCGTCTTTCATCTCACAACATGAAGGGATGTCTGAATCCCCTGTGGAGACCTTAGAGAAAGCCCTAGGTCCCTGCCTCATTTTGACGGAATCCTCACATCCCGCTGACACCTCGAGAGGCACGCGGAGTTCATTGCTTCAAAAGGTGACGATGCATGACTCCTCTTGATTACTTATAGGAATCCCAAAATCCCTGTGGCTACTGGAAAGGGTCCTTGGGTGCTCTGGCTCACCTCGAGAAGCGTCCCTTTTGCCCTGCCAAGCCTCGAAGAGATTGCTGAGGTGTCCCTCGTTACTAGACAGGAGTCCTGACGTCACTGAAGAAACTCGTGTTTTGAAGGGCCATCCCCGCCGTAAGTCGAGAACATACCCCAGGTCCCCGCCGCAACTCGAGAAAAACCATGAGACTTCCCCCTAGAGGCGAGATGAGGCCCCATTCCCCTGCAGTGCATGCAGAGCTATTCCGTGATCCCATTCAAACAAGTCAGGAGCTTCGACTTGCTTAATGGATCTCGAGACAGTCCCCAAGAACACTGTCACCAGTTTAGACGGACCCTGAGGTCACCCAGCAATGCAAAGCAGCTCCATGTGCCCCAAATCAACTCGAGATGAGGCCGGATTCCCCTGCATTGACTCCAGAGCCATTCCTTGTTCCCCATTCAACACGACCGGTGGCTCGACTTCCTTCAGGCAACTCCAGAGATGCCCCGAGAACACTGTCCCAAGTCTAGAGGACCACCAACTTCAGCACAGCAACACGAGGAATGCTCTGTGTACCCCAAATCGTCTCGAGATGAGAGCTGATTCCCTGGCTTAGGCTCAAGACGTATGCCACCTTTCCAGAAGCACCTCAGGAGGAGGCTTCTCCCAGCAATAGGTATGTGGGAGGGACCCCGAGTTTGCTGCCTCAAGGGGAATATACAGCGAGAAGCCCTAACTTGAAAGGGGGCCGGATTTCCTTGCAGTGGCTTGAATACAGGCTCGTCTTTCATCTCACAACATGAAGGGATGTCTGAATCCCCTGTGGAGACCTTAGAGAAAGCCCTAGGTCCTTGCCTCATTTTGACGGAATCCTCACATCCCGCTGACACCTCGAGAGGCACGCGGAGTTCATTGCTTCAAAAGGTGACGATGCCTGACTCCTCTTGATTACTTATAGGAAGCCCAAAATCCCTGTGGCTACTGGAAAGGGTCCTTGGGTGCCCTGGCTCACCTCGAGAAGCGTCCCTTTTGCCCTGCCAAGCCTCAAAGAGATTGCTGAGGAGTCCCTCGTTACTAGACAGGAGTCCTGACGTCACTGAAGAAACTCGTGTTTTGAAGGGCCATCCCCGCCGTAAGTCGAGAACATACCCCAGGTCCCCGCCGCAACTCGAGAAAAACCATGAGACTTCCCCCTAGAGGCGAGATGAGGCCCCATTCCCCTGCAGCGCATGCAGAGCTATTCCGTGATCCCATTCAAACAAGTCAGGAGCTTCGACTTGCTTAATGGATCTCGAGACAGTCCCCAAGAACACTGTCACCAGTCTAGACGGACCCTGAGGTCACCCAGCAATGCAAAGCAGCTCCATGTGCCCCAAATCAACTCGAGATGAGGCCGGATTCCCCTGCATTGACTCCAGAGCCATTCCTTGTTCCCCATTCAACACGACCGGTGGCTCGACTTCCTTCAGGCAACTCCAGAGATGCCCCGAGAACACTGTCCCAAGTCTAGAGGACCACCAACTTCAGCACAGCAACTCAAGGAATGCTCAGTGTACCCCAAATCGTCTCGAGATGAGAGCTGATTCCCTGGCTTAGGCTCAAGACGTATGCCACCTTTCCAGAAGCTCCTCAGGAGGAGGCTTCTCTCAGCAATAGGTATGTGGGAGGGACCCTGAGTTTGCTGCCTCAAGGGGAATATACAGCGAGAAGCCCTAACTTGAAAGGAGGCCGGATTTCCTTGCAGTGGCTTGAATACAGGCTCGTCTTTCATCTCACAACATGAAGGGATGTCTGAATCCCCTGTGCATACCTTAGAGAAAGCCCTAGGTCCCTGCCTCATTTTGACGGAATCCTCACATCCCGCTGACACCTCGAGAGTCACGCGGAGTTCATTGCTTCAAAAGGTGACGATGCCTGACTCCTCTTGAATACTGATAGGAATCCCAAAATCCCTGTGGCTACTGGAAATGGTCCTTGGGTGCCCTGGCTCACCTCGAGAAGCGTCCCTTTTGCCCTGCCAAGCCTCGAAGAGATTGCTGAGGTGTCCCTCGTTACTAGACAGGAGTCCTGACGTCACTGAAGAAACTCGTGTTTTGAAGGGCCATCCCCGCCGTAAGTCGAGAACATACCCCAGGTCCCCGCCGCAACTCGAGAAAAACCATGAGACTTCCCCCTAGAGGCGAGATGAGGCCCCATTCCCCTGCAGTGCATGCAGAGCTATTCCGTGATCCCATTCAAACAAGTCAGGAGCTTCGACTTGCTTAATGGATCTCGAGACAGTCCCCAAGAACACTGTCACCAGTCTAGACGGACCCTGAGGTCACCCAGCAATGCAAAGCCGCTCCATGTGCCCCAAATCAACTCGAGATGAGGCCGGATTCCCCTGCATTGACTCCAGAGCCATTCCTTGTTCCCCATTCAACACGACCGGTGGCTCGACTTCCTTCAGGCAACTCCAGAGATGCCCCGAGAACACTGTCCCAAGTCTAGAGGACCACCAACTTCAGCACAGCAACTCGAGGAATGCTCTGTGTACCCCAAATCGTCTCGAGATGAGAGCTGATTCCCTGGCTTAGGCTCAAGACCTATGCCACCTTTCCAGAAGCACCTCAGGAGGAGGCTTCTCTCAGCAATAGGTATGTGGGAGGGACCCCGAGTTTGCTGCCTCAAGGGGAATATACAGCGAGAAGCCCTAACTTGAAAGGAGGCCGCATTTCCTTGCAGTGGCTTGAATACAGGCTCGTCTTTCATCTCACAACATGAAGGGATGTCTGAATCCCCTGTGGAGACCTTAGAGAAAGCCCTAGGTCCCTGCCTCATTTTGACGGAATCCTCACATCCCGCTGACCCCTCGAGAGGCACGCGGAGTTCATTGCTTCAAAAGGTGACGATGCCTGACTCCTCTTGATTACTTATAGGAATCCCAAAATCCCTGTGGCTACTGGAAAGGGTCCTTGGGTGCCCTGGCTCACCTCGAGAAGCGTCCCTTTTGCCCTGCCAAGCCTCGAAGAGATTGCTGAGGTGTCCCTCGTTACTAGACAGGAGTCCTGCCGTCACTGAAGAAACTCGTGTTTTGAAGGGCCATCCCCGCCGTAAGTCGAGAACATACCCCAGGTCCCCACCGCAACTCGAGAAAAACCATGAGACTTCCCCCTAGAGGCGAGATGAGGCCCCATTCCCCTGCAGTGCATGCAGAGCTATTCCGTGATCCCATTCAAACAAGTCAGGAGCTTCGACTTGCTTAATGGATCTCGAGACAGTCCCCAAGAACACTGTCACCAGTCTAGACGGACCCTGAGGTCACCCAGCAATGCAAAGCAGCTCCATGTGCCCCAAATCAACTCGAGATGAGGCCGGATTCCCCTGCATTGACTCCAGAGCCATTCCTTGTTCCACATTCAACACGACCGGTGGCTCGACTTCCTTCAGGCAACTCCAGAGATGCCCCGAGAACACTGTCCCAAGTCTAGAGGAACACCAACTTCAGCACAGCAACTCGAGGAATGCTCTGTGTACCCCAAATCGTCTCGAGATGAGAGCTGATTCCCTGGCTTAGGCTCAAGACGTACGCCAACTTTCCAGAAGCACCTCAGGAGGAGGCTTCTCAGCAATAGGTATGTGGGAGGGACTCCGAGTTTGCTGCCTCAAGGGGAATATACAGCGAGAAGCCCTAACTTGAAAGGAGGCCGGATTTCCTTACAGTAGCTTGAATACAGGCTTGTCTTTCATGTCACAACATGAAGGGAGGTCTGAATCCCCTGTGGAGACCTTAGAGAAAGCCCTAGGTCCCTGCCTCATTTTGACGGAATCCTCACATCCCGCTGACACGTCGAGAGGCACGCGGAGTTCATTGCTTCAAAAGGTGACGATGCCTGACTCCTCTTGATTACTTATAGGAATCCCAAAATCCCTGTGGCTACTGGAAAGGGTCCTTGGGTGCCCTGGCTCACCTCGAGAAGCGTCCCTTTTGCCCTGCCAAGCCTCAAAGAGATTGCTGAGGTGTCCCTCGTTACTAGACAGGAGTCCTGACGTCACTGAAGAAACTCGTGTTTTGAAGGGCCATCCCCGCCGTAAGTCGAGAACATACCCCAGGTCCCCGCCGCAACTCGAGAAAAACCATGAGACTTCCCCCTAGAGGCGAGATGAGGCCCCATTCCCCTGCAGTGCATGCAGAGCTATTCCTTGATCCCATTTAAACAAGTCAGGAGCTTCGACTTGCTTAATGGATCTCGAGGCAGTCCCCAAGAACACTGTCACCAGTCTAGATGGACCCCTGAGGTCACCCCAGCAACGCAAAGCAGCTCCAGGTGCCACAAATCAACTCGAGATGAGGCCCGATTCCCCTGCATTGACTCCAGAGCTATTCCCCGTTCCCCATTCAACACGACCGGTGGCTCGACTTCCTTCATGCAACTCCAGAGATGCCCAGAGAACACTGTCCCAAGTCTAGAGGAACACCAACTTCAGCACAGCAACTCGAGGAATGCTCTGTGTACCCCAAATCGTCTCGAGATGAGAGCTGAATCCCTGGCTTAGGCTCAAGACGTATGCCAACTTTCCAGAAGCACCTCAGGAGGAGGCTTCTCTCAGCAATAGGTATGTGGGAGGGACTCCGAGTTTGCTGCCTCAAGGGGAATATACAGCGAGAAGCCCTAACTTGAAAGGAGGCCGGATTTCCTTGCAGTGGCTTGAATACAGGCTCGTCTTTCATCTCACAACATGAAGGGATGTCTGAATCCCCTGTGGAGACCTTAGAGAAAGCCCTAGGTCCCTGCCTCATTTTGACGGAATCCTCACATCCTGCTGACACCTCGAGAGTCACGCGGAGTTCATTGCTTCAAAAGGTGACGATGCCTGACTCCTCTTGAATACTGATAGGAATCCCAAAATCCCTGTGGCTACTGGAAAGGGTCCTTGGGTGCCCTGGCTCACCTCGAGAAGCGTCCCTTTTGCCCTGCCAAGCCTCGAAGAGATTGCTGATGTGTCCCTCGTTACTAGACAGGAGTCCTGACGTCACTGAAGAAACTCGTGTTTTGAAGGGCCATCCCCGCCGTAAGTCGAGAACATACCCCAGGTCTCCGCCGCAACTCGAGAAAAACCATGAGACTTCCCCCTAGAGGCGAGATGAGGCCCCATTCCCCTGCAGTGCATGCAGAGCTATTCCGTGATCCCATTCAAACAAGTCAGGAGCTTCGACTTGCTTAATGGATCTCGAGACAGTCCCCAAGAACACTGTCACCAGTCTAGACGGACCCTGAGGTCACCCAGCAATGCAAAGCAGCACCATGTGCCCCAAATCAACTCTAGATGAGGCCGGATTCCCCTGCATTGACTCCAGAGCCATTCCTTGTTCCCCATTCAACACGACCGGTGGCTCGACTTCCTTCAGGCAACTCCAGAGATGCCCCGAGAACACTGTCCCAAGCCTAGAGGACCACCAACTTCAGCACAGCAACTCGAGGAATGCTCTGTGTACCCCAAATCGTCTCGAGATGAGAGCTGATTCCCTGGCTTAGGCTCAAGACGTATGCCACCTTTCCAGAAGCACCTCAGGAGGAGGCTTCTCTCAGCAATAGGTATGTGGGAGGGACCCCGAGTTTGCTGCCTCAAGGGGAATATACAGCGAGAAGCCCTAACTTGAAAGGAGGCCGGATTTCCTTGCAGTGGCTTGAATACAGGCTCGTCTTTCATCTCACAACATGAAGGGATGTCTGAATCCCCTGTGGAGACCTTAGAGAAAGCCCTAGGTCCCTGCCTCATTTTGACGGAATCCTCACATCCCGCTGACCCCTCGAGAGGCACGCGGTGTTCATTGCTTCAAAAAGTGACGATGCCTCACTCCTCTTGAATACTTATAGGAATCCCAAAATCCCTGTGGCTACTGGAAAGGGTCCTTGGGTGCCCTGGCTCACCTCGAGAAGCATCCCTTTTGCCCTGCCAAGCCTCGAAGAGATTGCTGAGGTGTCCCTCGTTACTAGACAGGAGTCCTGACGTCACTGAAGAAACTCGTGTTTTGAAGGGCCATCCCCGCCGTAAGTTGAGAACATACCCCAGGTCCCCACCGCAACTCGAGAAAAACCATGAGACTTCCCCCTAGAGGCGAGATGAGGCCCCATTCCCCTGCAGCGCATGCAGAGCTATTCCGTGATCCCATTCAAACAAGTCAGGAGCTTCGACTTGCTTAATGGATCTCGAGACAGTCCCCAAGAACACTGTCACCAGTCTAGACGGACCCTGAGGTCACCCAGCAATGCAAAGCAGCTCCATGTGCCCCAAATCAACTCGAGATGAGGCCGGATTCCGCTGCATTGACTCCAGAGCCATTCCTTGTTCTCCATTCAACACGACCGGTGGCTCGACTTCCTTCAGGCAACTCCAGAGATGACCCGAGAACACTGTCCCAAGTCTAGAGGAACAGCAACTTCAGCACAGCAACTCGAGGAATGCTCTGTGTACCCCAAATCGTCTCGAGATGAGAGCTGATTACCTGGCTTAGGCTCAAGACGTATGCCAACTTTCCAGATGCACCTCAGGAGGAGGCTTCTCAGCAATAGGTATGTGGGAGGGACTCCGAGTTTGCTGCCTCAAGGGCAATATACAGCGAGAAGCCCTAACTTGAAAGGAGGCCGGATTTCCTTGCAGTAGCTTGAATACAGGCTTGTCTTTCATCTCACAACATGAAGGGATGTCTGAATCCCCTGTGGAGACCTTAGAGAAAGCCCTAGGTCCCTGCCTCATTTTGACGGAATGCCTCACATCCCGCTGACACCTCGAGAGGCACGCGGAGTTCATTGCTTCAAAAGGTGAGGATGCCTGACTCCTCTTGAATACTGATAGGAATCCCAAAATCCCTGTGGCTACTGGAAAGGGTCCTGGGGTGCCCTGCCTCACCTCGAGAAGCGTCCCTTTTGCCCTGCCAAGCCTCGAAGAGATTCCTGAGGTGTCCCTCGTTACTATGCCGGAGTCCTGACGTCACTGAAGAAACTCGTGTTTTGAAGGGCCATCCCCGCCGTAAGTCGAGAACATACCCCAGGTCCCCGCCGCAACTCGAGAAAAACCATGAGACTTCCCCCTAGAGGCGAGATGAGGCCCCATTCCCCTGCAGTGCATGCAGAGCTATTCCGTGATCCCATTCAAACAAGTCAGGAGCTTCGACTTGCTTAATGGATCTCGAGACAGTCCCCAAGAACACTGTCACCAGTCTAGACGGACCCTGAGGTCACCCAGCAATGCAAAGCAGCTCCATGTGCCCCAAATCAACTCGAGATGAGGCCGGATTCCCCTGCATTGACTCCAGAGCCATTCCTTGTTCCCCATTCAACACGACCGGTGGCTCGACTTCCTTCAGGCAACTCCAGAGATGACCCGAGAACACTGTCCCAAGTCTAGAGGACCACCAACTTCAGCACAGCAACTCAAGGAATGATCAGTGTACCCCAAATCGTCTCGAGATGAGAGCTGATTCCCTGGCTTAGGCTCAAGACGTATGCCACCTTTCCAGAAGCTCCTCAGGAGGAGGCTTCTCTCAGCAATAGGTATGTGGGAGGGACCCTGAGTTTGCTGCCTCAAGGGGAATACACAGCGAGAAGCCCTAACTTGAAAGGAGGCCGGATTTCCTTGCAGTGGCTTGAATACAGGCTCGTCTTTCATCTCACAACATGAAGGGATGTCTGAATCCCCTGTGCATACCTTAGAGAAAGCCCTAGGTCCCTGCCTCATTTTGACGGAATCCTCACATCCCGCTGACACGTCGAGAGGCACGCGGAGTTCATTGCTTCAAAAGGTGACGATGCCTCACTCCTCTTGAATACTTATAGGAATCCCAAAATCCCTGTGGCTACTGGAAAGGGTCCTTGGGTGCTCTGGCTCACCTCGAGAAGCGTCCCTTTTGCCCTGCCAAGCCTCGAAGAGATTGCTGAGGTGTCCCTCGTTACTAGACAGGAGTCCTGACGTCACTGAAGAAACTCGTGTTTTGAAGGGCCATCCCCGCCGTAAGTCGAGAACATACCCCAGGTCCCCGCCGCAACTCGAGAAAAACCATGAGACTTCCCCCTAGAGGCGAGATGAGGCCCCATTCCCCTGCAGTGCATGCAGAGCTATTCCGTGATCCCATTCAAACAAGTCAGGAGCTTCGACTTGCTTAATGGATCTCGAGACAGTCCCCAAGAACACTGTCACCAGTCTAGACGGACCCTGAGGTCACCCAGCAATGCAAAGCAGCTCCATGTGCCCCAAATCAACTCGAGATGAGGCCGGATTCCCCTGCATTGACTCCAGAGCCATTCCTTGTTCCCCATTCAACACGACCGGTGGCTCGACTTCCTTCAGGCAACTCCAGAGATGCCCCGAGAACACTGTCCCAAGTCTAGAGGACCACCAACTTCAGCACAGCAACACGAGGAATGCTCTGTGTACCCCAAATCGTCTCGAGATGAGAGCTGATTCCCTGGCTTAGGCTCAAGACGTATGCCACCTTTCCAGAAGCACCTCAGGAGGAGGCTTCTCTCAGCAATAGGTATGTGGGAGGGACCCCGAGTTTGCTGCCTCAAGGGGAATATACAGCGAGAAGCCCTAACTTGAAAGGGGGCCGGATTTCCTTGCAGTGGCTTGAATACAGGCTCGTCTTTCATCTCACAACATGAAGGGATGTCTGAATCCCCTGTGGAGACCTTAGAGAAAGCCCTAGGTCCTTGCCTCATTTTGACGGAATCCTCACATCCCGCTGACACCTCGAGAGGCACGCGGAGTTCATTGCTTCAAAAGGTGACGATGCCTGACTCCTCTTGATTACTTATAGGAAGCCCAAAATCCCTGTGGCTACTGGAAAGGGTCCTTGGGTGCCCTGGCTCACCTCGAGAAGCGTCCCTTTTGCCCTGCCAAGCCTCGAAGAGATTGCTGAGGTGTCCCTCGTTACTAGACAGGAGTCCTGACGTCACTGAAGAAACTCGTGTTTTGAAGGGCCATCCCCGCCGTAAGTCGAGAACATACCCCAGGTCCCCACCGCAACTCGAGAAAATCCATGAGACTTCCCCCTAGAGGCGAGATGAGGCCCCATTCCCCTGCAGCGCATGCAGAGCTATTCCGTGATCCCATTCAAACAAGTCAGAAGCTTCGACTTGCTTAATGGATCTCGAGACAGTCCCCAAGAGCACTGTCACCAGTCTAGACGGACCCTGAGGTCACCCAGCAATGCAAAGCAGCTCCATGTGCCCCAAATCAACTCGAGATGAGGCCGGATTCCCCTGCATTGACTCCAGAGCCATTCCTTGTTCCCCATTCAACACGACCGGTGGCTCGACTTCCTTCAGGCAACTCCAGAGATGCCCCGAGAACACTGTCCCAAGTCTAGAGGACCACCAACTTCAGCACAGCAACTCAAGGAATGCTCAGTGTACCCCAAATCGTCTCGAGATGAGAGCTGATTCCCTGGCTTAGGCTCAAGACGTATGCCACCTTTCCAGAAGCTCCTCAGGAGGAGGCTTCTCTCAGCAATAGGTATGTGGGAGGGACCCTGAGTTTGCTGCCTCAAGGGGAATATACAGCGAGAAGCCCTAACTTGAAAGGAGGCCGGATTTCCTTGCAGTGGCTTGAATACAGGCTCGTCTTTCATCTCACAACATGAAGGGATGTCTGAATCCCCTGTGCATACCTTAGAGAAAGCCCTAGGTCCCTGCCTCATTTTGACGGAATCCTCACATCCCGCTGACACCTCGAGAGGCACGCGGTGTTCATTGTTTCAAAAGGTGACGATGCCTCACTCCTCTTGAATACTTATAGGAATCCCCAAATCCCTGTGGCTACTGGAAAGGGTCCTTGGGTGCCCTGGCTCACCTCGAGAAGCGTCCCTTTTGCCCTGCCAAGCCTCGAAGAGATTGCTGAGGTGTCCCTCGTTACTAGACAGGAGTCCTGACGTCACTGAAGAAACTCGTGTTTTGAAGGGCCATCCCCGCCGTAAGTCGAGAACATACCCCAGGTCCCCGCCGCAACTCGAGAAAAACCATGAGACTTCCCCCTAGAGGCGAGATGAGGCCCCATTCCCCTGCAGTGCATGCAGAGCTATTCCGTGATCCCATTCAAACAAGTCAGGAGCTTCGACTTGCTTAATGGATCTCGAGACAGTCCCCAAGAACACTGTCACCAGTCTAGACGGACCCTGAGGTCACCCAGCAATGCAAAGCAGCTCCATGTGCCCCAAATCAACTCGAGATGAGGCCGGATTCCCCTGCATTGACTCCAGAGCCATTCCTTGTTCCCCATTCAACACGACCGGTGGCTCGACTTCCTTCAGGCAACTCCAGAGATGCCCCGAGAACACTGTCCCAAGTCTAGAGGACCACCAACTTCAGCAGAGCAACTCGAGGAATGCTCTGTGTACCCCAAATCGTCTCGAGATGAGAGCTGATTCCCTGGCTTAGGCTCAAGACGTATGCCACCTTTCCAGAAGCACCTCAGGAGGAGGCTTCTCTCAGTAATAGGTATGTGGGAGGGACCCCGAGTTTGCTGCCTCAAGGGGAATATACAGCGAGAAGCCCTAACTTGAAAGGAGGCCGGATTGCCTTGCAGTGGCTTGAATACAGGCTCGTCTTTCATCTCACAACATGAAGGGATGTCTGAATCCCCTGTGCATACCTTAGAGAAAGCCCTAGGTCCCTGCCTCATTTTGACGGAATCCTCACATCCCGCTGACACGTCGAGAGGCACGCGGAGTTCATTGCTTCAAAAGGTGACGATGCCTGACTCCTCTTGATTACTTATAGGAATCCCAAAATCCCTGTGGCTACTGGAAAGGGTCCTTGGGTGCCCTGGCTCACCTCGAGAAGCGTCCCTTTTGCCCTGCCAAGCCTCAAAGAGATTGCTGAGGAGTCCCTCGTTACTAGACAGGAGTCCTGACGTCACTGAAGAAACTCGTGTTTTGAAGGGCCATCCCCGCCGTAAGTCGAGAACATACCCCAGGTCCCCGCCGCAACTCGAGAAAAACCATGAGACTTCCCCCTAGAGGCGAGATGAGGCCCCATTCCCCTGCAGCGCATGCAGAGCTATTCCGTGATCCCATTCAAACAAGTCAGGAGCTTCGACTTGCTTAATGGATCTCGAGACAGTCCCCAAGAACACTGTCACCAGTCTAGACGGACCCTGAGGTCACCCAGCAATGCAAAGCAGCTCCATGTGCCCCAAATCAACTCGAGATGAGGCCGGATTCCCCTGCATTGACTCCAGAGCCATTCCTTGTTCCCCATTCAACACGACCGGTGGCTCGACTTCCTTCAGGCAACTCCAGAGATGCCCCGAGAACACTGTCCCAAGTCTAGAGGACCACCAACTTCAGCACAGCAACTCAAGGAATGCTCAGTGTACCCCAAATCGTCTCGAGATGAGAGCTGATTCCCTGGCTTAGGCTCAAGACGTATGCCACCTTTCCAGAAGCTCCTCAGGAGGAGGCTTCTCTCAGCAATAGGTATGTGGGAGGGACCCTGAGTTTGCTGCCTCAAGGGGAATATACAGCGAGAAGCCCTAACTTGAAAGGAGGCCGGATTTCCTTGCAGTGGCTTGAATACAGGCTCGTCTTTCATCTCACAACATGAAGGGATGTCTGAATCCCCTGTGCATACCTTAGAGAAAGCCCTAGGTCCCTGCCTCATTTTGACGGAATCCTCACATCCCGCTGACACCTCGAGAGTCACGCGGAGTTCATTGCTTCAAAAGGTGACGATGCCTGACTCCTCTTGAATACTGATAGGAATCCCAAAATCCCTGTGGCTACTGGAAAGGGTCCTTGGGTGCCCTGGCTCACCTCGAGAAGCGTCCCTTTTGCCCTGCCAAGCCTCGAAGAGATTGCTGAGGTGTCCCTCGTTACTAGACAGGAGTCCTGACGTCACTGAAGAAACTCGTGTTTTGAAGGGCCATCCCCGCCGTAAGTCGAGAACATACCCCAGGTCCCCGCCGCAACTCGAGAAAAACCATGAGACTTCCCCCTAGAGGCGAGATGAGGCCCCATTCCCCTGCAGTGCATGCAGAGCTATTCCGTGATCCCATTCAAACAAGTCAGGAGCTTCGACTTGCTTAATGGATCTCGAGACAGTCCCCAAGAACACTGTCACCAGTCTAGACGGACCCTGAGGTCACCCAGCAATGCAAAGCCGCTCCATGTGCCCCAAATCAACTCGAGATGAGGCCGGATTCCCCTGCATTGACTCCAGAGCCATTCCTTGTTCCCCATTCAACACGACCGGTGGCTCGACTTCCTTCAGGCAACTCCAGAGATGCCCCGAGAACACTGTCCCAAGTCTAGAGGACCACCAACTTCAGCACAGCAACTCGAGGAATGCTCTGTGTACCCCAAATCGTCTCGAGATGAGAGCTGATTCCCTGGCTTAGGCTCAAGACCTATGCCACCTTTCCAGAAGCACCTCAGGAGGAGGCTTCTGTCAGCAATAGGTATGTGGGAGGGACCCCGAGTTTGCTGCCTCAAGGGGAATATACAGCGAGAAGCCCTAACTTGAAAGGAGGCCGCATTTCCTTGCAGTGGCTTGAATACAGGCTCGTCTTTCATCTCACAACATGAAGGGATGTCTGAATCCCCTGTGGAGACCTTAGAGAAAGCCCTAGGTCCCTGCCTCATTTTGACGGAATCCTCACATCCCGCTGACCCCTCGAGAGGCACGCGGAGTTCATTGCTTCAAAAGGTGACGATGCCTGACTCCTCTTGATTACTTATAGGAATCCCAAAATCCCTGTGGCTACTGGAAAGGGTCCTTGGGTGCCCTGGCTCACCTCGAGAAGCGTCCCTTTTGCCCTGCCAAGCCTCGAAGAGATTGCTGAGGTGTCCCTCGTTACTAGACAGGAGTCCTGACGTCACTGAAGAAACTCGTGTTTTGAAGGGCCATCCCCGCCGTAAGTCGAGAACATACCCCAGGTCCCCACCGCAACTCGAGAAAAACCATGAGACTTCCCCCTAGAGGCGAGATGAGGCCCCATTCCCCTGCAGTGCATGCAGAGCTATTCCGTGATCCCATTCAAACAAGTCAGGAGCTTCGACTTGCTTAATGGATCTCGAGACAGTCCCCAAGAACACTGTCACCAGTCTAGACGGACCCTGAGGTCACCCAGCAATGCAAAGCAGCTCCATGTGCCCCAAATCAACTCGAGATGAGGCCGGATTCCCCTGCATTGACTCCAGAGCCATTCCTTGTTCCACATTCAACACGACCGGTGGCTCGACTTCCTTCAGGCAACTCCAGAGATGCCCCGAGAACACTGTCCCAAGTCTAGAGGAACACCAACTTCAGCACAGCAACTCGAGGAATGCTCTGTGTACCCCAAATCGTCTCGAGATGAGAGCTGATTCCCTGGCTTAGGCTCAAGACGTACGCCAACTTTCCAGAAGCACCTCAGGAGGAGGCTTCTCAGCAATAGGTATGTGGGAGGGACTCCGAGTTTGCTGCCTCAAGGGGAATATACAGCGAGAAGCCCTAACTTGAAAGGAGGCCGGATTTCCTTACAGTAGCTTGAATACAGGCTTGTCTTTCATGTCACAACATGAAGGGAGGTCTGAATCCCCTGTGGAGACCTTAGAGAAAGCCCTAGGTCCCTGCCTCATTTTGACGGAATCCTCACATCCCGCTGACACGTCGAGAGGCACGCGGAGTTCATTGCTTCAAAAGGTGACGATGCCTGACTCCTCTTGATTACTTATAGGAATCCCAAAATCCCTGTGGCTACTGGAAAGGGTCCTTGGGTGCCCTGGCTCACCTCGAGAAGCGTCCCTTTTGCCCTGCCAAGCCTCAAAGAGATTGCTGAGGTGTCCCTCGTTACTAGACAGGAGTCCTGACGTCACTGAAGAAACTCGTGTTTTGAAGGGCCATCCCCGCCGTAAGTCGAGAACATACCCCAGGTCCCCGCCGCAACTCGAGAAAAACCATGAGACTTCCCCCTAGAGGCGAGATGAGGCCCCATTCCCCTGCAGTGCATGCAGAGCTATTCCGTGATCCCATTTAAACAAGTCAGGAGCTTCGACTTGCTTAATGGATCTCGAGGCAGTCCCCAAGAACACTGTCACCAGTCTAGATGGACCCCTGAGGTCACCCCAGCAACGCAAAGCAGCTCCAGGTGCCACAAATCAACTCGAGATGAGGCCCGATTCCCCTGCATTGATTCCAGAGCTATTCCCCGTTCCCCATTCAACACGACCGGTGGCTCGACTTCCTTCATGCAACTCCAGAGATGCCCAGAGAACACTGTCCCAAGTCTAGAGGAACACCAACTTCAGCACAGCAACTCGAGGAATGCTCTGTGTACCCCAAATCGTCTCGAGATGAGAGCTGAATCCCTGGCTTAGGCTCAAGACGTATGCCAACTTTCCAGAAGCACCTCAGGAGGAGGCTTCTCTCAGCAATAGGTATGTGGGAGGGACTCCGAGTTTGCTGCCTCAAGGGGAATATACAGCGAGAAGCCCTAACTTGAAAGGAGGCCGGATTTCCTTGCAGTGGCTTGAATACAGGCTCGTCTTTCATCTCACAACATGAAGGGATGTCTGAATCCCCTGTGGAGACCTTAGAGAAAGCCATAGGTCCCTGCCTCATTTTGACGGAATCCTCACATCCCGCTGACACCTCGAGAGTCACGCGGAGTTCATTGCTTCAAAAGGTGACGATGCCTGACTCCTCTTGAATACTGATAGGAATCCCAAAATCCCTGTGGCTACTGGAAAGGGTCCTTGGGTGCCCTGGCTCACCTCGAGAAGCGTCCCTTTTGCCCTGCCAAGCCTCGAAGAGATTGCTGATGTGTCCCTCGTTACTAGACAGGAGTCCTGACGTCACTGAAGAAACTCGTGTTTTGAAGGGCCATCCCCGCCGTAAGTCGAGAACATACCCCAGGTCTCCGCCGCAACTCGAGAAAAACCATGAGACTTCCCCCTAGAGGCGAGATGAGGCCCCATTCCCCTGCAGTGCATGCAGAGCTATTCCGTGATCCCATTCAAACAAGTCAGGAGCTTCGACTTGCTTAATGGATCTCGAGACAGTCCCCAAGAACACTGTCACCAGTCTAGACGGACCCTGAGGTCACCCAGCAATGCGAAGCAGCACCATGTGCCCCAAATCAACTCTAGATGAGGCCGGATTCCCCTGCATTGACTCCAGAGCCATTCCTTGTTCCCCATTCAACACGACCGGTGGCTCGACTTCCTTCAGGCAACTCCAGAGATGCCCCGAGAACACTGTCCCAAGCCTAGAGGACCACCAACTTCAGCACAGCAACTCGAGGAATGCTCTGTGTACCCCAAATCGTCTCGAGATGAGAGCTGATTCCCTGGCTTAGGCTCAAGACGTATGCCACCTTTCCAGAAGCACCTCAGGAGGAGGCTTCTCTCAGCAATAGGTATGTGGGAGGGACCCCGAGTTTGCTGCCTCAAGGGGAATATACAGCGAGAAGCCCTAACTTGAAAGGAGGCCGGATTTCCTTGCAGTGGCTTGAATACAGGCTCGTCTTTCATCTCACAACATGAAGGGATGTCTGAATCCCCTGTGGAGACCTTAGAGAAAGCCCTAGGTCCCTGCCTCATTTTGACGGAATCCTCACATCCCGCTGACCCCTCGAGAGGCACGCGGTGTTCATTGCTTCAAAAAGTGACGATGCCTCACTCCTCTTGAATACTTATAGGAATCCCAAAATCCCTGTGGCTACTGGAAAGGGTCCTTGGGTGCCCTGGCTCACCTCGAGAAGCATCCCTTTTGCCCTGCCAAGCCTCGAAGAGATTGCTGAGGTGTCCCTCGTTACTAGACAGGAGTCCTGACCTCACTGAAGAAACTCGTGTTTTGAAGGGCCATCCCCGCCGTAAGTTGAGAACATACCCCAGGTCCCCACCGCAACTCGAGAAAAACCATGAGACTTCCCCCTAGAGGCGAGATGAGGCCCCATTCCCCTGCAGCGCATGCAGAGCTATTCCGTGATCCCATTCAAACAAGTCAGGAGCTTCGACTTGCTTAATGGATCTCGAGACAGTCCCCAAGAACACTGTCACCAGTCTAGACGGACCCTGAGGTCACCCAGCAATGCAAAGCAGCTCCATGTGCCCCAAATCAACTCGAGATGAGGCCGGATTCCGCTGCATTGACTCCAGAGCCATTCCTTGTTCTCCATTCAACACGACCGGTGGCTCGACTTCCTTCAGGCAACTCCAGAGATGACCCGAGAACACTGTCCCAAGTCTAGAGGAACAGCAACTTCAGCACAGCAACTCGAGGAATGCTCTGTGTACCCCAAATCGTCTCGAGATGAGAGCTGATTACCTGGCTTAGGCTCAAGACGTATGCCAACTTTCCAGATGCACCTCAGGAGGAGGCTTCTCAGCAATAGGTATGTGGGAGGGACTCCGAGTTTGCTGCCTCAAGGGCAATATACAGCGAGAAGCCCTAACTTGAAAGGAGGCCGGATTTCCTTGCAGTAGCTTGAATACAGGCTTGTCTTTCATCTCACAACATGAAGGGATGTCTGAATCCCCTGTGGAGACCTTAGAGAAAGCCCTAGGTCCCTGCCTCATTTTGACGGAATGCCTCACATCCCGCTGACACCTCGAGAGGCACGCGGAGTTCATTGCTTCAAAAGGTGAGGATGCCTGACTCCTCTTGAATACTGATAGGAATCCCAAAATCCCTGTGGCTACTGGAAAGGGTCCTGGGGTGCCCTGCCTCACCTCGAGAAGCGTCCCTTTTGCCCTGCCAAGCCTCGAAGAGATTCCTGAGGTGTCCCTCGTTACTATGCCGGAGTCCTGACGTCACTGAAGAAACTCGTGTTTTGAAGGGCCATCCCCGCCGTAAGTCGAGAACATACCCCAGGTCCCCGCCGCAACTCGAGAAAAACCATGAGACTTCCCCCTAGAGGCGAGATGAGGCCCCATTCCCCTGCAGTGCATGCAGAGCTATTCCGTGATCCCATTCAAACAAGTCAGGAGCTTCGACTTGCTTAATGGATCTCGAGGCAGTCCCCAAGAACACTGTCACCAGTCTAGACGGAACCTGAGGTCACCCCAGCAACGCAAAGCAGCTCCAGGTGCCACAAATCAACTCGAGATGAGGCCCGATTCCCCTGCATTGACTCCAGAGCCATTCCCCGTTCCCCATTCAACACGACCGGTGGCTCGCCTTCCTTCAGGCAACTCCAGAGATGCCCCGAGAACACTGTCCTAAGTCTAGAGGAACACCAACTTCAGCACAGCAACTCGAGGAATGATCTGTGTACCCCAAATCGTCTCGAGATGAGAGCTGATTCCCTGGCTTAGGCTCAAGACGTATGCCAACTTTCCAGAAGCACCTCAGGAGGAGGCTTCTCAGCAATAGGTATGTGGGAGGGACTCCGAGTTTGCTGCCTCAAGGGCAATATACAGCGAGAAGCCCTAACTTGAAAGGAGGCCGGATTTCCTTGCAGTAGCTTGAATACAGGCTTGTCTTTCATCTCACAACATGAAGGGATGTCTGAATCCCCTGTGGAGACCTTAGAGAAAGCCCTAGGTCCCTGCCTCATTTTGACGGAATGCCTCACATCCCGCTGACACCTCGAGAGGCACGCGGAGTTCATTGCTTCAAAAGGTGACGATGCATGACTCCTCTTGATTACTTATAGGAATCCCAAAATCCCTGTGGCTACTGGAAAGGGTCCTTGGGTGCCCTGGCTCACCTCGAGAAGCGTCCCTTTTGCCCTGCCAAGCCTCGAAGAGATTGCTGAGGTGTCCCTCGTTACTAGACAGGAGTCCTGACGTCACTGAAGAAACTCGTGTTTTGAAGGGCCATCCCCGCCGTAAGTCGAGAACATACCCCAGGTCCCCGCCGCAACTCGAGAAAAACCATGAGACTTCCCCCTAGAGGCGAGATGAGGCCCCATTCCCCTGCAGTGCATGCAGAGCTATTCCGTGATCCCATTCAAACAAGTCAGGAGCTTCGACTTGCTTAATGGATCTCGAGACAGTCCCCAAGAACACTGTCACCAGTCTAGACGGACCCTGAGGTCACCCAGCAATGCAAAGCAGCTCCATGTGCCCCAAATCAACTCGAGATGAGGCCGGATTCCCCTGCATTGACTCCAGAGCCATTCCTTGTTCCCCATTCAACACGACCGGTGGCTCGACTTCCTTCAGGCAACTCCAGAGATGACCCGAGAACACTGTCCCAAGTCTAGAGGACCACCAACTTCAGCACAGCAACTCAAGGAATGATCAGTGTACCCCAAATCGTCTCGAGATGAGAGCTGATTCCCTGGCTTAGGCTCAAGACGTATGCCACCTTTCCAGAAGCTCCTCAGGAGGAGGCTTCTCTCAGCAATAGGTATGTGGGAGGGACCCTGAGTTTGCTGCCTCAAGGGGAATATACAGCGAGAAGCCCTAACTTGAAAGGAGGCCGGATTTCCTTGCAGTGGCTTGAATACAGGCTCGTCTTTCATCTCACAACATGAAGGGATGTCTGAATCCCCTGTGCATACCTTAGAGAAAGCCCTAGGTCCCTGCCTCATTTTGACGGAATCCTCACATCCCGCTGACACGTCGAGAGGCACGCGGAGTTCATTGCTTCAAAAGGTGACGATGCCTCACTCCTCTTGAATACTTATAGGAATCCCAAAATTCCTGTGGCTACTGGAAAGGGTCCTTGGGTGCCCTGGCTCACCTCGAGAAGCGTCCCTTTTGCCCTGCCAAGCCTCGAAGAGATTGCTGAGGTGTCCCTCGTTACTAGACAGGAGTCCTGACGTCACTGAAGAAACTCGTGTTTTGAAGGGCCATCCCCGCCGTAAGTCGAGAACATACCCCAGGTCCCCGCCGCAACTCGAGAAAAACCATGAGACTTCCCCCTAGAGGCGTGATGAGGCCCCATTCCCCTGCAGTGCATGCAGAGCTATTCCGTGATCCCATTCAAACAAGTCAGGAGCTTCGACTTGCTTAATGGATCTCGAGGCAGTCCCCAAGAACACTGTCACCAGTCTAGATGGACCCCTGAGGTCACCCCAGCAACGCAAAGCAGCTCCAGGTGCCACAAATCAACTCGAGATGAGGCCCGATTCCCCTGCATTGACTCCAGAGCCATTCCCCGTTCCCCATTCAACACGACCGGTGGCTCGACTTCCTTCATGCAACTCCAGAGATGCCCAGAGAACACTGTCCCAAGTCTAGAGGAACACCAACTTCAGCACAGCAACTCGAGGAATGCTCTGTGTACCCCAAATCGTCTCGAGATGAGAGCTGAATCCCTGGCTTAGGCTCAAGACGTATGCCAACTTTCCAGAAGCACCTCAGGAGGAGGCTTCTCTCAGCAATAGGTATGTGGGAGGGACTCCGAGTTTGCTGCCTCAAGGGGAATATACAGCGAGAAGCCCTAACTTGAAAGGAGGCCGGATTTCCTTGCAGTGGCTTGAATACAGGCTCGTCTTTCATCTCACAACATGAAGGGCTGTCTGAATCCCCTGTGGAGACCTTAGAGAAAGCCCTAGGTCCCTGCCTCATTTTGACGGAATCCTCACATCCCGCTGACACCTCGAGAGTCACGCGGAGTTCATTGCTTCAAAAGGTGACGATGCCTGACTCCTCTTGAATACTGATAGGAATCCCAAAATCCCTGTGGCTACTGGAAAGGGTCCTTGGGTGCCCTGGCTCACCTCGAGAAGCGTCCCTTTTTCCCTGCCAAGCCTCGAAGAGATTGCTGAGGTGTCCCTCGTTACTAGACAGGAGTCCTGACGTCACTGAAGAAACTCGTGTTTTGAAGGGCCATCCCCGCCGTAAGTCGAGAACATACCCCAGGTCCCCGCCGCAACTCGAGAAAAACCATGAGACTTCCCCCTAGAGGCGAGATGAGGCCCCATTCCCCTGCAGTGCATGCAGAGCTATTCCGTGATCCCATTCAAACAAGTCAGGAGCTTCGACTTGCTTAATGGATCTCGAGACAGTCCCCAAGAACACTGTCACCAGTCTAGACGGACCCTGAGGTCACCCAGCAATGCAAAGCAGCTCCATGTGCCCCAAATCAACTCGAGATGAGGCCGGATTCCCCTGCATTGACTCCAGAGCCATTCCTTGTTCCCCATTCAACAAGACCGGTGGCTCGACTTCCTTCAGGCAACTCCAGAGATGCCCCGAGAACACTGTCCCAAGTCTAGAGGACCACCAACTTCAGCACAGCAACTCGAGGAATGCTCTGTGTACCCCAAATCGTCTCGAGATGAGAGCTGATTCCCTGGCTTAGGCTCAAGACGTATGCCAACTTTCCAGAAGCACCTCAGGAGGAGGCTTCTCAGCAATAGGTATGTGGGAGGGACTCCGAGTTTGCTGCCTCAAGGGCAATATACAGCGAGAAGCCCTAACTTGAAAGGAGGCCGGATTTCCTTGCAGTCGCTTGAATACAGGCTTGTCTTTCATCTCACAACATGAAGGGATGTCTGAATCCCCTGTGGAGACCTTAGAGAAAGCCCTAGGTCCCTGCCTCATTTTGACGGAATGCCTCACATCCCGCTGACACCTCGAGAGGCACGCGGAGTTCATTGCTTCAAAAGGTGACGATGCCTGACTCCTCTTGAATACTGATAGGAATCCCAAAATCCCTGTGGCTACTGGAAAGGGTCCTTGGGTGCCCTGCCTCACCTCGAGAAGCGTCCCTTTTGCCCTGCCAAGCCTCGAAGAGATTCCTGAGGTGTCCCTCGTTACTATGCCGGAGTCCTGACGTCACTGAAGAAACTCGTGTTTTGAAGGGCCATTCCCGCCGTAAGTCGAGAACATACCCCAGGTCCCCGCCGCAACTCGAGAAAAACCATGAGACTTCCCCCTAGAGGCGAGATGAGGCCCCATTCCCCTGCAGTGCATGCAGAGCTATTCCGTGATCCCATTCAAACAAGTCAGGAGCTTCGACTTGCTTAATGGATCTCGAGGCAGTCCCCAAGAACACTGTCACCAGTCTAGACGGAACCTGAGGTAACCCCAGCAACGCAAAGCAGCTCCAGGTGCCACAAATCAACTCGAGATGAGGCCCGATTCCCCTGCATTGACTCCAGAGCCATTCCCCGTTCCCCATTTAACACGACCGGTGGCTCGCCTTCCTTCAGGCAACTCCAGAGATGCCCCGAGAACACTGTCCCAAGTCTAGAGCAACACCAACTTCAGCACAGCAACTCGAGGAATGCTCTGTGTACCCCAAATCGTCTCGAGATGAGAGCTGATTCCCTGGCTTAGGCTCAAGACGTATGCCAACTTTCCAGAAGCACCTCAGGAGGAGGCTTCTCAGCAATAGGTATGTGGGAGGGACTCCGAGTTTGCTGCCTCAAGGGGAATATACAGCGAGAAGCCCTAACTTGAAAGGAGGCCGGATTTCCATGCAGTGGCTTGAATACAGGCTCGTCTTTCATCTCACAACATGAAGGGATGTCTGAATCCCCTGTGGAGACCTTAGAGAAAGCTCTAGGTCCCTGCCTCATTTTGACGGAATACTCACATCCCGCTGACACGTCGAGAGGCACGCGGAGTTCATTGCTTCAAAAGGTGACGATGCATGACTCCTCTTGATTACTTATAGGAATCCCAAAATCCCTGTGGCTACTGGAAAGGGTCCTTGGGTGCCCTGGCTCACCTCGAGAAGCGTCCCTTTTGCCCTGCCAAGCCTCGAAGAGATTGCTGAGGTGTCCCTCGTTACTAGACAGGAGTCCTGACGTCACTGAAGAAACTCGTGTTTTGAAGGGCCATCCCCGCCGTAAGTCGAGAACATACCCCAGGTCCCCGCCGCAACTCGAGAAAAACCATGAGACTTCCCCCTAGAGGCGAGATGAGGCCCCATTCCCCTGCAGTGCATGCAGAGCTATTCCGTGATCCCATTCAAACAAGTCAGGAGCTTCGACTTGCTTAATGGATCTCGAGACAGTCCCCAAGAACACTGTCACCAGTCTAGACGGACCCTGAGGTCAACCAGCAATGCAAAGCAGCTCCATGTGCCCCAAATCAACTCGAGATGAGGCCGGATTCCCCTGCATTGACTCCAGAGCCATTCCTTGTTCCCCATTCAACACGACCGGTGGCTCGACTTCCTTCAGGCAACTCCAGAGATGACCCGAGAACACTGTCCCAAGTCTAGAGGACCACCAACTTCAGCACAGCAACTCGAGGAATGCTCAGTGTACCCCAAATCCTCTCGAGATGAGAGCTGATTACCTGGCTTAGGCTCAAGACGTATGCCACCTTTCCAGAAGCACCTCAGGAGGAGGCTTCTCTCAGCAATAGGTATGTGGGAGGGACCCCGAGTTTGCTGCCTCAAGGGAAATATACAGCGAGAAGCCCTAACTTGAAAGGAGGCCGGATTTCCTTGCAGTGGCTTGAATACAGGCTCTTCTTTCATCTCACAACATGAAGGGCTGTCTGAATCCCCTGTGGATACCTTAGAGAAAGCCCTAGGTCCCTGCCTCATTTTGACGGAATCCTCACATCCCGCTGACACCTCGAGAGGCACGCGGTGTTCATTGCTTCAAAAGGTGACGATGCCTGACTCCTCTTGAATACTGATAGGAATCCCAAAATCCCTGTGGCTACTGGAAAGGGTCCTTGGGTGCCCTGGCTCACCTCGAGAAGCGTCCCTTTTGCCCTGCCAAGCCTCGAAGAGATTGCTGAGGTGTCCCTCGTTACTAGGCAGGAGTCCTGACGTCACTGAAGAAACTCGTGTTTTGAAGGGCCATCCCCGCCGTAAGTCGAGAACATACCCCAGGTCCCCGCCGCAACTCGAGAAAAACCATGAGACTTCCCCCTAGAGGCGAGATGAGGCCCCATTCCCCTGCAGTGCATGCAGAGCTATTCCGTGATCCCATTCAAACAAGTCAGGAGCTTCGACTTGCTTAATGGATCTCGAGGCAGTCCCCAAGAACACTGTCACCAGTCTAGTCTGACACTGAGGTCACCCAGCAATGCAAAGCAGCTCCATTTGCCCCAAATCAACTCGAGATGAGGCCCGATTCCCCTGCATTGACTCCAGAGCCATTCCCCGTTCCCCATTCAACACGACCGGTGGCTCGCCTTCCTTCAGGCAACTCCAGAGATGCCCCGAGAACACTGTCCCAAGTCTAGAGTAACACCAACTTCAGCACAGCAACTCGAGGAATGATCTGTGTACCCCAAATCGTCTCGAGATGAGAGCTGATTCCCTGGCTTAGGCTCAAGACGTATGCCACCTTTCCAGAAGCACCTCAGGAGGAGGCTTCTCTCAGCAATAGGTATGTGGGAGGGACCCCGAGTTTGCTGCCTCAAGGGGAATATACAGCGAGAAGCCCTAACTTGAAAGGAGGCCGCATTTCCTTGCAGTGGCTTGAATACAGGCTCGTCTTTCATCTCACAACATGAAGGGATGTCTGAATCCCCTGTGGAGACCTTAGAGAAAGCCCTAGGTCCCTGCCTCATTTTGACGGAATCCTCACATCCCGCTGACACGTCGAGAGGCACGCGGAGTTCATTGCTTCAAAAGGTGACGATGCATGACTCCTCTTGATTACTTATAGGAATCCCAAAATCCCTGTGGCTACTGGAAAGGGTCCTTGGGTGCCCTGGCTCACCTCGAGAAGCGTCCCTTTTGCCCTGCCAAGCCTCGAAGAGATTGCTGAGGTGTCCCTCGTTACTAGGCAGGAGTCCTCACGTCACTGAAGAAACTCGTGTTTTGAAGGGCCATCCCCGCCGTAAGTCGAGAACATACCCCAGGTCCCCGCCGCAACTCGAGAAAAACCATGAGACTTCCCCCTAGAGGCGAGATGAGGCCCCATTCCCCTGCAGTGCATGCAGAGCTATTCCGTGATCCCATTCAAACAAGTCAGGAGCTTCGACTTGCTTAATGGATCTCGGGGCAGTCCCCAAGAACACTGTCACCAGTCTAGATGGACCCTGAGGTCACCCCAGCAACGCAAAGTAGCTCCAGGTGCCACAAATCAACTCGAAATGAGGCCCGATTCCCCTGCATTGACTCCAGAGCCATTCCCCGTTCCCCATTCAACACGAGGGTTGGCTCGACTTCCTTCATTCAACTCCAGAGATGCCCAGAGAACACTGTCCCAAGTCTAGAGGAACACCAACTTCAGCACAGCAACTCGAGGAATGCTCTGTGTACCCCAAATCGTCTCGAGATGAGAGCTGATTCCCTGGCTTAGGCTCAAGACCTATGCCACCTTTCCAGAAGCACCTCAGGAGGACGCATCTCTCAGCAATAGGTATGTGGGAGGGACCCCGAATTTGCTGCCTCAAGGGGAATATACAGCGAGAAGCCCTAACTTGAAAGGAGGCCGGATTTCCTAGCAGTGGCTTGAATACAGGCTCGTCTTTCATCTCACAACATGAAGGGATGTCTGAATCCCCTGTGAAGACCTTAGAGAAAGCCCTAGGTCCCTGCCTCATTTTGACGGAATGCCTCACATCCCGCTGACAACTCGAGAGGCACGCGGAGTACATTGCTTCAAAAGGTGACGATGCCTGACTCCTCTTGAATACTGATAGGAATCCCAAAATCCCTGTGGCTACTGGAAAGGGTCCTTGGGTGCCCTGGCTCACCTCGAGAAGCGTCCCTTTTGCCCTGCCAAGCCTCGAAGAGATTGCTGATGTGTCCCTCGTTACTAGACAGGAGTCCTGACGTCACTGAAGAAACTCGTGTTTTGAAGGGCCATCCCCGCCGTAAGTCGAGAACATACCCCAGGTCCCCGCCGCAACTCGAGAAAAACCATGAGACTTCCCCCTAGAGGCGAGATGAGGCCCCATTCCCCTGCAGTGCATGCAGAGCTATTCCGTGATCCCATTCAAACAAGTCAGGAGCTTCGACTTGCTTAATGGATCTCGAGGCAGTCCCCAAGAACACTGTCACCAGTCTAGACGGAACCTGAGGTCACCCCAGCAACGCAAAGCAGCTCCAGGTGCCACAAATCAACTCGAGATGAGGCCCGATTCCCCTGCATTGACTCCAGAGCCATTCCCCGTTCCCCATTCAACACGACCGGTGGCTCGCCTTCCTTCAGGCAACTCCAGAGATGCCCCGAGAACACTGTCCCAAGTCTAGAGGACCACCAACTTCAGCACAGCAACTCGAGGAATGCTCAGTGTACCCCAAATCGTCTCGATATGAGAGCTGATTCCCTGGCTTAGGCTCAAGACGTATGCCATCTTTCCAGAAGCACCTCAGGAGGAGGCTTCTCTCAGCAATAGGTATGTGGGAGGGACCCCGAGTTTGCTGCCTCAAGGGCAATATACAGCGAGAAGCCCTAACTTGAAAGGAGGCCGGATTTCCATGCAGTGGCTTGAATACAGGCTCGTCTTTCATCTCACAACATGAAGGGATGTCTGAATCCCCTGTGGAGACCTTAGAGAAAGCCCTAGGTCCCTGCCTCATTTTGACGGAATACTCACATCCCGCTGACACGTCGAGAGGCACGCGGAGTTCATTGCTTCAAAAGGTGACGATGCATGACTCCTCTTGATTACTTATAGGAATCCCAAAATCCCTGTGGCTACTGGAAAGGGTCCTTGGGTGCTCTGGCTCACCTCGAGAAGCGTCCCTTTTGCCCTGCCAAGCCTCGAAGAGATTGCTGAGGTGTCCCTCGTTACTAGACAGGAGTCCTGACGTCACTGAAGAAACTCGTGTTTTGAAGGGCCATCCCCGCCGTAAGTCGAGAACATACCCCAGGTCCCCGCCGCAACTCGAGAAAAACCATGAGACTTCCCCCTAGAGGCGAGATGAGGCCCCATTCCCCTGCAGCGCATGCAGAGCTATTCCGTGATCCCATTCAAACAAGTCAGGAGCTTCGACTTGCTTAATGGATCTCGAGACAGTCCCCAAGAACACTGTCACCAGTCTAGACGGACCCTGAGGTCACCCAGCAATGCAAAGCAGCTCCATGTGCCCCAAATCAACTCGAGATGAGGCCGGATTCCCATGCATTGACTCCAGAGCCATTCCTTGTTCCCCATTCAACACGACCGGTGGCTCGACTTCCTTCAGGCAACTCCAGAGATGCCCCGAGAACACTGTCCCAAGTCTAGAGGACCACCAACTTCAGCACAGCAACTCAAGGAATGCTCAGTGTACCCCAAATCGTCTCGAGATGAGAGCTGATTCCCTGGCTTAGGCTCAAGACGTATGCCACCTTTCCAGAAGCTCCTCAGGAGGAGGCTTCTCTCAGCAATAGGTATGTGGGAGGGACCCTGAGTTTGCTGCCTCAAGGGGAATATACAGCGAGAAGCCCTAACTTGAAAGGAGGCCGGATTTCCTTGCAGTGGCTTGAATACAGGCTCGTCTTTCATCTCACAACATGAAGGGATGTCTGAATCCCCTGTGCATACCTTAGAGAAAGCCCTAGGTCCCTGCCTCATTTTGACGGAATCCTCACATCCCGCTGACACCTCGAGAGGCACGCGGTGTTCATTGTTTCAAAAGGTGACGATGCCTCACTCCTCTTGAATACTTATAGGAATCCCCAAATCCCTGTGGCTACTGGAAAGGGTCCTTGGGTGCCCTGGCTCACCTCGAGAAGCGTCCCTTTTGCCCTGCCAAGCCTCGAAGAGATTGCTGAGGTGTCCCTCGTTACTAGACAGGAGTCCTGACGTCACTGAAGAAACTCGTGTTTTGAAGGGCCATCCCCGCCGTAAGTCGAGAACATACCCCAGGTCCCCGCCGCAACTCGAGAAAAACCATGAGACTTCCCCCTAGAGGCGAGATGAGGCCCCATTCCCCTGCAGTGCATGCAGAGCTATTCCGTGATCCCATTCAAACAAGTCAGGAGCTTCGACTTGCTTAATGGATCTCGAGACAGTCCCCAAGAACACTGTCACCAGTCTAGACGGACCCTGAGGTCACCCAGCAATGCAAAGCAGCTCCATGTGCCCCAAATCAACTCGAGATGAGGCCGGATTCCCCTGCATTGACTCCAGAGCCATTCCTTGTTCCCCATTCAACACGACCGGTGGCTCGACTTCCTTCAGGCAACTCCAGAGATGCCCCGAGAACACTGTCCCAAGTCTAGAGGACCACCAACTTCAGCAGAGCAACTCGAGGAATGCTCTGTGTACCCCAAATCGTCTCGAGATGAGAGCTGATTCCCTGGCTTAGGCTCAAGACGTTTGCCACCTTTCCAGAAGCACCTCAGGAGGAGGCTTCTCTCAGTAATAGGTATGTGGGAGGGACCCCGAGTTTGCTGCCTCAAGGGGAATATACAGCGAGAAGCCCTAACTTGAAAGGAGGCCGGATTTCCTTGCAGTGGCTTGAATACAGGCTCGTCTTTCATCTCACAACATGAAGGGATGTCTGAATCCCCTGTGCATACCTTAGAGAAAGCCCTAGGTCCCTGCCTCATTTTGACGGAATCCTCACATCCCGCTGACACGTCGAGAGGCACGCGGAGTTCATTGCTTCAAAAGGTGACGATGCCTGACTCCTCTTGATTACTTATAGGAATCCCAAAATCCCTGTGGCTACTGGAAAGGGTCCTTGGGTGCCCTGGCTCACCTCGAGAAGCGTCCCTTTTGCCCTGCCAAGCCTCAAAGAGATTGCTGAGGAGTCCCTCGTTACTAGACAGGAGTCCTGACGTCACTGAAGAAACTCGTGTTTTGAAGGGCCATCCCCGCCGTAAGTCGAGAACATACCCCAGGTCCCCGCCGCAACTCGAGAAAAACCATGAGACTTCCCCCTAGAGGCGAGATGAGGCCCCATTCCCCTGCAGCGCATGCAGAGCTATTCCGTGATCCCATTCAAACAAGTCAGGAGCTTCGACTTGCTTAATGGATCTCGAGACAGACCCCAAGAACACTGTCACCAGTCTAGACGGACCCTGAGGTCACCCAGCAATGCAAAGCAGCTCCATGTGCCCCAAATCAACTCGAGATGAGGCCGGATTCCCCTGCATTGACTCCAGAGCCATTCCTTGTTCCCCATTCAACACGACCGGTGGCTCGACTTCCTTCAGGCAACTCCAGAGATGCCCCGAGAACACTGTCCCAAGTCTAGAGGACCACCAACTTCAGCACAGCAACTCAAGGAATGCTCAGTGTACCCCAAATCGTCTCGAGATGAGAGCTGATTCCCTGGCTTAGGCTCAAGACGTATGCCACCTTTCCAGAAGCTCCTCAGGAGGAGGCTTCTCTCAGCAATAGGTATGTGGGAGGGACCCTGAGTTTGCTGCCTCAAGGGGAATATACGGCGAGAAGCCCTAACTTGAAAGGAGGCCGGATTTCCTTGCAGTGGCTTGAATACAGGCTCGTCTTTCATCTCACAACATGAAGGGATGTCTGAATCCCCTGTGCATACCTTAGAGAAAGCCCTAGGTCCCTGCCTCATTTTGACGGAATCCTCACATCCCGCTGACACCTCGAGAGGCACGCGGTGTTCATTGTTTCAAAAGGTGACGATGCCTCACTCCTCTTGAATACTTATAGGAATCCCCAAATCCCTGTGGCTACTGGAAAGGGTCCTTGGGTGCCCTGGCTCACCTCGAGAAGCGTCCCTTTTGCCCTGCCAAGCCTCGAAGAGATTGCTGAGGTGTCCCTCATTACTAGACAGGAGTCCTGACGTCACTGAAGAAACTCGTGTTTTGAAGGGCCATCCCCGCCGTAAGTCGAGAACATACCCCAGGTCCCCGCCGCAACTCGAGAAAAACCATGAGACTTCCCCCTAGAGGCGAGATGAGGCCCCATTCCCCTGCAGTGCATGCAGAGCTATTCCGTGATCCCATTCAAACAAGTCAGGAGCTTCGACTTGCTTAATGGATCTCGAGACAGTCCCCAAGAACACTGTCACCAGTCTAGACGGACCCTGAGGTCACCCAGCAATGCAAAGCAGCTCCATGTGCCCCAAATCAACTCGAGATGAGGCCGGATTCCCCTGCATTGACTCCAGAGCCATTCCTTGTTCCCCATTCAACACGACCGGTGGCTCGACTTCCTTCAGGCAACTCCAGAGATGCCCCGAGAACACTGTCCCAAGTCTAGAGGACCACCAACTTCAGCACAGCAACTCGAGGAATGCTCTGTGTACCCCAAATCGTCTCGAGATGAGAGCTGATTCCCTGGCTTAGGCTCAAGACGTATGCCACCTTTCCAGAAGCACCTCAGGAGGAGGCTTCTCTCAGTAATAGGTATGTGGGAGGGACCCCGAGTTTGCTGCCTCAAGGGGAATATACAGCGAGAAGCCCTAACTTGAAAGGAGGCCGGATTTCCTTGCAGTGGCTTGAATACAGGCTCGTCTTTCATCTCACAACATGAAGGGATGTCTGAATCCCCTGTGCATACCTTAGAGAAAGCCCTAGGTCCCTGCCTCATTTTGACGGAATCCTCACATCCCGCTGACACGTCGAGAGGCACGCGGAGTTCATTGCTTCAAAAGGTGACGATGCCTGACTCCTCTTGATTACTTATAGGAATCCCAAAATCCCTGTGGCTACTGGAAAGGGTCCTTGGGTGCCCTGGCTCACCTCGAGAAGCGTCCCTTTTGCCCTGCCAAGCCTCAAAGAGATTGCTGAGGAGTCCCTCATTACTAGACAGGAGTCCTGACGTCACTGAAGAAACTCGTGTTTTGAAGGGCCATCCCCACGTAAGTCGAGAACATACCCCAGGTCCCCGCCGCAACTCGAGAAAAACCATGAGACTTCCCCCTAGAGGCGAGATGAGGCCCCATTCCCCTGCAGCGCATGCAGAGCTATTCCGTGATCCCATTCAAACAAGTCAGGAGCTTCGACTTGCTTAATGGATCTCGAGACAGTCCCCAAGAACACTGTCACCAGTCTAGACGGACCCTGAGGTCACCCAGCAATGCAAAGCAGCTCCATGTGCCCCAAATCAACTCGAGATGAGGCCGGATTCCCCTGCATTGACTCCAGAGCCATTCCTTGTTCCCCATTCAACACGACCGGTGGCTCGACTTCCTTCAGGCAACTCCAGAGATGCCCCGAGAACACTGTCCCAAGTCTAGAGGACCACCAACTTCAGCACAGCAACTCAAGGAATGCTCAGTGTACCCCAAATCGTCTCGAGATGAGAGCTGATTCCCTGGCTTAGGCTCAAGACGTATGCCACCTTTCCAGAAGCTCCTCAGGAGGAGGCTTCTCTCAGCAATAGGTATGTGGGAGGGACCCTGAGTTTGCTGCCTCAAGGGGAATATACAGCGAGAAGCCCTAACTTGAAAGGAGGCCGGATTTCCTTGCAGTGGCTTGAATACAGGCTCGTCTTTCATCTCACAACATGAAGGGATGTCTGAATCCCCTGTGCATACCTTAGAGAAAGCCCTAGGTCCCTGCCTCATTTTGACGGAATCCTCACATCCCGCTGACACCTCGAGAGTCACGCGGAGTTCATTGCTTCAAAAGGTGACGATGCCTGACTCCTCTTGAATACTGATAGGAATCCCAAAATCCCTGTGGCTACTGGAAAGGGTCCTTGGGTGCCCTGGCTCACCTCGAGAAGCGTCCCTTTTGCCCTGCCAAGCCTCGAAGAGATTGCTGAGGTGTCCCTCGTTACTAGACAGGAGTCCTGACGTCACTGAAGAAACTCGTGTTTTGAAGGGCCATCCCCGCCGTAAGTCGAGAACATACCCCAGGTCCCCGCCGCAACTCGAGAAAAACCATGAGACTTCCCCCTAGAGGCGAGATGAGGCCCCATTCCCCTGCAGCGCATGCAGAGCTATTCCGTGATCCCATTCAAACAAGTCAGGAGCTTCGACTTGCTTAATGGATCTCGAGACAGACCCCAAGAACACTGTCACCAGTCTAGACGGACCCTGAGGTCACCCAGCAATGCAAAGCAGCTCCATGTGCCCCAAATCAACTCGAGATGAGGCCGGATTCCCCTGCATTGACTCCAGAGCCATTCCTTGTTCCCCATTCAACACGACCGGTGGCTCGACTTCCTTCAGGCAACTCCAGAGATGCCCCGAGAACACTGTCCCAAGTCTAGAGGACCACCAACTTCAGCACAGCAACTCAAGGAATGCTCAGTGTACCCCAAATCGTCTCGAGATGAGAGCTGATTCCCTGGCTTAGGCTCAAGACGTATGCCACCTTTCCAGAAGCTCCTCAGGAGGAGGCTTCTCTCAGCAATAGGTATGTGGGAGGGACCCTGAGTTTGCTGCCTCAAGGGGAATATACAGCGAGAAGCCCTAACTTGAAAGGAGGCCGGATTTCCTTGCAGTGGCTTGAATACAGGCTCGTCTTTCATCTCACAACATGAAGGGATGTCTGAATCCCCTGTGCATACCTTAGAGAAAGCCCTAGGTCCCTGCCTCATTTTGACGGAATCCTCACATCCCGCTGACACCTCGAGAGGCACGCGGTGTTCATTGTTTCAAAAGGTGACGATGCCTCACTCCTCTTGAATACTTATAGGAATCCCCAAATCCCTGTGGCTACTGGAAAGGGTCCTTGGGTGCCCTGGCTCACCTCGAGAAGCGTCCCTTTTGCCCTGCCAAGCCTCGAAGAGATTGCTGAGGTGTCCCTCATTACTAGACAGGAGTCCTGACGTCACTGAAGAAACTCGTGTTTTGAAGGGCCATCCCCGCCGTAAGTCGAGAACATACCCCAGGTCCCCGCCGCAACTCGAGAAAAACCATGAGACTTCCCCCTAGAGGCGAGATGAGGCCCCATTCCCCTGCAGTGCATGCAGAGCTATTCCGTGATCCCATTCAAACAAGTCAGGAGCTTCGACTTGCTTAATGGATCTCGAGACAGTCCCCAAGAACACTGTCACCAGTCTAGACGGACCCTGAGGTCACCCAGCAATGCAAAGCAGCTCCATGTGCCCCAAATCAACTCGAGATGAGGCCGGATTCCCCTGCATTGACTCCAGAGCCATTCCTTGTTCCCCATTCAACACGACCGGTGGCTCGACTTCCTTCAGGCAACTCCAGAGATGCCCCGAGAACACTGTCCCAAGTCTAGAGGACCACCAACTTCAGCACAGCAACTCGAGGAATGCTCTGTGTACCCCAAATCGTCTCGAGATGAGAGCTGATTCCCTGGCTTAGGCTCAAGACGTATGCCACCTTTCCAGAAGCACCTCAGGAGGAGGCTTCTCTCAGTAATAGGTATGTGGGAGGGACCCCGAGTTTGCTGCCTCAAGGGGAATATACAGCGAGAAGCCCTAACTTGAAAGGAGGCCGGATTTCCTTGCAGTGGCTTGAATACAGGCTCGTCTTTCATCTCACAACATGAAGGGATGTCTGAATCCCCTGTGCATACCTTAGAGAAAGCCCTAGGTCCCTGCCTCATTTTGACGGAATCCTCACATCCCGCTGACACGTCGAGAGGCACGCGGAGTTCATTGCTTCAAAAGGTGACGATGCCTGACTCCTCTTGATTACTTATAGGAATCCCAAAATCCCTGTGGCTACTGGAAAGGGTCCTTGGGTGCCCTGGCTCACCTCGAGAAGCGTCCCTTTTGCCCTGCCAAGCCTCAAAGAGATTGCTGAGGAGTCCCTCATTACTAGACAGGAGTCCTGACGTCACTGAAGAAACTCGTGTTTTGAAGGGCCATCCCCACGTAAGTCGAGAACATACCCCAGGTCCCCGCCGCAACTCGAGAAAAACCATGAGACTTCCCCCTAGAGGCGAGATGAGGCCCCATTCCCCTGCAGCGCATGCAGAGCTATTCCGTGATCCCATTCAAACAAGTCAGGAGCTTCGACTTGCTTAATGGATCTCGAGACAGTCCCCAAGAACACTGTCACCAGTCTAGACGGACCCTGAGGTCACCCAGCAATGCAAAGCAGCTCCATGTGCCCCAAATCAACTCGAGATGAGGCCGGATTCCCCTGCATTGACTCCAGAGCCATTCCTTGTTCCCCATTCAACACGACCGGTGGCTCGACTTCCTTCAGGCAACTCCAGAGATGCCCCGAGAACACTGTCCCAAGTCTAGAGGACCACCAACTTCAGCACAGCAACTCAAGGAATGCTCAGTGTACCCCAAATCGTCTCGAGATGAGAGCTGATTCCCTGGCTTAGGCTCAAGACGTATGCCACCTTTCCAGAAGCTCCTCAGGAGGAGGCTTCTCTCAGCAATAGGTATGTGGGAGGGACCCTGAGTTTGCTGCCTCAAGGGGAATATACAGCGAGAAGCCCTAACTTGAAAGGAGGCCGGATTTCCTTGCAGTGGCTTGAATACAGGCTCGTCTTTCATCTCACAACATGAAGGGATGTCTGAATCCCCTGTGCATACCTTAGAGAAAGCCCTAGGTCCCTGCCTCATTTTGACGGAATCCTCACATCCCGCTGACACCTCGAGAGTCACGCGGAGTTCATTGCTTCAAAAGGTGACGATGCCTGACTCCTCTTGAATACTGATAGGAATCCCAAAATCCCTGTGGCTACTGGAAAGGGTCCTTGGGTGCCCTGGCTCACCTCGAGAAGCGTCCCTTTTGCCCTGCCAAGCCTCGAAGAGATTGCTGAGGTGTCCCTCGTTACTAGACAGGAGTCCTGACGTCACTGAAGAAACTCGTGTTTTGAAGGGCCATCCCCGCCGTAAGTCGAGAACATACCCCAGGTCCCCGCCGCAACTCGAGAAAAACCATGAGACTTCCCCCTAGAGGCGAGATGAGGCCCCATTCCCCTGCAGTGCATGCAGAGCTATTCCGTGATCCCATTCAAACAAGTCAGGAGCTTCGACTTGCTTAATGGATCTCGAGACAGTCCCCAAGAACACTGTCACCAGTCTAGACGGACCCTGAGGTCACCCAGCAATGCAAAGCCGCTCCATGTGCCCCAAATCAACTCGAGATGAGGCCGGATTCCCCTGCATTGACTCCAGAGCCATTCCTTGTTCCCCATTCAACACGACCGGTGGCTCGACTTCCTTCAGGCAACTCCAGAGATGCCCCGAGAACACTGTCCCAAGTCTAGAGGACCACAAACTTCAGCACAGCAACTCGAGGAATGCTCTGTGTACCCCAAATCGTCTCGAGATGAGAGCTGATTCCCTGGCTTAGGCTCAAGACCTATGCCACCTTTCCAGAAGCACCTCAGGAGGAGGCTTCTCTCAGCAATAGGTATGTGGGAGGGACCCCGAGTTTGCTGCCTCAAGGGGAATATACAGCGAGAAGCCCTAACTTGAAAGGAGGCCGCATTTCCTTGCAGTGGCTTGAATACAGGCTCGTCTTTCATCTCACAACATGAAGGGATGTCTGAATCCCCTGTGGAGACCTTAGAGAAAGCCCTAGGTCCCTGCCTCATTTTGACGGAATCCTCACATCCCGCTGAGCCCTCGAGAGGCACGCGGAGTTCATTGCTTCAAAAGGTGACGATGCCTGACTCCTCTTGATTACTTATAGGAATCCCAAAATCCCTGTGGCTACTGGAAAGGGTCCTTGGGTGCCCTGGCTCACCTCGAGAAGCGTCCCTTTTGCCCTGCCAAGCCTCGAAGAGATTGCTGAGGTGTCCCTCGTTACTAGACAGGAGTCCTGACGTCACTGAAGAAACTCGTGTTTTGAAGGGCCATCCCCGCCGTAAGTCGAGAACATACCCCAGGTCCCCACCGCAACTCGAGAAAAACCATGAGACTTCCCCCTAGAGGCGAGATGAGGCCCCATTCCCCTGCAGTGCATGCAGAGCTATTCCGTGATCCCATTCAAACAAGTCAGGAGCTTCGACTTGCTTAATGGATCTCGAGACAGTCCCCAAGAACACTGTCACCAGTCTAGACGGACCCTGAGGTCACCCAGCAATGCAAAGCAGCTCCATGTGCCCCAAATCAACTCGAGATGAGGCCGGATTCCCCTGCATTGACTCCAGAGCCATTCCTTGTTCCCCATTCAACACGACCGGTGGCTCGACTTCCTTCAGGCAACTCCAGAGATGCCCCGAGAACACTGTCCCAAGTCTAGAGGAACACCAACTTCAGCACAGCAACTCGAGGAATGCTCTGTGTACCCCAAATCGTCTCGAGATGAGAGCTGATTCCCTGGCTTAGGCTCAAGACGTACGCCAACTTTCCAGAAGCACCTCAGGAGGAGGCTTCTCAGCAATAGGTATGTGGGAGGGACTCCGAGTTTGCTGCCTCAAGGGGAATATACAGCGAGAAGCCCTAACTTGAAAGGAGGCCGGATTTCCTTGCAGTAGCTTGAATACAGGCTTGTCTTTCATGTCACAACATGAAGGGATGTCTGAATCCCCTGTGGAGACCTTAGAGAAAGCCCTAGGTCCCTGCCTCATTTTGACGGAATCCTCACATCCCGCTGACTCGTCGAGAGGCACGCGGAGTTCATTGCTTCAAAAGGTGACGATGCCTGACTCCTCTTGATTACTTATAGGAATCCCAAAATCCCTGTGGCTACTGGAAAGGGTCCTTGGGTGCCCTGGCTCACCTCGAGAAGCGTCCCTTTTGCCCTGCCAAGCCTCAAAGAGATTGCTGAGGTGTCCCTCGTTACTAGACAGGAGTCCTGACGTCACTGAAGAAACTCGTGTTTTGAAGGGCCATCCCCGCCGTAAGTCGAGAACATACCCCAGGTCCCCGCCGCAACTCGAGAAAAACCATGAGACTTCCCCCTAGAGGCGAGATGAGGCCCCATTCCCCTGCAGTGCATGCAGAGCTATTCCGTGATCCCATTCAAACAAGTCAGGAGCTTCGACTTGCTTAATGGATCTCGAGGCAGTCCCCAAGAACACTGTCACCAGTCTAGATGGACCCCTGAGGTCACCCCAGCAACGCAAAGCAGCTCCAGGTGCCACAAATCAACTCGAGATGAGGCCCGATTCCCCTGCATTGACTCCAGAGCGATTCCCCGTTCCCCATTCAACACGACCGGTGGCTCGAATTCCTTCATGCAACTCCAGAGATGCCCAGAGAACACTGTCCCAAGTCTAGAGGAACACCAAATTCAGCACAGCAACTCGAGGAATGCTCTGTGTACCCCAAATCGTCTCGAGATGAGAGCTGAATCCCTGGCTTAGGCTCAAGACGTATGCCAACTTTCCAGAAGCACCTCAGGAGGAGGCTTCTCTCAGCAATAGGTATGTGGGAGGGACTCCGAGTTTGCTGCCTCAAGGGGAATATACAGCGAGAAGCCCTAACTTGAAAGGAGGCCGGATTTCCTTGCAGTGACTTGAATACAGGCTCGTCTTTCATCTCACAACATGAAGGGATGTCTGAATCCCCTGTGGAGACCTTAGAGAAAGCCCTAGGTCCCTGCCTCATTTTGACGGAATCCTCACATCCCGCTGACACCTCGAGAGTCACGCGGAGTTCATTGCTTCAAAAGGTGACGATGCCTGACTCCTCTTGAATACTGATAGGAATCCCAAAATCCCTGTGGCTACTGGAAAGGGTCCTTGGGTGCCCTGGCTCACCTCGAGAAGCGTCCCTTTTGCCCTGCCAAGCCTCGAAGAGATTCCTGAGGTGTCCCTCGTTACTAGACAGGAGTCCTGACGTCACTGAAGAAACTCGTGTTTTGAAGGGCCATCCCCGCCGTAAGTCGAGAACATACCCCAGGTCTCCGCCGCAACTCGAGAAAAACCATGAGACTTCCCCCTAGAGGCGAGATGAGGCCCCATTCCCCTGCAGTGCATGCAGAGCTATTCCGTGATCCCATTCAAACAAGTCAGGAGCTTCGACTTGCTTAATGGATCTCGAGACAGTCCCCAAGAACACTGTCACCAGTCTAGACGGACCCTGAGGTCACCCAGCAATGCAAAGCAGCTCCATGTGCCCCAAATCAACTCGAGATGAGGCCGGATTCCCCTGCATTGACTCCAGAGCCATTCCTTGTTCCCCATTCAACACGACCGGTGGCTCGACTTCCTTCAGGCAACTCCAGAGATGCCCCGAGAACACTGTCCCAAGTCTAGAGGACCACCAACTTCAGCACAGCAACTCGAGGAATGCTCTGTGTACCCCAAATCGTCTCGAGATGAGAGCTGATTCCCTGGCTTAGGCTCAAGACGTATGCCACCTTTCCAGAAGCACCTCAGGAGGAGGCTTCTCTCAGCAATAGGTATGTGGGAGGGACCCCGAGTTTGCTGCCTCAAGGGGAATATACAGCGAGAAGCCCTAACTTGAAAGGAGGCCGGATTTCCTTGCAGTGGCTTGAATACAGGCTCGTCTTTCATCTCACAACATGAAGGGATGTCTGAATCCCCTGTGGAGACCTTAGAGAAAGCCCTAGGTCCCTGCCTCATTTTGACGGAATCCTCACATCCCGCTGACCCCTCGAGAGGCACGCGGAGTTCATTGCTTCAAAAGGTGACGATACCTGACTCCTCTTGATTACTTATAGGAATCCCAAAATCCCTGTGGCTACTGGAAAGGGTCCTTGGGTGCCCTGGCTCATCTCGAGAAGCATCCCTTTTGCCCTGCCAAGCCTCGAAGAGATTGCTGAGGTGTCCCTCGTTACTAGACAGGAGTCCTGACGTCACTGAAGAAACTCGTGTTTTGAAGGGCCATCCCCGCCGTAAGTTGAGAACATACCCCAGGTCCCCACCGCAACTCGAGAAAAACCATGAGACTTCCCCCTAGAGGCGAGATGAGGCCCCATTCCCCTGCAGCGCATGCAGAGCTATTCCGTGATCCCATTCAAACAAGTCAGGAGCTTCGACTTGCTTAATGGATCTCGAGACAGTCCCCAAGAACACTGTCACCAGTCTAGACGGACCCTGAGGTCACCCAGCAATGCAAAGCAGCTCCATGTGCCCCAAATCAACTCGAGATGAGGCCGGATTCCCCTGCATTGACTCCAGAGCCATTCCTTGTTCCCCATTCAACACGACCGGTGGCTCGACTTCCTTCAGGCAACTCCAGAGATGCCCCGAGAACACTGTCCCAAGTCTAGAGGACCACCAACTTCAGCACAGCAACTCAAGGAATGCTCAGTGTACCCCAAATCGTCTCGAGATGAGAGCTGATTCCCTGGCTTAGGCTCAAGACGTATGCCACCTTTCCAGAAGCTCCTCAGGAGGAGGCTTCTCTCAGCAATAGGTATGTGGGAGGGACCCTGAGTTTGCTGCCTCAAGGGGAATATACAGCGAGAAGCCCTAACTTGAAAGGAGGCCGGATTTCCTTGCAGTGGCTTGAATACAGGCTCGTCTTTCATCTCACAACATGAAGGGATGTCTGAATCCCCTGTGCATACCTTAGAGAAAGCCCTAGGTCCCTGCCTCATTTTGACGGAATCCTCACATCCCGCTGACACCTCGAGAGTCACGCGGAGTTCATTGCTTCAAAAGGTGACGATGCCTGACTCCTCTTGAATACTGATAGGAATCCCAAAATCCCTGTGGCTACTGGAAAGGGTCCTTGGGTGCCCTGGCTCACCTCGAGAAGCGTCCCTTTTGCCCTGCCAAGCCTCGAAGAGATTGCTGAGGTGTCCCTCGTTACTAGACAGGAGTCCTGACGTCACTGAAGAAACTCGTGTTTTGAAGGGCCATCCCCGCCGTAAGTCGAGAACATACCCCAGGTCCCCGCCGCAACTCGAGAAAAACCATGAGACTTCCCCCTAGAGGCGAGATGAGGCCCCATTCCCCTGCAGTGCATGCAGAGCTATTCCGTGATCCCATTCAAACAAGTCAGGAGCTTCGACTTGCTTAATGGATCTCGAGACAGTCCCCAAGAACACTGTCACCAGTCTAGACGGACCCTGAGGTCACCCAGCAATGCAAAGCCGCTCCATGTGCCCCAAATCAACTCGAGATGAGGCCGGATTCCCCTGCATTGACTCCAGAGCCATTCCTTGTTCCCCATTCAACACGACCGGTGGCTCGACTTCCTTCAGGCAACTCCAGAGATGCCCCGAGAACACTGTCCCAAGTCTAGAGGACCACAAACTTCAGCACAGCAACTCGAGGAATGCTCTGTGTACCCCAAATCGTCTCGAGATGAGAGCTGATTCCCTGGCTTAGGCTCAAGACCTATGCCACCTTTCCAGAAGCACCTCAGGAGGAGGCTTCTCTCAGCAATAGGTATGTGGGAGGGACCCCGAGTTTGCTGCCTCAAGGGGAATATACAGCGAGAAGCCCTAACTTGAAAGGAGGCCGCATTTCCTTGCAGTGGCTTGAATACAGGCTCGTCTTTCATCTCACAACATGAAGGGATGTCTGAATCCCCTGTGGAGACCTTAGAGAAAGCCCTAGGTCCCTGCCTCATTTTGACGGAATCCTCACATCCCGCTGAGCCCTCGAGAGGCACGCGGAGTTCATTGCTTCAAAAGGTGACGATGCCTGACTCCTCTTGATTACTTATAGGAATCCCAAAATCCCTGTGGCTACTGGAAAGGGTCCTTGGGTGCCCTGGCTCACCTCGAGAAGCGTCCCTTTTGCCCTGCCAAGCCTCGAAGAGATTGCTGAGGTGTCCCTCGTTACTAGACAGGAGTCCTGACGTCACTGAAGAAACTCGTGTTTTGAAGGGCCATCCCCGCCGTAAGTCGAGAACATACCCCAGGTCCCCACCGCAACTCGAGAAAAACCATGAGACTTCCCCCTAGAGGCGAGATGAGGCCCCATTCCCCTGCAGTGCATGCAGAGCTATTCCGTGATCCCATTCAAACAAGTCAGGAGCTTCGACTTGCTTAATGGATCTCGAGACAGTCCCCAAGAACACTGTCACCAGTCTAGACGGACCCTGAGGTCACCCAGCAATGCAAAGCAGCTCCATGTGCCCCAAATCAACTCGAGATGAGGCCGGATTCCCCTGCATTGACTCCAGAGCCATTCCTTGTTCCCCATTCAACACGACCGGTGGCTCGACTTCCTTCAGGCAACTCCAGAGATGCCCCGAGAACACTGTCCCAAGTCTAGAGGAACACCAACTTCAGCACAGCAACTCGAGGAATGCTCTGTGTACCCCAAATCGTCTCGAGATGAGAGCTGATTCCCTGGCTTAGGCTCAAGACGTACGCCAACTTTCCAGAAGCACCTCAGGAGGAGGCTTCTCAGCAATAGGTATGTGGGAGGGACTCCGAGTTTGCTGCCTCAAGGGGAATATACAGCGAGAAGCCCTAACTTGAAAGGAGGCCGGATTTCCTTGCAGTAGCTTGAATACAGGCTTGTCTTTCATGTCACAACATGAAGGGATGTCTGAATCCCCTGTGGAGACCTTAGAGAAAGCCCTAGGTCCCTGCCTCATTTTGACGGAATCCTCACATCCCGCTGACTCGTCGAGAGGCACGCGGAGTTCATTGCTTCAAAAGGTGACGATGCCTGACTCCTCTTGATTACTTATAGGAATCCCAAAATCCCTGTGGCTACTGGAAAGGGTCCTTGGGTGCCCTGGCTCACCTCGAGAAGCGTCCCTTTTGCCCTGCCAAGCCTCAAAGAGATTGCTGAGGTGTCCCTCGTTACTAGACAGGAGTCCTGACGTCACTGAAGAAACTCGTGTTTTGAAGGGCCATCCCCGCCGTAAGTCGAGAACATACCCCAGGTCCCCGCCGCAACTCGAGAAAAACCATGAGACTTCCCCCTAGAGGCGAGATGAGGCCCCATTCCCCTGCAGTGCATGCAGAGCTATTCCGTGATCCCATTCAAACAAGTCAGGAGCTTCGACTTGCTTAATGGATCTCGAGGCAGTCCCCAAGAACACTGTCACCAGTCTAGATGGACCCCTGAGGTCACCCCAGCAACGCAAAGCAGCTCCAGGTGCCACAAATCAACTCGAGATGAGGCCCGATTCCCCTGCATTGACTCCAGAGCGATTCCCCGTTCCCCATTCAACACGACCGGTGGCTCGAATTCCTTCATGCAACTCCAGAGATGCCCAGAGAACACTGTCCCAAGTCTAGAGGAACACCAAATTCAGCACAGCAACTCGAGGAATGCTCTGTGTACCCCAAATCGTCTCGAGATGAGAGCTGAATCCCTGGCTTAGGCTCAAGACGTATGCCAACTTTCCAGAAGCACCTCAGGAGGAGGCTTCTCTCAGCAATAGGTATGTGGGAGGGACTCCGAGTTTGCTGCCTCAAGGGGAATATACAGCGAGAAGCCCTAACTTGAAAGGAGGCCGGATTTCCTTGCAGTGACTTGAATACAGGCTCGTCTTTCATCTCACAACATGAAGGGATGTCTGAATCCCCTGTGGAGACCTTAGAGAAAGCCCTAGGTCCCTGCCTCATTTTGACGGAATCCTCACATCCCGCTGACACCTCGAGAGTCACGCGGAGTTCATTGCTTCAAAAGGTGACGATGCCTGACTCCTCTTGAATACTGATAGGAATCCCAAAATCCCTGTGGCTACTGGAAAGGGTCCTTGGGTGCCCTGGCTCACCTCGAGAAGCGTCCCTTTTGCCCTGCCAAGCCTCGAAGAGATTCCTGAGGTGTCCCTCGTTACTAGACAGGAGTCCTGACGTCACTGAAGAAACTCGTGTTTTGAAGGGCCATCCCCGCCGTAAGTCGAGAACATACCCCAGGTCTCCGCCGCAACTCGAGAAAAACCATGAGACTTCCCCCTAGAGGCGAGATGAGGCCCCATTCCCATGCAGTGCATGCAGAGCTATTCCGTGATCCCATTCAAACAAGTCAGGAGCTTCGACTTGCTTAATGGATCTCGAGACAGTCCCCAAGAACACTGTCACCAGTCTAGACGGACCCTGAGGTCACCCAGCAATGCAAAGCAGCTCCATGTGCCCCAAATCAACTCGAGATGAGGCCGGATTCCCCTGCATTGACTCCAGAGCCATTCCTTGTTCCCCATTCAACACGACCGGTGGCTCGACTTCCTTCAGGCAACTCCAGAGATGCCCCGAGAACACTGTCCCAAGTCTAGAGGACCACCAACTTCAGCACAGCAACTCGAGGAATGCTCTGTGTACCCCAAATCGTCTCGAGATGAGAGCTGATTCCCTGGCTTAGGCTCAAGACGTATGCCACCTTTCCAGAAGCACCTCAGGAGGAGGCTTCTCTCAGCAATAGGTATGTGGGAGGGACCCCGAGTTTGCTGCCTCAAGGGGAATATACAGCGAGAAGCCCTAACTTGAAAGGAGGCCGGATTTCCTTGCAGTGGCTTGAATACAGGCTCGTCTTTCATCTCACAACATGAAGGGATGTCTGAATCCCCTGTGGAGACCTTAGAGAAAGCCCTAGGTCCCTGCCTCATTTTGACGGAATCCTCACATCCCGCTGACCCCTCGAGAGGCACGCGGAGTTCATTGCTTCAAAAGGTGACGATACCTGACTCCTCTTGATTACTTATAGGAATCCCAAAATCCCTGTGGCTACTGGAAAGGGTCCTTGGGTGCCCTGGCTCATCTCGAGAAGCATCCCTTTTGCCCTGCCAAGCCTCGAAGAGATTGCTGAGGTGTCCCTCGTTACTAGACAGGAGTCCTGACGTCACTGAAGAAACTCGTGTTTTGAAGGGCCATCCCCGCCGTAAGTTGAGAACATACCCCAGGTCCCCACCGCAACTCGAGAAAAACCATGAGACTTCCCCCTAGAGGCGAGATGAGGCCCCATTCCCCTGCAGCGCATGCAGAGCTATTCCGTGATCCCATTCAAACAAGTCAGGAGCTTCGACTTGCTTAATGGATCTCGAGACAGTCCCCAAGAACACTGTCACCAGTCTAGACGGACCCTGAGGTCACCCAGCAATGCAAAGCAGCTCCATGTGCCCCAAATCAACTCGAGATGAGGCCGGATTCCGCTGCATTGACTGAAGAGCCATTCCTTGTTCTCCATTCAACACGACCGGTGGCTCGACTTCCTTCAGGCAACTCCAGAGATGACCCGAGAACACTGTCCCAAGTCTAGAGGAACAGCAACTTCAGCACAGCAACTCGAGGAATGCTCTGTGTACCCCAAATCGTCTCGAGATGAGAGCTGATTCCCTGGCTTAGGCTCAAGACGTATGCCAACTTTCCAGATGCACCTCAGGAGGAGGCTTCTCAGCAATAGGTATGTGGGAGGGACTCCGAGTTTGCTGCCTCAAGGGCAATATACAGCGAGAAGCCCTAACTTGAAAGGAGGCCGGATTTCCTTGCAGTAGCTTGAATACAGGCTTGTCTTTCATCTCACAACATGAAGGGATGTCTGAATCCCCTGTGGAGACCTTAGAGAAAGCCCTAGGTCCCTGCCTCATTTTGACGGAATGCCTCACATCCCGCTGACACCTCGAGAGGCACGCGGAGTTCATTGCTTCAAAAGGTGAGGATGCCTGACTCCTCTTGAATACTGATAGGAATCCCAAAATCCCTGTGGCTACTGGAAAGGGTCCTGGGGTGCCCTGCCTCACCTCGAGAAGCGTCCCTTTTGCCCTGCCAAGCCTCGAAGAGATTCCTGAGGTGTCCCTCGTTACTATGCCGGAGTCCTGACGTCACTGAAGAAACTCGTGTTTTGAAGGGCCATCCCCGCCGTAAGTCGAGAACATACCCCAGGTCCCCGCCGCAACTCGAGAAAAACCATGAGACTTCCCCCTAGAGGCGAGATGAGGCCCCATTCCCCTGCAGTGCATGCAGAGCTATTCCGTGATCCCATTCAAACAAGTCAGGAGCTTCGACTTGCTTAATGGATCTCGAGGCAGTCCCCAAGAACACTGTCACCAGTCTAGACGGAACCTGAGGTCACCCCAGCAACGCAAAGCAGCTCCAGGTGCCACAAATCAACTCGAGATGAGGCCCGATTCCCCTGCATTGACTCCAGAGCCATTCCCCGTTCCCCATTCAACACGACCGGTGGCTCGCCTTCCTTCAGGCAACTCCAGAGATGCCCCGAGAACACTGTCCCAAGTCTAGAGGAACACCAACTTCAGCACAGCAACTCGAGGAATGATCTGTGTACCCCAAATCGTCTCGAGATGAGAGCTGATTCCCTGGCTTAGGCTCAAGACGTATGCCAACTTTCCAGAAGCACCTCAGGAGGAGGCTTCTCAGCAATAGGTATGTGGGAGGGACTCCGAGTTTGCTGCCTCAAGGGCAATATACAGCGAGAAGCCCTAACTTGAAAGGAGGCCGGATTTCCTTGCAGTAGCTTGAATACAGGCTTGTCTTTCATCTCACAACATGAAGGGATGTCTGAATCCCCTGTGGAGACCTTAGAGAAAGCCCTAGGTCCCTGCCTCATTTTGACGGAATGCCTCACATCCCGCTGACACCTCGAGAGGCACGCGGAGTTCATTGCTTCAAAAGGTGACGATGCATGACTCCTCTTGATTACTTATAGGAATCCCAAAATCCCTGTGGCTACTGGAAAGGGTCCTTGGGTGCCCTGGCTCACCTCGAGAAGCGTCCCTTTTGCCCTGCCAAGCCTCGAAGAGATTGCTGAGGTGTCCCTCGTTACTAGACAGGAGTCCTGACGTCACTGAAGAAACTCGTGTTTTAAAGGGCCATCCCCGCCGTAAGTCGAGAACATACCCCAGGTCCCCGCCGCAACTCGAGAAAAACCATGAGACTTACCCCTAGAGGCGAGATGAGGCCCCATTCCCCTGCAGTGCATGCAGAGCTATTCCGTGATCCCATTCAAACAAGTCAGGAGCTTCGACTTGCTTAATGGATCTCGAGACAGTCCCCAAGAACACTGTCACCAGTCTAGACGGACCCTGAGGTCACCCAGCAATGCAAAGCAGCTCCATGTGCCCCAAATCAACTCGAGATGAGGCCGGATTCCCCTGCATTGACTCCAGAGCCATTCCTTGTTCCCCATTCAACACGACCGGTGGCTCGACTTCCTTCAGGCAACTCCAGAGATGACCCGAGAACACTGTCCCAAGTCTAGAGGACCACCAACTTCAGCACAGCAACTCAAGGAATGATCAGTGTACCCCAAATCGTCTCGAGATGAGAGCTGATTCCCTGGCTTAGGCTCAAGACGTATGCCACCTTTCCAGAAGCTCCTCAGGAGGAGGCTTCTCTCAGCAATAGGTATGTGGGAGGGACCCTGAGTTTGCTGCCTCAAGGGGAATATAGAGCGAGAAGCCCTAACTTGAAAGGAGGCCGGATTTCCTTGCAGTGGCTTGAATA